TTTTACGTATGTGTTAAACTACGATTCACATGAAGGAAGAGTATCTCCTTACTTCTACCTGTAACGAGGTAAAGAGTATCCAATAACTAATAAGTATATTATAACTAAAGAGGGAGGGAAGCTATTCAAAATTCTGAATTTAGCAAATGAGGCGCATCACATGGCAAAGATTGTGACTACTTGTATTTATTAAGTCCACATCCACTTAACACTTAGCTAGTTCCACACTTGCACTGGATTGGATTCTTTTCCGTCCCAATTTTGATAGAGAGACATAGATGTATGATTCTCAACCACCCATTCTCCATTTATTGGGTAATGGGATATCTAAAATTATTGCCATCAATTCGTCAAGTAACATCATCTGTAAAAAAAATATAAAAATATAAAAATATTTCCTTGGAATATTGTGAACTTTCGTGCTTTTCCTTTTCCAACAAATTAATCATATGTTTTTATTTTATTCTTCAGAGGTGAATAAAAAAAGAAAACCTTATCTATCCTTATTTCTCTACAGCTTTTTTCTAACTAACTTTCGGGACTTTGACCATGTAAAAAAAAAAAAAAAAAAAAAAATAAAAAAAAGCCTGAATATTCATAAAGAAAATGACAAACCTTGAGAAGAAAATAAGAAGGGAAAAAGCAAAAGAAAGGGATGGCACACACACACCACACAAACAAGAGAGAGGGACATAAGGATAGTGGTGAGTGATCATGATGAGGTGAGGTCTATACATCTTATCAAAAGCCATTCACTTTCAGTTAGAGATTCTGGGCTGCCTGCCTGCCTGCCTGCCTGCCTGCCTTTATTTATTTATTTATTGGAGAGCTGCTTAGCTTAGGCTCAGCAAGCAATTGGAATTTGGAGAGCTGCTTGTATCTTAATGTGGTGGTGGAAGTGGAACTTGCGCTTTTCCCATTTCTCATTATTCTTCCTTCCTAGCTTTATAAATCTATATATCGATGGGCAATGAGTCCAGCAACCCTATATCTATATATAGGATTAGGGGTTTTATGTATTATTATATATATGCATCATGCATGGAATGGAAACCTATAACTCTCTGACAGCTAGACAGCTTTTATTATTTTGACATTTTTTATATACGAATTCAAGAAGAAACCCCCAAAAAACATATATGCATATACTTGACCTACATTAATTTGTTTTCTTATAATACCTTGATTGATACACAGGGAATTTCCAGGATCTTTCCTCCCCTCATTTCATTCTATAAATTTTAGGCTTAATATGTTCTGTACTGATGTTGCGAAGCATCCTCCTAAGTTTTTGTGTGTGTGAAATTTTAGCACTGAGCTGACTGAGTCGCTGCCTGATTTCCTTCAATTTTTTATTATTGGATATTCCAGAGACGGGAAAAAAAGAGGAAACATTACAAGTTAATCTCTTTTTAGAAATAAAAAATAAAAAAAAGAAAAAAAGAAAAAAAGAAAAGATAGATGGGAGTTGGAGGCTTGAATAATGATTAAGACAAACACAGAGCCAATTAAGCTTATCTCTTTATGGAAATTAGTCTTAGAAAAAACCTATATGAAAATGAAAGCAAAGTTGTTTTCCCATTGAAAGCTTTGAATTCATAAGATATTGGGTATGATATTTCAACAGCTAACTTTTGAGGAGGGGCCTTCCTTGTCTCCATGATGGGAAGCACAAGTCACCATCCATTCAATCACCACCACACACATACCCATTCACACCATTATTATCATCACACATAAATCAACAGGTCTTCTCCACACCAAAGCCCAAAGCTACACATTTCACACACACAGAAAAAAAGGAAAGAGAAAAAGTCATTCTGCTCTCCAACGGGCCTTAATTAAAGTTGCTTAATTAGTAATTAATCAAGTTTATCAGTATTCAATATATATATATGACTGTACAGTATGCCAGTATGCATGCATGATGAAGCTGCCCTAAACAAACTAAAAACTTAAAAAGAAAAGAAAGGAAAAAATTGATCCCCACTACGGTGACCAAGGACTGCATGCAAAAGCAAGCATGAGCTCTGTGCATTCATATTCATCATGCAGTACAAGTCAATGGGTTAGCTAGCTACATTTCTAGTTCTAGTAAGTGCTGCAATTCATTAGGGTTCCATGACTTGTCTTTGTATATGTATATGTATGGCCCACGAGCCCATGACCATCCGTGAGAGTGGTTTTCCCCAATATACGACTAAGATGATGAGTAATATATATAAGTCATGACTCTCTCTCTCTCTCTCTCTCTCTCTCTCTCTCTCTAGATTTAACTTGATTGAGTTCCTGATTAAATAGTAAAAAGGGGGAAACAAGAATCATTCCAACTTGCAAACTTTTGAATTTTGAAGAATTAAAGCAACTTTGGACCAACTAAACCGACTAATTACACCCATTCTTGTGGACTGGTTTATACATCACGAAAGCGATACAAAAGTTTGTTTTCAAAAAAAAAAAAGGAAAAGAAAATATGAAATATCGCAACGTTCCTTGAATTATATATCCATGGCTTTCATTATTTTGAGCTTTTCCTTCCTTTTCCAGGCTTACTAGCTGGTAACTAGCTAGCTAGCTTGAAAAGATGACCTAGTAGATTAATCCCACACGCTAGTATGCTACAAATCTTTTAACTGCTGTATGTAGAAACTGGGCAGATCGTTAAACAACTGACAACGTACGGCATCGACAATAGCAATATAGAAAGGGGTCGATAGATAGACCTGAATTTGCGCATTCAATGCCTTTTCTCCCCGTTTGTCAATTGATATTCATTTTCATCAAATTCGTGCCTGGCACATGTCATTGTATTTAATGATTGTTTATAACAACTACCATGAAAAAGAAGAAAACAAAAATCTTCTAGTAATATAGTGGTAAGTCTTCATAAGTCAGTAGTCAAATAATCTCTCTCCTAAAGAAAGAGTCTCAAATTTGGTTCAAGTCTCTCCTCCTTCATCAAATGTTGTCTATAGCAGCTAATCAGAATTTTAATTACAAGGATTTTCCCTGTTGCACACACACACATGCTGATGTGTGTCACAAATAAAATTCTGATGTAGAAGGAGAATATGTATATGTGATTGTGAGGTTTGAAATTTAGATTATAAGTTGCAGCGGGAATGAGAATATGTATATGTGATTGTGAGGTTTGGAATTTAGATTATAAGTTGCAATGGGGTCTAGCATAATGGAAAATGGCATTGACTTATGAATTAGCTGTTTCAAGTTCGAATCCTTATAACACCTTGGTAGTGTGTGTGTGTGTGAAAGTCCCCTCTCCGATGTAGTTTCAACTATCGTTTGTATTAAAAAAAGATTATAAACAAAAAATGAATTAAAGAAGTGAGCTAATGTGCATTGAATGCATCATCTTTTAAGTGCAAGCGATAGTTTAACGAGATAACAGTTTTTCACACACATGCACACAACTAAGATGTCATGGGAGTTCGAACCTAAGGCTTTTAGTCTTCAAATCAAGGTTTTTTTTCAGTAGACTATATCCGTTGGCTTGACTGCATCATCTTTGATGCTTCAATCTACAATCCAAATTGTATAACGATAGTTGAGATAGTTGGGTTGTGTTATAAAAATTGGACTTGGCACATCTTCTTCTTCTCTGTTTTACTTTTAAGTAATGCAAGAAAATATACGTGTGTGTTTCTTGTGACTTTGGGTATTTTGATGGGCGATGTCTATTAATTTATGATCCCTTCAATTATGAACGGTAGAGAACACACACACATCACACATGCACCTACCTTATCAAAAATAATAATTTCCTTGTTGGGTTTACCCATATTTTATTTTATTTTTTTGTAGCTAGTAATATGACATATATGATATGGTGGACACTAAGACATGGAAAATCGTTTTCCAGGCATAATTGAAAATGGGCATCTTTATTCTCCAAAAAAAAAGGCATCTTTGTCATGCGAGAAATTTAAGGGACTCCTTGTCATTTTGCTGAGGTGTTATTGGCATCCAGTACTCAAACCATTTATCATTGACAAGTGTGTACACTACATCTCTCTTGCACACAGACTTACTTTTCTCTTCAATTTGTATAATCATTCCCATTCAGACCATATCAAATTGAAAGGGAAATACACAATCACGATTAAATTGGGGAAAATATTGTTGTTTTGCGGTTATGTATACTAAACCATGTAATATTTTTCATATAGAAAGCTCATGTGTTTTTTTTTGGTGTTAATGACGACTCCAGACTAGATGCATATTTTTTTTTTATACCAGGAATGAACTTTAGTTTAAGTTGTATGATGTTATTATTGTATGAGCCCCTAGGACCTCTTTTTCTTTTTCCGTCACAAATGCAATGCATTCGTGCCTCTCTCTTTTTTAACTGAATTGAAATGAAAATTTATCTTTTTCCTTTAAAGAAAACCGATAACATACTAAATTCATATACACTACACTAGTAGATCATTTGCATCTTCCTCCTCTGAATTCTGAACATTTTGATCAACCAAAAAGGAAAGAAGAAGAAAAAAGTAATATTTTTAAAAAAATTATATATCATCTGGGTCCGGAAAGCAATGTCTAATTGTAAAAATCCAATGTAGCACACTCCCATGCGAAGTAAGATTTTGTAAATGGTCCATGAACTGTCGGAAACTGGAGCATGAGGCCCCAGGGTCCCACTAAGATAGTATGATTCCCCGTAATCTAATATCTCCGAACAAAGTAGACTAGAGCAAACAAAATAAAAAACAAAAACAAAACCTCACCCCCTTTATATATGTAATGTAATGTAACTGCTTACTGCTGCAATGCAATGCAACAACATCCTTTGTGGTCCGTGTCTGTGAAAACCCCATATCTTTAGCTGCTGCTGCTGCTGCCTGTAATACATGATCCCATTATAAATTTTATAACTTTGTTTTCCAGTGGCTTTTAAAAATTTGTATCATTTTTAAAACATATCTCAAGGATGGGCCTAGAGAGCCTACAAGAGTGGGTTAGAAGCAAAGCCATTCATGAGATGCCAGGTGTCGGAATCTCAAGCATCCAGCTTGGCAGTTGAGTCCCTTACAAGAGAAGAGATGGCATCATATATTGGTTGCTGCTGCAATTATTATTGGAATGCAATGCAGTGCAGTGCAGGAGGAGAAATTATAATAATGAAGGGAGAGGAAAGGAAGGGAGAGGAAAGGAAGGGAGAGGGGAATCCATGGATGGATGGATGGATGGATGGATGGACCATGGTGTGGTCCATATGCTATGACTCCATGGAATGTGGGAAATGGGCTTTTGATGTGTCTGATGATGATCTGATCTGAGTGATGAGTAGATGAGATGAGATGAGGTGGTGAAAATATGAAATTGGCAGTTAAAGTTGCTTTCATATCTGCGTAGTCAAAACTAGCTACAGTGTCAAAAGGGGTAAGAGAAAAAGTGGGAAAGAAAGGACAGTTTGGAGAGAGAGAGAGAGAGAGAGAGAGAGAGAGGAGACTCAAACAATGACTCACAGGAGGAGGGAGTAAAAAAAAACCAAACCCAGTCTACCTAGAGTTAAATTTTGACGATGGGGTACATTTGGATTTTAATATTTGTATGGTTTTGTCTTCTCATTCTTTGCCAAAAACAGTGAAAACTCATGAAAGTCTAGGACTTTTCAGGTCGCCTTCTTCAATCAAAGAGGACCCCTTTTTCTTTTTGCCTTATTTTTTTTCCCTGTTCATGGATCCCAAGGGCTCAAAGCAGACACAAGAGATACCCAGCTTCTTGAGCCTCCCACAGCCTCAACAACAGCAGCAACAACAACAGCAGCAGCAGCAGCAGCAGCAGCCCAACATGAGTGAGAACAAACCTGCTGAAATCAAAGATTTCCAGATTGTGATTGCAGACAAAGAAGAGGGGAAGAAGCAGTTGGCGCCCAAGAGAAGCTCAAACAAAGACAGACACACGAAGGTTGAAGGCAGGGGAAGGAGGATACGGATGCCTGCTCTGTGTGCAGCAAGAATTTTTCAATTGACCAGAGAATTGGGCCACAAATCTGATGGGGAAACCATACAGTGGCTTTTGCAGCAGGCTGAACCGTCGATAATTGCAGCCACCGGGACCGGTACGATACCAGCATCGGCTTTAACAGCGGCAGGAGGCTCTGTTTCACAGCAGGGGACTTCTCTATCAGCTGGATTGCACCAAAAGATTGATGAATTGGGGGGGTCCAGTATTGGGTCAGGGAGTAGGACCAGTTGGGCAATGGTAGGTGGGAATTTGGGGAGACCCCATGTGGCCACTGGGCTATGGCCCCCTGTCAGTAGCTTTGGTTTCCAGTCATCATCTGGTCCATCAACAACAAATCTGGGCAGTGAGAGTTCAAATTACATGCAAAAGATTGGCTTTCCTGGCTTTGACTTGCCTGTCTCCAACATGGGTCCTATGAGTTTCACCTCAATTTTGGGTGGTGGGAGTAACCAACAGCTTCCTGGCTTGGAGCTTGGGTTGTCTCAGGATGGTCATATTGGGGTTTTGAACTCACAAGCCTTGAGCCAGATTTACCAGCAGATGGGGCATGCTAGAGTACACCAGCACCAGCACCAGCACCAGCAACCTCCTGCTAAGGATGACTCTCAAGGTTCAGGACAGTAGAACATTTGGTCACATTAGATTCTATGAAATTTGGGAGGGACATGCAAGCAGTAGCATTTTGTTGGGAGACTGAGTTTGTTTTTGGTAATGGTATTTGTATTGTATAATTGGAAAAGAAAAAAAAAGTGAGGAAAGAGATACTTGAGAGAGTTCAATAGGGACTGGATTTGTTTTGCCCCTTCTTTTTCTCCACTGCATGACTCAAGTCTCCATATACAGGTGCTTCTGCTTCTGCTTAATTTTTCACTGCTCTTTCTGTTAGCCAAAGGGGAATTGATTGTTAAGAGTGTTGCTCGTGCAGGTGGGATTTTGCACGGTCAAATTGTTTGGGTTTGGACTTAGCTGCTGCTTTAATTCAGAGGTGTGTTGATTATAGTGTAAGGCATCTTTAATTATTTTGTTCTTCACTGGGTGTGGATGAAGTGGTGCTCAGTTTGTTTGTGAAAATTTAAACGTAGAGTTCTATAGTCATACTTATCCAATTTCTTCATAGATCTACTAAAGGATTCTTAGTTATCTAAGATCTTCGTGATGTTCTGGGGCAATTACCTATCCAATTATCTATCTTACTACAACTACATGCAAATTAATTGCTCTCTCATATCACTTCCAAAGAACACCTCTCTGGACCAATCTCATTTTGTCTTTTATAAGTAATTTGATTTTTTTTTTCTCCATGAATTCTTTGTTATGACAACAGGGACTCTTTTCTCTGACTAACAATCCCCCTCCACAAACTCCGGTATGTTCAGGTCATTAGGAATGAATTTTATATGTTTTACATCCTTTATACACATGATATTTTCTACAACACAATTCATGTGAGCTATGTTTAAAAATAAGTGTTTCTTGTAGGCAGGTGAATGAGTATTCCTTTAAGAATGGCAGTCTGAGAACAGCGAATTGTGAATATCTCCTTCATTGAACTGACTTTATCTTCTTCGCTACTTTTTCTAAAAGAACCTTTAATTCTCATTCAAGGACCTTCCTTGGTCTCTGTCCTTTAAGGGCTGATAGCCTTGTGTCCTGCACCGTTGCCAACTCGAGTGTCCAAGTGCATTTCAATCCCTGGAGATGAATATTACATCCTAATGTATTTTGGGCCAGAACTTCAAATAGGAACTCCTCTTTTTTCAAGTCACTATGTAGCTGTGGCAATCTATCTGGTTTACCCACCTTAAATCTATCACTGATTTTGGCTAACATTATCGCTAGTGCAATTAGAAAACTTATCGAGAATATGCTAATTGACTTACATAACCAGAAATTACTAGAGCCTCACTATAACGAAAAACTTCCCGTATTTTCTTTCTTTAGAGTTTCTGAGTTGCATTATCTGTCATTTTATACTGACCACTGTGTCCTGTATCCCAATTGTTGTTTCATCTGTACATAGCTTAAGAGCCATCAGCCATGCTTGAAGTTTACATAGAGCCATAAGCCATTGATGAAGAAATAGAAGTCATAGGATTAGCACTTAATGCACATACCATTGCCTGATTTGTGAGACTTTGTAATCATCAGGTAGATCAAGTTTTGCCCTTGTCACACAGTAGAATGGATTGTCTTTGGTGTTTTATAAAGAGTATCAGGGGAAATGTTCTTGTTTTAGTGTCAGCACTTATGAAGGAAACAGTTAGAACTCCGTTCGGTTTTCCTGATAACATAAACTTTTCAGTCAAATATGTTCAATTATCTTGATTGCCATTACTATCTGGAGAACCGTTTAACTAGGGACTCATCAAACTTGTCTCGCCTTGTTGTGGAGTCATCAGATTGATCTTTGTCTATAAATGCAAATATCTATCAATTCCAACCCTTCTCTGGTTTGAATAGTTTTTCTGTGAGGTTCACATATGATCATTGTGGACAGATGATAAAGACGTTGCTTGGCTACAAATTGTTATTAATGATACCTCCTCCAACTTAAGAAGTTGCGAAGAACTTTAATGTAAAATTCAGAAAGTTTCTAGGTGTAAATCATGTACTTCGTATAAACCAAGATAACTACCCCGCAAAATTGTCACAAAAAGAATGTTGGCGAAGTTTGCATGTTAGTAGTTGAGAGGTTTATCTATGTTTGGAAAATGACATTTAAGGCTGTAGTATGCTTTGCATCATTGCCCTCTCATTCATTCTTGTAGTTGACATTTAAGGTTGTCATGGTCTGTTCTTTTTTATGGAATCTCTTTCGGCCTCTGCCTTATCTCCTTTATTTGTTATTCGTTGCTATTATTGTGGCAGCCTATAAGGTCAGAATGTCTAAATTTTATAAAATTGACGTGTACACCAGGGTCTACTAGAATCAACAGTAATGCAATATCATCACACTGGACACCACCTAGTTTGCCTGTCAAAACCTATGGTTGATCATGTTCAGCTTAGCCAATTGAAACACCAGGAACAAGAAAACCACTTTTCCATATGCCCTGAGAAAAATGCCACTATGGTGCAACTTGCATATCACTCTCACCCCCTCCTCTTCTCTTCTGATTGTTGTTAATTAGATCTTGTTCAAGCAGCTTTCACAAACAAACTTTGACAACAATGAAGGACTTTGGTCGGTGCAAAAGAAACTTTTGCGTGTTTATGGAATGTCGGACAATTTTTGTGGTGTTAGGAGGAGTAAAATGTGTTCTTGTATTACAAACATGCTGCAGGTCTCTCTCTCTCTCTCTCATCAGCAAATTAACTGGGTGTGAAATGAACAAAATGCATTATGCATATCATACTTGCGCCTTTTCTGGGCCCTGGATTGGAATCGAATCGTATTGTATCGTATCTTTACGTATAAAATAAAGATGTCCCTCAAGGTGAAGGACAAGGTAAGTAGCCAAGGCATGGTGCTCTGTTTTATGGGCTTTAGTTTTAGCTGAACTGTCGGTTGCCATCTTATTAAAGAGTGAGCGAGCTCGTAGCTGCTTGCTATTACCATGAAGTTTCGCAATTCGTCCTTCTTGACCCACCATTGACCAGGCAATGCAACACGTTATTGCCCATTACATTAACAATTTACAACTCAACTACCGCTACATTTGCTCGCTCTCTCTCTCTCCAATTTCATTTATTACCGTACATTAGAAAGAGAAAGCAGAACGTAATTATTAATTAAACAAAGGGACGAGGAAGCTTTTGTCTTTTGGTTTGAAAATTGATGATAGACAGACAGACAGAGGGACCACTCTCTCAATAGTAAATGTGGCTAGCAAGCAAGCACTAGTTGAGTTGAAGTCTCGTGTATTAGTTGACTCTCAACTCTAAAGTTGTCCTTGATGATCACATTGGCTGGCCACAACAAGGTTTTAGTTTTAGTTGTGCAGAAGACGCCTGGTTATAAATCCATAAGTAAATAAATTCATAAATAAATTATAAGTAGTTGGGAAGGGGAGGGTTTGAGGATGATGGATCAAGTAAATCATAAACCGGGCTCTTTTTCTTGTTACCTCACCTCACGTCATGAGCTTATAAAGACATACAGTCTACAGACACGCGAAAAAAGTCAAGTAAAGCTCATGATGATGACAATATGTGGTGTGCTGTGGTGGTGGCCCGGCCTGGCCTGGCCTCAACATTTTCTCTTCTTTCTGATTATTTTTATGGTTTTGGTTTTGGATGAGACTAGAAGTGTTATAAAAGGGTCCATGGAAGGCTGACCAAATAAACCAGAACCCACAAGTTATTACTTACTAGGAAGGAGGAAGCCCAAGTCATGTATCTGTCTGTATGTACCTAAAAAGTTGCACATCAAGCCCATAAACACATGAAGTTTGAGCCCATATGTAATCATTTTCCTTTACTCTTATTTAGCAACAACCTAACCAGCAAAGACTTGGAGGATAACACTTTTTGCTATTTCCGGCCAATAACGCAATAACATGTTGGATAACTTTTCCACATATCATTGTGTTATTGGCTGAGGATAATAAAACAGTGTTATTCCCGTTTCATGTAAGTTTTTTTTAGTGAGGGGGAGGGGAGGAGGTTGATTGCTTGCAATTAATGTTCCCTACTCCGCAGGGACTCTACCCTTCTTATATTGGTTGACTTACACTTAACTTAATCTAGCAGACTATTGGTCCCGACGTGAAATATAAATATATATTATATTTGATAAATTGGATTGGACTGGATTATTAGTTCTGACCGTTGTTTGATATGCTGATATTGAAATTATTAAATAGTACAAGAAGAATCCGACAAACGATGAGTGGAACTTATAAGAATTGGCTTAGAAAAAACTTCAAGCTTCATCCAATCACTACATGAGCATGATGGGCTCTTATAATGAGTGTTCCAATTGCGTGAGGCGAAGAGTGCTGACGCTCTTTACAACATTCTGCTGACGTTGTAAATTATACTAGTCTACGCACACCATCTGAATTCTGAACCATTCCATACATAGGAATAGGAGTATAGACGTAGAATTGAGACCTTGTGGGACCCTTGTCTTGTTTTTATGGTTCTTTTAAGCCCACCACAAGACAAGACTTGGTGTGTAATTATGTATGTATATGCCCTCATGGGCCCCATTCCATTTCCTTCTCAAGTACCCCAAGGGCCAAGCCGAGCTAAGCTAGCCTCTTTTATTCGCTTCGCGTTTGGCTTTTTACGCATTAGCAGATATTTCATTGAGGCTGCATAAATAACAGCTGTCTAGCTGGCAGGATGATGATGCTCCTCCCTCCGTGTTGATTATGCCATGTGGCAGAGAGTAAGTAACGTTCATTCAGGTTGTGATGCGAAGTGGATAATGTTAAAGTAAAGATATATATATATGCACATGTGACATATGTTTCACATTCTTCCTCCATGAATGATGTATGATGTATGCTGTACATTGTCCATTGTCCATAGGACCATACCATAAATATCTAAAGTAACAGAATTTAAACTCCTGAATCCTTATCTCATCGATTCTCTTATTAAAGTTAGAAAGAGAATCCAAATTACCCGGAAATGGAATTCTCATGCATCCACTTGGATTCTATAATTCATATGCTCTCTCTAATTAATTAATTAAAAGTAAGTATATATGCCTTTGTCGACCTTTATATTCTTTCCTTAGCTCAGCAGCGGCAGCAGCAGCAGCCAATCTGCTACATACCAGCTTCCTATACTATACTTAATACATGTAGAGGAAAAATGAGTGTACGTATATATATATATTATCAAGCGAAGACTGTAGCTAGACTGTACGTATGCTTGTTTTTTAGTCCAAAACGGTATCCGTGCTCTGTAGCGTGGCATACTCCACGTCTGTGGCTTCTTTATCACACACACTCTCTCTCTCTTCCATGCAGACTGCAGTAGTGAGATAGATAAGGTGCTTGCTTGTTCATTAGTATTATATTCAGTGGCGGGGGCGAAGGCGATGGTTCAAATTTGGACGGGTTCGTAGTACCAGAAGCCATGAATTAATTACGAAATTTATCCCTTAATTAAGGCCCTAATAAGTCAGCTTCTTCCTTTATAAGTTTATTTGTCGGTTCAAACCCTACATCCACCCTAATTATTAGCATGCTACATTTCAAGTTTCACGGCAACACCTTTTTCAAGTAACTACTTCTTTTCTTTTTCTTTGGGGTGGGGTGGGTTGGGTTTGACAGGATCACAAATCCCTAATATACTCCTATCCTAACCTAATTGCTAACTAACTATTCTAATATTTTCAATCCTGCACTAATCTCTCATTTATTCTCTTTTATACATAGAAATAAATTTCTGATTTTTTTAAAGAAAATTTACTCTACATTACAGGCTTTGGCTCATCGCTTGTGATTATTTGTTTTTTTTAACTAATCAAAAAACAGAAAATTGGAGTAGAGATTATTTATAATTCAACTTCAACAACTAAAAAGGTTAGGCATCTGATTTTCGTGGGCAGAAAACCAGTGGCTCACGCTGGAATTGCCGCCACAATTACCGGCAAATCTGCCACCAAAATGTAGTCAACACGTGCCTAGCCACCTCACGCACCCCCAGAAAGTCACGTGGCATTGGAAACCCCGCTAATCGTACGGACGCTCCTCCGCATCTCATTAGTTCAAAAAGCCCAGACCCCGCGAGCCCCTTGAGAGCCCACAAGCCGATTGACCGCGGCCTGCAATAACCGTCCTCCTACCCAATCACAACAAAACACGTCACGAAATACAGCTTACGAAGGTTTTTTTTCTTGTTAAACGACTTTTCAGACCCCGCGGTCCCTTTAATTTCTTTTACTTACTGCCGTTCCTTTCACTCTTCCTTCTCAAGTTTTTAACACACACAGACACTCTCTCTCTCTCTCTCTCTCTCTCCTCTCTCTCTCTCTCTGTGTGGTATTTCCTTGAATGTTGGAGGAGGCATCATTTTATAGAATCTTTCTTAAAATTATGTACTGTGAAGTATAAGATTGTCGGTTATTCTTAAAAACCCTTCTGTCTTGAGGTATTGGGTTGCTTGGATATTTCCGATTGATTTGGAAAACAAAAATAATGGAGGATGAGTATTCTAAGTTCGTCAGGAGGATGAACCCGCCCAGGTATTTTTCCAACCTTCTGGGATTTTTATTTCTCTGGTAAAGTTTTGTGCCTTTGGGTTCCTGGGTTTTGTTTTGTCTTCATTTTTTGAGATGTCGGTTGGGAGTTTGTTGTATCATTGTATTGTACTGTGGTCTGTGATTTGTTCTGTTTTGGCTTCATTTTCTAAGCTTCTTGAATTATAATTTTGAACCGGAATAGTTTCCTCTCGAGTCTGGTTTTCCTCCCTTGTTATGTTTTCGGAAGTTTTAGTTTTACACCGTTTGGTTGATGAGAAAGCAGAGGAAAAGAAAGGAACATGAGTCTGAAGTTTTAGTTTTACACCGTTTAGATGTCCTTTTCCTTTTCATCTGGTTAAATTTTCATGATACTTATAGTAAATAAGTTGTACCCACAAACTTCTTGAGCTCTCCTGAGTTTTATTTTACTTTTTCCCTTTTCTTTATTTTCCAAATATGCTAACCAGGCCAAGGGTTCCATTTTGGATTATGTATGGCATATAAGAGTTTATTTGGAACCTCCCTCTTCAGGAAACTTCTTGGTTTGGGCCATTTGATTGTCCTCTTCTTTCAAGTGTGTATGAGAAGCAAGAGGCTTAATCTGATTTGCCTCTTGTTCTTGCAGAGTTGTGATTGACAACGATACTTGCGAGGATGCCACTGTTATCCAGGTGAGGCTTTGCACCTTCTGATTTTTGTTTCTCTGTTTACTTATCATATGTATTTGTTGAAATCAGTTATGTAATACGAGAGTATATCTCGATTTTTAAAATTCGGTAGAAGAAGCATCGGATATCTTTTTCTTTTGCCGTCAGTTTAATATTTTCAAGTTTTATTTAGGTTGACAGTGTCAACAAACATGGAATCCTCCTAGATGTTGTCCAAGTGCTCGCAGAAGTAAACCTTATAATAACAAAAGCTTACATCTCATCTGATGGGGTGTGGTTCATGGATGGTAAGGGGTTTTTTTTTCAACTTCCCAAGTCAAGAGTTAAAGAAGAAAAATATGAGCTTCCCTATTTCTCTCTTTGTCCCCTCCCTTTTATCCTTTTATCTTCTTCTTTGCTAAGAATTTTCTAAATTTTCTGTTTTCAGTGTTTAACGTGATTGATCAGAATGGGGAAAAAATCAGAGACCAGGATATTATCAATTATATTCAAATGGTATGTACTTGACCCCATTGCTCTTCCTCTGGCTGGTAAGAAGTCAGAGGAAATTATCAGAAATGAAATCTTGTCTTTTGTATTCTTTTCCTGAAGATGAAAATCATAATTCAATTTAACCAAACAGTTATGCTATGCTCAGTTTAGGGGCTTGTTTGTCTCTTAGTTCTTAAACAATTTGAAGTAAGATGAATAGGATTTCCTTTGACAGCACCCAAATTCCTTAGGTTTGGTATAGATCGGATAGCCTGTCACACCATTCATATTTGGCATCCTATTTTCGCTCATGTTCACCTTTCTGTGTCACCTATAAACTTGGTCTTTGCGTGGACCACAATATATTGACTTATGGGAAAAGGTTGAAATTTTTCATTTGACTTTTTAATTTTGCAGAGACTTGAAAGCAATGCCAGCTTTGTACCCTCTATGAGAGATTCTGTTGGTGTGATGCCCTCAGAAGAGCACACCTCAATTGAGCTCAGTGGTACCGACAGACCTGGTTTATTCTCTGAAGTGTGTGCAGTTCTTGCAGACCTTCACTGTAATGTGGTAAATGCTGAGATATGGACACACAATGCTAGAGCTGCTGCTGTAGTTCATGTCACAGATGATTCCACTGGTTGTGCAATTAAAGATCCAAACCGTCTCGCTACAATTAAGGAGTTACTTTGCAATGTTCTCAGAGGAAACAGTGAGTTGAAGGCCGCTAAAATGACACTTGCAACCCCTGGAGTTACAAACAGAGATAGAAGGTTGCATCAGCTTATGTTTGCCGACAGGGATTATGAAAAGGTTGAAAGAGCAGAACTACAGAGAATTGAGGATAAGGGCTCAAGACCCCATGTAACTGCATTGGATTGCAGTCAGAAGGATTACACTGTTGTTACCATGAGATCAAAAGATCGACCAAAATTGTTATTTGACATCATCTGCACTTTAACGGACATGCAGTACGTGGTTTTTCACGGAATGGTCAATACAGGGAGGATGGAAGCTTATCAGGTAAAGATAAATTCTTTCTGAAGTTGCTCTGAGTTTGAGGGAATAATCATTGGTCAGTACTTATATTTCCTAATGAAATGGTTCTGATTTGCCAAGCCAGCAAAGCGCAGCTGGATTTGACAAACTGATGACCACTTTAAACCTTATGCTGACCTCACTCTTATCGGGTGAAATGCTCTAATCAATTGGAAGAATTTTCTTCCAATTTCTTGCACCTGGGGTTGGGGATATGTTTGTTCAAAACTATCTTCTCGTTTACATCTAACACGAGCCGTGTATTTCTTTTTTGTAGGAATTTTATATTCGACATGTTGACGGGCTTCCTATAAGCTCAGAAGCTGAGCGAGAACGTGTTGTACAGTGTCTTGAAGCAGCCATTGAAAGGCGGGCATCTGAGGTGCAGTGAACTTTTAACTGATGAGAACTCTTGTATTCAATTATAATGATACTAATACATCTTGCTTTGCCATGCAGGGGCTGGAACTACAGCTGTGCACAGACGACCGGGTTGGACTTCTCTCGGATATCACCCGGATATTCAGGGAGAACAGCTTGTGTGTCAAACGAGCAGAAATTTCAACTAAAGGTGGAAAAGCTATAGACACTTTCTATGTCACAGACGTGACAGGAAACACAGTTGACCCGAAGATTATTGATTCAGTTCGCAGGCAGATTGGGCAGACCATACTGCAGGTGAAACTTAACTCAAGCCCCCCACCAAAGGCCCCTCAAGGGACAACAATGGGATATCTCTTTGGGAACTTATTTAAAGCTCGAAGTTTCCAGAATTTTAAATTGATTAGATCCTACTCATAGTTTCTCTTTATCTTCTTGGAAGTAAAATCTGTAAAAAGAGGTAGCAGCAGATGTTTCAAGACAGAAGTACACATAAACTGAAAAAACGTTGTAAATAGGCACCTGGAAACCAAAAAACACGTTGTAAATAGGCAATGCTCCGAGGGTTTCACGTTATATGCCATATAATACTCAATACTGTAAAGCTACTGGTTGGGTTTGTATATCCTACCTCCTGTAAACAAATAATGTATAGTGTGATGTGCAGAGGTTGTACAAAGATAGAAAAAAAGGTTGTACAGATATTTTAGCTCAATGAAAAATGATGTACATATTTAGATTGTTTGCAGTTTTAATGGGTTTTCTCTCATTTTCTGCCTAAATTTATGATTTCTGCAGCATTGTTGAGTTAATCTAAGCCGGAGCTGTTTCATTTCAACATTTCTGTCCTTTTTTTTTCAACACTACTTTGGCAATTCTTTCTGTTTTTTTTCCCCCTCTCTTTTCTGCTTGAAATTTTCTGTGCAGTGTTCATTATATCATACGCATGTACAATCTTTTTTCCAAGTGAATTCTCAACTTAAACAATGCATCTTTTTCCAAGTGAATTCAAAAAGGGACAAAAACAATACAATGCATCTTAATGACGCAAGACCCAGGTCACAAAATTGAGAGCCAATCCTAACAAAGAAGGAAAATGATCCAGACGGTGCGTTTCGAGCCATTCTTCTTGTATTGCTGTATCCGACACCAACTCTCTACCGTCAATGAAAACTTCATCGGCAACGGAGTTGGCAAGTCGAATAAGCCGAGTTCTAATCTCCGCTTCGAACCACACAAGGCCGACCCGCTCATGGAACCCTTCACTCGAGAACATTCTTCACCAGCTCGGTTGCCGCGACTCACTGAGTCCGTCACTCGTGGCCCGAGTTATCGACCCCTTCCTCCTCACCCACCATTCACTCGCTCTCGGCTTCTTCAACTGGGCTTCCCAGCAACCATCCTTCTCTCACACCTCCATCACCTATAAATCCGTCCTCAAGTCTCTCTCTTTCTCCCGCCAATTCAACGCCATTGATGCTCTCCTCAAGCAAGTCAAAGCCCAGAAAATTAGCCTCGATGCTTCTGTTTATCGCTCCGTAATTGCTTCACTTATCATAGGAAGGAAAACCCACAACGCGTTTCTGGTCTTTAGCGAGGTTTCCTCGCTAATTAAAGATATTGGGCACGAGATTTGTAACTCACTTCTGGCTGCTCTAGCTTGTGATGGATATTTTGAGCATGCCCAGAAGGTATTTGATGAAATGACTCTTAAGGCTATCCCTTTAAGCACTCTGGGGTTTGGTGTGTTTATATGGAGGCTCTGTGGACATGCTGAATTGGGTAAAACTTTGAGCATGTTAGATGAGGTTAGGAGAGGTGGTTCAGAAATTAACGGGTCAGTGACCGCGCTTTTGATCATTCACGGGTTTTGTCAGGCTTCGAGAGTGTCAGAGGCTTTCTGGGTATTGGATGAGCTGAGGAGTAGACAATGCAAACCCGATTTCATGGCATATAGGATTGTCGCCGAAGCATTTCGATCGACTGGGAGTGTAGTTGATGTAGAAAAGGTTTTGAAGAAGAAGAGAAAGTTAGGTGTAGCTCCAAGGACTAACGATTATAGACAGTTTATATTTGATTTGATTTCAGAGAGGCGGATATGTGAAGCAAAAGAATTGGGTGAAGTAATTATTAGCGGGAATTTTCCGATTGACGATGATGTTCTCAACGTGTTAATAGGATCAGTGTCGGCGATTGATCCTACCTCTGCAGTAGTGTTCTTCAGATTTATGATTGAAAAGCAGAGATGCCCAACTCTTTTGACTTTGTGCAATTTGAGCAGAAATCTATGTAAGCATAGCAATACCGATGAGTTGTTGGTAGTTTTTCAAGTTTTGTCTTCTGGCGACTATTTCAAAGATTTGGAGACTTACAATGTCATGGTGTCATTCTTGTGCAAAGCAGGGATGGTGAAAGAAGCATATGGGGTTCTTCAGGAGATGAAGAAAAAAGGGTTAGGCCCAGACGTTTCGACTTATAATTCTCTTATTGAAACATGTTGTAGAGAAGATTTATTGAGGCCTGCTAAAAGGTTATGGGATGAGATGTTTGCAAGTGGGTGCAGAGGAAACTTGAAGACTTACAATATCCTAATTCGGAAGTTTTCGGAAGTGGGTCAGGTTGATGAGGCGCAAAGGCTCTTTTACCACATGTTGGGTAAAGGGGTTGCACCTGACGTGATGACATACACATCTCTACTTGAAGGGCTTTGCCAAGAAACGAAGCTTCAAGCTGCTTTCGACGTTTTCCACAAGTCTGTTGAACAGGATTTTATGCTTGCACAAAATGTGCTGGGTACATTTACTCGCTCTTTGTGCAAAGCAGGTATGTTTCTGTACACATGATGATATATGTAATGGATGTTTAAGTTTTCACATAATTTACCTCTATGCTACCCCAATAAATTGTCCAGTAGAATGTGCTAAGTTGGTAGTTTCAAGTGTTTTGGCCTGTTGCTTATATTTGTTTGTGCTCTATGCAGGTTTTTTTCTTGATGCTTCTAAGTTACTATGCGGCCTCAGTAATGATGTAGCACAGTCAGATTCCCATGTAATTTTGCTGAAGTATTTAGCCGATGCTAAAGAGATTCCAGTTGCTATTGAACACGTTAAATGGGTTCGACAAACCTCACCCTTGATGTTGCAAATTGTATCAGCTGAACTTTTAGCATCCCTGTCTTCTTCTTCAAGACTAGAGCCAACTCGACAGTTGGTTCAAACAATTCAGGAAATATCAGGTCTCAAGTAATAATTCTTGGAAAGATTTTCAGGTCATGTTAGGTTAGTTCAAAGTATAGAAGTTGGCGTCTGGATATTTTAATTTCAACGATCAATTGCAGGTTCACTATCATTTGTTTGCTCTGCAATTCAATCTAATACCACATGCTGTTTGTTAGGGGTTTTCTTTTCTTAATTCATGTGTTTATGTCTAGAGAGATAGAGAGAGAGAGAGCCTACTTTAAAATATAATTGTGCGTAATGCATATCTCATCTTTTTTGAATTTGCCAATCCTCAACATCATCGATTGTCATGCTTTTCTCCCTAAATTTTTCTCTATGATTCTCATTGTCGTCATTCACCACTTTGGTGTGTTGTTGCACCACCAGAATTCTGCTTTTGCCCATGAAATCTGCGGTGGCTAACACCTCCCCGATTGCTCCCAACTCACTCTGCTCATTCTCATCCATAAACCCTGACAGGACCAGTGACCTTTTATCTTGATTTCTTCCTGCTATTACTAGTTCATAGTTATTTTCCATGGAACGGATCACTGCCATTGTCCCTGAACCATCCATCACCAGCTCTTCTATGTACATGACCCGATAGTTGTCTGCCATGCCTTCCCTGAACTCGCTCAACACCTCACAGTCAAGCCTGCTGTCCTCCACATCCTCACTAGTATTTGTTATGCTTCCATCTACAAGAAGCCGAACTAAGGTCAAGTTGATGTTTGGATGGGCAGCCATTCGTGCCCCGAACGCCAGTGCCTCTCGGTCATCAGCTCCGCCCAAGAAGAGAATAGCAACATTATAGCAAGACTCGTTCTGGCATGTCAACGTCATTGCCCCTGAACGGCTGTTGAAACTGCTGTCGAAGAGCCCACCATGGTGAACAAGGATTGCGACAGAGCAAGGTGCTTTCTCAAGTACATTTTTGTTGATCATCCTCTGTTTTCTGGCATGGAATCTCTTGTAGAAAGGAACTATAATGAGGGAAGTCTTTTTATCAAGTGCAATTGTGCACACATCATCGTGCATTGTGGCACAAGGAGATATAGCGGTAAAGGGGTGAACTGTGACAAGACTCTCGTTCCTTTGCTCGTACTTTCTAAAGGCATTGACAACTGGTTCCGAGGGACTGGCCTTTGAGGAGGGCCTTCTTGTGAGCTTGTGGGGGATGAGCAGAGGGTTTGCACGGCCGACAAGCTCGATGAGATGGAGGAGATAGATGGCAAGAGGGCTTCTTTCGGTGGGGTATAAAGCCTGAAGGAGGTTGATTGTGGGTTCAACATCTTCTTGGTCATGTATGCCAACGAGTACCGGGAGCTGGGAGTTTGGTCGGGCATGCATCACTGTTCTTCTCTTGTAAACCATGTACCTCTTTGAAGGATCGTAGAGGCGTTTTATAATGGGCGTGATACCCCCTGTTATAAGTATCATGGATGTACACATGACAACAAATGCTTCATTATCTATCGCCTGTAAAAAAGCACAAAGGTTTAAGAAATTAGATGGGGTTTTTTTTCACTTTCTTACGGTTCCGTTCATAATCCGATTATAGGATATTGGAATTGGATTGGCTGCATAGGGCATACCATAGTACTCTTGAGCATTTTAAACAAGCCAAGCTCGAGAAAGCCTTGGGCATTCAGGACAAGGCCAAGCGAGATAGCATCCGTGATTGGCATTTTGGTGCACAAGAGTGAAGTCAGAAAAGCTCCCATAAACTTGCCAAATGCACCAACGAGGGCAGTGGATTGCAAGATGGTATAGTTCTTGAGTCGAAGGGCGCAGAGATCCATAACCAAACCATTTTTGGCGTAGAAGATGGGCATAAAGACCCAGGAGATGATGAGGTCGAGCTTCTCCACGAGAGCAGACCCGACTGGTGGCCCTGCTGGTATCGTCAACCCAAGAATGAAAGGTCCATAGTATGTGTGTAAACCTGTGGCATGACTGAAAAGGCCAGTCACCATGACCCCAAGAAGTAGATGAACCACGTGACTTTCCTTCATTGGCTGTCCCACTGGGCTCGACCTCCGCATCATCCATTTGAGTACGGGCCAAATGACCAAAACGATGACAAGCGCAACCACAGCACCGGTGGCCACTACTGATAGCACGTTGTATGTATCATTTCCGGACGATATCTTGGCCACAATAGAGATTGTCATCACACAGAAGCTGCACAAGCCGCTCACAATGGAAGAAGACATTGCCACCCTCCCAAAGTCAGAGTTGATGATCTTCAGCTCGTGCAGAAAGAAAGCGATGGTTGGGAAGGTCAGCATAGACTCTGCTAGAGCCACAGCCGGAAGTGAATTGGCGAGGTTCGTCTCCAAATTGACGTGGGTTTTCAAGAGAGCAGACCATCCTTGAGTCAATAGACAAGGGATGGCCACTGTCACAAACCCAATGGCAAATGTCTTTCTGTCGACCTTCTTGACGATGGAGGGATCGGTTTGCACTCCGATGAGGAAGAAGTAGAACATGAATCCAAAAGAGGAAATAACATCCAGCAGTATGAAACTTCTGAGAGGAAAAAAACTATCGATAAATGCATCAATCCGGCCTAGAATCGAAGGACCTAGTATTATACCCCCCTGTTAGGTAAATCATAACCAATCAACAAAATTTTATATTTTTTTTGTTTTTTATTTTGCTATTTTAAAATACAATAAAGTTTTGCATTATGCTGCATGCATGCAATGTAAACCTAAACCTCTGTTTTTCTTTGTTTGTGTTGCAATGAGAGATTGAATTTGGAAATGGAAAGAACTTGATGATGGTGTATAATGAATGATATAGAATAATATGGAGGTACTTACTAAGACTTGCGCGACGATGATAGGTTGGCCGAGAGGCTTGAGAAGGAGAGAGGTGAGGAGGATAACACCAGTGGCGAGAGAGAATTGCATGAGAAGAAGAGGGGCTGAATAAAGCAGGGGATTATTATGATAGAAAAAGCCCATTGAATGTATCATGGTCACCGACGTACAAATGGTTGTGAAATTCTTGAGCGGAATTGAATGGGCGGCGGCGTAGGTTGCTATGTCCTCCGGTTCCATAGCAACGGAACCCATGGCTGTAGCTAGGCAGGCCTCTCTGGCCTTACACAGGCTAAGCCTGGTAGGACGTACGTTCCAAACGATAACCCTCAACCCAATCTCAGAGGAAGAAAAAAAAAAAAAACAAAAAAAAAAACAAAACACTGATACAAAGAAAACCAGAGAGAAATAGAAGAAAGAGAAGAGAAACTCAAGTGCAACGTGGTGGGTCTAAATTTGACGTTGACTATGATATGACTGGCAACTTATTACGCCTTACGCGTATATAGCAAGCCAGAGGCTTGAATTATAAAGAGTCATCCAAATATTTTGGGAGGGGAAGGCTTACGTCCAGCCTCGGTGAAATCATGTATATAATGTAACATCATCTTCTTTATTTTTTTTATTTTTTTTTCATTGCCCTTTTTCCTTTTTATATTGTTGAAATTATCATCCAAGTGAACGCACCATCTGCAAATATCCATTTTCTGGATGATTCGTCTGTCATCTCATAAGAAATTGATAATAAGAAAATAATAATAATAATAATAAGAAAAACCAAATTAAGGACAGTTTGTTGTAAACAATTGTTCTTTTCATTGATACACTGGTACAAAAATTGACACTTGTCAGTGACCTCTCTTCCTCATGTACACTATTCCGGTCAACCACTGTAAGGCTTCAAAACTACGTAGATGCTCTAACTTTGAAACAAGAATGGATAACTTCGAAGGGGAAATATTCCTAAGATATCTATGTTTCTTAAATTTGCTGTACAACTTCTATACCAAAAAAAGCGAAATCTTACAGGATGCAAAGCATGTCTCAATCATCAAGTCGATGGATCTCGCCCATCAGTATCCGGTTGCTGGAAACCTTAAAACCAAGGAGAGCAGGATCAATCTGCCTTCCTTTCTTCCCTTTCTTCTTGCCACTTCGCCCCACTTGGCTACCTCCATCAGACGACTCCAATGCGGATGCTGCTCTGTTGGCTGCATCAGCCTCTACAATGACTGGTTTCTTGAGCATGTCTATGAATGATGTCTCGGACACAGAAGCATCACTGCAAGATGAAGTCCTCCTAAATTGCGCATCATTCTTACTAGATGTTTGAGTATCAGAGACAAGCGTTGCGGCCGGATTTCTTTGCTTGACAGGCAGAGATAATGCTGCCTCAGACAAGACATCCTGGGAAGATAAAACCCGGCGTCTATGCAAAGCATTGTCAGACCCTTTGGTTATAGCAGAAGGCAGCCTGTCAATGGAGCATAAAGAATACAATAAGACTGATAATAGTCTACCAGGGAATTCAGAATATGCATTAGGAGATATCCCTAATGTGCAAACTGACAACAACACATAATGAAAATGACACTATTAAGTGTTTATTAAAGGAAACAAAATCAGTTACATCCACCAGCTAATTGCACATCACTAGAGAATCATGAATAATCAAAATGACGCACATAGGGATACAAGTTAATGCAAAGTGACCATAAACCAAAAAAATCAAACGAAAAGGTAATTCTATTACACAAAGAAAGGAAAAAAAGAAAAAGAAAAAGAACACTACCTCCCATTAGAAACCTCTTCTCCAATCTGTTTATCTAATCCTGTCTCTGAGCTGTAGAAGTTCCCACATCCACCACCTGTACCATTTAAAGAGTTTCAAACTCGTTTAAAATGAAAATGAGATTAACTAAAAATTAAGATCATTTGACAAATTACCAGCACTGCTTAGTGAGCTATGCCTGCTATGGGCATTACTACGAAGTTCCCCGCAATCAATTGCAGTTTCTTCTTGGTCTGTCAAGTTTACTTCGTACCCTGAAACTGACCTGTTCAACATGCCTTTCACCCCTTGTTTCTTCCAATTATTACCCTCCAACTCTGATACACCATCACTCACAGATGATTTACACATGAAGCTAGTATCCACATGAGAAGTATGAGAAACTTCCCTAGGTCCAGACAAGAACAGCTGATCCTCCATAAATGCTCTGGAATTAGATCTAAACGGAACTCTTTCACTAGTTGCCAGATTGCTTGACTGTTCATTCATACCTACACCACCCAAATGGTCCTGGAACAAGACACTATAGTTGGAATTCTGTGGTCCTTCTGTGTTCATACCAACTGGTTGATCCCGGAGAAGACTAAATGGAAGATGTACAGACTCTCCCCGACTTCTGGAAGATGATAACTGATGCTGATAATCAACTTCTGACAACTCTGTAGATTGATGACCCAGTTTTTGGTGAAGGTCCATCAAAATTTGTTTTGAGTGTTCCGTATCACCGTTAGCCCACATATTTGACTCAGCAAAAGCCATGGTAGCTTCTGAATCTCGTCGTTTTTGTTCAGCATCAAGATGCAAATGTGGTTGATGTGCTTCAATGCAGCTATTTTCCAGCTGCCCGCTGTTCCCACAGGGCAAGCGTTCCAAACCAACTGAATGAGAAGAAAAAAACTCATCAGAAACCAGTTGACAGTTAGAGGGCATCCCAGAAGAAATGGAGTCCTGTTTATCAATAGAGCACTTACGCCGATACTGATCCTGCAAATCTAGACCCTGACCACATGCATTCTGAATATCAAAGTTCATCCCATGTCGCTCCCTTGAGGCATGATTCCAGTTGAGATGGCTTAGTTGCTGTTCATGGGTGGGAAACCTCTGCTGTTGCTGGTAATTTTCTGAAGAACTAAATGCAACCATCTGAGCCTGGTGATGGCCAGCAGGATCCCTGGTAACATGACTTGCTTCATCTGCAAACCAAGGACCACCTAAACGTCTTTCCCCTTCCATCTGCAGCTGCTCCCTCAATGCCACAGATAACTGCTGTGCCTGCAACTCTTGCTGCTGAAAACGAAGTTGCAGCTCTGAAGGGTGCATATTCCCTTGCTTGGCCTGAGATACGAGGTCAAGAAAATCAGTCTGTCCAGGGCGTCCTATATTTGCTTGGATGATCTGCTCTAGCAATGGATCTTGTATGGAGGAATGGGAAGGGTGCAAGTCATTTGGAAATTGCTTCCTTAAACTTAATTGATCTAAAGGGTTGCCATTTGTGGCATCAATCTTCCATTGCCCATAACCAGAATCAGACATCTGTTGATGCAAAAATTGTTCAAGGAGCAAGTGCTGAGTTTGAGATTGCTGTTGTTGCTGCAGTTTCATCTGGTGATGGTGAAGCTGCTGCTTCAAGTGATGCTGTTGCTGAAGCTCCAACTGACGCAGGCGTTGCTGAAGTTCCAGCTGACGCTGGTGTTGCTGAAACTCCAACTGACGCTGGTGTTGCTGGAGCTCCAACTGACGCTGACGTTGCTGAAGCTCCAACTGATGTTGATGTTGCTGAAGCTCCAATTGGTGATGCTGTTGGCGAAGCTCCAACTGACGCTGCTGTTGACGCTGTAGTTCTAAGAGATGTTCTATATCCGCAACAGGATGATGGAACGGCTGGATATTAAGGTTATTGCTGTCAGAAAAACCAAATCCAGGGAATTGGTCTACACCAGTCCCTGCACCATGCGCAGCAGGAAGCAGAGATGGATGGTTCAGCTGCTGAAGCCGTTCTTTTAGTAACTTCTGTGGCATTATATGCTCAGCAAGGCCAAAGCCACTGATCTCTTTCCCCATGCGAGAAAGATGGTGAGCATTTATAGAATCCAGACTAACATTAGTGTTATTTCTTATATAATTATCAGACTGTGTATCCACAAACGAAGGTTGATCAATCATGGGGCCAAGGGGATTCTGACTAACAATAGTGGCACCTCCCTCAAAGAAAGAATCTCTCAACTGAACCTGATCATCCATGCCTAAAGACGCATGGGATGATTGAGCAGACCTTAAATGGGAACTACCTCTAAGCTCCGACATCAACAGGCCAAAAGGATGCAACTTATCATTCTGCTGACTAGGCAGGTTAGTTTCTGAAACTTCATTTGAAAGGGAAGGAAGGCTAGGAGAATTTGAAATTGAGCCATGAATGTCCGCTGAAGACCTCAAAAGGCAGTCACTGCTACTTTTAGGCCTTCCAGGAAATACAATTTCTGCATACAACAAAAAAGAGAAGCAATTAAAGTGACAACATAGACATAAATGACAACATAGAAAATGATAAGACGCATAACACACCTTCATCTTCTGCAACAAAATTTTGAATGCTTTGATTGTCAAGGTACTGGAGTTCAGACTGATAACTATGATTAGGCATTCTTGATTGAACACTACCACTTGAGGTAGCCTCCAATACAGATGGAGTCCACTGCTGACTATTTAGAATATTAGGCCCCCCGTAGTTAGGTGCAGATATTCTCTCTTCCAAGCTGCCTTTAATGACATCCAACGGCTCTAGCTTAGCATGCAAACTAGAGTTAGAGACATATCCAGATTCAGTTTTCAGATGTGGCATCACGTCACCAAGTTCTTGATAAGGAGATCCATCGGGGGCATCAAACAAGCGGACTGGTAAGTCAATTCCAAAAAAACCTTGCTCAAACCATGCGATTATGTCAATCCCCAAGAAAGGTCCCTGCATGTTCCCTTGAGGATCAAGATAGCACAAACTTAAATCCTCGGGTGAGACAATTCTGTCCGACACATGTGCCTCGTTGCTCTTGACATAGTGACGATCACTGCTTGAGGTTTGCTGTAAAGATGGAGAATAAAATAAGGAACTTGGATTATTAGGAAGCTGGCTATCAATTTCAACTGTATCTGATTTAACATGGTCCAACAAAGGATGCTTCTGCAAACCAAAATATCTCACCTTCTGGTATCCAGAATTTCTCAGTTCAGTAACGTCATTGCTGGGGCCATCAATCCCTCCATCAGCCAGTGCTTTGACTGTCAGAACTTTCTGCTCACCTTCAGTAGCAACACTTTCTGGAAAAAAAATGGAGTGTTTTAACATACAACACATGACAACAATACCAATAGTATCAAACGAAGGAACCAGAATATTAGGTTAAAACTGCTTGTCCTTACCCTTTAAAATATGCGCCTGTGAGCCACAAATAGGTGACACCTCAGGACCAGTAACTTGAAAAGAATTGTTTAAAATGACCTCTCCAGTAGATTGGACATTTTGTTCACTGTTAGCTGCAAAGTTTCCTTCCTCTTTACTTAAAGTGACATTACTAGTTCCTGAGTAAATGAGAAAACTTGTATCAGAAAAAAAATGATGAGGATTATTAGGCATGAGTCCAACAGAATGCAACCTAATACCTTTAGAATCATCATTTAATACATTCTTGTCTTTAGGGGAGTTGTATAACACTCCACTGCTAGTAATGCTTCCCATCAATATATCTCTCAGACAAGCCTGAAAGCATCACATCAGTAAATAATGGTGATCATAGAAACATTTCACCACTTGCTTATTTAACTATGATAATTAGATATATATATATATATATATATATGCAAGAATGTGTGGATATTTAAAAAAATTTAGTATATAATCCATATACCTCTTCATCTGCATCAGGTGCAAGAAAAGCCAATGGCTCAGTAAAGCCTACTTGGGCTATTGGTGATACAAGCTCCATCCCATCAGGCATGGAATCAAAAGTTAAGTCAATCTTTTGCTTACGATAAATGTCAAGGAGTTTCCCCCTGGGGTAGCAATACATATTGAGAAAGGGACTAGCTTTTCCTAATACAGGTCTGCCAATCTGCAGAGTTCCGTTAGTGTTTGACCTCCCTCGTCCAGCAGTAAATCCTACTTTTTCCACCTGTCCTCTGGCCATCCCAAATCCCGGTGCGGCACGATATGGGGCTGCCCCACCTGATTGAACCTCCATGCGATGGCGTGGCCTCCACTTATCCCGAGAATCACTATCACGTTCAGAAGCTGCGCGATTGCTATTGGAAAGAGACTGCTTGTCAACATGAATATCTTCCTTCTCAACATCTGTTTTTTTCTCTATTCGAGATTCCTTGTCTTTATCTTCAGGGCCCCACCTTGATGACCATTTGTTATCTCTTCGGGATTCATGCCAGCGGTCAGAAGACAGTACTTTATTCTCAGTAACATCCTTAGTTGAAGTGGCACCTACATGGCGATCTTCTGCTCTACCATCAGTAGTACTAGTATCCCTAGTTGAAGTGACACCTACACGGCGATCCTCTTTCTTGCGATCCCTCCTACCAAGTAAGCCTGTTTCCCTCTCCTCCTCACGCCAGCGGCGGGTAATATCTAAATCAGGTGCATTCCTCCTCCAATCTTTTTTGTCCTGAGATGCATCCAAACGCCAAGTGTCTCTCGAATTGGGATCAGTAGAGTTTCCATGAGGCAAAGAACCAGGTGCATGCATTTCCTGTCATTTTTATCGGTATTCAAAAATTGGTTAACTTTTAATCACTAGTCAACTATGAAGACAAAATGCACTAAATTCTTCTAATAGCCAAAAAGATAAGATCTAACATTGGGTCCTAGCATAAATCATAGTTTTTTTTTCTTTTTTCTTTTTTCCAATTCAACTGATAGATCAGATGCAGGATTTAACACATTAAGCAAACCAAGAAATTGAATTCACAGGCTGGGCAGCATGAAAACGCAGAATGACAGAAGGGTATAGAAAATACAAATTGAGAGGCTTACAACCACACTAATGCACTTAAGGTGCTAGAATTTCATAAATTATGGTGTGCAGAAAGATAAAGCTTCTTTAAAAGTGTAGAAGAAGGGAGAGAAAGAGAGTTAAGATATCAAGTGTTCTCTGAAAAAAAAAAATCATTCGAAAAAAATTGGACAAGTGTAGATGCACTTGTATTAAGCCACACTAACATTAAAGATTTAGTTAAAATCACTTTATTATAAACAACAGTAGAAAAGAACTGAAACACTGGACCACAAAAAACAAATATACTTGTATATATAGCTTATTGAAACAGCAATAAGAGCAAATTTGGAAAAGGAAAAAGAAAAAAGAATTGCAATGTACATACTCCTGATGTTCCAGTAACTAGTGTCTTGGAATCAACTGGTTTAGCGTATAGCCATTGTGGAGACAAAGGTATGCTGCTCTCCGATGCTACTTGATCTGCAATTAAGATAATAATAAATAAATAAATTTACAGGCACCTGCGGTATTCATGATAAAAACAGTAAAATGATAGCCAATAAGGTGAACAAAATCGCATGTGTAAAACATTGCAAACTTAGAAAAGGAGCACAACCACCAATTGACTCATCAAGGGACCCTGTTAGCGCCTTCTCCTCACCATTTCCATCCAAGGCTTCATCTAACATGGCAAACAGAGAGATACATTTACTTAAATTTTTGGAAAGCAGAGTGTCCATAATATGAAAATCCAAGCAGTTCACCCACCGTAGGTAAACTTAAAATAGGGGGAAATAACAGTGTTTGATACACTACTGAAATTCTAATGAAAATTACAAGCAAAAGACAGAAAGACTGTAACACTGTACTACTAATGAAAGACAAAGGACAGGAACACCTTGGCAACAGAATAATCCCAAATTTTGTGTTCAAATAAACAACAAAACACAATGCAATAACAATATCATGAACATCCAAAAGCTCTTAATGCATGAAATATAAATTATGTATATACATGTAGGCGTACATGTATGTTATCTGAAGATAATATAAAACTACTGAGAAAAAAGAATCAACAACACCAACCCTAATTAATCAGCTAGACGAATAATAGATATAGAAGTATAAAGATATGTATATTAATATGAGATATGTATAAACACTTGTATAGGTACACTGACGAATTATTGAAACCAGGACCAATTTGTAATAGCGACAAAGATCGAGGAGAAAAAATAAATAAATAAATATATATATATATAATAACAAGAATGAGAATGATAAATAGCGAGAAGGGATGCAATGTGAAGAGATATGGATTGAGAAAAGCCCAAGAACACGAACCGTTGGTGGAGAAGTGTGCATCGGCCATGTTCGCGGGGAGGAGATCTTGAGGAAGACTGACTTTTCCGTGGGCCATCGGCATCCAAAACGATTCGAATTACAGAAGATTTCCAGGCAAATGTCGGAGAAGAGAGCGCGCAGCTAATTGTGCTCCGAGATGAGGATAGAGAAAGAGGAAACGAAAATAGCTTCTGCAATCGAACACTTGCAGACGACGTAAATTACACGGAGACAGACAGAGAGAGATTTCTAGGGTTTGAGGAATTGCAGGGCTGGCGAATAAGAGAGAGAGGTCGCAGAGGGTCAGAGAGAGAGGGTGAGGGTTTGGGATGTGTATGATCAGAACAACCGAAGCGAGTGTATTTTTGTGGAGACCTTGCAAAACTCTATATATGCAATTAAGGCACTGGAATTTGTTTTTTCAGTTTAAAATTTTAAAATATAACGAATTTTTTATTTTGGGGAAAAATAATTGCAAACTTTCTTCTTTTCCCAAATGTGTTTTTTCTTCTAATTGCTATCTTTGTACTCTCTTGCTGCTTATTATTTTTTTAATAAAGCATCTCTTCCAACAACAAAAAATGTTAATTAGGCAACATTTTCGCATCTATAAACGAGTTTTAAAAGTACTAAAATGAGAGAGGGAGAAATGCATAATCTTTAAATTGCATCAAAAGAAAGAAAGAAAAACTAATACAATGAAGGTGTAATAAACCCAAAATAAATAAATAAACTTAAAAAAAACATGTCCACTCTTCTTTCACCGCTCTCTCTTAAACATAGTCTATTTAATGATAATGGGTTCGTTCTCTTTGAAAAAAAATAGATAATTGCCCTACCTACTAGCCAAACCCGTTTGTCCGAAAAAACCCTAGCCAACTAGCCAAACCCACATATATGCAAGAAATGGATTAGTTAGCCAAATCCTGACCAACTAGCCAAACCCGCATATATGCAGGTAATGGATAATTAGAGTAAGTTCAATTAAGGTTAATCACAGTTAAATGAACCAAAATAAAAAATGGAAAACCATAATAAAGAAATGGAAACCAAACAGAACCTTAAACCCTATTTTATTCTATGACTAAGATACCAGAAATATCATCGCACAGAAATTGTAATCATGAAATGTAAAATAAATGATAATCATTAGAAAGCCCAACAGCCATAACAAAAGGGCATGTCCATGATAAGTCTAATCCAAACAGCTAAACAACATTGCAGCTTTAACCTCAGACACATCCTCAGGAAACAAAACCTCTGCGGTTGATCTAAATAAACTTGACAATCACAATTCTAGAACCAGACTAGGACAATCTATCCTAAGTAAAAAAGAAATTTAGATCACCAAAATTTAATTCATCCTTTGAGCAGCTTCTTTTGCAAGGAGCCTCTCTTTCGCCCTAGTTTTGGCCTGGGATTTGGAACCCATGATGCCACCACCCCACTTTTTCCTGTACTCATCATACTTGTCATTGAAGTTGGCCTGCAACAAAAAAGTGAAACACCACAGATTAAGCATTCAACCAACCAAAATATGAACTAGTTCAAGCAACAGCATCAACAAAAATTACCATACCTTGATTGCCTCTAGCACCTTGCTGAACTCCAATTTATCTTCATTCTTGACTGTTGTCAAGCACAAAACTGATGCAGTTTTCTTATGGGACAATCTGACAGAAAAGTAAATAAAAGTTGGTTCGGTCCTAAATTTTTGTCAAAGAGGTCAAGAAAGAAGAGAATGCAGACATGTAAGTAAAATTACCGATCCCAAGCGTGCTTTGCCCTTCACTATGCAATATGGGATTTCCATCTTCCTACATAATGCAGGCAGCCAAACCACCAACTCTATTGGGTCAACATCATGTGCGATAACAACAAGCTGGGCTTTGTTCTGCAAGCAAAATGCAATTGAAAAACAAAAATCATTACACAAACTCACATTGACAAGGAATATAAAACACATGCAAATGGCAGGGAACAAGACCTGCTCAATGAGGTAGGTGACATGGTTGAGACCGTATTTCACAACAATAGGTTTTTTGGCTTCAACAGTTTTTCCCTCAGACTCTGCTTGTGCCCTCTTCAAAAGGCGCTCCTTCTTTGCTGCTTTGTCTTCTGGCCTATACTTGAGAAGCATCTTGAACAGGCTGGTAGCTGCACAATGGTTTAGGAAACAACGTTCTAGTTTCAGTATTTCCACAAAATACAATGTACATTATACATACAACACATCAAGCATCAAATCATGAAAACGGGTTACAAGGCATAACTACATACAATTTCAAACAAGTCCAGGAAACAACCCATTATGCTAAATGTTGGTAATAGCTAGCAACAACATTCCACATTTCCTTCAACATACTGCCAAACTTAGAGATTCAACAAAATGCACAGCAACATGGAAAGTATAACGGAAAAGTGGTATTGCAACATAACACAGAATTAAGAAACTTGTCAATGGCAGTCCTGAACAGACAAAGAAACTGCTCAATAAACTTATTGATCCAATCTAAATTTCAACCACACTGTCTAATGTTCGCCCAAAAGAAAAACTAACAGTTATATTTAGATTAACAAACAATCATCTCCATAAAAATAAATTTTAAGGATAAACAAAAAGAAAAAGAAACAAGAGAAATGTGAGGGTTAACATGATTACCCAGGTTCTTGTCGAGGGTCTTGGTGAACTGGTTCAAAGCTGGTGGAACCTTCAACCTCTGCTTGAGGATCCTTTTCTTCCTCTGAACTTGAACCACCTTGGGCCATTTCACGAAACGGGTAAGATCTCTCTTTGGAGGCAATGCCCCTCCAATCCCAAACTGCTTGGGACGTTTCTCGAACAGTGGGTTCACCACTTTCTCCTGTAGCCACCACAAAAAAACCATCACAATCGCCATATACACCGTAACACTCATCTATTAAAAGAAGCAAATAGCAAAAATCATTATACAATATATTGACATAGGAAATACGTACCGTCTTCTTCTTCGCTGCGACTGGAGCTTTGACACCTCTTTTTGGAGCCTGCATCGATTAGGTTGAGAAAGCACAAGAACATGTTAAAAGGAAACGAAGACGTTGATGATTAAATAAAAGTTCCTATGCAGCCAGAGCTAAAAATGGGAGACAGATGGTGATGAAGAAGAGTCTGCTACTCACCATTTGCGCAGGCTGCTCTTGGAGTTTGCTGGGTACCTCTGAAACCTGCGAACGGCGTAAACCCTAGGAGAAAGCCTCACGATTTATATATTAACTAACTGCACCTTGACGGGCTGGGCCTTGAAATGAATGAAGGGCTGACCTCAGGGCCTTAATAAGTCCATCTAGGCTCAATTTCAAACTCTGGGCCCCCGGCCCAAAATATAAAAAAGTAAACGAAGACGTCGTTTGGCATCACGATCACGAAGAAAGCCCGTCACTCTTTGCTGCAGTTGGACGCACTTCGGTTTTGAAGAAATGCGGTAGATGAAACCGGCAAAAAACAGCAATAGCTGCAGCAACTGACAACAGCAGCTGAACATGAACAACCGAAATGTCGTCGTCTGCGACAATGGCACCGGGGTACTCTTCTCCTCTGTCTAACTTTTCTTGTTTCTCTCACAAGCACAGTAACGCACAGTATTCTAATCTGCGTTGAAATATTTCATCGATCCAGCACATATTGACACTTTCTTTCTTGGAAGTTTGTTTGGTGTTCTTAAATTTGGAGTTAACTGATTCAGAGGCAGAGCTGAAAATCAAAACTTGACCTCTGTTTTGGATCTGTAGGTGTTAGAATCATCATCATCTACTTTTGGTTTGGTAACTTTGTCAAATTTGTTTGCTTTAATTGCAGTATGTGAAATGTGGCTTTGCTGGAGAGAATTTCCCTACCTCTGTGTTCCCTTGCGTAGTTGGAAGGCCACTGCTTCCTATGAGGAATCACTCATGGAACAAGAAATCAAGGTTAATACTTTTCATTACTTTTTGGACACAATTTGCCCTCTTTCTAGTCCAACTTTACTCAAGATTAAGATTTTGTATGTCCTTAATTGGCTCATCTCCTACAGCTTGTGATTTAATTATTAGTTCTGACTTTTGACAGCCCTTTTTTCCTCCCTTAAATTTTATAAATGCATTTAGGATGTCATTGTTGGAGAAGCTTGCGCAGAATTTCGGCATCAGTTGGATATAAATTACCCGGTTAACAACGGCATCGTGCAAAACTGGGATGATATGGGCCATGTCTGGGACCATGCATTCTACAGTGAACTAAAGGTAAACTTCTTACTGCCCCTGATTGTCAATTTTGTTATATAGTTGCATCCGGATTGTTAATAACTCTGTTGCCTGCTTTGTGTCAACAGATAGATCCTACTGAATGTCAGATACTACTCACGGACCCGCCTCTCAATCCTTCAAAGAACCGTGAAAAAATGGTTTGTTTTGCAATCTATGTACTATTAAGTACCTTTTATTTTTTTGTAATCGTATCTGTACCATAATAAATATTGTGAATTATGGCGTTAGCATCTCATGGTTTAGCTTGATTCAACATTTCAGGTTGAGACCATGTTTGAGAAATACAATTTTGCTGGTGTCTTCATACAAATTCAAGCTGTTTTAACATTGTATGCTCAAGGTGCTTATAAAGATTACTAAAGGTTAAATGTTTATATTGCTGTTCCCCCCACTTCTTTTATATCTCCCTTTCTTGTTTAGTTCTTGTTATTCCTACAAATAAGTATGTAGCTTTGTATCTACCGTGCTTGGAAAACGTTGATAGGGAGAGCAAAAGCACTAGTGTGACTTGCCAGAATTATATGTTGGAACAATCCATAACATACTATAACAACTGTTGTTACTTATGTTTAGCTATATTTTTGTTTCTTTCGGACATGGGCTTCAGCATTTCCTTGTTTTTTTACAGGTTTGTTAACAGGATTAGTTATTGACTCTGGTGATGGTGTTACACATGTGGTAAATTCCTCAAGCACAACTTCTACATTATGTATAAGGAGTATCCAGAATAGCTTGGGTAGTGTACACTTTGTAATTATATGTTTGAGCTGGTTAGTTCTTGGATACTCCAAAGGAATGGAAACCATTTCATTAAACCCATTGAAGGGGAAATCAACTCTATGTCAAATTTGAGATATTTTTGCTCCAACCTCCTAGGTTCCAGTAGTTGATGGCTACTCATTTCCTCATCTTACAAAGCGAATGAATGTAGCTGGCCGACACATAACATCCTATCTTGTTGATTTGCTCTCAAGGAGGGGGTGAGAATCAATTGCTTATAACTTAGTAAGATCGTTATGATTTGTACTACCGTTGCTTCTCCAAATTAAACTTTCATTTATATTGAGAAATTGTAACGTTTTTCCTGAAGGTATGCAATGAATAGGACAGCTGATTTTGAGACTGTCAGGGAAATCAAAGAGAAGCTCTGCTATATAAGGTAAACAAAAAATCTTATTCTATATTCCTATGTTGTGGAACTTCTTTTTTTTGGGTGAGGAATGTTGTGGAACTTATTGATTGCACAAATTATTATATCCAATTTCATGTAGTTATGATTACAAAAGGGAGTATCAATTGGGACTTGAGACACCATACTTGTGAAGAATTACACTGTAAGTTGGTTTTCTTAGCATCTCATTAATTTCATAGAGTCATTTTAATATATATGTTCAGTATCCTATTTTCATGTATGTCACTGTGTGCTTGCTGTGACACCAGTAGTTTCTTTCAATTACATTGGTAAAATTACTCATTGCACAACCATTGTTGTTGTTGGTTTTGGTCTGTCTTTTTTCTGTTTGGTTCCCTCTTTAATCCAGATTTATATATTTAGTTTGATATTAATTCACTGATATATGTTGGTTTAATCAGCTGCCAGATGGAAGGGTGATTAAAGTTGGCACCGAAAGGTTCCAGGCTCCTGAGGCTCTATTCACTCCTGTAACTTTCCAATTTTTCTTGCTCCTCTTGATATACTCAACTGAATTGCTCGAATATATTTGCTTTTAGTTTTCAGAGTGATATTACCACCTAAAATACTGGTTTTTGGAAAAGGAAAAAAAAAAAGATTATAACACTATTCTGACAGGTTGAAGGTTTTGAATATTCATTAATGTTTTCCTTGTACAGGAACTTATAGATGTCGAAGGTGATGGGATGGCTGACATGGTATTCCGCTGTATTCAGGAAATGGATATTGACAACAGGATGATGGTACTAATGTGAATCCTCTTACAAATGAAATGAGCATTGATTAACTCTTTATTTGTTTGAATACATTGATTTATAATTTTAATGCATCATGTGCAGCTCTACCAGCATATAGTTTTAAGTGGAGGGAGCACGATGTATCCTGGATTACCCAGTCGGTAATATCTAACCCTTCATTGCATCATAAGCTTCTGATTTAAAGTAGTTTCTTCCAGTTATATTCAACATGTGTGTATCAAGTTTCTGTATGTTTGATAACCTAGCATGAAACTGAGATTACTCTTTATTCCACACACCTTGATCATTTATTATTCCTTTTCCTGCTCCGCTAAAGTTAAGACAATTCATGATCGTCCTTTTTCAGGTGCATAGTTTACGAACCACTGTTTACTGTCCAAAAGCCTCATAATACTCATGAAGACTCTAATGGAGTGTTTAGTTTTCAAATAATTTCCATACCACTGGCCATATGATTATTTGATTTGCCTTATTTGAAAGAAGCCTGAAATAGTCAAACATTGTAGCATCAATAGTCAGCAATTTCACTTTCTGGAATATCAGTCCATTTGGGATTTTAGACAACGTATTAAAGGAATTGTAGAAAATTTTAGAACCTTAAAAATAAAATCTATGAGTTACTTTTTGACATAAAAAACCAAGTGAGTTCTTTTTCATCCCAATGGCATCGTTTTTCCTTATTAAAAATAGAGTTAGGACCATTCTGATATTAAATTTTGGTGTTTCTTCAGTTTGGAAAAAGAAATACTGGACCGTTATCTTGACGTTGTTTTGAAGGGTAACAAAGATGGACTGAAGGTAAGATACGAGTTTTGTGTTTCATGGATTAGAAAGAGAACAACCATAGCTTTGAAAAATATGAAACAGGGGGAATGTGCTATTGTATAATGTTGGTATTCAAGGGGTAATAAATGACGGTGGTTAGGTTGGGTAAATCCTGGTTGAATCTGGCATAATAGACTGAGCTCAGTCAGTCTCTTTCTCATGCTCTAAAATTTGTGATGAACAGAAATTGCGATTGCGAATTGAAGATCCTCCACGAAGAAAGCACATGGTGTATCTAGGTGGTGCAGTCCTTGCAGGAATTATGAAGGTACGTGTCATTGGTTGTTCTCTCAATCTTTGAGATCAAATTTTTAAATGATGTCCCTGGTGCATTCTTGTTTAATTCTTCCCATATCTGAGATGGGTAAGTGCAAGTCATCTAAAAATTTCAATGTGGTGGTTAACACATGCAGGATGCTCCTGAATTTTGGATTACCAGGGAGGATTATCTAGAAGAAGGAGTTGCTTGTCTAAGCAAGTGTGGTCAGGCATGACTTTTCGAGGTCAGTTTGCCACCCTCTTAGCTGTTTGGAAGAGTGACACCTGACAAGGAAAACCATGAGAGGCTAAGACATTAAAATATCCAATTGTGTTCTGAGTGAGTAAGCTATAGGTGTTTTGAGTAACCGTGTTTACTTCCCTTGGTAGCTATGTTATGTATAAGCCTAGTGCAAAGAGTTTGTGTGATAAGAACCTATCGAGAGTTGTATCCTTATGGCTGGAATGTATGACATTAAAAATGTAGAAAATATTCTGTGTTTTTCAGTCTGTTTCCAATACAATTTATTTCCTTGTGGGAGAGTGAGGAGTGACCATATTCCACGCCATTGCCCAACCACAATCGCAGACTTGCAGCCCATATTCCACGCCATGATTTTCTTCTCATAGTGCTGGTGAGAAAGAAGAACACGTCTTCTCTTGTTTTTTTTTCAACCTTTATTTTGAAATAGAGAAATGGAGTTATATAGACAGGTCAATCTTATCCTTTAAAATTCAGATAAAGCAACGCACTTTCGCCAGAGAACATATCTCGCATTTGAAAACTGCTTCTTCTGTTGATCAAAAAGAAGAAAAAATAAAATAAAACAGTTGCGTCTTCTTGTAGAGTCTCGTCGTTTTTTTTACTTGATAAATATTTCATGACATAACCAAAATCCATTAGAATACTCGCAGTTGGTTAACAATTCATCCTTTCCCAGTATCCTTTTTAGTTGTTGCTCCTGCTCTTGGACTTGGTCTTGAAAGTTATAAGCAACTCTAAAATAAATTATGCATGTCACTGTGTCCGTTAAAAAACAACCTAATACCTATTGAGACAGAGATATTGAGGGTTTATATTTTTATTTTCACCCTTTTGACCAAGATGGCTACCGGAACTTGGCATCCTACTTTCAATAAAATATCAGCAGATGCAGACCGGCCAAAAAGAAAATTATACTGATGAGAGCTGAGAAGCAAATCTTATTATGTTATAACTTGTAAGAGACCAAGCAAAGCAAAGCGAGTTTTGGATACCAACCCCACCAAATAAGCTCCCACCCTTCTCCCTTGTGACAATAGATTTCTTGGCTGGTGTGTTAGGTTCCAGTACCAGTGGCCTACCCCCACCCATCTGGCATATCAAGATTCAGGACCATCTCCATTGTCCATTGTCCAAGAAGAAAACACCATTTCAATTCAACACACAATTCCGTAGCATTTGCCAAAAACACTTGCTGTGCTCAGATTTCAGGCACAACTACCTGTCCCTTTCACATTATTATCTTCTTTTTCTTAAACAAGTAACACAACGCTTGTAAGTTGGGCCACTCCCTTTCCCTTTTCTATAATAACCCACCTCCTAATTCATCACCCCAAACCCATATTCTGTGAGAGATTCTGATCACCATCACTTTTTTGGTTTTCTTGGATTCACTTCTCATCATATTCCTTATTTCACAACTGTCCTTCCCTACACCAGTTTGCCCACATGGTTTGTTTTCTCATAAGCAGATAAATTGTGCATTAATTTACTATCATTCAATTTTTTAGGCCATAAGCACTTGGTTTGTTAAGTTCTTTCCAACCAATACAAAAATATTAAATAGATTGCTTCTTGTTCTCTGCATTTCTTGATATTGTGTTTCAGGTTGCTGAACTTGGAGAGTCTACTGCAATGGACAACAACTCTAATGGCGGCGGCAATGTGTTCCAACTAAGAGTGAAGCAAGGAGAGCCAACTCTGGTTTCCCCTGCAGAGGAAACAGAGAAGGGTTTATACTTTCTCTCCAACCTCGACCAAAACATTGCGGTGACTGTTCGTACTATTTATTGCTTCAAGTCAGATGACAAAGGAAATGACAAGGTAGGGGAGGTGATCAAGGATTCTTTGAAGAAGGTTCTTGTCTACTATTACCCTCTTGCCGGGAGACTAACAATCAGCTCAGAGGGAAAGCTCATTGTAGATTGCACTGGTGAAGGAGCTGTTTTTGTCGAGGCTGAAGCAGATTGTAGAATTGAAGATATTGGAGACATAACAAAGCCTGACCCTGAGACTCTTGGAAAGCTGGTTTATGATGTTCCTGGTACCAAGAACATACTAGAGCTGCCTCCTCTGGTGGCTCAGGTTTGTAATTAAAACCTCTACAATTAATTTCATTTCTTATCTCTTGAGTTTAAATTCATAAATTGAAGTAGTCATGGATCATTCATTCTACCAGGTGACTAAATTCAAATGCGGAGGGTTTGCTCTAGGCCTGTGCATGAACCACTGTATGTTTGATGGCATTGGCGCTATGGAATTTGTGAACTCATGGGCTAAAATTGCCAGAGGTTTGCCATTGACAGTGCCTCCATTTTTAGACAGAAGCATACTCAAAGCACGGAACCCACCAACTATAGAGCACCTGCATCAAGAATTCTCAGAAATTATTGGCACTTCCAGCACCAGTAATGACCTTTCTGAAGAAAAAATGCTATACAGCTCCTTCTGCTTTGACAGTGAGAAGCTTGAAAAAGTGAAAATGAAAGCCAGGGAAGACAGGGCTCTTGACAGTTGCACTACATTTGAAGCTCTCTCAGCATTCGTGTGGAAAGCTAGAACCAAAGCTCTAAAACTGGTGCCTGAACAACAAATAAAGCTCCTATTTGCTGTTGATGGGAGGCGTAAGTTCAGCCCACCACTGCCAAAAGGGTACTTTGGCAATGGCATTGTGTTGACAAATTCCATCTGCCAAGCAGGTGATCTGCTGGAGAAGCCACTGTCACATGCAGTTGGGCTGGTTCAAGATGCAATTAAGATGGTCACTGACAGTTACATGAGATCAGCCATAGATTATTTCGAACTGACAAGAGCTAGGCCTTCTTTGGCCTCCACCCTCTTGATCACAACTTGGTCTAGGCTGTCCTTCTACACAACTGACTTTGGCTGGGGAGAGCCTATACTTTCAGGTCCAGTGGCATTGCCTGAGAAGGAAGTCATCTTATTCCTTTCTAATGGGACAGAAAAGAAGAACATAAACGTGCTTTTGGGTCTTCCAGCTTCTGCCATGAAGGTGTTTCAGGAACTGATGAATATCTAGACCAACAACAGCAATAATGAATTATTTTTCAAAAACTCTTGTATTTCCAAATTATTGTTACTTGTTGTAATATTATTATTTGATGTGGACTACTGCTATGTGACTGGTCAAAGAAAAAGTACGCAGACAACTTATGTAACACATGTGCATGGTATTAATGATGGATTTTATTTGCTTTGTGGGAGCTTAAATTAACGGTGGTCATGCCTTAATCAAATATCAAATTTCAAGGTTTCATGATTTATGTACGAATCTCCATTACTTTAACAGATATTTAGTCATATATCCATTCTTAGCACTAATGATATACCCTACACCATTTAATTTTTATAAACAAATAAATAAATAAAACCCAAAAAATGAAAGCTGACCCTATTTAATTTAATTTTGATTATTAAATTACTTTGATACCCTATTGAGTGTTTTGGGTTTTTTTTATGAGGTTTTGGGGTTGAGCTTATTTTAAGAGATTGATGACAGTTTTATAATTTATAAGAAGTTAAAAACCTCTTTGTTATGTTGTAAATGAGCTTTTAGTGTGTTACTAAAGTCTATTTCATATAGAATTTTTATAATTTAAACCCCTATATTGAGTATAATAATAAATTTCCCTTAATTTAATACGATAGCATTTCATTCCGTTGTATCTTAAACTCACTTTGAACCTCGATTTTTTTATAATTAGTTAATTATTAACTGTCATGTTACGTTTCACATTAGTTGATAATGAAAAATCGAGATAATAGGAGAAAGTGAAACAAAATATTATTCTATGGGGAATGTGAGAACAACCTCGGACTGTCACACACGTGAGAAATTGAGAATGCTATGTATGCACATACAAATTTAGATGAATGCGTACGACGTCGTTGCCTTAGCAGATATGCGTTTTGTACTACTTGACATTCACGGCTAAAACCCCTAATGGAAGGGGTGATTTAGGAAGTATAAAATCCCGACCGTACTGTAATTATCAAAAGAGAAGCCAAGAAAGAGAGAGCAATAGCCGAAGCCAAACTCAAAAAACAACCCGTTAAACTTGAAAAAGCCTTCGTCTTTGGGAGCTTCTGAGTCCGAATTCAGCTGGGTCAGCTTCGTCTCCACCCTCCAACTAATCCCGTATTCTCATTCCAACCCAAACCCAACCATCCATGGATGAACTGCTGCGTGCTAGCTGATTCTCTCACCCCCACCACATTCTTAGAAACACAAAAAGGTGCCTACTTCAAGCTTTAGGGTTCCAATTCTTAGTCCTCCTGTTTTCATTCTGGTAATTATGCTTTTTTATTCCCTAATTCTACTTTAGGGCTGTAGTTGTATTCTCATGCAAAGCCCACGAATGTCTGCCTTTTTTTTCTTATGCTTATTTGAGGATTTTTATTTATTTATTGTTTGTTTCAGAATTTTGGAGTAACATTTTTAATAACTGCTTTAATTGGATAGGCAAAGTTAGGGATAACATGTAGATAATGGGAAAAATGAAAATAAATTTTGGGGTTTGGGTGAATGCTGCTTTCATTAATCTGTTATGCTTGGTCATTGAGTATTTAATTTCAATGTGATTAGTCATTGCGGTTCGGGTGAATTAATTATGTAATTTCACTGTGATTGGTCATTGAGTATTTAATTTTGAGTAACCGCATGATTCTGAAGATGGAAACCTTATAAACAAACATATTTGATGTTTGGTAGTTTGTAAATACCATGAGGGAGTATCATGTGTTGCAAAATTTGGTAAAGAAAATACGAAATTGGATGAATTGGCGTAGAGAATCAGATTCGGAACAATGATTCTTGCTTGTTTGTCTTTCTATCTTTTTCATCTAGAAGTTATTGCCAAATTGTAGATTGTAGTGCACAAGCCATTTGGTAACACTGTTATTGGTATATACCACGAAGATTTTACTTTCTGATCGTTACCACGGAAGGAAACTTCTCATTCATTCCTTGCTTAATCATTACATGTCAACTATCCCAAAATGAAGAAAAATGCAATACCTAACAGGCGAACACAATGTCAAAACCAATTCTTGGAATCTGGCATCAGATCGTACGGAATTGGCAGCATCTAGATCATCTAGAGCAACTCTCTCTTATTGATGAACATATGCTTCCAAACCTAGAGCCAGAAGATAAACTATCTAGCCCAAGAGAAGGCCCAAGGGCTGCCCAACGGCTTAGATGTATCATCTGAAAGTGTAATAAAATCCTTTTTCATCTATCAGTCTCACAAATGGTTTGAAGTGTATAGGGAACGCCACTATCGTTACATCTTACAATTTCTAGATATGGAGTGGATTTATCTTTATTTATTAGAGATAGCCATCTAAATCGAGTTTTTAACTATATTATCTCCTCCCTCCGGAATCCAAGAATGGACAGAAGTATGAAAATTGAGGAGGAAGCTTTGTCCCATGTTATGAAACAATTGTGTACTGCCAGTTAGCACACAAGTGTTGTCTTTATTGTTTTCTCATAGTGGATATAGGTATCATATTTTCCAGGCTTTGTACAGGCCTAATAGCCAACTCCAGATTCAGTGTCAATTCACTCTGTATATTTTCTTTACTATCCCTGTCTAGATTTAAAAACATTTCTATCTGAATATTTTTTTTCGTTGTTGTCATAGGCTCGTTCCATGCCCTTGTTTTAGGTGAAATGGAGAGGAAATTATCCTTTCAAACTCTGGTTTGGGTACTGGAATCATTATACAGTTTGAAGAATTTATCATAGGAAGCACTCATGGTCTAAAATTGTGAACATGAAGAAAAATTGCTATGTTATTTCTCAAAAAACATAAAAACTGTACCAATAACAAATCAATGTGAATCTATTGACTCTAATCATGGTCCATGGTGATGATGATGAACTTGACTGTTTGCAACTTGCAAATGCGAGATTGCCCATTATTCAGGCCAACCATTGAGTTTTCTAAAGATTTTTAACTTTTCAAATTGTAACCCTGTAAGTTATGCTTCCTTACTAATCACATGAAACTTTGTTCTCAATATGTTGTGCCTCTAGTTGTCTTCCTAGGTGAGGATATGTTTTCTATATATATTTAAATGTTTATTTGTTTTGTGTGAAGGTTTTCTCAGTTTAAAAGCCAGCATTGTGCCTCATTAGTTGGACCAAATCTTACTGGAATCATGGGAAGTACATTTAATCCGCAGATTTTAGTGGAAAAGCTAGCCAAGCTCAACAACTCGCAAGCAAGCATAGAGAGTATCCTCTTTCTGGCATCATATGGAAATCAATGTTTTCTTTAGATTTTTTTAAAGTATAAATCTAGACCATTTTCCTCGCTGTTTTGATTGACATAGTGAGTCAGGTTTCTTTTTGTGGGATAAAGTAGCACCCTTTTGTTTCATAATTCTCTTACATATCTCATTTCTTTGAAATTTTGGGGTACCTATGAGGATTTATTTGTGCGGAAAGCTTAATTGGATTTTGCAATCCATTGTCAAATCCACATATTCAATGGATTTTCAATGTCAAATTTGAATTCCTTTACCTGCTACTCCATGATCACTGTTTACTTTATTGTTCAGTTGATATGTATACTTTTTAAGTAGTTCATTTACGAGTTATAACTAACACTTGTTGTTATCTTTGGTGTTGATTGCTTGGATGTTCTCCTTAATGCAATTAAGCTTTATCACATTGGTGCATTTTCCATATGAATAAAGCAAGACAAGTTGTTGAAACATGGGCTAGGCAATTTCATTCCGCTCCACGTGATCAGAGATTGGCTTTCCTCTATCTTGCAAATGATATTTTACAGAACAGCAGGCGAAAAGGTTCAGAGTTTGTTGGTGAATTTTGGAAGGTTCTTCCAGATGCTCTTCGTGATGTAATTGAAAGTGGAGATGAATTTGGAAGAAATGCAGCACAACGACTGGTATAACTGTGTAACCTCTTTTCTACATTTTTTTATAAGAGAACCAATTGGAATCAGTTGTCCTGGAGATTATTTTATTTTTTTCTTGAGAACCTTGAGAAAACCATAATTTTATCAGTTTATAAGGTGCATAGAAGGACTCGAGTATGTAGAAACATTGCAGCATGATGCATTACATCTTTTTTCTTGAATGCTTGCAATCGTGTCTCCCCAATTGTTATTTTGTTTGTTATTTTCATCTTTATTATTAGTGGGTGAAATGTATATATATTTATGTATCAAAATTTTATTCTAGAGACTAGTATGGAGCTGTTGCTGATTGTTCTGTTTCCATTTTTTACTTATAGGTTGGTATATGGGATGAGAGAAAAGTTTTTGGCTCTCGGGGTCAAATTCTCAAGCAAGAGTTTGTGGGAAAGCACCTGGAAAATATTAATAGAAATGGGAAGCATTCGGGTGCCAGACTGGTAATTCAAATTGTATATGCCTGTATGGTTGTTTGAGCATTTATTTCAGTTTATAATTTGATGGTTTTTTTTTGTTGTCTTTTATTGTTTTGTTAAATTTTTTAAAAGAAACAGCCTGCTGGAACTGCATTGGACAAAATAGTTTCAGATTACCAAGTCATATATGGGCAGATGGATGAAGACACTATATTGAGCAAATGTAGGAATGCTATTAGCTGTCTTGAGAAGGTAGATAAGGAAATTGGTGGTGATTTCAATTCAGGTATACCCCAAATGAGTAAATTCTTGAGAATGTTTCTCCAACTGTGAACATGTGTAATGTTGTGATTTATGTGTATTTGTGTTTGCATTTAACTTAATATTGTTCGCTAGATGAAAAACAAACTGTATTTCAGGGTACTTATATAAGATTCTTTACAGATATTGTTATTTAGTATTTTGTAATTTCAAACAGTGAGATTACAAAAAAGTATAGTGTTGAGTTATACAGAGAGGAAAGAGAGAATTAATGAGGTCGACTTTTTGGGATGCAATTTGGGGAGGAAAACAGTGGATTGGCTAGATTTGAAAGAGAATGTATACACATGTAAAATTTACTAAGATTATGAATTATTATGTTTATGATTAACTTGTTTGGTCTTTTTTTTTGGGTCTTTTTTCTTTTTTGAAAAAAGACGATAATTGCTGTTCTTTTTTATATTCTTCCCACTTAAATTATACTTGAATGGGTCATCTCTTGTTAGAACTTTCTTTGTCCTGAATTGTCCGTCTTGACTAGGGCAATTTCATGGATCTGCATTTGTGGAGGAGGTTCAAGGGCAGCATGCTGTACTGAGGGACTGTATTGAACAACTAACAGCAGTAGAATCTTCAAGAGCTAATCTTGTGTCGCACCTGAGAGAAGCTCTTCAGGAGCAGGTTGGTTGGCAGACACAGCAAAATATCAGAATTGTCATTGACTGTTATATGAGATTATGATTTTAGGCGAACTAACATGGTTTTGTTGTCAGGAATTCAAGTTGGATCAAGTCCGAGACCAACTTCAGGTTTGGCATGCATACCAATCATCTCCTTTTGTTGTGGAAGTATGACTTAGCTATACAAATGTTTGTTAGTTTATCGCCATCAGATTTAAATTGAATGCCGAAATATATAAACTTTATATACATAGATATTCAACCAAAAAAAAAGGCTCCTGGTAAAACTCTCCATATATATTTATATGCATAGATGTAAGTATTCATAATTGGAAACTAAAGTTAGATTTGTAGATTGGTAAATACCTTGGAAATTATTAAAAATCTTATGCTTTATATGCCTTTCATTTGGGAATCATATGTTGATTCATTGTGGTATTCCATTGGGTTGGCTTGAGCACCCATCCTTGTAAGTTAGGTTGATTTGGAATGCCCTGCATATTTCATCATATATCACTCCTTGATTTTGCATCAATTTTGTGCGCCTTCATTGATTAATTGACTGATGATGCAAAACTTTGTTGCTGTATATGAGCCTCGGCTTTGCATCAATCAAATAACTCATAGCTATATGGTTTTGCAAATTAGATTAGTAAAAAGACACTTGTGATCTGCTAATTATACATTTATACATAATTCTTTCTGTTGCCATTTACAACAAACTCTAGTTGTATAGTGTCTGTACACCTATTAACTTAAGTACTATACATATATTGTTTTCCAGGCCGCACAATCCCAGTCAGAGCAGGCCACTAATATCTGCCATCGGTTATTGAATGGCAACAATATGCAGTCGGCAGCACACCAGAGCTCAAAAGAAGCTCATACCTCTGTAGCACCCCACAGCTTTATGGCGGTAGGTAGAGAACAATCAGCTCCAGTAATGTACACACAGCAGGTTCCTTTTCCCGAAAAATCTGGCCATGTGGAGGATGATCCCCGCAAGTCTGCAGCTGCTGCAGTGGCAGCAAAGCTGACCGCATCAACGTCCTCAGCCCAGATGCTCTCTTATGTGCTCTCCTCCCTGGCATCAGAGGGTGTTATCAGCAATCCAATTAAAGAGCCTTCTGGGGATTATCCACCCGAAAAGAGGCCTAAGCTCGAGAATGACCAATCGTCATCTTACGTACCCCAGAGCTCTAACCCATCTCCATCTCCTCCCATCCCGCATTCTATTGTCCCTACCACCAACCAACAATATACCCCTAGTGAGGCACCACCTCCTCCATCATCTTCTCCTCCACCATTGCCACCATTACCACCAGTACCACAATACCCGGTGTCCCAATATATGCAGGGCGCTGTACCATACAGCTATAGCATGGCCCAACAACAGCCACCACCCTCAATGCCTGATTACCCAGCAGGAGCTCCAGTAAATGGCATTTCTCCCTTCATGGCACCAGGAAATTCTTATCCGAGTTTTCAGGGTTCAGATGGAAAATTCTACAACCAGCAATCATCCATGCAAATGACGCCAATTTCTAGGCAATAAAATTCTCTGTTTCAGAAGAAGGGAGAAGGTTGTGCTGTAGGTGACGAGGGAACTCAATTGGGAAAGAAGAAAAAAAAAATTAGTTAGTGAAGCTTCCCTTTCTCCCTGCAATGTGCCTCTAATTAACTACCTAATTAGAAATGCACATAGTAAATGTCTGTAACTTAGTATTTTTCAACTGCTTAATTTTGTGGATGTTAAATATTCACTCACTGTTGAATGGAGAAAAAGGATATGTTGGTTGGGTTTTAGGGTAAAATTCAGATACACACACACCCAATGGATGAAGTTTGGAGAGATTTTATTATACAAGTTTCTGTAGTTTACTTCCTGTGACATTGATTCATTCCCTGTGATGATTATTTGTTTCATTATATTCAAAAGTGTTAATAACTTAATGTTGTAGTTATTATCTGAATAGAACTTAAGCGTTTGGTTTACGCTGGGACACAAAAACATTGAACCTTATTACAATAGAGATTATAGATTATGTATAATTAATTATAGGAATGAATTGAGGTCGGTGGTGAATTGGTGATGAAAGAATCACGTGTGTATGACGAGGTGCCCGTGGAACTTTTAGAAAACAGAGAGCATGTTTGCTGTTTGGACGTTGCTCTTTATTATTATTATTGTACACCTCTTTTTATAAATAGGTAAAAAGGAATAATTAAAAGTAGAAAAAAACAAGAATAGTGGAAATGGATACAGACAGACCATTGTCTGCTGTCTCATCCTTTACCCCCCCCCATATATATACCTTTAACATGGCCAGCACTGCACCAACTTAATAAAAGCTATCGCCTCTTTCTTTCTTTGGCTATTTGCCTCTTTCAAGAATTCTATGGTAAAAGAATTCTATAGTGAGGGCCTTGCATTATGTATTTCCTTCCCATCCAACTATGTATTGGAATGGGCTTACGTCTTACTTCAAATGGCCAAACTGTATAATATATTTTGTATCAAACTACAAAGAGACAGAAAATATAAAACTAGCTTTCAACCTAGAATTGGAAGAGATGTAATCCAACAACCATGACATACAACGAGGGGTTTGTAGCTTAAATCATTAAAAGTCAGTTACTCATACAACCCAAATAACGCTTTGTGTATATAAAAAATACACATACGGAATATAACATAACATAGTGCCCAACTTGTTAAGAATATTTATTATGTTTATGTTTATCTGATTAAATTGTGGAAATTCTATTCTTTAGGGACTTAGTTGCTAGTTAATAGGAGAGTCTAAATAGTCATGAAGTCATGGTTTAATCGTGGAGTAGTTTTTCCTATTATTTTGTTTAGTTTGCTATTTAAGTTGTATTCAGTATTCAAGTCTAAAGTAGAAGTTTGAATTCCACAAATACGTTCTTGGTTGTTCACATGTTTCGTTATTTTTCAACACAAGTTTGTCTCCCAATACAAGAGTGAAGTCCTGCGTACTAGAGGAATCTAACTCCACCCCTCTCTCTCTCTCCGGCCCCACACAGCATATGGCCAAGAGCAAAGACGTTTGCAAACGACAAACAATTTGGATTAGAGTCATAGTAATTAGCAAACCGTCTTGGTTTGTTTGCTTGGTTAACTGATATGGATTCTGCATGGAGACTAATGTAATGTATATTTGTTTGAAAATAGTAAGACTCGTTATATTTATCTTAAACAAACTCAATAAGATAAGATGATGAATTAATACATGTTTGTTTAAGAAAGCTGTGATTAGAGTTAGGAATAAGTGATTTGAAGCACCCAATCAGGCACCAAGGACAGAAGAGTTGGAGCCACGCGTTGCCGTGTGACAGTTGAGTACTAAACTAAGCTACTGTTGGAAGTTGGAACACAGACGACACAACACAAAGCTGAGTGAGAGTGAGAGTGAGAGAGAGAGAAGACAAAACCACCGACAGATCCCAATACCGATACACTCTTTCTCTCTCATATACCAAAACCAGACTTCCTCTTCATTCATTCATTCATTCATTCAACTGCAAATTAAAACCATTTAAATATTTAGTTTTGTTCTAAACACACTAACAACGAACACAGAGAGCGAGCGCTCAAATTCCTAAAAAGAAGAAAGAACAAAACAGCCTTGATATTTGAAGCCTCCTAACCAGCTATTCTATCTATGTCCATAAAGTAGAACACATTACCAAATAAATACCCAGCTAAGTTTTTAATTATGTATGAATTAACTGATCATGTCATTAGTTTAATATTATATTTTAAAAAAATGAGTAAATAAAGCGTGGTTGTCGAAAGTGAAAGCGACAAACAGGAGGCTATATGGCAGTAAAAGTTGAGAGAAAAAGCAGTCAACGTTGGGCTAACGTCAGCTGGTTCGCAACAAAGGCTGAGAAAAGCCGTCATGTCGTTCCGCTTTAACGGCTCAAGGAGCTATGGGCTATTCAGTATTCTATAGTGTAGGCAGTAGCATTGGTTTGGTGTTGTCGTGTTTTAAAATTAAAAAAAAGGAGAGTTTGAGTTTGCGTCAGACTTTGCTCAACAAAATACATCATCATCGTCCTCCCTCCTCATCCTCATCCTCATATCATATTATTCATACACAGGCTACAGGGCAAGTGCAACTGTGCAACTGTGCAACTGTGCAACTGCATGCCAAACAAACCAAATGTTTGGTCCAACAGTTGCATGCTCGCACCTAATTTTCCATCAAAATTTCTTCTTCATGCTGCCCCTGCCGTGCCCTGCCCCGGGGGCCCATAGACTCTGTTCATCCCTAATTATTATGACAGTGTTCATGTTTAAATTTGTTTACCACCAACCAGCTGGTATAATTCCAGGGACTTCAAACAAGCGTGACATGACATCCTCCATTGATGTTTCTCTTTTTAAGTTTGAAGCACACCCTTAAACTTAGGGTATATCAAGATGGATCCAAAACACTTGCCCTGTGGAAAATTGTTCCACTGCATCCTAAAGGGAACAAATAAATTTTAAAAATTTAGTAAGCCTCCTAACAGAGGAATTAGACATAATACGAGGATCACATCCAAACTATTCTTATAACTTTGAATTTATCCCAAATTATTATAATCTCACGTGCTTAATTAGATCAGCAACTTTGTTCTTGGGGTAATACAAATATTTACATCAGGAACCATGATATAGAATAACTCTGATCGCTACAACTTTAGCATAAAGAAACTCAACTACACGAATATTACTGGAGCGGGGACAATTAATTGGTACGAGTTGCTGAAGCATATAAAGAAGCTTTTCCATTATGACCAAAAAAAGACGAGAAGCTTTTCCATAATTACGTGCCTCAGCAGCTACCAGCTAGCAGCAGCTTCAGACAGATAAACTTATAAATGGACACTCCCACACCTCATTTGGGCTACTCTAACGCACTCCCGTATTGTTTTTTCTCTGCCTGTTCCACTCTAAATGGCAAAAAACTCATATCTGATCAGATACAGAAGAAGATAAACATTACGTACATTGCGACAATTCAACAGCTGAGGATTTGATCACGCTCGCTCACTTGTACGTATAAAGCCAACACCTTTATCCCTCCCTCCCTCCCTGTTCTGCTGCCCAATGCAAAACTTTGTACGATTGAAATTAATGGGTTTTAATTTTCTTTCTTTCTTGATATTCTCTCTCCACGGAAAAGAAAACAAAGAGATTCCCGAGAATCAAAAGTACACACTAAGCTCCTACACTACACCCCCACCGTCGGATCTCTTCAGCTTTGAATACTACATACATCACAATCCTCCCACGGCCATGATTCTATTCTTATCTGGGTTCTTTCGTTTGTCTGTTCAAACCATGGGGTTTGAGCTTTGACCATACATACACATTATTACACATACATGCATGATTTCAAAATGAAAATACCAGGCTCTGATCCTGATCAACTGTCTGCCCAACTATAAAGTCTCATCTAAAAAAACTAAAACACGTACGTACACGGTACATCTTCATCAAAAAGGAGATTCAAGGGCTTACTTTTTCGATCATATATAATTAAATTGGAGATTATATGTTCGTCAAATAAGAGGCAGAAAATTAATTAAAGAGGGTGAAAAGTGACAAGCACAATCGAATAATATCAATTTCTTTTTCTTCGCCCAGGCCTCTGGCTTTTATTAGGGCATCCTTCCTTCCCTTCTCGCCCAAGGCATACCCTTAATTGCCTCAGTGCCTGCACTGCACCATCTCTTCCGTCTGCCAAAAGCACAAAACCATTCTTTTTTTCCTGTTAAAAGGAACATCTCTGCATGTACGGACTCCATCCCTTGCTTTTATTTTACTCTCTCTCTCTCTCTCTCTCTCTCTCTCTCTCTCTCTGGGTTTGCTTTGGTCTACCCTTATATATCTTTAATATTTATTAATTAGTACTGGCAATTGACCAGGGAATGCTTTATATATGAAACCCTGAATAATGAAAAAGTTACTGCCACGCACAGAGGACATGCTGCATACATGTCTAAGCATGCGTGCTGTGAGCCATGGAGCCAAGCATGCATGTGCCCCACCTGCTGCAGCTACATCATTTTATTCATTACAAATTGAAAGCCAAGGCACTTGATCTCATTATCGCTTCTAATATTCTCTTAACTTTAGTTAGCACAAGATTGATATATGCATTTTTACCTGTTAATTTCTGTTTGTAACTTTATATTCAGAAATAGAATGTACGTATCACAGTATCCTTTTTCCCAAACCAATGTAAAATTGAACTTTTCCTTTATCCATACATCGATGGGATGGGAGATAAATAAGATATTCAATATAAAAACATTCTGGAGAACAATTTAGCAGCAGGTATCTCTTAACTGAAAAGGATATACTCAAACAGATAAGCTAGCATATACAAATTATACTTGTATATAATAATAACTAGTAATGAATCCCCATCCCCATCCCCTCACATGTAAAATAGAACAAGAAGAAGACAATATATATTTTTGTTTTTGGACATATGGAATAATTTAAAGTAATTGCTCATTTGGGCAAGATTTTGGATTCGAATCCTAGTATTCGTGTCGTGTGTTACGTTTAGTATGTTATCTACCATCTCAATATAAAATGTCGTAAAAAAACCCTTTTGAGGCAATTGTCCAAAAGGAACGACAGCATGATTTTTTGTATCCTCAAAATAACATTTTAAACCAATTCCGTTAATTAAATAGCTAATAAGATAGTGGTAGTGTAGTAGGGCTTGTTGCAGGAGCTAGAGAGAGAGAGAGAGAGAGAGAGAGAGAGAGAGTAAAGCCCAAAGGGTTTTTAGGGATGAAACTAAGAATCCAAAAATGCGCATGAAGGGTTACGTCAAGAGAAGGAACAACGGTTTGTGATGGGCACGTTCTTGCTTTTTTAATTGATAATTAAATTGATCGCGCAGTAGGGGATAGGTAGGGCCGACAACAAGGACGGACATAGCCGTCTATTACCCAAACTCTCTTCTGAAAAAGTCTGAGCAGCTGAGCTTTATGTCTCATGTCCTCTCTATAAAGCTTTTCCTATGCCCCATTAATTCCATATATTATTTAATTGATCTAGAAATCTCATGTATTTATTCTTATACTAGAGATTTAAATTAATTTTTTCATCCTTAAATATCATTTATATTTAAAAAAAATTAAAAAATTTCATGCATATAAATTATATTCAAGAAATGAGAATTCAAACACAAAACTTCGAGTGAAACACCTTTGTCTCATGTTTTCATTATACCATGAGGAAAAGATCTCCATCTATTTCTCTCCTGCGTGCGCTGACGACTACAATATTAGACCACTACTTTTATATTTTATTCCAAGACTACCCATCAAATAAAATATTTATAAAAAAAGAAAGAAAAAAAAATCAAAGTAGAACCAATAGGCCATAGGCATAGAGACTTGACAACTTAAACGCTCTATAAATACCAACCCTCTCCTCCTCCATTCCTCACTCATCAGTACTTGTCTCAATTTCAAACACTTGTTATAAGTTAGCCAATCCCTGTTTCTAGCTATCTGTTTCTTTACCCCAAAAAATAACCAACTCTGTTCTTTAATATTTGATTTTGACCACAATGCAGTACCAGACAGAATCATGGGGCTCCTATATGCCCACGAGAAGTAGCATGGGCGGCGACCCACTGGAGCGCATAGAGAGGATGGCCTCAGAGAACGCTGTGGTGATATTCAGCGTGAGCAGCTGCTGCATGTGCCATGCCATCAAGAGGCTGTTTTGTGGCATGGGCGTCAACCCAACTGTGTACGAGCTGGATGAAGACCCGAGAGGCAAAGACTTGGAGAGGGCCCTGATGAGGCTCTTGGGCACCTCCTCTGCTGTTCCTGTGGTCTTCATTGGTGGAAAGCTTGTGGGTGCTATGGACAGAGTCATGGCCTCTCACATCAATGGCACTCTGGTTCCTCTTCTCAAAGAGGCTGGGGCTCTGTGGCTCTGAAAATTGATTCTCTTCTTTCTTCAAATACTAGTTTTTTGTTCATTTTTAAGAAAGAGAGAAGAAGAGGAAGAAAATGACTAGGACCTAATTACATAGTAAAAAGTACCTAATTGATGACCAGCAGCAGGGCAGAGGAAGAGGAGTTGCTTTTGTGAGTCCCCCCTAGCTCCATTTTGGACACACTAATCACTAATGCCTCACTCACTAGCTAGCTACTTCATTTCTCTTCTGGGTTTTGTTTTCTTAGTTTCATATGGGTGTGTTGGATTGTCTTCATGCTTTTACTGTGGGTGTTCAGAGATTTGTAATGTAATGGCTCCCTCCTCTGTATACAAAAAAAAAGAAAAAAAAAGAGAGAGTTAATTTCTTACTTTAATCTCTAATCTTGTAATCTCTGTCTCTGTTTTGCATTAAGTTATTTCCACTTAGCACAGCAGCTCCTTAGCAATGTTACATTTTAAGGCTTGGTTGGTTATCTCTAATTTGCCATTAATGTACATGAGTATGTTTAGTTTTCAGCCTTCTGCCTCTTTGCTTAATTTTGAAGTAATACTAATATCAAGCTTAGGAAGAAGAGAAAGGCCAGGCCAGCAAAATATATCCATACTAGCATAAAGAAAAGATGCAACAGCAAAAGGGTAGCTTTTTAGATAATGTGTTCAGTGTGGGATCCAGTACAGACGTACGGCGTCGTTTCTAAACAGATCATACTGGTGCCGTTTCGTCACTGTCCCTTTCCCCATCTCCAGTTAAAGTGGTGCTAAAAACTAAAGCCTAAAAAAGTGCCATGGGGCTGGGTCATGACTCATAAGCAAGCCAAGCAATTCACCCATTTTCCTTTGATTTTGCACATTTGCAATTCCATCTCTCTCTCACTCTTCGTTTTGCGCCGGAAAATTCGCCAGTTTAGTCCCCAACCTTTACTGTGGGTTGGGTCCCAACTTCACTGTGGCAGCCACTCAGATATTGACGGTCCATGATCAAGCTTTGACTGGCCAACTCATTGGATCGGCAAACTTTTCAACGGTGATGACTGATGGTAGGCTCAAGTCTTTTCCTTCTGTTATATGAGTGGGTCCCAGACCGATCTCGACTTGTAGCCTTAGCCCCTTGCAGCCACGTCACTCATAAATTTATCCAGTCAACGACCAAAATGGTCTACGCAACCTGCGGTGGGACATTACAAGACCTCAAGGAAGGTCCACATGGCATTTTCTTGAGATTCTGGGGGATATGTTTTGGACTCGCTAACCCTAAACACATGCTATGTGGTTTGTAGTATGTAGGGAGGGGCGGGGTGGGGGGTGTCCTTCAACTTCCTAGTTTGGGAATTATTTGGGTTAATTTAGCATGAAGTTGGGCTGTGGGCATACGCCATTATCTAACTTGGATTATAGTAGTGTCATAATCAATGTTTTAAAAGGGATGTCATATTCAGGCGAACCAGGTCTAGTTTAGTTAAAAAAAGGTCTTGATTTGCAAGCTAGTAGTTTTAAGTTCGAAGTTCAATAACACTTTGGTAATATGTGTCTGAGAAACTTCCCTCCTTTTTTAATTTAAACTATCGTTTATTTATTTATTTTTTAAAAAATATGCCCTACCCGGAGCATCAGCTTGTAGGAATTAGGATTCGTAGAATGAAATCGACCCCTTCATCCTATATTAAGTCAGCTATAAGCAGCCCACTTCCTGGGTTGGATAGAAATAGAACCTCCTTTACAATCTGAATGCAAAATATATAAAGGAACAAAAGTAACTTTCGGACCTTAAAATTTTAAATTCTGAAGGTTGGCACTGGGCCATAGATGGTTAGATATTGTAAATAAATCAAGATTATGCATGGTTGCTTGCTTGCTTGCTTGCTACTTAGCCGGCGTTAAGCCCAAAATATTTGTGGGCCAAGTCAACTCACACTACTTTCCTGAGGGCCTGGCCTGGTTATATATAGCTTTTGTATAAGACTTGCCGGCCCAAGCTATTCCATTTTTTTTTCAATTAACCTTTATAAAATTATAATACAAACAAACCAAAGAAGAATATGAATTTTCATTATTATACAAACCTATTTTAATTTTTTTTTCACTCATATGTAATTTATTTACACTAACACCCCTTGAGGTTTTTGAGTTTTTCACACAATCTCATGAGATTTTAGAAACTATACAAACACTCCCTGAGTTTTTAAATTGTTTTCACAAAACCTATTTTCGTTTATTTTTCTTCCAAGAATTATAAAAATAAAAATAAAAATATCCAAATGACAAAGTTAGTCTTTAAAATTAAATTTCATATACATTCATTGAGGTTAACTTTATCATTTGAATAAGGTTTTTTTCAATAAAATCATCAATAGTTAGAGGAACAATCAACGAAAAAGGATTTTGTGAAAACAATCTTAAATCTCAGGGGGTGCTAGTGTAATTTTTAAAACCTCAAAGAGTTTTGTGAAAAACCATCAACCTTCAAGGAGTGTTAATATAAATAACTCTTTTAAATACTGATATATTTGAATATCCAAAAAACCCATACGTATATAAATTGATTTTTTGGTTTTTGATAGATACATATAAATTGGTTGCATATATTAATTTTGGTAGAAGTCCATAAAAACTGTCGTGTATACGGTGTGAGAGAAGTAGCTTAGCAATTAGCAATGGTGTGAACTTGACCGGTGCGCAGCTAAATTTGCGTGGCATGGCAAACGGCAACGGTCTCCGTGTCTCACCCACGCGTTAAGATCTCCTTCTAAATTCTGGTCAATGTGAACGACACAGAAAGAGAGGCACCCTTGCTACTCCAATTTCCTACTCTACACGACCCAATCACTCTGCGCCACCTAACAGCCAACCCTAATGATACTCTTCCCATTGCCTACAAATTTCAAGTACAAGTATCCCATGGTATAGAGGATCCAGATTCTCTTCTTCTTACATGGTCAATTTTACTGACAAAAAAAACCACAGAGATATCATTTCTCTCTCTCTCTCTCTCTCTCTCTCTCTCCAGTCTATACTATTTACTGACACGATTCGAAATCGAAATCTCACTTTTCTCTCTTCGTCCCAAGAAAATTAGAAAAAGAAAGCGATTGCTTCTGAAACAAAAGCATCATCATATGTAATTTAAAATTGTCTATTTCTGTCTAAGAATAGCTGAAAGAGGCAAGATCAGGTCTAGGGTTTCTTCTCGCCAAAACCCTAAGCACACTCGCAAAGCTCTTCCTTTTGCTCAATCCCTATCTTCTCTCCGGTATGTTTTATTATTACTCCAAAAATTGCGGATTATTTCATCGTACTTTTAATTTATACGCGCTTTTATCTTCTTTATTTGTTTATGAATTATGTCCGACAACTTTTTAATTTTCTTTCTTCCTGTAAATGAAAAATCATCGGGAGGCAATGCAGTGAACAAAATAGCTAATTATTTGGGATAACGAATTGAATTGTGGTTAATTTTCTTTTGGTGGTCAGGAGCCAAACAGAGTTTTTGACTGGGGAAGAGGTGTTGTGGGATTTCTTTGCCTGAAGAAAGGTTCTGGGGAAACGTTTGGTTGACTGGTTCAATTGGCGGAAGGTTTCAACTTTCCAATGCCGGAGGAGGACCTGGTTGAGCTTAAGTTCCGTCTCTATGACGGATCGGATATTGGTCCGTTCCGCTACTCACCCGCATCCACAGTGGCAATGCTCAAGGAGAGAATCGTAGCTGAGTGGCCTAAAGGTCAGAGACTTCCACTTCGCATGTGATGATTTTGCAAATTTTTTTTTAATTTTTTTTTCCGACTCCGGACATACTCTGTTAATAGAGGGATGCCACTTTGATGGATGTAATGTTTTTCGAATTTGCCTTCTTTATCAATAAAAACAGCTTGCACAAATTTCATTTGGATAGCTCTTGTTGATGCATCTGTTGGATTTTACATTCTCATGCTGCGTTTCTCATTTGGTGGGGGAAGGGGGTTTGGAATTTATGAAAAAACCAATCTTGTTTCAATCTTGTTCCCTGACTCCAAGCAACCAACTCCCACAGTATGAATCTTAACATGTTCTCATGTTGAGATAGAAGATTATAATTTCTACTTTGAACCCAATTTTTGCTGTTGTTTCCGATTTGAACTTTGTTTCAGTTGTTGCATATTTGTGTAGTTCTGGTATATAGAATATATTTAAATTAAGTGTTCATATTCAACATGGAAAATCTATGTTCAAGCTTTGGAATTCGGCTAACAAAGTTCCACTTGCTTGATGTTTGAGGTGTGTGGGAAGTGAGAGTTTGCATATGGGTGAGAAAGCTTAATGGTCACATAAATACCATTGTCTGCAGAATAGGAAATGAGTATTGTAAAGCTGATTTTTTGTTTCTTGTGGACCAATGAGGTTTCTTTTTTGACAAGTAGGCTAACATTCTTAAATAGTTATGTGGTTGGTAACCTTGGTAAACATTCGAAGAATCTGAGCTGTGATCTAGATGTGCTATCTGGTTGCACAGGACCTAGTAGCAGTATAGTTAAAGTAGGGGGTATTTGAGCTGTAAAACACCACTTCTAATTGGTGGACCCAGATTATGGTGCTTGTGAAAAACCATTTTTATAGGATTATTTTTTACATGACATCTGTTGGGGCTGAATCATTAGTCTGATAGACAGTGTCTGCATTGTGTAACTTCTCTTGGTCTTCATGCTTATGAAGGCAGTATTTCTTTTATGATAATTATAGGAGTTGGGATCAAGGATCTATTTAGACTATGTCCTCAGTCAATGCCTATACCACATCAACAAGGACAAATCTCTAAAATATCGTGTTTTTAGACAATATGTGTGATATCATACTATGTGCAAATCTTTTTGAATTGAAATTACTGCATGCGTATCTGTATGATGTTAAGGCGTTCCTAATTCTGCTACATTAATTATGGCTTTCACTGTCCTATTGTCTTATGTGGCCTTTTTTTTTCTTAATTTTATTATTTTCTTGCGCTTCTTAACTTCATTCTGCTTATCATTTTCCATTCTCTAAAATTAAAGTGTTGTGGTCTTAGATAAAAAAATTGCACCAAAAGGAGCCAACGACATAAAATTGATAAATGCTGGGAAGATTTTGGAAAACAACAAGACTGTTGGTCAGTGTAGAGCACCATTTGGAGAGCTTCCAAGAGGAATTATCACCATGCATGTTGTTGTTCAGCCTTCTGTAACAAAAGCAAAAACAGGTAGTTTTCATCCTAAATTGTTTAATGTAATAGCTCTGGTTCTGTGAAATTGGTGCTTTGTATATATGTTTATGCCTGTTAGGTTAGATTTCTTATGATTATCAATTAGACTAGCAGCCAAAATGTTTTGCCCTGGTCACGGCTGGTTTGTTACTGGCGAGGAGGGACACTGCCTACTTTTTGTCTTGTTCAATACCATGAACTTCAAGTGGACTATTGTTGTCCTTAACACCACCAAAGAATAGTTGAAGTGTCATTTACCTCTTATTGCTAATTCTTTTTTGGGCAATCATGGGCACCTTGGGGTACCCTTGTAGGTGATTGTCGTTGTCGCTAAGCAACGTGAAGAAAACTTTTGGTTCCATTTTGTTTTATATATTATGAAGGTGCTTGAAGTCTAGTATATTGCAACTGTGATGAATTCTATGTTGAAGACTGACTTTCGAAATAAAGACATCCATCAACTGCAGCTGCTGAATATTTGTTTTGTTTGTTTTCATAAACAGAAAAGAAAGTTGATGAGGCCCCAAGAAAGAATATGTGTTCATGTTCGATATTGTAAAAGAGTAAGTCTGGGTGAGCGTGGTGAAGACTGTGAGTGAGGCTGCGTTGGGGTTCCTGGGGTCTGCTGGAACGTGGAAATGAGTAACTGGAGAGAAAATAATTTGTACAACAGTCCAATCCCCCATTGTCACATGTGTTGTTGGAGGGAAATCCTGTGTAACAGTGAATATTAGTGAAGTATTTGCGTTTTTCTATATAAAATGGGGTGCTTGATGTATTTTGGTAGCTTAGTATCTATTTTAAGAAATTATTTATACGAAGCTTATGGGAATTGAATTGTCGATGGTTGGTGCCTCTGTTTATACTTAAATTCATGCCAAAATGGTACAATAATGATAAAGGTGTTGATTGTTGAGGTGAGGCAAGGCAAGGATGAGAGCAAGAGCACAACACTAATTTTGAATCAAAATTCAACAGGGAAACAATGTACAACGGAATAAACTTGGCCTTCTCTTCCTTTTTGGACAGGGGATGTGGTAGGAAGACAGGGGAAGTGGTAGGAAGAAAAAAACAAAACAAAAAACAAAAAAAGTACTATTTTAGCCTCGCATTTTAAATACGTGGCAAATTCTTTGTTTGTTTGACTGTTACAAATTAGTATTTGAAATGTCAAACCCATGATGATGTAGTAGGAAACAGATTACCCGCCTAATATAGTGAATCAGTTATGGATAATTGATTTAAATTGCATCCTTTATACCTTGTAGTAACAAATTAGATATCAGCGTCATAATCCCCCCCCCCCCCCCCCCAAAAGGAAACTAGAAATCAATAATAAATCCCTCCCCGATCATCTTACTTACCACTAAGACCAACACACCAATTGTTTATTATCAGATCTCAGGGTCCAGTGGTTACGACAGAATGCTGGACGAAAATCAGAGCCCTGTATTGATCAAGAAAGAGAAAGAAACCATTATTTATACTTTCTAGATCTTAAAACAAGAATCTGATTAGAAGGAAAAAAAAACAGAAAAGAAAACTCCAATGAAGCAGGCACGTACGTGTACGTAATAGCAAAAACAAGTTGAATGAGATCATGAGCAAGTTTAGCATCTCCATGCAGAAGCAGCCATTATAGACCTGTCCTGCCACCCCAAGAGCAAGCAACCTTTGTCCTCCGTCATCCTATACCCATCACATGAATACAAACCCAGCAATATCTTCGACTGAGTCACCGCGTTTGCACTCAGCGCCACGCTCTTAAACCCCTTGCTCTCCATCACCTTCCTCCACTTCTCCAATCTCTCATGCCTCTCCGTCCTCTCCGCCCCTTCACACGCCACAATGTTCCTGATATCCGGTGCAAATATGTACTGCTCCACCTTCGCCCTCTGTGCTGAGTCAGGCGGAAACGTCGCGTCCAGCGAGTCGAAAATGGCCGAATAATAATGCAGAGCCTCAAGAAACCTCCCCAAAAAGTAGGGCCCGTTATGGCTCGCTTCCTGTTCTACCAAAGTCACGATATTGGGTGCTTGGTCACGGATCATTGCTAACACGTTCCCAAGATAATTGCCCGGAACTCGGTGGAGTCGGTTCACAGTGTTCACGGCCAGGGCTTCTCCGATCCTTCGGTTGAACATGTGTGGCTTGAGATCTTCGAGTTGTTCCCCGACTGCGTGAAATTCAAACGGGACATGAAGAGAGAGGGCTAATTCGGTCAAACAACGGCCCGTCTCTTTCACAGCCTCTATACAGGGGCCCACCCCGGTTATCCGCAGAAACGGAGCTCCGCCGGGGCGGGCTGCTAAGGCTTGCATGAAAGCCGGCCACTGATATCCTTGAAGGATATCGAGGTCGATGACGTGGACACGTTCTTCGGACTCGAAGGCCTCGAAAATGGCTTGGTTGGCGGTGAAGTGGGCGAATTTAATGTAGGGGCAGGCTTGGTAGACGATCTGGTAGATTTTGAGGATTTCAAGGGAGTTGGGAGGGAAAGGGGAGAAGGGTTTAGGGGCGGAGGCAGCTGGGTTGGTTGTTAGAGTGGCGGTGAGGCGGGCGCTTAGGGCTTCCGTGAAGCAGGAAGCGACACGTTGCATGGAGTCGCCGAGAGGCGACACCACTCGGTTGAGGTGGTGGAGATACCTTCTGGCTAACATGAAGTCTTCTTTTGCAACTGCCTCTGCACAAGCCAGAAGGAGGTGAACCAGTTGGAGCCCACTATCTTGTTCCTGTTGCATATACATAAACATAGAGATATTTTGGTGGGTCAATTAATTTGAAGAGTTTTGGAAGCAGAAAAAATTAATAAGTTGATGACGTGGAAGTTTATAGAAATATTAAGATATAGAAATTCACCTGTTCAGGAGCCATAGGAAGATTAGGGGCCATGTAATTAAGGTTCTGATGGAGTTGGTGTTTTATGGGATGCATCAGCGGCTGTTGTTGTTGTTGCTTCTCTTGCTGGCGTTCTTGTTGCAGTTGCTGTGATAGTGGTGCGCCACAGTTTGAGCCCATCTGCCGATATGCACTGGCCCTGCTTTCTTGGGTCATTTGAGAATTACCTGCCGTAACCAACGACGTTTCACTCACGGATCGGCTAAACCTTGAAGAATTCTGCATTGGCAGGCAGTCCAAGGGGGCAGCTGGAACTGTTGAAGATGTTGGCATGTCATGAGGATTATAAGACTGCGATGAGGTTCCAGACATCTTCGATGATGATGTTGTTGTTGTGGTTGTTGGATTTTGGTAGGCTGCTATGAAGCTGTCTCTTTGATAGTCATCCAAGAAGTCTTCAATAGATGCAGGAGGCATTGACTGCATGTTCTGATCAGCTGGCTGCATATATTGATTGACAGGGGAGTTGAAGACCCTTCGGAGAGGGCTCAGTCCCTTCCCTTTGGGGTTGTGGGTGCTGCTGAAGGCTCCAAGATGAGGTGAAAACCGAGGAGGAGAGCAACCTGAGAGGCTCTGGCCCTGCATGGACTGAGCATAGTTGTAATTGTAATTATTATGAGCAGCTGATAAGGAAGCGCCTGGCTGGGGTGAATCAGGCATGTTGTTTGGGACTGGCGATAAGACCATGAAGTCGGTATCAAACTGCTCTGAGAATAAAGACTCCCATATGGAATGGTCGGGTGATTGGACTTCAACATCACCGTCTAACTCGAACTTGAGTGTTGGAAAGTTGAGGCTGGGCGGGGTTAGGCTGCTCTGCTCCATGTCAGAGGATGGAGGAGTTGTGGATTTCTTAGATTCGGACATGGGAATGGACATGGTTGTCGATTCGTTCGGAGATGGTGGTTTGAGATCGGAAGTGCATGAGATTTCACTCTTGATAGACCCCATACTCCCACAAAGAGAATTCATCATCATTATGATGATTAATTTCCTTCTACCAAATACTAATAATGTAACGTAGAGTGACAAAATATATATATATATATAGACTAATTAGCCAAATTAAAGCCCCAAAAGATGATTAAATTCTCTCACTAGCTATGATATTAAAGTAAACTAATCAGCCCTTTGACTCTTTTTGAAATGGACAATTCAATTTTGCTCTCATGCATGAAGCTATTGGTAGCTAGAGCCTAGAACCTAGGGGAGTTGGTATGGTATAGAGAAAGAGCAGAAACTTTTTTTTTCCTCTCTACTTATTGCCGGAAGGTGGGGTAGGGGGGATTTGTCTGTTGGCCCAGATTTGTGCAAGAAAGGGGAAGAGAAGTAGAGGGACAAAACCCAAAACGATTGGCTTTGTGTTTGTAGGTAGTGATTGATTACCTCCATTTCATCTCCTCTGTACCATGCATAGCTGTTTTCTAGGGGAATAATTTTGTCATCTTCTGTACCTGCTTAACTGTATGTTAGTAGCTAATGGCCTCGGGGAGCATAAGAGACAAATGTTGAGTTTGTCCGGGTCCCACCTTCCCTGGGCCGGCCCAGCTGAGAACAAGGAGGTTGGAATAGTGATGGCATATCTTCTTGTAATTTGATTTCCCTTTTAAATTAATATTTTCACTCTTCCTTGGTTGGTGAATTTGGGATTGGTTATTGGTTGGACGAGAATAACAAATGGGGAAAAATCTAGGGAAAAATGGTTTCATGAAATAAAAAAAAGGGAAAATAGAAAAACTAATAGGACAAGATGGGCTTTTTAATCATCGCAATTGCGAAAATGACTTCAATAATGGATATTGACAAAGAGAGAGGCACCAAGGCTTGCATGTCTCTTCTCTCTTCCCTTAGACGACTTTCGTAGCATAAATTTGTATGAAATTTGGGTAGCTAGAGGTTGAAGGAACGTACAAACGTGATATTGGAAAGAGATTGAGTAGTGTAATAAACGTTTTGTAACATGCACAAATGGTCCACTAACAAAAGATGAATATAAGATCAATTGTAAGTTGATATATTAAACAACGGGGAAGTTGAATATCCTAAATATAGAAGTGGGGAGAGCAAATGATCTTAATCATTTGAATAACATATTGCTAAGACTATTCGAACATTGAGAGTATTTTTGCTCACCACTTTAATTCAATTTGTACAATTATCACATTTCTCAATACTTGACACATGTCCATGAGCATAACCATGGTTCCATAAATACAAAGCAATTATCACATTTGTAATGATGGTGATGATTTAGGATAAGTGGTGGGAGAGTTGTGAAAATAGAGAAAGACAAGGGGATGATTTGAGAGAGAGAATGAAGAATTGAGAGTGAGAGGAAGAGGGTGAGGTGGGAGGAAGAAAGGGATGAGACCAAGAAGGAGACATAGGCAAAGTCGTCGGATGTGGCGTCGGTGGCGCCGCCTAAGCCTTGTATTTGCCAAAGGAATGAAGCGTTTGTCTTAACTCGCAATCCTTTTTCCTGAAAATGCCCCTCTGAGGCGGCAACTCAACTCATCAACAACACTCAAATATACTCACTCTTTTGTCTGCACTCTTGTTTTGCCTTCCCATCTTCAATATCAATATCAAAACCAATCTAACTTGACTAACTAATAACTCATCACCACCTTGCATATATGATATTATTAAGTGGTTAATTTCCGACATTTATATGATTTTCATATGAATTAATTGGAATGAAGAGGCAATGGTGGGATTAAAAAGAAAACAAAGGGAAAAAGAAAGTGCAGTAAAAATTGAGCTACGTCCAATCCAATGCGGGACAACTGTATGGTCTGCTCCGCTGGCTTGGCTTGGACTATATTATGCCCAAGCACATGGCTAGGTCAAACTAGAATCTGTATTAATCAATTTTATTGAAATAATTGTCAACTCTGTCTGTTGCAAATCCCACATTGGGCTTCAAATAATTGAGCCGGGACCCAACAGACTCCTGCAATTGGATATTTGAATTTGATTTCATGGGCCCTGAAAATAAATGTGGGGTCTTGTCCTGTTATGGATGTTGGGTTGAAACTTGAAAGAGAGATGAGATTCAGATTAGGGACTTTGAATTAATTAAAGCCCATAAGTACAGTACTTTGGATTGACCTCACCTTCACTTTATTTAGTGAACTGTGGTCCTGTCCTGTCCTGTCCTGTCCCGTGCTGTGGTGGTCATAAAAGCTATCTTCAGATTTCTCCATAACACAAACTAACTTTGGTTTAGTTTAAGAGCCAAGTAACATAGCAAACCCTAAACTACATACATGCAGAGATTTATTATATTAATTTCTCCATTGTTGTGGTGTAGTTTAGACAGACTAATAGTATACAGAGTTTGCATAAATAAAATGAGCTTCCGTGTTATTGGATGTTTTCGAATTTTATTTTGCATGAATTAAATACTATACTCTCTTCTCTCTCTCTCCCCTACACATCAATTACACATCTTGCCAAATGACATTCACATGTCTATGTTTGTAGTGAAAATGATAAAATGTCCCCAACTTTTTGCTTACAGTTGGATATCCATCATCTACTGCTCTCACTCACTATCCACACAATACACTCATCTTCAACAAGGTGATAATAGTCTCAAAGCTTTTCACAGAATAAGCAAACTCTTCATCCTCACTCTCTCTCTCTCTCTCTCTCTCTCTCATCTGATCCATTGTTGCCATGAATCCACTAGTTCTCTTGGTTATTTCATCTTTGTTTTTCCAGTCAGTATATTTGGGAGTTGAAGCAGCAAAAGCTAGACCAGTAAAAGGTACCACCCGGTCCCAGATTATTGTAATGGGTCTTGTTTATTGTGACATCTGCTCCAACAACACCTTCTCCAGACACAGCTACTTCATACCAGGTCACATTTCTCAACTCTCATTACTTATACATACTACTATTGTAAAGCTATATATATATATATATGTTGCTTAATTATTTGTTTAAAAGTGAAGTTAAAATAGATTTCCAGCAGGTGCTGAAGTTAAAATAGATTGCATGTTCCAAGCAGTCTCACCAAGAACCTCAGAACATATATCATTCTCAGTGAACAGAACTACAAACAAATATGGGGTCTACAAGTTGGAAATCCCAGCTGTTGAGGGGATCAAGTGTGCACAGGATTCAGCAATAGTTTCATCCTGCCAGGCAACCTTAATGTGGAGTTCATCTTCAGCATGCAATGTTCCTGGTTACAAATCCACGTCAGATGAAATAGCAGTCAAGTCAAAACAAGCCAATCTCTGCATCTACAGCCTAAACTCATTGAATTTCAGACCATCAAAGAGAGAGATCACCTTATGTGGGAAGAAAAATTAGGAGTTCCCTTCCCTGTGCTTCATTTTCACCCAATTATTACCCCTCCCTTTTCTAAAATCCCTTCTCTCTCCTTTAGTCCAAGACCATTTTAGCCTTCCATCCCCCCTCATGGTTCTTTCAGTCAATCACCAAGATCATCTTTAATAATTTTTGGTTTCTGCAATATTACTTGTATGGTTGTTTGTGCTGTACTAGCTATATATATATATATATATATATATATTGTAATAAGGGAAGGAGGAACTACAAATATATTCCACCAAAAAGGAACTAGAAATACATCTGCTAAACTTAATTAATTATTGATTATAAACAAATCAATGAAGCGGTTTCATGAAAGAATTGGATCAGTATTTAACAAAAGAAATCAATGTGCATGTTCACACAACATTGCAAGATTAATAAACAAAAGAAAAAGAAGAATTTTTAAAATCCAGAACCAAATCAATGAGGCTCTGAGCGCTTTGGCCATTTTCACCTGATCTGATCTTCAGCAAAATAATCACATGATCCTATTTATGATCTTCGATACACATGCATTACACCTGATCTCGCTAGCTCCTTTAACCGATTGTCTGCTAACTTCACGAGCCTTGAGCCTTGAACCTTGAGTTACAGTTGATGCGAGCCTGGCTAGGCCAGACTACGCTACCTGCTTCAATTCATAATAAAACTATCTGAGGGGAGAAGGGTTTCATGGTTTTTTCTTGAATATGGAGGAATTGGGGTTTCCATCAAATAGCTCATCAATGTACGTCTCTATATCTTCCGCCTGGAATTTGATGTACTTCTCTGTTTGCCTCCCCGGGTCCAGCACCTGCGAGAACCTCCCCAAGAACGACCGGTACGCCGGAATCACCACCGCCGATATCGAAACCCTGAGCTCCGACTGAAGCTGCTCGTCGCTGACCACCCACGTGCTCTGCGTCTTGTGAATCTCGTCGAACAAGGCGTTGAAGCTCTTGAACCTCTCCTTCAACACCGGCTTCGCCACCTTCCCGTGCACGGTCAGCCCCTCGTGGCCCAGGCACTGCAACAGCCGGCTCCACGTCTCTCTCTGATAGTTCTTGTGGTACTGCCTCAGATCCGACGACCTCTTCCTGCACCACGTGTCCCCCATACACGAGTTTATCTCCGTCGACCCTTTGATTTTCTGCAAGATGTAGCGGCCGTTGTTCATCATGAAGATGGAGCTCAACGCCGAGTCCTTGTACAGCTTCGCCTTCGCCTCCAGATTCGAGTCCAGCAAGTCCATCACTCGCATCAGCTGCAAATAGAACGGAGATTGGTGGTCGCTCTGCTCGTTCGCGTTCCCCGACGACATTCCCTCCCCTGCCTCGTAGTCATGATCGGGCCTGCTCGTTGAGTCGGCACGTTCGATCTTCGAGTGCTCTCTGAATACCAATTCCAGCGTCTCCTTGTACTCGCACGTGTTCCTCAGGTAATTCATCATGTAACGGGTCAACGGATGGACCGCACCACCCGGGACCGGGTTCCGCCCAGTCTCAGCCTTAATGGAATTCTCCAGATCACAGAAAATGAAAATCACCGCCTCCCCAAGCCGGCTCCGAACCGTGGTGGTCTCCGCTTTCAGCTCGTTCACGCACTCCACGGGAAACAAATTGTCCATTTTTGGAACCACCTCGCGCAAGGCCTCGTACATATCCAGCGTCTTGAATAGCTTCTCCGCCGACCGCTTCGATATCACAATCCCTTCGGCAAAATTCAGGAGCCGTATGATCACTCCTCTCGTCAGATTGCTGAACAGGCTTGATGAGATGGAAGGGTAGTCAGCGAAGACGACCTCGGCTAGCTTGCGCTCGCCGGAGAAGTAGACGGCGGCACATTCCTTGAAGGCCTTGATCCACGACACGACCTCTCTCTCCAGCGCTTCCCAGTTCATTTTCTGAATGTCGTCGAGGCTGTGCTTCTCTAAGCCCAGCTTGTGCAGAGTCTCATCGAAAGCAAGCCTCCTCGAGATTGTATAAACCTCGCAACACTCGGTTTCGTATCCACCTGATATCATCTCCTTGGCTATCTTGTTCAGATTGTTCACCACCTCCTGAGCGTATCCAAGACAAATATCAGCTTGTAATTGATCTCCGCCGCCGCGTGACTCAGAATAGTCCGGCAACATGCAGCGGTCCTGTTCTTGATCCTGCTGCTGCTTATTATTATTCCCGCCTTTATTGCCGTGGCTGTTGTGGTCTTTATCACCAGCCGAGGGAGTATTAGGCTCCGTGCAGTGTCTAGATTCTTCGAGAAGCATTCTGAATTCTTCTTCGAGATACAACAAGGCTCTGTGCTGAATGCTTCCGAGGCGGTTGATTAATGCGCCGTGACTCTCTTCGAATTTCAATCCAAGGAAAGACAGATACTTGCTCAGCCTCCTTATCCGATCCAGAGCTTCCAAGAACGACGCGTCCTCCTCTGGCACCTGGCACCACTTGATCTTGCTCTCCCCCGAGTCGCGTTTCGCTATGACCTCATCTTCAACCAGATTCATGAACTTTTCCACCAGCTTAGGGAGCTCTTCCGGAAAGCTGAGGCCGTCGTCGTTTTCATTTTTCTCGCTGGGCAGAGACGAGATGCAGCGGTCCAGGTCTTCAGACACCTTCTCGAGGCTGGGATCTTCTTCTGGTTCGGGTTCGGGTTCAGGAACTGGATCTTCAACTACTACCGGATCGCTTTGACCGTCATTCTCAGTCTTAATCTCATTCTCATTCTCATTCGGATCTTGGTGCTTTTTGATTTCATAATCCGGGTCATCACCGTCGGTATGAAGATGAACCGCGGTCTCGGATGGATTCACATTGGCATTATGATCATCAGGCTTTGCAGTGGACTTATGATCATGATCATCAATATTATGATGATCAGCCTTTGGAGTAGAGTTGGGATCATCATGATCAGGCTTTGTGTCGGTGGACTTGGGATCATCATGATCAGGCTTTGTGTCAGTGGACTTATGATCATCCTCAGGCTTTGCACTAGTGGACTTGTGATCGTCATTAGGCTTTGAAATTGCAGCGGAGGAGTCGGGTGACGGTGCGTCGTGTTTGGGCTGATCATCCTTCTCTGGGAGGTTCTTCTCCATTTTGCTTTTGTGAGAATATGTGGGATGGAGATCACAATGGGAGGAGGAGGAGGAGGAGCTGGGAGAGGGTTTGATGAAGAAGAAAAACAGATGCAATGAGGACGGAATAACTATCCGTTCATTTCATTCTTGGTTTGTTTCGGTTTTAGCAAATAATAACAAAATTCTTTTTGTTTTTTTGATGCTTTGATTTTGTTTTGTGTTTTGTTAAGGTGTGGATTGAAATGGTCGTTGTAAAGGGCGCGAGAGAGAGGGTGGCATGGGAGAATGTACGGACGCAATATTTTCTGGAGGGGAGCTATAATTTGCTTGGTGGACTCGATTTGTTTGTTGGTTTGTTGTGCACTGGTGGTTAGAATTTTGGAATTTTTGACCGTTGACTGGCCTTCCCTTCCTCCCCCACCTTCTTTTTGTGGTCGCCACGTCTCCCTCGCTCGTTCCCTTTTTGTTTTTATTTTTCTTTTATTTTCTATGGACTGAATTTATTACTTGACTTAGTAGTGGGCCACGAGGCACGGCCTGAAAGAAAACAACGGTGGCCCAACCCAAATCCACTCAACACTCGCCACTCTGTGTGCGTGTTTCAGTAACTGAGCTTCTCGAGAGGCAGAGGTAGATCTGTGGCTTCAGATCCATTAGCCACACAGAAAAGGATAGGAAAAAGATGAGGTATGGTGTTTGGAGAAGGAGACGGGTGTCTGTAGGATCAATTCTGATAGTGTGTGCATTGTGTGCTGGAATGGGGCTGTTGATGCTCAACTTAAGACAAGTTGATCCTCCAACGAGCCCCGATTTCCCTATGCAAATTCACAATTCGGATTCGGAGTCTGAAAGCGGTGGTAGGGTTGGGGTTGAGGACGAGCCTGAGAACAAGAGTAAGAGAAAATCCAACTCCTGTGCTACGGTGGAAGAGATGGGAAAGGACTTCAAAGGAGGGTTCTGGGAGGAAAGTCTCAGAGTCAGGAAACTTATTCAACATCACTTTGACTTGAATGGTATTTTTCTATTCTCATTTTCCTTAGGCTGATTGTTAGTGTTAAATGTAATATACATGCTACCTGATTCTTGTGATAGTCCCGAACATTGAAATTGGTCCTGTTCTTAATTTCTCAGCTTCTTTTAAGATTTTACATTTGTGTGAGATACATTTGGTTATGTTCTCTGATTCTGCTTGAACAATTCTACTAGCACTTTCATGCTTTGCCTGCCCATTTTCTGACTCCATCTAGTGTATTTATTCCTCACAACTACTCCCAGTCAGGCCATCCATCTTTCACATTCTTGTTCCATATACAAGCTTTTTGTTATTTTAATCTATATATTTCACTGAATTTGCTGATATCCTTATGAAAAAAAAAGTGATTTTTAATTTCTTATTTGTTTTTTTCAAACTCCATAGCATCCTACTTTGAGTGTGGAACCTGTGATTCATCCTATAGAACTTATGAGAGATGAAAGCTCATACGACTCATTCAATTTCAGGTGCTTCCCGGGTCCGAAATCTTCCTCCGGAACAGTTTTGTCAGCATGGCTTTGTGATGGGTAAAGCATCAGAGGCAGGTTTTGGGAATGAAATGTACAAAATTTTAAGTGGTGCAGCATTGAGTATACTTTTAAACCGGTCCCTGATCATTGGGCAAACCAGGCATATTGGTTCTTTCTCAAGCCTTTCTTTTCTTGTATTTCATAAGTTCTTTTTCCCTGCGGTAACCTGAATTGTTTGAAAACCTTGGTCTTTTGGCTTACCCCCATATTATTATATGTTATATATTGCTTGTTTCTTATAAAAAAGAAGAAGTTATATAGAGCTTCCTTTGAATGTTTATTAGAATGCCCCAGAAGCAGTGCTGTTGTGGGAACCTATAATTTTACACTTCAATCATTTTTCATGTGCCTTGGATGCATTCTTCGCAACTCATTCAATGGTTTACCTTAGCATTACCACATAATGGGGTCCAACACACATTGACACAAGTAGGATCATCATATCTAAGTTGCAGCAATTCATGCCTTTTCTTGTGCTCACATCAGTGTTGCTTATTTCAGGGGAAAATTCCCTTTCGGGGATTACATTTCTTATTCCAACGTTTCCTTTACCATGAGAGAAATTAAGCATCTGTGGAGACTTAATAAATGTGTTAAGAAGTATGGAAGGCGACTGATTATGAGGACTGATGACTTTGAGAAGCCAACACAGACAAATGTCCTTTGTAGTGACTGGAGGAAATGGAAGCAACCTATCATATGGTAAAGTGAGACAAATTTCAGATAACTCATCATCAGATATCATCACATGATCATTAACATTAATCCTGCAGGTTCCAAGGTACAAATGATGCTGTGGCAGCCCAATTTTTCTTGAAAAATATACACCCCGAGATGAGGAATGCTGCTTCTATTTTATTTGGAAAGCCAGAGGTTCTCCATTCTCGGCCTAATGTATTTGGGGAGCTGATGAGAGTGCTTATAACTCCTTCTGAGGATGTTGAGGATGCCGTCAATTGGGTTCTTGGTGGAGTGGAACCTGATATTTCACTGCACATGCGAATGCTCATGAATAAGTAATGCAACCTCCCATTTATTTCATTTCTTGATTAGGTTAAATCTTGAATTCAGAAATAGGTTAAATTTTGCAGCCAATTCATGGTGAAGTGTTATTATCCTTAAACTTCCCCTGTTAGTTGATACCACACCAATTATAACGTGCACGCATGCATCAGAAAGCTTTCACACACACTCGACACTCCTCTGAGTTTTATCAATGATGCAGGTTTTTGCCTCGTGTTTTCCAGGTCTATCAGAGCTGCACAGGCAGCATTGAACTGCATCAGAAAAGCTAAGCAAAATCTTGGCAAGTCACCAAGACCCCGGGTAGTCATAGTGTCAGATACTCCCTCTCTTGTGAAAAGTATTACACCAAATATAAGTAAATTTGCAGAGGTAATATACTTCTACACTGGCATGTTACAAATTATACTGCATAATCAGCATTGTATAACACTCATGAAATTATGAATTTTATAATAAATACCACCTGTGTGCGTCCCCTATTTGTGGCCACACATTGTGTAACTCTATATAACTTTGTTCTCATTTAAATCTGTAGTCAGGAATGCAGCCTTAATTTCTTTCACCCAAACGAGTTAAATACTTCAAGAATCTCTTTTTTTATAGAAATTGTTTAACAATCGAATTGTGTACTTTTGATTCTAATTGAATTGTGGTTTTCTTAGGTCGTTCATTTTGATTATGAACTTTTCAAAGGAAATATATCTGATAGCAGAAAGGGATTGCACAGTTTAGAGTTTAGGATGAAAGATTGGGGCCCAGCGCCCAGATGGGTTGCCTTTGTAGACTTCTTTCTTGCATCACGTGCAAAATATGCTGTTGTGTCCGGGGCTCACAGGCGTGTTGGGACGACTTATGCACAGTTAATTGCAGCACTGGCTGCAGCAAACAATCTTGGTACATGCATACATATAGCGTTTGGATCATTTCCTTTAACAAATGTTGCTCAAACCTCGAAGTGTTGTAATGTTCATTCTATTCTATCTTTCGCAGGCGACAAACCAACTGGTTCTAAATTTGCATTTTTAAGCAGCTTTCAAGGTAATTTGTTGAGAGAAGGTTTAAGATTTCAGATTGGTTGGGGGCATGTGTGGAACAGATTTGCAGGTCCCCTTGGGTGTCGTAACCAGCCTAATCAATGTGCTTTCACACCGCTTCTCCCTCCGGCATGGTGGGATGGCCTTTGGCAATCCCCACTTCCAAGGGATATCAAGAAGTTGGCAGGGTACGGCATCCAGTTATCGGGGTTTGGCACAATTGATGAAAATTATCTTGGCACTTTTTGTAGCTCAAGGAAAGTTGTGGTGAAAACTGTTCCATTCCTTTTGTAATACTTGACGTTGCATTTCATTCATCCTATGTTCTGGCACGTCCTCCACTTTTTGTACTTGTAACATTAAGCCACTCATTCACGTTCTATCGTACTCTTTTTTTTTATTGGTTCTTTTTTGTACCACCATCAAATCAAAGTCATGGCCGATTGCCTTTTTTATCTTAAATATTTCGAATTTTGTTTGTCGAAGTTTTGATCAACACCCTTAAGTAGAAATGCGCTAAAGCCAAAAATGATTTAGATCTTAAACATGGGGAATATCTCAATGCGCGGGTTCATTAAACAAGGATGTTATTTGCCTCCATCTATGGAATTGAAAACACACAAAAAAAAGAACTACACGCATGTTTAATTGCTATTAGCAGGAATGTAGAAGTTTTTACTTACATGAAAGAAGGGAAGTATTTTTCATTAAACAAAGTGTATGGAGCTTACTAGAAATTTATTTATTTTAGTTGAACACCTAAGCTGGACGTGTCATGTTCAACAAGTCTTGTCCAATCCTCTTGAGAATAATAATGATTGAATATTTTTTGAATGAGTTTCCCTTGCCGTTTGGGTGGGTCGAATCGAAGTAGTGTGAAGTGAAGTCCTAGTAGGCATACGCATACGCGGTGGTCGTCAACTCGTAACCATATATGGTTGTTAAGTCGAAACTTGAAATGGCAGAAAGAACCATCTCTTTTCTTTTCTTTTCTTTTTTTCTTTCTATATTTTGGATAAAAAAGAAAAGCACATCGAATGTCGCAGATTTGATTTGAAGCACTGAATTCCGGGATGAAGGATGGAAAACGTCTATGGTATTAAAATCAAATCCAACAGATTACATATAATAATGTCAAGGTATCCGGCATAAATAAATATAAATTATTAATTCCAAAAGAGATTATATGCTATTAATAATTTGTTATTCTATATTAGCAGAACTATTTATTATTATTATTATTATTATTATTATTATTAGCAAGGAAGAAGAAAGGATAGAATATGAGAAGTAGGTAGAAGAAGAACGTCAAAGAAAAAGAAAGAAAAAAGAAGAAGAAGTTGACCAATCCAAAAGTTAAGAATAAAAAACAAAAGGAATGACTACGTGTGAGTGGTGACGTCATATTAAAAGCGACAGCATGGATTCTAGAAAAAGATCCCATTTGTACTCGTTCGTCCCGTGGTACGTCGTTTCTTGGAAGCCTGTGTGTTTGGGGAATTGCGAGCCCTCTGTTTCCGTTGCCTTCATATACAAAAAAGGGTTGGGTTGTGTTGTGTGTGCCACTCTGAACAAATGTTGAGTGCTTAATTTGGCTCTCCCATTTTTTCTCTTCGTTTAAATTTCTTTAGATTTTGGAAAACATTTTTCATCTCCGTTGGAGCAACATGGGCTATTGCCCATGTTTCGGGTTCAGGAAGGGGAAGAAGCTCAAGAGAGACACAGACGAAGAGAAAGACGTCGAGAAGACGACAATACGCAAGCCTGAGGAGAATGTGGCTCAATTGTCTTCTGGTCAGTTGATACGATACGATACGATTGCCTCTCTTTCTTTTCTTCTTGGTTTTTCTTTCTTTTCTCTTTCTTTATTTTCCATTAGAATACCAGTTTGAGAATGCTATCAGTTTGTTTCCTGTCGTCAAATTTTAGAGTCAAGACAGTGTTCTTGATTCTTTGTGTTGTTTTGTGATTTGGGTCATGCTTTAATATTGTAATCAGTTGGCTTTTTATATTTTGCGCCTTTAGCTCATCGCGGGTATTATAACTGAATGCGATCATGTTCTTGGAGTCTTTTTGTTTTCTCCATTTGGGATTTTTGTTTTTCTAATTTACCAGTTACCACCTTCTGTTATCTGCTTTCAATTCAAAATGACATCTTTTCTGAAATCCCAAGTTTCAATCTTTTCTGAAAATATTAAAAATATTAGAACAAGTGTGCAAAAATATTCAAGATTGACACTTGTCAAGGGTTTTATACTTTTCAGCTGGGCTTGTCTAGGATCATGACAAAGCTATCCATAGTTCCAAGGTTACTCACTGCCAGTACCTAAATAGGATAATGAAATGACAGCAGTAACTATTGGAGAACTCATACCAACACTAAATCTTAGCTAACCTGTTTACAGTTTCAATGTATTTCTAGGAGAATTGCTTAATTTACTGAATTTGAATTTTAAGATGCTCTGAGTCAGGATTATACACATTGAATCAAATTGATGTGATACAGTTCTCTCTTCTGCCCTGTACTATTAGATATTTCTGCTTCTTTTATGTTATTGAATCTTGTCCTATAATCTGCTCCAGGAGATGGAACTAATGTTGAAAATAAGGCTCAGACATTCACCTTCCGTGAGCTTGCAACTGCAACTAAAAATTTTAGGACGGACTCCTGTATCGGAGAAGGTGGATTTGGGGCTGTATACAAAGGAAAATTGGGATCTGGTCAAGTAAGTGTTTCAAGGGATGACTAACTTCTTCTGAACTTTTTATCATTCAAGATTGCTGATATCTTCATCCCCATCACTTAAGTTATTTTCATGATTTGTTTTATTCAATTTTAAAGAGAGCAGTTTCTTTTCAGCAGGTTGTCGCTGTAAAAAAACTCGATCAGACGGGTCTTCAAGGAGAAAAGGAGTTTCTGGTGGAGGTTCTCATGCTTTCTCTTCTGCGTCACCCTAACCTTGTCAGTTTAAGTGGTTACTGTGCTGAAGGGGAGCAGCGCCTGCTTGTCTATGAATTCATGCCCTTAGGGTGCTTGGCAGATCACCTCCACTGTAAATGCTTTAATGCCATTCAGCTTTCACTTTATAACACGATATGTAGTTCCTTTCATGCTTAAACTCCCATGAATTGATTCACTATATATTCAGTTATACATCTTGTGCAAAATTAACCAAGAAAAAAGGAGCTTCTCCTCTTTTCATCAATAGGTTCTGAGGGGGGCTGCCAGAGTTACAATAGTGCAATTCGTGAGCTCCCTCCTATCAAAAATGGATTGTGAATGTTTGTTCTCAGTCTTTCCCAATGAATCATATTCTCCTGAAGACTTTGCTTAGCCAAAGTAGGCTATGCATCACATAGTTTAATGTAGTTTAGAGCTTGTATCTTGGTTCTAGTAACCGAAGAATATGAGTTTTTCCTCGATCCATGGGGTCAAACTCAACTCTAGCCTGAGGTAACCCAAAACATGTACAACTAATAAATGATGAACAACGTTAGTTATAGTTCACCTCAACTCTCTGCTTTATATGTTTGTTTCATATTGTGAGTAAAACAGGAAATTTTATTTCAAATATTTATGAGTGACATAAATGAGGCAGTAGAACCACTCTAAGGACATTCCAGCTCTCGTGTTTACCCATTACAGTCTGACTTCTAAAGAACTTATGTATGTAGGCTCTAATGCTAATCATACTTAATGCATGTCATGTAACTCGCTATCCTATATCTCCTCATTTATAAAATTTTCAAGTGCCTGACCTCCCCATGTTGTTGTTGCCAGATCCTCCACCTGGAAAGGAGCCACTTGATTGGAATACAAGGATGATGATAGCTGCAGGTGCAGCCAGGGGATTGGAATATCTTCACCATGAAGCTGATCCACCTGTAATATATAGGGATGTAAAATCAGCTAACATTTTATTGGGCGAAGGTTTCTTCCCAAAGCTTTCTGATTTTGGGCTTGCAAAATTTGGTCCAACCGGAGATAGATCGCATGTTTCCACCAGGGTCATGGGTACTCATGGTTACTGTGCTCCTGAATATGCTAAAAGTGGAAAGCTGACAGCAAAGTCTGACATTTACAGTTTCGGGGTAGTATTGTTGGAGCTGATCACGGGACATAAGGCGATTGATAGCAATCTTGGTCGTGAGAAGCATCTTGTTGAGTGGGTAATTCACTTTGTTTCATTTTATTATGTCTACTAGCATGCCAACATTGCATCTGATTAGGCTCTCAAGGGCAACGTTATATAGTTACTTGAGTTAACCCTGTAGCTATAGCTATAGCTATCATCTCGAGTCTGCATCTGATTAGGCTATCGCATTCTGTTGCTTGTTAATTTTGAGGATGTTGAGCAACGATTGATGTCTTGTCTGCATGGTATTTTATTGTCAAGCTGTTCTTATGTTGTAGTTGTATAATTCAAATGCCTCAGATTTAACCAATTTTGTGAAGTGGGGAATCTTTTCTTATTTTTTAAGAGGATATATGAAAGAATGCATAGCAGTAAATTTTGGCTTTGATAGTACTCAACTCATCTTGGAGGTTACCGTGGTTGAATACTTGGCATAAGAAAAGATTTTGCTTCTGTAGGGTTATGTGTTCAATTTCTAAATATGCAGAGCAGTATTTTCTTTAACTGATATTTAGCTATGATTAATCCCATTCTTTGCCTATGTAGGCACGTCCTTTTATGAAAGACCACAAGAATGTTGCACAACTTGCGGATCCACAGCTTAAAGGTCGCTTTTCAGTATCTGTCTTGAAGAAAGCCCTTGAAGTGGCTTCCATGTGTCTCAGAGAAGATGCTGGTGCCCGGCCTTCAATGAGGGATATTGCACTTGCTATGGATTACTTGGCATCCCGTCCATATAATGAACCAAATGAGACCAACAAGGTTGAAGTAAAGGGTTCGGGGGATAACTCTCCAGATGAAACAACTATGTTAAACAAGGAGTTGGAGAGAGAAAGAGCTGTTGCTGAGGCCAAGGTGTGGGGAGAGACTTGGAGAGACAAACGAAGACAAGGTGCACAAATTAGTGATGATGACTTTAGATAACTAGTATATAGTGCAATGCCTGGGTTTGCCCCCACCATGTAGAATTTTTCAAAGTACAGACAACTTTCCATTTAAAAAATAAATTGGGAGTTTTTAGCTTTTGCTGATTGTGCACCAAGAAACATTTAAGCCTGAAGTAGTTTCTAAGTCAATGTGCAATTACATAAGATTTGTTTTCTTCACATACAGAAGTAGTTACCACCACTCATCTAATACATGGGTTCTGTAAGGTCTGGGTTGGTTTTCTGTGCTAACAATTATGCCACTAACCCGTGAGATGATTGCCTATTGCGAAAAATGAAAAGATTATTGCCCCTAACTTATGTTTTTATAGTTCAGGATGGTCATGGAAGAAATATCTAATACTGATGGAGAGCAGAATCGCTATACTATAGGCATGAGAATAAGATACTAATAATTAAGCCGCAACTGTCTTAAATTTTACACTGGGTTTTGGCCTCATCTAACTTCCAACGCTTTACTTGAAATCAGGAACTCCATAAACCACTTGGTTCCCGATAATGTTGGTGGTAGGGATAGGATCAGGTGGATTTCCGGCTAAAGATGGAGTCTATACTCTATAGTACTGCTTGTGCTTGGGAGAAACTCAGAAATTCTAGGCCTATGACAGCTTGGGCTGATCTGTCTGATGTGAATTAGCAACAATAATGTTGAGGGAGGAGGTTTCCATCCTTTGGTTAGCTAACAAAAGGTAAGCAGGCAACTCTTGACAGAATCCTTGTCTAGTACTGATGAGCACTTGTATAGACTCCATAGGCTATTAGATTGTGTGTTTTGTGTCAGGTTTTGCTGGAGTCTCATGAGTACATAGTACTCCAGAGTGCATGGTGACTATGGGATCATTTCTGGTCTCATCTTTGTTAATTGGGCTGCTGTGCTGTTGAATGGAAAGGTAAACAAGTGCATTATGTTACGTAGTAAAAAAGCTTTGCCTGGCTCTGGCTCTGGCTCTGGCTCTGGCTGGCTGGGATTGTGGATCATATCTGGAGGTGGAGAAATGATAGGATTTTGGGAATGAGAGCAAAGCTTGCCATGGCTGTGCTGTGTTCAACTTTTAATATTTCGAGTCTTCCTGTGGATGGCCAAAGCTTGTGCTGCTCAAATTGTGTGAGCCATTTATGCAGTAATCTTCCTGTAATTTTGAAAGCTGCTGGAGTCTTCCTTTGTGTCTGTTGTCTTGCACTCTGCTCTGTGCAAGGCTTCGCATTGTGTCTGTTCTGTTGTGTATACTACTTATAGTGGAAGCGGTTATTGACGCTGTCAGTTATTTCTGTTTTATTATTCGTACCTTGTATTATTATATTAAGAAAAGGCACATAATCTCATCATTTGCAATTTGCACGAGAGCGGAATGCATCATGTATTAATTTGCACAACTGACTAGGCTTTTTACCAATTCCATTCCTCAATCTAATCTCGCGTGCATCCCTCAGTTTCATGTCAAAAGATCATCTGAAGTACAAAGTACGTACATACAAACCCAATGCAATTTTTGTGATCCACATGTAATCTGAAGTAAAAATCTGTTTCAACAGGAGCTGCTCGTAATCGAGGGTGAAGGTATTAACTATTAACTATTAAGAAAGAAAGAAACTGGTGACAGTGGCCCAGTGGGGAGATGTCTGTCTGGCTTTCTTCATATGAGAGATCTGCTGGGCCCCATGCCAAAAAAAAATAACATAGTAAAAAGGTCCCACCGGGAGTCGAACCCAGGTCGCTGGATTCAAAGTCCAGAGTGCTAACCACTACACCATGGAACCCCGTCGGGTGCTTTTACGTCCAGATGCTTTCAAATACTGTTAATCGAGTTAGAACGATCACTAATTCCAAAACACCTGTCTGACTCTGACTCTGTGAGTGGATGATAAAAGAATCACGTCATCTCATTTTCGGAAACTCTTTTATCTTTTTTATTTATATATTCCGTACAACTGTTAATCCGATTTATTGTCTTTATTTGTTGTTTTTAGTGAGAGGAAAACAATTATATATTTTACACAAGTGATATTCTAGATTCTCTAGTATACGGTAATGGTAGGAGAACCTCGAGCTTGGGTACAAGTGGTAATTTATAGTGAAAGGAACTCGAACTTGAGTACACATTCAATAATTTATAGTGAGAGTTGGAGGAGCAGCTGACTGCCTAACTTGTAATTAGTATATTGTTACCGTATGCTATTGATATTATATAAGTGGCAAAAGAGCAGGCACACATGGCTTGTCCAAATTTCAATGTGCAGGTGCAGCTGAGGCTGCTGCAAGCATCATGGATTCATGGTCATGGAAGGATTCATCATTCACTTAAGCACAAGGGAAGGAAGGGGGTTCATCCATCCATCATGCCACTTACCCTAATAATAACCCTAACATTATATTTTCTATTTACCAAACGGTGTTATTCATTCTTGCAAGTTGCAGCTTTGCTTTGCTCATCTGCCACTTTACAGCAAGCTTCCATCAGCAAGTCTAAAACACAAACACAGACACAAACGGTACTCTATATATAGGCACTAAGACTAGTCGTCTCGTATGATTCAAAATAATAATGGAATAAAAGAAAGACGCAGTTTATTAAAGGGGCACTGGACGTGTGGATTATGGGCCCCCTTACCACCAGGACAACTGTTGCTGTTAGATCACATTCTTGTTTAAAAAGAAAGAATTTATGTCTTTAAACAATTCTCGAACCGCAGACAAAGCCTTCCTTCTTCTTTTTTTGTGTGCAAGGATTTCATTTTTAATTAAAAAATAAAATATTTAGTACTCAAAAGGCATTCTGTGAATTCCGGGAGTTCAATGGATTTTCCATCTAAAATTCCGTAAACAGAATACGTGGGGAACATGAAGACCATTCAAATGGGTTTTAACAAAAATATTAAATTTTGATTCAAATGGGTTCAATATTATAATCAACTTATAATTACTTTTTTTTTCCCTATGAATGTCTCTAATATGTAGGTATAGTAAGTTTATGCGCATCCATTTGATTATGATTCTTGTTTGTGTTTTTTTTAGTGCATTTTAGCTCATCATTTTAACTCAACGTGTACTATCACCACATTTTTCAACACTTGACATATGTCCATAGGTATAACCATAGTTACACAAATCCAAAGCAAATAGTTAACTATGGTTATGTCAATGGATACATATCAAATATTGAGAAAGATAATAAAAATACACATTAGGTTAAAGTAATGAGCAATCCGTGTTTTTCAAGTCAAGTATATAATATATATATATATTTTTTATTGGTTAATGTTTTGAGGAATGTCTCAATTATGTTTTGCAATGAGTAATATAATGTGACTAATGTCTACCACATACAATGGCGGAGGCATGAATTTTCTTTTGTGGGAAACACTATTGCAATACCATTAATAATGAAGATAAGTCGACTCTTAGATATAAGAAAAAAAAACACAATCATATAAACATATTCATGCACAAATTAATAACACAACACATTCTACCTAGTTCCTCTACTGATAACACGAACAGAAGAATGAGAAGAGTGAGTCTAGAGAACAAGAAGAATAACATAAGTAGAGGAGTAGAGAAGGTTGCCCCCCACCTTAGTCTTCTTTGAGGCATTTTATCAAACAACTTGCCCCTAGTAATTACAAAACTTCATAAAAATGGGCACTTCATAGTTAAATAATATAATTGAGTGAGGACATGTGCCTTCATTCGACCCTTAATGGATCTGCTAGTGACCACATATCTTCGCCTAACAAAGATAGAAGAAAAAAAATCTAAAGGACTGCAGGAATATGACATGTCCTTAAAATATCCATTGTAATTATGTGAAGTGGAAATGAATGAACTCAAGAGTGAACCAAGTTCTTGTAAGTATGAAATCAACATTGATGTAACTTCTGAGAAAGATAATTATGAGGAGATTTTTTATTATTATAAATCAACGAAAAATGAGATTCGATTTCATAAACTCGTTTAACACTGAAAAGAAAAAGGTTAATAGAATAAAAGTTAGTTGAAAATCTATTACAGAATTTGTAAGTATCTGTCCAAAAGTAATTAAAGTGGAAAATATGGGATTGAAAAACCACTTATTTATTGTTTAGGTATAGTTAGATACCAAATTCAGCTAAACTCAAAGTTATTTATACCTCAACCAAACAAAGAGGAAAGGGTTCAAAACCCGACTAGAAGGAAGGGCTGGTCACATTCCTATGTTGGGGAGAAACAAAAAGTAAAAAACTTAAAACTTAAAAAAACGCACACTGGGACTGGGACTGGGTTCTCACCCACCACTGCCAGCCGCTCCATCCCCAGCCTCTCCACCCAATCAGAGCCCGCCACATCAGCCGATCCCCCCTGTAAAGCACATACACACAACAGTGATAGAACCTCTGCTGCTTTAGCCCCCCCAAAGTAATAAGCCAAGGCAAAGCCACCTCCAAAAGGATGAAGAAAAACCCTTTTGCCCCAACCCCACCCGCATGCCTTGTCGCCCAACCTTAACTATTCACTCTGCTCGCCGGAACCCGACCCATTTGCCCGCCCCAAAAGAGCCCTCGAGCTCCTTTTTCCATTCCATTTTGGTCTTTCCATATTTCCTTAGGGCCTGAGAGTCGACATCATTGTATCGGCTATCGAGCGAGGAGGATCTTATTGAGCTGAAACTCAGACTGAAACTGAGAGCGTTGGTGGTGAGGAAGCGATGTACGTGGTGCCTCCGCCCCAGCGATCGGATCCGGCTTCCGGATCCGCCGGCGCCTCCACTGATTTGCGGGTCTACCAAAATTGGAAAGGCAGCAATGTCAGTTTCCTTTTTATTCTCTTTTTCCTCTTCTCCCTTTAGCCTGATAATATTTTCTTCCTTTTCTTTTTTCTTTTTGCTAGATTTTTTCCGGAATAATTTCAGTGGCTCCCTATTTATATCATTTCAGTTTTAGGACTTGATGGATTACGATTTTGTGTCGCACAATTCTCATTGATAATGTTGGTTACTATTTTTATATTATTGTGATTGTGATTGGTATTATTGTTGTTACCTCACTACTATTGTTCGTATGTTTTTATATCTATTTTTGGATAGATGTTACCGTCAAGGAATGAAATTTTTTCTTTTGCCTCTTGAAAAAGTTTAGAAGTAATACGAAAACGATGTAAGAAAATTAGATTTCATACGAGAGACGTTGCAATTTGAATATAATGAAAACAGTGGAATACAAGAATTGATACGGATGACCCTATACATTCGAGACAAAGACAAGGATCATGATGAAGTCGACTCATTTTGTGTTCATTAACAAGGAATTATAGTATAGGTGGCAATTGTTTGTAGATTGATAAGCATAGAGCTTATGTTTTACATGTATTTGAATGCCAAGCTTGGCTTGCTGTTAGAATTGGATGCTGCTTGTAGTGCAGGGGCCTTGTATGAATGGCATTATTATTATTATTTTGGTTGAAAAGAGTATGAATGGCATTATGAAAACTTACATATATGTTATTTTTGCTTCTTTGCAGATATTTTTCCTTCAGGGAAGGTTTATTTTCGGACCAGATGTAAGATCACTGGGGCTGACCATATTTCTAATTGTTGCTCCTGTCACAATTTTCTGCATCTTTGTTGCAAGAAAGTTGATGGACCATTTCTCACATCACTTGGGAATATTGATAATGGTTGTCGCTGTGGTATTCACAGTTTATGTGAGTTCTCTCTCTAAATCACATACCGCTTATTTGTATATGGGAAAATTTATTTTGCCAGACAATTTGGCATGTTATGTTGAAAGCTACCAACAGGACTATTGATTTGGTGGAATCATCTTAGAATGTGGGGTCCTGATTCACAATTTTCACACTATAACATGCTAGTCTCTGTCGCAGAGATTAGTGGGGAACATGGTAAGTTATGGAGGATTGAACTTGTTATGAGATATGGATTGGTATAAGTTGGTAGTGGGTCCTCATGGAGCATATCGCTTCCTCTGAGTATGATACCCTTTCTATGAGTGATTGTTATCAATGCAGTTTGTAGGTTGTTGTAGAATTTACTCTGTCTTAAACCTTTACCACTATAGACAGGCTTCAATATGAGTCTAGGTTATTGAATCTACTTTGGTATTGTCAGTTTTCTTCCCTTCACAGGAGTCTTTGTAGAAGTAAATGATAATCAATTAGGTTTGTAGAGTTGTTGTAACTTGTAACAAGTTCTGGAGTTTCTAGTAAAATTGTGCCTCCACAAGCACCCTATTCTAAAATTTATTTATTGTTTGTATCTCGACTAGATTTGAGAGTTGGGCCTGGGAAGTCGCAGGTGGATATAGTGATAACTTTAGATATGTTGATGTATCTGCAGTGTGAAAATATAATGACACAATGATCTATTTTCAGGATTTAGTTCTTCTCCTGCTAACCTCCGGAAGAGATCCTGGTATAATTCCCCGTAACACACACCCCCCAGAGCCAGAAGGATTTGATGGGAACGTAGAAGGTGGGGCTGGACAAACACCACAGTTGCGTTTGCCTCGCATCAAGGAAGTAGAGGTGAATGGAATCCCCGTCAAGATTAAGTATTGTGATACTTGTATGCTTTATAGACCTCCTCGCTGCTCCCACTGTTCAATATGCAACAATTGCGTAGAAAGATTCGATCACCACTGTCCTTGGGTTGGGCAGTGTATTGGGCTGGTAAGTAATTCTTTCATTAGACTCATGCCTTCAGATTGCTCTGCCAATGTATATGAAATGAGACAAACAGACACACATTGGGCGCTCACACACATAATATGTGCATTCTTTCAAACTATATACATGCATGAATGTCTGCATACATACATTGGTAATTGTAGTAATATACCAAAGATTTGAAATATACAAGTCTCCACCTGGAATCAACAAAGAAAGTGGACTATTAAATGATTCAGTCACTGGCATATGGAGGTAGCTCACATCACGTGCTTGAGCTTATCTGGTTAAATATGTGTTCTTGATTTGGCTTTGTTCCATTTACTGGCATGGAATATATCTGTTGCTGATGTGATGGATTCTCAGTTGCCTATGGAAAATATATCTGAACATTCACTAATTTGGGTGCAGAGAAATTATCGATTCTTCTTCATGTTTGTGTTCTCCACAACCCTTCTTTGTATATATGTTTTTGCATTCTGCTGGGTCTACGTTAGAAGGATCATGGGAACCGAGGACACGACAATTTGGAAAGCAATGATTAAAACTCCAGCCTCTATTGTCCTAATAGTTTACACTTTCATATCAATGTGGTTTGTTGGTGGTCTTACGGCCTTCCATTTATATCTCATCAGTACAAATCAGGTGAGAGATCCATCTCAACATGTCACAACCCTTTAGTGCAGAACTATTTGCGTTGTTTTTACAGGAGCTTATAGTTTACACTTTCATATCTAGACGATTCATCTTTTAGTATGAACAGGAGCTTATATCTATTTGCGTTGTTTTTACAGACTACATATGAGAATTTCCGGTACCGATATGATAGGCGAGCCAACCCCTATAACAAAGGAGTGGTTGAGAATTTCAAGGAAATATTTTGTACCACCATTCCCCAGTCCAAGAACAATTTCAGGGCGAAGGTGCCAAGGGAACCTGGGTTGCCTCCTCGGTCAGGGGGTGGAGGTTTTATGAGCCCAAATATGGGAAAAGCTGTGGAGGACATTGAAATGGGCAGAAAAACGGTGTGGGGAGACATGAATGCTGGGGGTGATCATTACGAAGGGCAACTTAACAACAATGATCGCTTAAATTTAAAGGATGGTGAATTAGGTGAAGTTTCCCCAGATATAAGGACTACAGTCGATGAAACTGTGGATCGTGCTGGAATACACCCCAGGCGATCCAGCTGGGGAAGGAAAAGCGGAAGCTGGGAAATGTCCCCCGAAGTTCTTGCTTTGGCAGCTAGAGTCGGGGAACCGAACCGCACGGGTGGGAGTAGCAGTGGTGGCTTGACAAATGAGAACCGACATACATAGGCAGCCAAAATGTGACAGACCAGTATAGTAGTGGAATGGAGGATTTGATTGTGTGGCAGCGGAGTGGTGGTTTGTGTTCGTGCGTGGCCATTTAACACCCACATTAATATTATGTGCAATTTGGGGAAGGGTCTTTTGTAAGTGTTGGGTTGGCCATTGTGCATTTAGGAAGGAATTTGTGTGTTGTATGAGTGAGCTTTCTTGTTTTTGTATTGCATTTGTGGAATTAGTTAGTTCCTAATTGTATTGCAATTGTGGTGGAGTTACTGCGCTCTCTCTCTCTCTCTCTCTCTCTCTCTCTCTCTCTCTCTCATGAATTTAATGAAGATTTTTAGTTTCTGCACCAAAAGATAAAAAAGAGAAGAAACTTGGTTTCACACGTTTGCTCTGATTTTTAAAACAAGGTTCTAGGTCAGGAGGATTTTAAAGTTTGGCTAGTATTCACGCCTCCCTATATTTAAATTTGACGCAAGTTACTTTAATTTAAAGGTTGCAAGTAAACTAAACACTTATTTATTACGAGATAGTCTTCGTTGTGGAAAAATGAGGCCAGCTGCGTATAAGAGCAGAGCATGAATATCATTTGCCAGCAAAGAGCTATAATCACTGACCACAGCACAGAGCCAGCCAAGTTGGTGTCAAACTTCAAATTCAACGCTGTCATTGCACGTATAGAATGTGGTCGGTAAATTAACCCCCACGCCCCAATAACAAAAGCAGCAGATGGAGAATGATTTGTAAAATTTGTATCCCTGCAAGGATTCTTGTGTAATTTGACCCTCCTATATCCAATCCAATAACAAGTCTACGACACCCCACCCCCCAAAAAAAGCTGGTTTTTGGCTCTGGCTCCTCCTCAATCATCGCTACACGAGAAAGTTTACCGTAATGGGAAAAGATTTCATTTGAGTTAGTAACGGTTGGTAAAACCCTAAAAGATAAAAAAGAACCAAACCTAAGCGGAATAAAATAATAAAGAGAAGCCAGGAGGAGTAATTAAAGCTTCACTTTGACATTTTCACTCCACCTAGTTAGTAGTTACCTACCTTCAACTTCAATATTTACTTCCTTTTCTTTCTTCTCCTCTCCACCCCCACTCTTACTATCAGATGCTTTTGTCCTGAGAGACAAGAAGACTCCCAAGAAGCCAATGTAGGAGGACTAAGGAATCTGGTGAGTTGCTTGCTTGATTCTGTCTTAGTTTTATCAGTTGGTTGAGTTCAGTTTCTTCACTCTTTTGGTGGGCTGATAATATCTCCTGCCTAAGCCTTACATTACATATATAATTAGTGTCTCTGAGTCTCAGCTAATTTTCAAGAGATGGGTTTTTCTTTTAAGATTGTATGGAATAATGGAAATCATATATATAATATGGCTTCATCATGTAGAATTTGATGGTTTGTTTGGATGTATTTTGTGAAAGGCGATATCATGTATAAGAACCAGCTGCAGGAGCTTGCACAGAGAAGCTGTTTCAACCTCCCTTCCTATGCGTGCGTCAGACAAGGACCAGATCATGCACCCAGATTCAAAGCTTCTGTCAACTTCAACGGTGAGATCTTTGAAAGCCCAAACTACTGCACCACATTGAGACAAGCAGAGCACGCAGCTGCAGAAGTAGCCCTCAATAAACTCTCCACAAGAGGCCCTTCCAGGTCTCTCACTGCAAGAGTTCTTGTAAGTTGGTTTCTTTCCCAACCAACTACCAAGATAAGCTAGAACCTCTCTGTTTTCAGTTACTTTTCAATTATTCATTAGCAAGTTTTCTTACTTCATTTCATACCTTTTTGTGGATTGTGTCTGATCAAGGATGAAACTGGAATTTACAAAAACCTCCTTCAAGAAACCGCTCACAGAGCTGGGCTGAAGCTCCCTGTGTACACCACCGTAAGATCAGGTCCTGGCCATGTCCCAGTTTTCACTTGTACTGTAGAGCTTGCTGGCATGAGTTTTACAGGTGAGGCAGCCAAAACCAAGAAGCAAGCCGAGAAGAATGCTGCAATTGCAGCATGGTCTGCCTTGAAAAGAAGTATCTTCTCATTTCCCATTCTCTCTCACAATTTGGTTTAGTTGGTATTTTTTAGCAAAATGAAATTGCTTTATCAAGTATACATCTTTGTGCAATGCCAGGCTTGGGGCCATTGACAACTAAAGAAGCAGAAGAACAGGACCAGGCAGTTGTGACAGGGGTGCTCTCAAATTTTAGACCCAAAGATGATCACAATAGCAAACAATTTATAAGGAGGAGAGATCAAATTCAAGCAAGGAGAAGAATGGTCAGGGGCCAATGCCACAGAGACAATACTATTGCCTCTACATTATCATCTCCATCATCATTATCCTCCACATCCAGTGCTGCTAACTCTCTACAGAATCAACACTGGAGGCTGATAGATCTGTTAACAGATTTGGTTCCAGAAGTTTCAAAGGAGAAGCAAAACAGCTTTGCATCTCTGCTTCCTCCACCCCCACCAAGAACAGCCTCAAAGATTTTGCCACCAACTACACTGCTCAACAAAGACAACTCCTCTTCCTACACATTATCCAATTCCAATTATAGGCCTATCCCAGTACTACAAGTTAATGTGAGGAGGGGATCACAAGTTATTCCACCTCCATTGGAAGACCACCAAAGGGATGAGGAAGAATGGCTTGGTACTGGAAAATCAGATATCATTATTAGTAACAACAAGGCCATTGAAAAGGAGGGTCCTAGTAATTCAAATTCAAGTTCTGCATATAGGCAATTTCCATTAGGTCCAATGAAGGCATTGCCTACAAGTAGCCACATGATGGACAGAGCCATGTACGCTGGAGGTTTCAGCCCGCACAGGATTGCCCCTGCAGTTCAAATCAGATCAGTGATCCCAGTTTGTGCAGCACCACCAGCACCACAATCAAACCCTTCAAGAATGATGTCAATGAAAGACACTTCACAGGCAGCCTTAAGTGCTTCTTCTTCTTCTACAAATTCAGTGCCCATGCAACCAGGAACAGAGGTCTCCTCATCAGCCAGCTCAAAGTTCAAAATGCCCGGGTCAAGCTCAACTCAGCTGGGTTCTGAGTTCAACAAGCTACAGTTAGGAGGAGGAAAAGACAGTAAGATAATCTGAATCTCCTAAATGAAATGAACCCATAATTACAGTTGTCTTTTTACTTGGATGGGATGGGATGTTTACTAAACTTGTGCTTGTGGCCTCAGAAACCCATGATTTTTGTGTCATGGTGGAATCTTGTAAAAGATGATGGAATCTCACATACTTTTCACCTTGGCATGGCATGTATTAAATTACTGCTTCTTCCCACTGCCCAGAGAGAGAGAGAGAGAGAGAGAGAGATGTAGAGACGTAGAGAGAGCAGCAAAGCAATAAATGAGATATGGGAGAGTGGTTGCAGAGGATAAGAGGGGAGAGAGAGAGAAGTTAGGGGGCAGATGAGGGTAGCAATTAAGGAGCCTGAAGAGGGCCAACAGACACTTGTAGCGATTAATGCAAGCAATTAATTTACCCTCAGAAATATTTAATGCTTCTGTCTTCGCCATTAATGCTCTCCTTCCTATCTCTCAAGGAAGACAGAGAAAGAAAGAGAGATATAATAGGCAGACAGCTTTTCTTCATCTTATCTTCTTCCTTTTGTTTATTTAATAGCTAGCGAGAAGCAATTGGGAGACTTTTGATACTTGGTTGGAGGAGGTCATTGTATAATATTTTGAATGAATGAATGAGAAAGAAAGTAGCCGTTGTGTTGTGTTGATATAGGTGCAGTGCAGTGCAGGCATGCAGGGTAACGCAAGGTACTAGCTAGCTAGCAAGCGAAGCCCAACCAACCCAATTGGGGCTCATATTCAAATCATGAGCTAATTGTTTGTGTTTTCTAGTTTCTTTCTACAGCCAGCCAGCCAAAAAGGCAGGCACCATCACCATGTCTTAGTTAGCTTCGACTTTGGAAAAAAAATCATCAGAAATGAAATGAGTAGTTTAATGGTGAAGTTTTGGGTTAATCACAAAACGGTGTGGCGGTGGTTAATTAGGTCATGAATAATCACATCAGATATCTGTAAATTAAATCACTTGGAATTTATTAGGGGTCTTGGAAAGATTCCACAGAAAAGCTTTAATGGTGGTACGTACGAATCAAACACCTTCCCTCCCACTTGTTAACTCTATGAATGAATGTGATGAACCCTAAACCTAGTTACCTAAAATAATGGCATACAAGACATTTGGTCTGACAACAAGAAGGAACAAAGCTGCACGATGCACCAACCATGACATGAAATAACCGTCAACATAATAAGATTGGGCTCTTTTTAGGCTTGATGGCTTCCTTTCCTTTCTGTCCAGAATAGCCAATGCTACGTGCTTAATTCATCTGCCGAGCCCAATTCAGATGATAACACAAAATTGGGCTCATTGAACTCACACCTTAAAGCCGTGTAGGGCTAGTTAGCTTCTGTCCAAATAATTATAGCCCGATGCTATCAGGCGACCCAAAACATAAGGAATTCCAAGCCTAAAATTAAAGTAAAATCGACAACAATGAAGAAACAACTCCTCCTACAAGGCATAGAAAGCAAGAATATTGCACCATGCTCCAATAATCTAGCGACTTCCGCTTTTTTTCTTCTTCTTTCTGTTTTGAAGAATCTAGGGACTTTTTTTTGGACATGACTTTTCATATAATCATTAAATCATGTGTGTTTCTTATCTCATTTCATGACTAGGCCGATGATGAGAGATATAAAAAAAGTTTGTAATCGTATACAAACAGCTGAAAACGGAGTAATTTTTGCACGTTTATGAGTACGCCAACTTGGTGTACCATCCAATATACATAGAATATATGGAAATATTTTAATTTTAGTTGGAGAGTTTCAAACACACGTCCTATATATCTTGGATTGTAACCCGAACATGCAAAAACAATTCATGAAAATGGACGGTGTGTTTTATTGGGCGTGAAAAGGTGGAAGTTTCCCACAATTTCTCCAACATGAGTTAGAATCTGATTCATCAAGATGAACAAAATGGGGTAATAATTGACTAGGCTGGCTGATAAGATAAAGTGTCAAGAGCATGAATCTTGGAAAGATAAAGCGTCATATTGGAATTGCATGAGTTCCTTAATGAAATCGAGTGTACGATATTGAATTGTGCAGAAAAATTAACCTCCGTGTATTATACGAACGTACATCATATGAGAAGAGAAAGAAATTGGCAACATCAATCCAGCGAGGCCACTGCTTTTCTCTCTCTTTCTCTTTCTCTCCTGATGCGAATGGCACGAGATTCTCTGTGCTTTGCTTTAGCTTTGGTGACAAAAGCTAAGCTCAATGTTTGGAACAGTGGGACCAACTCACCTTTTTATATTTAGTCACCATCCATCCACACTCCGCGATTATTGGTTAGCCCTAAAACTCAAAGCAGATGAGCATGCACCTTTATTATTTCCTTTCCCTTCTCCATTAATTTTTCCTTTTTTTTTAAATTTGTTTTTCAGTTTTTTTTATACAATGAGTTAAAAGAGTATTTAATATTACACCCGAACTCCTAGGTTCGATTTTCCTATCTCTTAATATTTGTTTTCATATATTTTGTTAGTTCACGTATCGTTTTCCATCTGCCCCAGCGCTAGCCAGAATAGTTTGTGCAGACAAGGATGGAAATGGAATCGTCTGGTTTAGTTGGGCAACATTCATTCTAATTGGAGCTGTTACAACTTAATATACTATTCATTTGTTATCGTGGATTGGAAATTGACAATGTCCTCCTCCTTGTAAGAGTAAAAGTTCCCCATCCCCAACTAAACTAATTCTTTTGTTTTCGGGTCGAAATTCCCAATGAGCTATTTGTCACAGAAATCATCAAACCAGAAAGCGTGTTGAGTGGCAAAACAGACAAGAAAACGAAAACAAGTGAAGATCGATGCTGCTGGAAGCCTGGCACCAACACCGACTATGGAGTGGATCATTGAGGTCATATTTTTATTATAATAGAGATCCAGACAGATAAGCCTACCGTGGTTACACATCATCTCCCCACCCCTTATCCATTTCTTATTATTTTCTATCTTTTAGCGGTCGATCATCATTCTTGCATTGCCATTTGCACACACATGCAGCTTCTACCTCTTTTTTTCTTTTTTCTTTTTAATTGGTCGAAGAGCTTCTACCTCATTATACCCAAGTATGTAACCGAAAAACAAAATAACAAAGAAACGACCGGGGGACTTTTGAGAGTCTTTGACTGTTAAGAAAACGTTAGCAGAAGAAGAGAAGAAAAAAACAACTCACGTGCCGATGCCGGTGCCGGCAATGTCAAAGACCCGACACTTTCGGACCACGCCACGCGGTGACGCGGAGCTTATCTTAACTTATCCGATCATACTTGGCGCTGACACGAATTGTATATTTTAAGTTTTTCCAAAACAGTATTGGTTCTTCACCAAAATATATAAATTGCTTTCTTCGGATTGGTTTATGATTTTTAGTCTTAACCGTCGGATCGCATGCAACAATGCTTATTAAATTCATAACATATTTAATAGATGGCTGAGATTAAAAAATCTTAAGCAGACAAGCTCCCAACAAAACAATATATTTCGTCCATCTTCCAGAGTCCAGACCTAACCTAACCTTCCCACCGCACGCACGTGCCAGGTGGCGCCCACTAATAATATTTTTTTTCTTTTCGTGACACGTGGAAAACACGTTATTGTTGTGGCAAGCTAGTTATAATGCGTTTTCGACAAAGAAGATTACAATAGTTGTCCGATCGAAATGTAAAAATGAAAAAGCTTTTATTACAAAGGCATACCATAAGATCAATAACACGTGTATATTTGGTGTTTTTTTTGGTTGGTGGGAAGAAAAAGGAATATTAATGAGGTTAACGGTGTTGAGAGGGTCCAACAAAAAAAATATTGTGTTGAGAGAGGGGAAGAATAATGGAATATCCAGAGTATAAGCGGAGGGGAGGGAATATTCTGAAGAGAGATCCCGTTCCGTTTGGCTTGGCTCGCGTCGGTCCTCCTTTCACTCCTAAATAAATATAAATACCCCCCCTTCCTCCATACTCTTGCTTCACAATACTTTGTTGCGTCGCCCCGTCTCTTTTAATTTCCCCGTCTTTAAACCCAAAAAATAAAATAAAAATGGCTCTCAAGGCCGTCCTTGTCTCCGACGTCCCCAACCTCGACCAGGTGCCGGAAAATGCCTCTCTGGCGCTCTACTCCACCCGCTTCTCCAAAGGTACATGATACATATACGTGTTCAATTACTAATCTTTAGTAATTTGTTTCAATTGTTGTGTATTTTAGAGATATTAACAGGATTTACTTTTTGAACATGGTGTTATTTTTTATAGGAGTGGAAATGGGTCGGGTGGCATCAAGGATACCCAAGTTTCTGGTGATAGGACACAGAGGGAATGGTATGAACGCGTTACAGTCGTCGGATAGGAGAATGAGAGCCATTAAAGAGAACTCCATCGCGTCTTTCAACTCAGCCGCCAACTTCCCCATTGATTTCGTCGAATTTGATGTTCAGGTGAGAGAGCTTCCTTGCTTGTTATATTATTTCCTCTGTTTCTCTCTGTCTCCCAATTCAATTCAATGAACTCAACCCAACAATGCCTGTGTGTCTCTGGATTTTTCGGTGGGCTCTTTCTGTTTTTCACTTGTTAATATGTTATTTATTTATTTTTACGCATGCAAATTGTCGAAACTTGAATTCCGCCGTTTTAGCTGTCTGTCGCCGCATACGCGTTGTTGGTGTCGGTATGCGTATGAGAATGAGAATGAATTTGATCGAGTCCGCAGTAAAACCCGCCCCTGTTTGAGGGTATTTCTGTAAATTCAACTTTCTTTTTTTTCCTCTTTTCTGGTGGATTTGTTTGGTTTTCCGAGTTGAAGGGGGTTAAGCTCTTCGAGTCCTCCGTTTCAAGTTTCTGTTTTTTCTATCGTTTGTATTTGTGTGGGATTTGTCTGCCCGAAACTTTTCTTTTGAGTTTGAAATGGTACTGATTATATCTCCTTTTCTTTGCATTTGTTTTTCCTTCCTTAATATTTTGGAATTTGGATTGAAATTACAAGAATGGAGGTGAATGAAGCTAAAAGAAAAAGAGAGAAAAAAAAACAGAAGAAAAGAAACCCCAAAAAAAAAAACGAGGAAAAATGAAACAGGAAAGTGAAACCCAATGTGGTGGCTTTTTGTAGGTAACCAAAGATGACTGCCCAGTCATTTTCCACGACAACTTCATCCTCTCCGAAGAAAATGTAAGCTTTATTTCTCCACCCCTTCTCTTATTATTGAATTTTCCTTTTCTGATTACTTACGTACGTAGAAATTTTCAACTGGGTTAATGTTTTGGTCGGTTTTGATTTTGCAACAGGGGACTGTGTTTGAGAGGAGAGTAACAGAACTGTGTCTGTCGGAGTTTCTTTGCTACGGTCCACAAAGAGAGGCAGGGAAGGAAGGAAAAACTTTGTTGAGGAAAACCAAAGATGGTAAAATAGTAAGATGGGATGTTGAAAAAGATGACTCTCTCTGCACACTCCAAGAAGCCTTCGAGCAGGTTGAACCTTCCCTGGGCTTCAACATCGAGTTGAAATTCGACGACTGCATTGTTTACGAACAGGACTATCTCATCAACGTCTTTCAAGCCATCTTGCAAGTACGCAGCACATCATGCCCTTTTGATCATTTATAGCAATCTTTAATCATATCTTTTTATAATCGGTGCTGATTCAAGTCTCTTAATTTTGTTTTGTTGGACAGGTGGTGTTGAACTACGCCAAAGACAGGCCCATCATCTTCTCAAGCTTCCAACCTGATGCTGCGCTGCTTGTTAAAAAGTTGCAGAGCACCTATCCTGTAAGCACTTGTCATATAATTGCTTGCTTCGAAGTTGTCTTATATATCATATATGTTGATCAATTGCTGATGATTTGCCAACTATTCTAGATATGGGGTGTGAATTACTAAGGTTGCTGAATCAATTGATGATGGCAGGTTTTTTTCTTGACAAATGGTGGGACGGAGCTTTACTATGATGTGAGAAGGAATTCTTTGGAGGAAGCCGTAAAGTTGTGTTTGGAGGGTGGTTTGCAAGGTATTGTGTCGGAGGTTAAAGGTGTGTTCAGAAATCCTGGGGCACTGACCAAGATCAAGGAAGCCAAGCTTTCACTCCTAACATACGGAAAATTGAAGTAAGCTTGTGGACTTTGATTTGCTCAACAGATTTCTTGCTTAGCCCATGTTCTGGTTTACCTTGATCTTTCAAATTTGAGTTGCGTAAAGAAAAAAGTTTGAACTTTGAGAATTATGAATGTTAAATTGATGAAATATATATGATGAAATTGCAGCAATGTGGCGGAAGCTGTTTACATGCAGTACCTAATGGGAATCGAGGGAGTGATAGTAGATCTTGTTCCAGAGATCACCGAGGCGGTGTGGGATATGATTAAGCCAACAACAGCTGAAGACGGGGGGGACAAGAATCTGTTGGAAGGAGACGGGAAGATGCAGATGCAGGTGAAATCAAAGCCAGAGTTCTCGCAGAGGGAGCTTTCTTTTCTTTTGAAGCTGATTCCAGAGTTGATACAGATCTGATACAAGGATTGCCACTTGCGCTTTTCTTGTTTCAAATATATTCTCTCCTTTTATTTAGGGCCTATACTCATCACTCAAGTCTGGAGGTTGACGCATCTTATTCTATGGTCGTTGTACATAATTTGGTCTTGTTTTTTATAGCACAGACGTTGTGCGCTCCTCCATTATCCATCCATACATGTATCTCAGAAATTCTATGTTAATTAGTTGAGCAGCTTAGTTTCTTCCTCCAAGTTCTACTCTCTCTCTCTCTCTCTCTCTCTCTCTCTCTCTCTCACACACACACACACACACACACACACACACACGGTCTAAACTTCATTTATTTTGTAAGTGGTGGAGATAGTGAATTGAAAAAGAAAAAACTGAGATGGAAGATTGAGTAAGAGGAACCTTTTTATGAGAAGAAACCAAAAACAATATAATTTGTTAAGCAGAATTAAATATTCGATTTTTGGAAGGCAAAAGTGGTTGATTGTGTGATGTGATTCACTCGTATAATTTGTTACTTGTTGCGTTATTGGTTTGTGCTTGTTGCATTATTGGTTTGTGCTTTTATGTCCTGGCACGACCAACACATTAATATTAATTAGCGTATGAAATAGTTTTTGCTGATTTGGAATGGCAAGGGAAACTCTACCTACACTTTTATGTCCTGGCACGACCAACACATTAATATTAATTAGCGTATGAAATAGTTTTTGCTGATTTGGAATGGCAAGGGAAACTCTACCTACACTAGTGCACTCGGCCTGGGCAAAATGGTGTTTCCAGCAACAAAATTTGGCCTGGGCAAGGAGTGGGACCCAGTGAACTGGGCTAGCCCGAGCTCCAGCCTGCGGGCTGAGCTGACATCAGCACGGGCTCTTGAACACCAGCGCTACAGTGTCCGCCAACGAATATGTGCCACATGTCGCGCCTGAGCTCTCCGATCATAATTTTTGCTCCAATCGAACGACATCCAATTTTTTCCCAATAAAAAAATGAAAAAAAATCGAAAAAAATTTAAAAAAAAAAACCCAAAAAATACTGATTTTTTTTTCTTTCTATAAATACCAACCAATACTCTTCACTTTTAATACCAAATCCTCATACATTTTCTTTTCCTTCTACTATTATTCACTTTCTACTCAATATTTTTTTCACTTTCAAGTTGTATTTTTCTCTATCATATTATGGGTTCTTCTAGTGACACTGGAGGGGCATGGAGCATGATGGAAGATGTTAGCTTGTGTGAGTCTTGGGTCCAAATTAGTCATTGTCCCGTAACGGGCAATGAGATGAAATTCTGTCATATGTGGAAAAAAATTCATCAAGATTTTTGTGAAAGGGTAATTGGTTCAACCCGTACGAAAATGACATTATCTAGTATGTGGAAAATTCTTAATAAAGAGTTGGCGAAATGGAGAGATGCCTTGGCAAAAGCGATGGACAACCATAGAAGCGGGGAAAACCTTAGCTGTGAGGTAAATTATTTGTAATTTTCATTTTATTAATTTCTATGTCATATTGATTTTTATTTAAATGTTTCTTGCAATTTATATATTTTGTTAATATTTCTTGTATTTTCAATATTAATATGAATGTTTCTTGCAATATTTATATTTTGTTTTGCATTTCTAATAAATTGTTAAAGTTTCTTGCATTCTATATCTTGCTCGAAAATGAACATCAAAGTACAGAGAATGTGGGATAAAATAATCATCCATAAGATTCTTACCCTGAGAATGTCTATGTCTGTCCACGTTCGGGCCACAACCTTCTCGTGAACCACGGCGGCTCTGGTTTTCTTTCTCCAACATAGCAATGGTTATGCCAAGTTGCTCATCTAGTTCTCTCTGCGCCATTTTGCTTGCAGCTTGTCTACGCATTCTTTCTCTAGTTTCTCACTCTTGTCTCTCCAAAACCTTTTGCATGTCTGCCATTGAGAATGGAGAATGAAATCTAAATATGATAAATGGAAATGTAGAGAAGATATAGTGTGGGATTTATGAGCTGAGCCTCTGGTTTTATATAAAAATTTAGGCAGATCGATATGACACGTGGTGCAATCTTAGAGGGTGAAAATCTTAGCCCCTTGCCATGGCAAAGTGTGTTTCTAGCAGTTTAGGCTTGCCATGGCAAATATTCTTTTTTTTTTTTTTTTTTTTTTTTTTTTTTTTAACTTTGTTTACTTTTAACAATTAATTTTGATAATATTTTCGGATAAGATTTTTGGATTCCTACGTATGAAAAATCATTTTCTCAAGATTTTTAGCGGAGGTGCAATATTGACTAAATATGAAAAATGGTTGTTCGAAATAATCATTTTCTCAAGAAAATTTTTGGCGGCTTTTATTTCTTACACATCAAATAAGAAAACTTGATTTTATGGGATTTTAATATGAAGTATATATTAACTTAATGAGCCATCATTTTTAGCCTAAATCGTATTTTGCACTAAAACCGATTTTTCATATTTTGATTTGGTGGGAATTTGATTTTCTAGTATTTTTATTTGAATCCAAATGGGGGGTACTTCCTTATTTACATTGTAAACTTAAGTAAATGGAGTAATATAAAAATAAATAAAAGTAAAAGGACAAAGACATTTACTTAAATGTTGAAAATGGAAATAAGGTAAAGAAAAAAAAAAAAAAAAAGTAATTTTTGGGTATTTTTTTCAATTTTTTATTTCAAAAATATTGGTTGTTGGTGTTAAAAGTGAAGAGTATTGGTTGGTATTTATAGAAAACAATTTCAATATTTTTTGGGTAATTTTTTTACATTTTTTTCTCTTTTTTATTGGGAACAATGGGGGGTGACGTCAGCTTAGCCCGCAGGCAAGCACTCGGGCCGAACCCCACCTCGGGCCAGCCCAGGCTGCTAGCCCCCACCTCTTACCTGGGCTCCATTTTGTTGCTGGAAACGCCTACAAGACCCAAACCCCCCCCCCAGCCCGAGCCCAGCCTACACTACTGGAAATGCTCTTATTGTTCATAAAATTAGCCGAACATTGTTGCAGCCTAATCTTAATATGGGCTTAACCCATATTGTGATTTTTATTTTTATTTTATTTGGTTACAACCAGATTGTGATATTTATTTATGCCTCGTTTGGTCAAGATCGATCAGTCTAATTAAATTGGACAATAATTTTTCTCCGTGCTTAGAGCATTTCCAAGGAAGCATGCAAATGAAATAGGCAAAATTGTACTATAATAACTTAGGTGGCATGTTGCCTACCCATTTGCCTCATGAAAAAAGTTGGTCACTTTAAGGGATTAGGCAATGCAAGTCTACAAACCATTATTATATATATATATATATATATATAGGGCAATGATTTCCCCACTCCTATTTTATCAACTTACACTCCTTTTTTAGTTATAAAAAAGGAGTGTAAGTGGATAAAATAGGAGAAAAATGAGTGGGGAAATCACCACTCTATATATATATATTATAGTTTATAGAAAAGTAAAGATGATATTTATTATAAAAAGTAAGTGGGGCTTAATATACATTTTCACTTTAAAGTAGGCAATATTGTCTTGTTGGGGATAGTGGGTATATTTTATCTACTCATTTGCCTTTTTCCTTGAGCATGAAAATACTGATGTGGCAAGGCAAATGATTTTGCTTACTCTTTTGCATCTTTCCTTGGAGATTCTTTTATTGGGCTTATATGCTAATCAACCAAAATGATTAAGGATGATTATGAAGGGTAGCTGCCCTTCTCTCAAGTACTATTTTACTATTTTTGGTCATTAACACTATGACACACACAATGAGGGGTTCATTCCCACTATCCAATAATATAAAGAAAAAGCTGATTTGAGGATGTGCAATTCGCATTCTAAATCGCTTTCTTGCTTTATCTTCTTAGTCCAATGGAACTATTGAACTTACCCCTCACCCACACCTGCTCGTAGTTGCAGCTCATGATCAATTAATCAAAGACCTAAATTAAACTATTAGTATTACTAATTAGCGGAGAAGATGATCACAGGCCCATGGTGGCTTGCTATTCATATATAGAATAGAAGCTTGGAGAGCATGTATTTATAATTTAGTTGAGAAGAAAACCAAGTGTAGTTGAGTTGAGAAGAAGATGGTATTTTGTTTATATTAGATTTTCAAACACAGCATGGCAGAACACACGACAAAGTAGCAAACAGGTAGCTAGGCTTGCTAGCTTCTTGAATATTACTAGATAGAGAAGATAGCATTAATGTGAGAAGATATAATAAGAAATAGAAAAATTAGATGATGATGGGCATCTCCACCACCACCACAGTAACGAATCTCACAGCACTCTGTCTGTGTCAACAATTTCAAGACAAGACCACACTAGAAGGTGGAGCTAGCATAAATATATTTATGAATTTGTTTCTTTCTTGGTTTTGGTCGAAGTCGATGTGTTTCACTTTCAAACACGCATCTAGGGATGTACATGTTGTATAATGTATGTGGTGTTGTTCAAAGTTTCAACTTTCAACTTCAAGGAGGGAGGAGGCAAATGCTATTCTCTTAAATTGTTTGTTTATTATGGTATATGGATATGATGTATTTGTTGTTGTAACTTGTATCCATCTTATCATGATCAACATGTTTGACCTAGGCCATTTATTTTTAATTGCCCCAACATATATATATATATATATTAATCTCTTCGCTGGCGTTGGCTGGCCCATCTGGGAAGCATCTGGGAAGCAATGGTTGGTTGCAGCCAAAAGCTATTTCCTCAAAATTCACTATATAAATAATAGAGAGACCTAATAAGTGAGATGTAAGCATTAAAAAAATAAAGAATTGTGATGGAAAATCATGTTCTTTTGATTTGATACATTTCTGATGATCTTTTATTGAATAATTATACGTACTTTGCAAGGAATCATGAAAAAATTGAAACTAGGTTAATCATCTCTGAAACTGAAATGCATCTACAGACAGAGAGACTAGAGTATGTTTAATTAGATACGTTTGTCCACAAAACAAATGGACAACAGCCAGCCACATAAATTAAGTCAAGATAATAATAAAAGGTCGTACAAGTTAAAACAAGAGTAGGTAAGCGAGACCAAGCAGATAGATAAAGATTAAACTTTAAAGACTGCCTGCCCTGCCTGCCTGCCTGCCTTTCTTTGTAAATTGAAATGTTGCCATCAGCAGCAGCACAACCCAAAAAAAATAAAAATGTGGCACACTTGAAGTGACTGACAGACAGACTAGTAGAAGAAGAAGAAGAAGCGCATGCTTATTGACCAAAAGGCAGATTATTGGATTTTCAACTTTGGCCTTTACTAATACTGATACTAATATTACTAATACTAGCTGCTAAGGTTGTTGAGTCCACACGCTTGTGATTGTGTGAAAACAAAGACCGTCAGAACTCAAAAACAAAACAAAGCTATTTCCCATTTCCCCAGTCAAGGAAGGGGTTCCCGAGTCAGAATTGGAGTTAGAATTTCCTCTCTTAAGACTACTAGCTAGTCTCTTATTTCAAAGGCTGTATGAGACCTCTCTGTCTCTGTGTTTCCCCACCCCTTCTTTTGCCTTTTCTAAATTCCATTTATTTGCTTTGCGCTCTCTCTCTCTCTCTCTCTCGTTGCAGTTGTACAAGAGTCAGTAACATATATTCCTAGCTGCCTACATATAAATGGGTTGCTTCCGCTTCAATTAAGCTAGAGCTAGTAGCTTTCTCTTCTTCAATCTTATTCATTATATTCAGCAGAACCAATATCATATATTTGATTTATAGATGGAGAAATTACCAAACTTTGTTATAAACGGAGGAGTGAAGATGCCAGTTGGGTACCGGTTTCATCCCACGGATGAAGAGCTTGTGATCCACTACTTGAAGAGAAAGGTCCATGCCGCGCCATTGCCTGCTTCCATCATTCCCGACTTTGACGTCTTCCACACTCATCCCTGGGGCTTGCCAGGTACTTCATTTAACCCAACTGAAACTGAACTGAGAGAGAAGAGTAGTTGAAAACAAAGTCTATAGGTAGCTTATTGATCCATTATTTCTCTCTCTCCCTCTCTCTCTCTCTCTCTCTCTCTCTCTCTCTCTGTATAGGGTTGTGGAGGTGACGTTAGGGAAAAGAGGTATTTCTTTTACAATAAAATAAATGCGAATGAGATTGACGACACTAAGAGAGCTGCTGGCTGTGGTTACTGGAAGCCTATGGGCAAAGAGAGGCAAATTGTTGATCCTGAAAGCAGCGAAGCAGTTGGGATCAGGAAAACGTTGGTTTTCAGCCAAAGGAAGCGCCGTTACCATGAGACTCAAACTAAAACTCGATGGCTCATGCATGAATATCAGCTCTTGTCTTCTCAAGTAAACCCAACCCATACCCAGTTATTTATTTATGTAACTAGTTATTAATCTTTTTGCCAATTAATACAGCCATTAAATAACTAATATGATGATCATCATATTATATATAATAATGCAGGCATCTAAAATGGAACTGGGAAACTGGGTTGTGTATCGCGTATTTCAGAGAAAGCGAAAGCCTCAAAGATCATCAGATATTATTCCTCAACCCTCCAACAGCAAGAGGACTCGGACTCAGAGATTAGTGGAGGTGATTACACCTTCTTCCTCCTCCTCATGTTCGAGTGATATCACTCACCTCTCTTCCAATGCCAATAGGCTAGATCATGATCAGGAGGAAACCAGCAGTGCTGCTGCTGATAATTAACATAGCAATTCTTGATCATATATATATATATATATATAATATTTTTGCCTGAGACGACTGAAGATGAGAGAGAGCCTTAAGCTTCCTTTCATGAGATTGCAACTGTAGCGCAACAAATTAAATGAGAAAGAAAAGGCTTAATTTTATCTTTAATTTGAATGGCTTATCAAAGTTACGATGAGCAAGCATATTAGCTAGCTAGATTAATTATTGTCTTCTTCATGGCAAATCCAAAATGAAGCGCTGTGCTTCACCCAAAAAAAAAGAAAAAAAGAAGCGCTGTGGGTTTAATTAATAATTATATTCTTGTTTCCCTACCTTACCTTGCTTTATTGGGTTCATCAGATAATTCACCATACCATATGCATGTATTTGGGACATATTATTATATATCATAGTGAGAGGGAAAGAGGAATGCATATATATATATATATATAGAGTTTTTCTCTAATGCGGACGTCCGCATTGTGTTAAAGTCCAGTCGTCTCCTTTGCTGTTTCTTTTTGCAAGTGGATTTGGTTCTTAGTGGAATCCACTTGGCTTGAGGAACCATACTGGCTTAGTGAAACCCGTTCATCACTTATATGGCTCTATAATTAAACAGAAAAAGAAGCCAGTTTACAGTAGCAACCAATGGTATTGCTTATTGTTCTTTGGGATTCTTTTTGGAAGGCCAAAACCCCTAATTATATATTTATATATGGAGTACTTACCATGTTTTTGCTTTATATATGCATGTATGAAATCAAATCCATAGAAAAGAAGCTAGAAGGACACGCCCGGACTTTAACACAACGCGGACGTTCGTATTAGAGAAAAACTCTATATATATATATATATATGGCATTCATTGTTTCTGAGTAAATCTGGAAGCTTTTATTTCCTTCCTTATGAAAAGGCAAATGATTTTTGAGACAAAAGATTTGACCCAGACTAATAAAAAAACAGCTGGCAAATGTTACATGCATATATATGATGATGGCTATGCTTTTATGCATGTAAAGCTTGTTGTCCATTGATTGCTATGAAAGCAACAATTAGTACCACCCAAAAGAGGCATCCAAAGACACATACATGGATGGTTAAAGTGTTTTTTTCCCTTTCCTTTTGTTGGGCAGAAAGCTAAGGGAAAAAGAGGTTCTTCAATTCTGTTCTGTATTATCTATATCTAATCATGATTAGCATAAAAATACACAGAAAGATATCGATGCTGGTGGCAGGCAGAACACAGAGAGAGAGAGAGAGAGAGAGAGAGAGAGAGAGAGAGAGCACCCACACCACACTATTATACAGTATACTGCTGCAGTGCACAGCACATGCGAGGTGAGAGGTGAGTCGCACTCGCATGATCCATGTTTCAATTCAATACCCCAATTAATATAATATTGAAATAAATATGCTTCGATCGAGTTATGGAATGGAATCACGATGACTTTTTGGGGTTTTAGTCCTAATATAATTGGAATTAAAAACCAAAAAGATTCTGCCTTCTTCACAATTTCAGTGGCAATGGCATCCAATTAATTAATATGATGATTGTATATATAATATTAATTAATTAAACAAGGGTGTTGGTTGTGTTGTGCTGGAGCCTCAGAGCCTCAGAGCCTGGGGAAAGGATCAAAGCACAATTAAAATGGGAGGTTGAGGTTGAGAATAAGATTGGTTGGCTTGGTGAGTTATAATAATTATGTTAATTACATCGATCAAGTCATGTCTCCCTACCCAAATAGAAATAGGGAAAAGTATTATGAATGATGTTTGTTATCCAAGGTTACCTAGTTCAATTCTCCACGACACTCATTTAAAGGAAGAAAAGTAATAAAGCAAAGGATTAACAGATGCATGTGGATGAGTTTGCTTAGTGGCGTAGAATGCTGACTCTCTTTTCTTACATTTTGTCTGTCTCTGTGATCTGTGATCTGTGATGTGAATCGGCTTTAATTAATAATTAGTCATTGTTTGTGGTGGGGCCATACTTTAATTTCCACAAGAAATATTGTTCAAATTATTTTTTTATTTTTTTTAAAAGTGAAAGTTTTTTTGTGACTAAAACCTAAATTTACTTGTTCTCTGTGTAAGAGATTTGTGTCAACTTGTCAAGGGAGGGTGCACCGCACTGTATGGCAACTCAGAAGCAACTACCCTGACCCTGAAGCTAGCTTCTCATGGAGCCAGAGGCCCAAGAGAAGCAAGATCGAGTAAGCGGACCTAGCTCTAGCTGTAGGCCCTAAATTAATCCGTAACTCCCAGGCCCATCAAACACTCTACAAAACAAAAGGAGGGTTGTTAATTAACAGCTTAATTATATAATTAAAAACTAACAGCAGGAGCAAGCACGTACGTGCTACGTATGGTATGGGTTGGTGAAACAGAATTATCAAGTGCAGTGCAGGGTTGATGGTTAATTATGAAGCTAATCCCGCAACACTCGTTGGTTCCCTCATTTCAATACTCCTATCCAAATTGATTTTTCTTAATTTGTTTCTAATTTCCTCTTCACAATATTGGACAGAGCAATCCATCGACACTTTAAACTCACATTAATTATTAATTTTGATTCATTATATATATTTATTTATCTGAGAGGCTGCTGATCGAATTAATGATCGCTCTCCCTCCCAACCTCTCCATCTTGTTTTGATCATCTCTTCTTCCCTATTCATGTCTGTCCTCCTCTTCCTTGTTGTGCATATCCATCTATAGTTTCCTTCGGATATCCATGGGTTGCGGCATTTCCAAGTTGGGGGCTAATGCTCATCAACATCATCAGCATGACCACCTAACTACTTCTTCTGCTTGTGAATCTAATAATTATAACATTGGCAAGGATCCGGAACGGGGCATGCATGACTATGGCGAGGAGGATGACATGATGATGAAGGAGAAAGAGAGATCAGGGCGGGTGGAGAAGGTGGTCAAAGAGGGTAGAATAAAGGAGGGGCACCCACATGCACATGCACATGCACATGCAGGCCTAGGGTTAGGGAAGGGAGGCCGCCAATATTCTGATGATGATGGCTATGATGAACAAATGCTCTCTAGCAGTGACAGGGAGGATAGCTTCATTCATTGTCCACGATCCCCCAGTTTTAGGGATTATTTCATTGACTCTGATCAAGACTCGTCAAGGCATCATACCCCTAACAAATTCTTCTTTAGCGGTGAGTTGCCTTGCCTCACAAATTCTTTGCATGAATTAGCTAATCAAACAATTTGTATAATCTGTGAGGTTGTCTTTTCTTTGAAGGTGATGCTAATGATCATGAGATCAACAAATCAGAGACATGGGCGGAATCTCAGAATACCAACAAGGTAATTCAAAGTTCTTGTCTAGCTAGCCAAATACATTTGATTAATTGATGAAAATTAATTAGCTTAATGTTGTTAATAATTGTGTTTTGTTTATAATTATTACATTGCGCAGCAACAGAGAATATCAGAAGCTGATGAATTAGTGAAAAAAGAGAGCAAAGGATCGAGACCATCAGGAATTAGGGGTGTGTTAGGCAAGCAATCAAGACTAAGATCCTACTTAAACGTCTCCAATTGGCACCACCACAACAGTCCAATCTCGTCACCCTCTCAACAAAATCCCTCAAAACTGGTTGCTGCTGAAAATTAATTAATTACAGCAGCCTCATGAGAGTAGATCATATCGATTATATATAGGATCTATTGACACAAAACACAAAGAGGCTTTCTTTCCTTCATTTGTTCAATTTCCCCATCCTTTTTTCGATCTCCCTTCCCTTTCCATACATCATACATGTATATTTAACATGCAACATGCAATATGTAACATGGACGTTTAACGTATCTTTTCTCCCGTTTTTACCTCAATTGATCATTAATATTTCACATGCCTTACTCTGCATGTATATAGTTGCAATCCGGCTATAAAATACATGATTCATGCATGCATGTACATATAATATATATATATGTACATACAATAGTTTCATATGGAGATTACTAATTAAGATGTGCGCAGATACAATACAATTATCTGTTTCACATGGAAATTGCTAATTAGGATTTGCGCGGATACAATACAATTATCTTCCATGATCGAAAGCTTTCTGTTATTTATTATGTTTGCACCGACCTGTGGCTGGCTTTGTGTCCTATCCTAAGGAAGACAACGTTACGTATGATCTGAGTCTCAGGGCTCAGGTTGTGCTTCAAAAGGCGGCTAGCTGCTTTTTGAAAAGGACAGCTTCATCTTTCGTCCCTTGGTCTCTTTCCTCTCGCTTATGCTTCAAGAAACGTATAACATGCCTTTTTTGAATTTTGACCCACGAAAGTCTTTATTCAAACAACAATAATATCTTCCACATATCGCTTTCATATTTATTTCTCAGTCGCTCCTCTCCTTGTATATTATCCTATAATTAACTTCAAACCAAACCGCAGTATAAATGAAAAAAGATAATTAAATTTGAACAAAGACCAATTAAATTTGTGTCTTCAAAAGGCTTCCTCAGTAGTGGGAGAAGGCCAATCTCAATTTTAGCCTTACCTTCTCAATCATTGTATTACCCCTCTCTCTCTCCCTTTCAATTTTTTAACGATAAGATAGTAAAGTTCATTTGTACGTAATTATGTGCACCAAACATCATGCCCATAAGTCCTACTTGTTAGTCCTTCCTATATATATGTATATATGCGTGTGTGTGTGATGAAATTTACCACCATATCTCGTTGCTTCTTATCAATCAAAAGGGATTAACTAAACCCACGTCGTAAGTGACCTTTGTTTTACAATTAATTATGCATGAAAGATAATTATTTGCTTATTTATTACTCGTTATATAATAATTTACATGTTTCACAACACAAAGATGAAATTAATTAGACATGTGAGTAATGGAAACCCTACCACCTCTCTCATCTCCAAGTTGTGGTCAATAATATAATGCAATTCTACTAATTAGATCTTACAGTACGCTGGAACCCAAATTAACTACATTATTATTTACCTCTGCTCCTTGTCTTGCAAGGGATTTCAACCAAAGTCGGGGGCAAAACAGATAATTTCAGATCAGTGGAGGTGTGTGGATCTGACCCACCCACCGGTTTGGTCAAAGTAAGATAGTTTTCGTTCTAGAACCGCTTCTTCCTTGTCAGCAATATCTGACTTTGACCGTCATCCGCTTCTTCAATGTCATTTTCAGCAACCACTGTTTCGTCGCCACGTCATACTCCAGCAGATCTCCTCCCCTAGATAGACGCCTACTATATTTTTCCCCCTCCAATGCCACGACCCAATGCTTGGAGAAAACTTAGTTGCAACGGTTTGCTATTTCTTACTAATAATATTATGTTATGTGAAAATATTATTACGCGTGTCATAACCCTAATTAGACAGAATAGCAAGGTAGTATTATTTCCGTTTCATAGAAGCATTTCTCCGATGCTTGAAGCTACTCCCTCGAGCACTCAGATGACCGAATTGCCCATCAGGATACGTGTCGCTTTGTCAGTGCGCGCTTTTTCACTTTGGTAAATGACGTGGGAATGATCCCATTTTCCCCCTTTGCTCATTTTCTTCTTGTTTTCTCATTTCATTTCCTCACCTATCTTTCTCGGTTTCTCTCTCTTTCTTCGTTGATCTGCTACGAGTCGTTTTGAATGATCCACCAAGCTTTTACCTCTTTCTCCTTGGTCTTCTCCTTCTTCAATGTCGTGGCAGCTTTCGAATTAATCTCAGTCCTCGTTTCGTAGATTTGGAGCCGAGCGTCTTTGAATTCCAGGGAGACAAGAAAGGATTTGATTTTCGACACTCTGAGTCGCTCTGAGTCTTTGTTTCGGTCATTGCGATAGGGTTTTAAGGAAATGAAGTCTTCGCTTGGTATGCTTCGGAGATTCGAACTGCACAGAAACGATGCCAAAGATAAGAGAGACGTTCAACCTTTGGCTCAGGTCGATGAGCTCGCTCAGGCTGCTCAGGTACTCTTTTTCTTTTTCTTGTCAATTAATTTCAAGTTTTGTACTGTGCTCGAACTTTGCTTGTTATGTCTAAGTTGTTGTCTTAGGAACTTTGACTAAGCTGAATACTCCTCGAGCTTCAAAAGCGAATTTGGACCTTTCTATGTTTATTTGAGAAAAATAACTTCATATAGTATTCATTCCGGAATTGAAAAAAAATCAATGCTTTGAACTTTATTAGGGCTCTTGAAAAATACTGGATCTTCGCCTCAGTAAACAGACAGATGATGAATTTGACTGTGAATTGAACTACTTGGCACGCCGGATATGATTATGGAGGACTTAGGGATCCGGAAACTTTATATTTCTAACTTAACTAAAGAGTTCAAAAAGAACCTTGTTAACTTTGTTGTAGTTGGTAAACAGTACTGTTAATTACGGGATTCTTATCAATTTAGTTGATAAGGTATTACTCTTTTGATTTGTACATTTTTCCAGGACATGCAAGATATGAGAAATTGCTATGATGGCTTACTTTCTGCAGCTGCTGCTACAGCGAACAGCGCATATGGTAAATACTCTGCTTAATTTCATTTGTACATTAGTTTTTAATCTTTTAGTTAGATATCACATTTTTTTCAATAAAGGAAATTTGGTGTGTCCAAGTTTGTTGACTTCATCTGCAAATTGTGTTTCACAATAACAAAAAGTTATATCTTCGTACATGACACACCACTTTTAACATATTATCACTCCCACATGAAAGCTTGATAAGAAGAAAAGTCATGCCGTACTCCTCCAAGAACGCACTAATAGGGTCAGCTTCTTAGCTAATATCACATTCAACTACCAATCATTGCAAATTTGAGAGCTTATTCTAAAATGGTTGGATATTCTCTGAGGAGATGAAAACAAAAATGGTTAGTGCTGAATTCTTGGGTGTATTTGCAAATCATATGAACTTATTGGAATTCCAAATGATAACTTTATGAGATTTAACTTTAAGATGATCAATTGGATGCCATATACTCTTGAGTCCGTATAAATACAGATTGCTTCCATTTGACTTGATCTGCACTTTCAGAGTTCTCAGAGTCACTGCGTGAAATGGGTGCTTGTCTACTGGAGAAAAACTGGATTGCACGATGATGAAGAGAGTGGTAAGTCAATCAAAGTATATGGTTTTTTTTTTTGTTTTTTCTTTGTGAGAAGGAAGTGGGTAAACCATCAGTCTTCTTTTTATTATCCCATAGCTAAGATTATCAGGAGCAAAATAATTTTTCTGGAGTCGAACACCAAATATTTGTATTATCATGAATTTGGATTTTGAGGATTTTAAATTACATATGCCTTGTACTTTAATTGAAATGCAGGCAAAGTTTTTCTGATGCTTGGGAAGGTGCAGTTTGAACTTCAAAAACTTGTTGATAGCTATGTGAGTTCCTACTGTTGTTTTGCGCACAGCATGCCATTTTTTAAAATAATTTTCTTTCATTGCAATACCTTCACCTTAACCTAGCATTAACTAATTGTTTTCTTTACTGCAGCGCTCTCATATATTTTTGACAATTACAAACCCATCAGAGTCTCTTCTCAATGAACTTCGAACAGTCGAGGTTTGCTCTTGTGGATTCTCTTATTTACTGATTACCTTACCAGATGCTTTTTCAATAAAACCTTAATCGCCTGCAGCTATTATACATGTTTCTATCCTAGAGGTTTCTGCTGTAATTTGATTATTAGGTGCTCTAGCTGTATTACAAATCAAAAGGAATTTCCAGTGCCTGTGGCATTCACACTTGCACAAAATCGTTACCCTTTTTTAATATAAGAAAAATCCTTACTCCTTTTACTAGCACATAAGGCACCATTTAACAGCAGTCTGAGAATAATAGGTTAGGCATGCCAAGAAAAAGGAAAAAAACCAGCAGTCTGAGAATAATATGCCATGTGCTAGGTGCAGGCTTGGCAATTAGTTTTTTGAAAACTTTAACCTGTAATCATATCGTGAAGATGTAGGCTTTAAAAGTTGAATGCAAACCACACCTACCTTTTTGAACCTTAGAGGTGTTCCCCTTGTCGAGGTCTCATTTCCTTTGCTTGTGTATCACTGATTGTCCTTTCTTGTTATCTGATGCAGGAAATGAAACGACAATGCGACGAAAAAAGGTCTATTCTGTTCTCTTTTAACTATTTTTACTTAATTGAAGTGAATTTCTTCTGAATTTGGTTTGTTGCGTAATCTTCAGAGATGTGTATGAATACATGGTGGCACAACAGAAAGAAAAAGGAAGGTCAAAACGTGGGAAGGGTGAACATTTTTCTTTGCAGCAATTGCAAGTGGCTCATGATGAATACGACGAGGAGGCTACATTATGTGTTTTCCGATTGAAGTCTCTGAAGCAAGGACAGGCCCGAAGTCTTCTAACACAGGCAACTCGTCACCATGCTGCTCAGGTTTTCTTTATCTGTCGAACCAACATTAAAACTTCAATACCTCACGTTCTTTTGTTAGTTTGATGCAAAGTTAGCATTCTTGTTCTTTGTTTGTTCTTTGAATCAGTTGAATTTCTTCCGGAAAGGACTTAAATCACTTGAGGCTGTTGAGCCGCATGTTAGATTTATTACAGAGGAGCAACATATTGAATATCAATTCAGTGGACTTGAAGATGATGGTGGGGATGATGGTGAGGATAATGGCGAGGATAATGGTGAGAATAGCAACGATTCTAATGAAGATGGAGAATTGAGTTTTAACTACAGATCAAGCAAGCAGGGGATTGATATCACCTCTGCATCAAGGAATTCAATGGAGGTGAGTGTCTAATGTAATTAGCAATTTGTGTTAATTGACGAGGTGCGATACTATCTCTGTTTAAGATGCTAAAATGTAACCTACCTAAATCCACCCAACTATTAATCAGCTTGGTCGTTCAGTCAAAGCAAGTGCCACTGCTGGTGGTGGTTTCAATTGTTGTTAGACATAGTGCGCATATTGTGAACCTTTTGGTGATTTGAATTTCGTTGTCATGTTGTATTTTTGTTCTTATGATCTGCTGGCTTATTTTTCAGGTTGATGAAGTGGGACTTTTGTCTCCTCAAGCTTCAAGAGTGGAACACGCAGATGTATGATTTCATTGCCTTTTGATTGGTAGATTTGAAACCAAACTTCAAAAGCATGAATGTTAGTCCCTGAATTTCAAATATTGTATTCACAATTTTTTTTCCTTGCAGATAAATCTGGATAAAAATCAATGGGATCTGAGGGTCTCGAGTAGAGAACCTAGAATAGGCAGCCACTCGGCCCCAATTTTTGCAGAGAAGAAGTTTGATCCAGCTGAAAAAGCTAGACAACTGCAAGCATCAACTGCACGGAAGTCTAATACATATGTGCTGCCCACTCCTATTGATGCAAAGGGTTTGATTTCTTCAAGAACAAGCAGCACGGTTCCAGTCACAAGGCCAAGTGGACGAACCCACAACTTATGGCACTCTTCCCCATTGGAAGAAAAGGATTCTGGTGATGATAACCTGTCAGGACCGACTTTCTTAAAAGCTCAGTTGGTACAAAAAGAGAGCAACAGTAATAATACCTCCACCCAACTACCTCCTCCGCTGGAGGGACTTACACTTCCACAGCTTGATACATTTAATGCATCTGATACCAAAAAGATTAAGAGACATGCCTTCTCGGGTCCAATAACTAGTAAGTCATCATCGACAAAGCCTGTGTTATATGCTAGTGGTCCCATTGCATCAAGTGAACTACCTCAACAAGTTTCTGGAATGCTGTCTCGTTTACCAAATCCCCAACCTTCATCTCCAAAAGTATCCCCAAGTGCTTCACCTCCCCTTGTTTCTTCACCTAAGATAAGTGAGCTTCATGAGCTTCCTAGACCCCCAGGTAGTTTTGGTGTGAAACCAACAAAGTGTTCTGGATTTGTTGGTCACTCTGCTCCCCTGGTCTTGAGAAATCAAGAATTTAACGTGCCTAATAAAATCCCTTCAGTGACATCAAACATGGCATCACCTCTTCCAACTCCTCCACCATTGGTTGTCCCTAGAAGCTTCTCCATACCTTCAAGCAATCAAAGAGCAATGGCGTTGCATGTAGCAAGACATTTGGAGTCTCCTCAAGTTCCAGGCAAGGCTGAAGAAGTTGCTTCACCTCCGTTGACGCCAATTTCCCTATCAAACCTGAAACCAGTATCAACTGTTTCTGAAGTGGCCTCGCACTCTAGTCCCATCCGAGGTGAGCATGCCATTTTCAGTATTTCCTCACCAGTTGGTGTTCCCTTGTTATTCTTAGAATTAAATTGCTCCTGCATGGCCGTGTATATATGATGGGTGTCAGATGTGGGAACAGTTCAGTCCTTCATCTTCACCATCACAGCCAATTGATCATTTTTGGTAATTCTAATTTTGAACATCTTCAGTGGATGCAGGTGGGAGCTGATATCATAGAGATTGGGTGAAGCAGTGAATTTCTTAGGTTTGCCCTTAAGATTGTTTTGGGTCTCATTGTTTTCATGTTAGGTACAGAGTACGGGTTTGTAAATATGTTGGTTGGGTGTATTGTTTAGTTTCTCATCTCAACCTTTTCCTTTACCCTTTGTTGTTGCTTATGATGAGAAGTTGAGAACTAAATTCTACGGAAATTGTGTCTTCACGATGTATCATATATATCTTCAAATGAAGAATTTTGTTAGATGTCCCATCCCATGACAAATCACCAGTGGCGTGTGTTGATCATTGGTAGAAAATACCACTTCTTTGCTCTCCAAGAATGTTTTTTATATTTATTTTTTAAATGAACTAGAATGGACTTTATAAGTCGGCCCAACCTTAATCTAACCCATTTCAAACGTATGTGGTTTGCACCTGACGGTCTATTCTGCAGAGCGTCGACTTCTAGCGTTATGAGTAAGGAGACGGCGTCGTTTTTCGATATGTTTAAAACCAACGTGTCATCTTCTCAGTCTCCTGGGGGGATAAGGAAAAGACAGTTTTTGACAGTTACATGACTGTTTAAGTCGTTAACAACTCAACGCCTTATAATCCCTTCACTACCCTTCTGAGTCTCCTGAGTGTACCATCGAGGAAGGAAGCAAGCGGTGAAATAAGCAAAGCCAGTGACAGTGAGCCATGGGGATAACAAGGACCCTCCTCCATTCCTCTTGCTCTAAGCTCCCATTCCAAACTCCCTTCTTCCACTTTCAATCTCAAGTGGTGGCTTCGAGTTTCTCAAGCCGCCTTGAGATAACAAGGACCTCCTCAATTCCCATTATATCTCGCACCCACTTCCGAAAACCCATCGCAGCGTCATGCTCTGCCTCCGATGGTAGCAATTCCAGTCAGTTCTTCTCTTACCCTTTCTTTTATATAAATTTTCTTGGATTTTCCATCTTTCCATGAATTTATGATTTTATGCTTTCACGCATGCCAAGTGTTTGATAATTGCTTCTGTTCTGGCGTTGGTCAGTTTGATTTGATTTGTAATTACTTGATATTAATTTCTACTGCGATCCTTTTTCAAATCCTGACACTCACGACTCATCTCTTTTCTGACTATGTCTTGTTTAAAGGTTCAGCAACCAAGGTTTCTGTAGCTGACCCCTCTGTTGCATTGAAGGTGAGATCTCTCATTCTCTTGGAAACAATAAGATTTGACAAGACATGGAAGCCCATGCCAATTAACAGGGCTAAAATTTGGGTTTCCCTTTTTCTCTCTCTCTTTCAACTTTCTATGAAAACCAAAAGGGGCTTCATGGATTTGCTCGTGTTTTATGATGATCACGGGTAGACTATTATTCTAGGCCGGTTGAATTTTCAAAACTAATTCATTTGCTTCTGGTTTAAAGTGCTGATTGTAACTGTTCAGTTTTAATTCAGAAGAAGGCAATGGATATATCCCCCGAACTCAAAGGAACTTCCATATTTCTTGTGGGTAAGTATTACTTAATGCTTTGTATTGTAAAGCATTCAATACTCAAATCTTGTGATGATCCAGTCTGTACTTACACATATCCTCTCCTTTTTGGCGGAAAGGCATGAAGAGCTCCATAAAAACTAGTTTGGGAAAACTCCTAGCCAATGTGTTACGGTATTATTACTTTGACAGGTACCTATATATGCTATATATTTTAAAGATCAAGATAAGCTTCTTTGCTCTAGATGTATCAGCTGAACCTGTAATTTGTGTTCTTCTATAACCAGTGATAGTTTGGTTGAGGAAGCTGCTGGCGGTGAATCTGCTGCCAAATCTCTAAGGGAGACTGACAAGAATGGTTTTCATGAGTCTGAGGTGATAGTTTTCGACATATTTGTTGTTTTCTCACACCATACTTTGAATAGAAGTTCACTTGTTATTACTCCAAGTAAACAAAGTATCTGTGGCTGACGAAGCTGCCTGAGGCCAACACTAGAGCTCTCATGAAACATATTCTGAAAATTGGATTGCTGACTTATCGATGCAGATTATTTGGTTCGTTTTATGCATATCTAAATTGACATGTTTCTGCAGACTGAAGTATTGAAGCAATTATCATCCATGGGTCGATTGGTGGTTTGTGCTGGAGATGGTGCGGTTCAGAGTTCAACTAATCTGTAGGATTATCAAAGAACTCTTTGCTGATATTATTATTGATATATTTATCGTGGTTAATGCTAGATGTGCAATTTTGACTCACTTCAGAACATATATAGGGCTCTTCTGAGATATGGGATCTCCATATGGATTGATATACCTGTAGACTTGGTTGCGAGGGGGGTGATCGAAGATCAAAGTCAGCTTCCTGCATTCAACCTATCTGCTTCAGCATCTTATCCAGAGGTCAACTCTTCCTCCTCAAAATTATAACTGTATACAACGTGCTTCTTTGTCCTCAGAAGGAAAGTAAATGGACTACACCATTTAATTGCGTTGGGGGGGGGGGGGGGGGGGGAAAAGGTTGCGCAGCTGTGTCTTCCTGATAATTGACACTTTTGATGTTGATAACCAGGTTTTGACTCACCTAAGTACTTCATATGAAGAGGTCAGAGGTGGATATGAAACAGCTGATGCAACGATTTCCGTTGAAAGTATATCTCCGTGACCTTTTCTTGTTTTTAATGTACTCAATTATGTTTCCTCAATGGTTCTAACCATCGTTTTGTCCTAGCAGAACTAGCTTGTAAATTAAGTTATGATGAGTTTGGTGATGTAACCACTGAAGACATGGCTTTGGAGGTAAGGAGGCTAGTTTTGAAATGCATACGATTATCTGAAAATTAAAGCAAACTAATTTAAGGAGACAAAACCTTGGATTCTTTGCTCTATGTGAATTCAGGTTCTCAAGGAGATAGAAAAACTGACTAGAGTAAAGAAGATGATGGAAGCAGCAGCAAGGCCTTTTTAACGTTCGAGATGGTATAGGGCGGCATTTTCATCACTTGGAACCACTTTCTGCTCCAACCCTTAATTTGCGGGTTGCAGGCTGAGGTTTTGCGCATGCCTTGTGTAGGCTGCACAGTGGATTAGAATTTGGTGTACTGATACATTGATACATTGATACATTGGTGTACGTAAAACAGCTTTTCTCGTCTTTTCTGAAACTGGAAGGAAAAAACAATTGAATTAGCAGAGAACGAGACAGGATAAGTGGATGAGGTGCTGAATAATTGAGTACACTTAGTTTACATGTGTCAACGTGAATTGGTTGCCACGTTAAGCTTGAATTTGAATACTCTTTATTACTTTGGCAAATTGATAATATCTCCGAACATGATGATGATAAAGTACACCTTCCTTTCGAAGCCAAATAAATAATAATAATTAAGAAAAAAAAAGAAGAGAAAAATGATATCAGAAGAAACGGCTATTAATGGCGTGCCGTGTATCTATTCTATTGGACCCATTCAATGGCATTTTTCTTCTTCTTCCCATTTAGTGTATTCTTTTTGACTTATTTGAATGATAAAGGGAACTTAATGGGATGGGCCTTCACGTTGAAGATAAGGCAAACATGGCTTTGTAGGCCGCTGCTAACTGTAAATAAATTTATGTGGATTTGTGGGTAATTATCTCAAGCAAATCAATTGAATATGATAACGAAACTAATTGATGGATTCTTGAGATAACGTAATGTTCTGCCTTGTCTCGTTAATTACCCCAAATTCACAAATTTGAAACCTTATATTTTTAATTATTCAGAGAAATAAAATTCGATCGTCTTTTTTTCAAAAAATTATTCAAAAGAAATACAAGACATGCATCTCGCCGATCAAGAAACTGAATCCCCATTGGTTTGGAGATTTGAAATCAAAATTTCCATTTTTTAGGATTAAAAAATAGAAAGATAAGCGATGTGATTTTTACGTAATTATTTTGTTGAGTAAAAGAAAGAAAATAGTGAGAAAAACGATAAAACAAAAAACGGAAATAGGGAAGTTTTTCTCCGGAGAACACTTGCTAGGGTAGGCAAATACAAATACTCTCGCTGGTGGTCCCGCCCGAAGGACAAAGAAAGTGAAAGGCAGGTAAAGATTTTTTGAAACAGTGAGGTACAGAATGGGCTGAAAGCGTGGTAAAGTTACAAAAAATAAAAATAAAGAAAAAAACTTAAAAAAGGAGGAGTGGAGAGAGAGAGATTAGAGCGAGCGCAATGGTGCGGATGGATTATATGCGTGTTTTAATATTAATTGGTTTTGAAAATTACAGCCGAGAAAAAGAAATGGAAATGGAAATGGTGATGACGCTCGTATTTTGGGATTATAAACTGGGCCTCTCTCCCTCCCTCAGACTCTGTCTGCCTACAACCGCAAACTCCAAACCCTTTAATCCTTTTCTTCAATCCTCTCTCGCGCTCCCTACCAAACCCTACCTCTTCCTCTTTCTCTTTCTTCTTTTTCAACCGCATCCCTGTTCACAAACATTAACATCATCACCGCTGTTATTCATTATAGGATCTGATTTCTCATCAGTTTGCATGGAAGATTTTTTGAGATGATTCACCTGCTTGATTGTTTGATCACAGCTTTTCTTGGTGCGTCTACTCATAATCGGTGTTCTATCGGATTCTGGTTTTATCTTCATCACCTATCTGCCTTGTTTATAAGAATATGTTATTAGTAAAATGAGTCAAATGACCTTCTCTGTCTGCTTTTCATAATCCTATATGATCATAAGCTTCCATTATGCCAGACTTAGTTTCCTTCTGCTTAGATTTGTTTACTCTTGCTCTTGGTCCAAAATCGTAGTCTAAGTTGCTTCCAAGTGGATGATGCAGGAGGGGATGGGCTGAATGTGAGCCCTACCAAGTAACCCCTTCTGTACTTTCTCATTGATACTTGTTTTCTAGTAAACCTCCTCTATACCACTTATACTTCTTCCTCAGATCAATGGTTGATTATGCTTGGACGCTTGTTTAATATGTCTTAGATCGACTACACAAAATTTGCTATGCGATAAGTGTTTGTATATTGTTGTGTATGTGCAGTTGATCTGTTGGAATTGTTGGAATCAATTGGCTCAACTTTTGATCAATGTAAACTCATATTTTTCTCATGTTCGTCTTTTTCGAAATGGTTTAATGTTTAAAAACTAATTCTTGTCAATATTGTTTCAGGCGTACGTACTGATTCTTTAGGAAATCATGAATTATATGAGTTTCATTACTTGCTGGTTTGGAGGTCTGAAGATCTGTGCTACTTGTGATCTTCACAGTACTTCAATGCGCTTCAATATGTCTTTGGAGAGAGTGGTAACTCAAATGTTTGAATTCTGGCTGCCTTTGGTAGGTACCTAGTAGTTGCTTCGGCAGAGCGGTTATATTTTCAATTGAAGGGAGAAATTTAGGTGTGTATCACTTATACTGATGGCATAAGAAGTTGGATTTTCACTTTTTTTTTTGTTGGATTAGAAATAACAGCTCTGTTAGTTGATGAACTGATCTGATACTATTCCCTCAACCCCCATCCTAAAAAGAAAACAAAATAAAAATAAAAGAGTTAGGAATTAGTTCCTGTGAAAATTGGACATGGGATTGCCTCAAGTTCCCTCGACTGGAACTTCTGAGGAAGTACTAGCTGCATCTCTGGGCTCGTTTTTACAAAGCCCGCCTCGGTTTTCTAGTATAAGCACGTGTGATATGGATGGGATGCATGGTGGGACTGCAAGTCGAATGGGGGGAAACCCATTATGCTCCTCTTTAGGAGATTACCAGACAAGAGCCTCTCTGGAATTTTCAAGGTTCCCTGATGATTCATTTAGTTTGAGAAGGACCACAGAAGTTACCAACAATGTTCATGGTTTGACAATTGGTTCTGTTGATAAATCTGGTCAGATCACTCCGAAAAATGGGCGGAATATTCAGACCCCTGCTTCTAGGATTGTAGGATTTGAATCAAGTGGAACAAGTTCTCTAAATGATGGCTCCAAGGGTGTTTTATCTGGTCATGTTCACTCTTCTTCTGCAGTTAATGTTACAACTAATGATGTTGTGAACAGTGGATCCCTAGTCAGGAAGCGGTTGTCGTCACCATTGACTAGTATGCTTTTTCCAGATCAGTTTAAAGGTGATCATTTAGACATTGGTTGCAGAAATTCTCAAACAAATTCTCCCACTCTGAGTGAAAATTTCAGTGCATCTATTGCACATGATTATAAGAAAGCAAATGTTGGGAGCAAAAATCACTTTACAATGCCAACTTGGTCTCTATCTAGTTGCTTGGAGCAGAAGAACATGCCACATGATATTAGTAGTATGGAATCCGTTATTTTCACCGATGGCCCTTTGCTGGAAAACAAGGATCCCCTACCTCATAATAGTTGTTCATCTTCACCTAGACTTTTGAGAGAATTGACTAATGCAAAAGCCCAGAGTGGGGCAATATTCATATCTCCACGAGAAGTGATCTCGCCTTCGCATTCGTTGTCACCTCTTGGCCCCAAGTTGTCTGAAAGATTTAAAACTGTAGGGGGCTGCAGGACTGCTAACAAAGAGTTGGAGGATTGTCATTCAACCTTAAGGAATGTAAAACAAACACTTGACAAGTCTGATCCAGACATTCTATTTTCCCCTGAAGTAGGGGAGTTTAGGATTGCTAGTAAATTATTTGAAGATGTTGATATTTTTCAGAAGGACTTCCATCCATCTTCTCTAGAAAATGGTACTGGCGTAAGTTATTCTTTGTCCCAAGGGACCCAATGCATGAGATTTGTTAGAAGTTTGAGTGGACTTCCTGTTCGGAGATCCCTGGTTGGTTCATTCGAAGAATCTCTACTGTCTGGTCGATTCTTATCAGGGAAACCCAGCCAGGTTAGTGTGAATATTTCTGTTGTGTAAGTAATCCCGTGCATTGTTCATTATTGCAATGTTATAACTGCTGGAATCTTATACTATGTAGAGAATCGATGGTTTTCTGGCTGTACTAAGCATCACTGGGGGAAACTTTTCTCCACAATCACAGAAGCTTCCTTTTTCAGTAACTAGTGTAGAAGGAGACTGCTATTTATTGTATTGTGCATCCATACACCTTGCGGGAAATTCTGCATTGAATAGGAGTGGAGGACAAAAGCTGAAACGAGGCCTTAGCAATGATGGTTCCCAGATTGTAACAAGCCGCCTGCGCATTCCTGTGAAGGGCCGTATACAACTGGTATTTTGTTTCTTCTCTTTCAAAATTTGTTGAAATTGCTCACTTTGTGTAGCATTTTACGTTGCGATCGGCAATTTTTGTTAGTCATTAAATTAATCTCTCTGTACTTGCTTTATGCAGGTTCTAAGCAATCCAGAGAAGACGCCTATTCATACTTTCCTTTGCAACTACGATTTAAGTGACATGCCAGCTGGTACCAAAGTAAGTTGCGTGTGGTCAGCTGAACTCCCCTTACAGTATCTTGTTGCCACCATATTGATAACACTAGCAAATTTTGTGTTAAATGCAATTTTTTGAAAAATTTACTATAAGATCATAGTATTTTATAGCAGAGAGTTTTGGTCGTACATCCAAGGGGAACAACTGTGCAACTTAGAACTTAAGTTGATGATCATTGTCTAGAATCTCACTTTAAATCCATTCATAAATACACATATATGGAGATATATTTTTCTAACTTTATGCCATGCATGCTTAAAAGTAAATCTCAACTTTCAAATGATATCGTCTTGAAGCTGCAGTTATTGGTTAGCTTTTCAAAAGATTTTGGTTGTTATAAATGCGATGAATGGGAAAGTTATGGACTTCAAAATTATGTTTGTTATGTTGCTTATGATATACCATGTTCCTGTGGCTAATTAATTGTTCATTTTGTTCAATATATTTTCATATCTGTTCACATCAAAGTAGACCTTCTTGCGCCAGAAGGTCACCTTAGCTTCATGTAGCCCAACTGCTACACAGTCAAAACAAGGGAAGACTGATGTACATGCAAAAGTCATAGACAAGAAGGAATTAAAGGATCCAGCTGGAGTAGACGTTGTGCAAACAAGAAGATCTGTAGATCAGAAAACCAAAATTAGAAGTGAGTGCTCTGATTTAGTGGATTCAATCGATGAGGGGGATATGTCCAAGTCATCCCCTAAAACAGGAAGGGTATGCACTCGTTCGTTCATTGTTGAGAGGAGCTTTAATGATGATGAGTACCCAAGCAGTAATGGGAAGGAGCGCAACTGGGTTGATGGCTGCCATGAAACTGACAGGAAACAAGTACATGGTTGTTCGAGGGTAAATCAAAATAGTAATGGTGGTCTTCGCTATGCACTTCATCTCCGTTTCATATGCCCTTTTCCTAAAAAATGTTCTAGGTCGGTTCAGAGATGCAAATCAGATCCCCTATCTACACCAGAAAGAACGGGATTAGACATGGATGGGGAGCGCAGATTCTACTTATACAATGACTTGAGGGTTGTGTTCCCCCAACGCCACTCAGACGCTGATGAGGGGAAGGTACGTGTAAATATTTATAGTTGGTCATGCATCTCTCTATGTCTCTATTGTGTTGCGATATATGTTGCCTGAGCTAACTAGGCTGTGTCTTTTCTTTGGTTGTTAAATGGCAGTTGAACGTGGAATACCATTTCCCAGATGATCCGAAATACTTTGTCATCAACTGAAACGTCTAATTGAGCTCACAAAATATCTTTTCATTATCCTTTTTTATTTATTTATTTAGTTATCTGCCTTGTGTGTACATATTCTCGCATATGTTTCGTTGGTCATTTCATCTCAAATGGCATTAACCCTGTGTAAGTTCTACCTTGTACAGATTAAAAATAAAGGTTGAATTGGGTTCAATTTCGTTTAGCCTTCATTGTTTGTCAACTGTTGGTGGCGATGGATCTTAGTTAGTAACTAGTAAAAATGAATGAAATCGACTTAGGAGTGAAGGCTGGGCCGGGCATTACGCTTATTTTATATGTAGGTAGAGCCCATAAAAAGGTAGAGGCAGATAGCAAAGCAAGATCGAGTTGTTGTGGGGTGTCTCAGCAATCTCTGTTTATAGCGTTTTGTTGGTTGGATTGGAACTTGGGTGTATATAAATTTGTGTGATTTTCCATTTGTGCCCTTCCTTTGTTCCTCTCTTTGATAGAGATAGAGATAGAGATAGAGATAGAGATAGAGAAGCGAATTCAAGTGGTTTGAGTTTGAGGAAACTAATTCCCATTTTAAAATCTCCTAGGTTTACACTATTGATTTGACGCTGGGTTCTTACTTCTTTTTGGTATAATTTGATGTCGTTGGGTTTCGTCTGTGAAGTGTAACAAAAAAGGTGCACATCTGAATGAATTTGTGATTATAGATTGATTGTACATGGTTAAAATGAAGGACCATTGGCAGCATGACACCTGGAAAGAATAAGCCCACCGAGACAGAGACAGAGACAAAGAGTGTAGTCTGTATGTATTGTATTGGTACAAGTGGCAGGCAGGCAGCTATCTGCGCTGCATGCAATAGGCATGTTTGGGAAGTGACGAAAACAGACTTCCCATCCCATCATTATATATTAGAGGGGAAAGGGGGTTATGAATAAGATCCTAAACTCATTGAGGAAGAACAACATTTTGGGGTTAGGGTTAGAAATTAAATTAGAATTAGCTTAGCCTAGCCTAGCCTCTTCTTCACTGGGACTCTGGGCGGGCTGGTTGGAGCCTGATGGACGTTTAACCATTAGTCGGATCATATGTAGGTACAACGCCATACACATTAAACACGTCACTCGCTCTCAACCATCACATTAGTTGACGAGGCCCTTCCCCTTGGTAATAAATATAATACAAATATATGCAGATCATATGAGAGATAGAATCTCTCTCTCTCTCTCATGAGCTTTTTTAACTTCCAGCAATGGAAAACAAAAAAACAAAAAAAGTTGAATAGATAGATTGTGGGTTGGGCGTAGATGTACGGACGCCTAGGAGGGGTCTGACTGACGTCGCCTTGAGGGTTAAGCGAAGCTATTAATATTATAGGTATAGTTTAGCCTTTAGCTATATACCATACTACCATAGTCGTCGTCAGTCCCATGCTGATGGTGCTTTGCTTAGCTTAGCTTACTGCTTGTACCTGCCGCCGGACTGCACTGCACTTGCTGTCAAAATTAAGAGAGAGAGAGAGAGAGAGAGAGAGAGAGAGAGAGAGAGAGAGAGAGATTGACATCATAAGATAAGAGTGATTCAGTGCAGTGAAGAAATGAAAAGGGATGAGTAATTAATGAATTAATTAGTAGTAGTAGTAGTGGCACCACTCACACTCACACTGATGAGTTGAAGTTGTTGTCCTTTGAAACAAACAATCAACATCCATATTCCTCCATTTTGATTCTCTATTCTCTTCCTTCCCACATCACATATATGGTTATATATGTGTATTCCTATTTCCCCCACTATTTTCATTAATTACTTCATTTCCTATTCTGCCCTTTTCACCTGCGTCTCTTTCCAATTTGTATTTTCCGATTTCTTGCTTAAGAAAACCATAACACTTTTCAATGGTAGCTCTAGCTAAGGCACCTAGCTTAGCGAGCTTGTTCAGTGTAACTTGAGTTGAGTTGTTGTGATGAGTTTGGGTAATATATATATATATATATATATATATATATATATATAGCTGCATTGATTGCTTCTACATACTACACTAGTTACTTAAAACACCCATCTGTAACTACGTACCTAGCTAGCACTATTCAACTCATCCATCCATCACTTGCACAATCTCTTTTTTCTCTGTGTTTATTTTAGTTGCATTCAACTAATTTTCAGTTCTTTTTCTTCTTCTTCTTCTTTATATACCACCGTACACGTGAACGTATTATATTCTTCTACTTGTAGGTGGGCTGTGTAAAAAGGAATAATATATAGCAAAATTAACTAGCACCCAACGCCAATGACATCCTTATCTCTACGACGGAGGGTAATTCCGTCATTTGGCTGAAAGACGTAGCCTCCAATCCCTTCCCTGCTGCTGCTGCTGCTGCAACAGTTTTTGTAATCACTAGAGACAAATGGCCTCAGCACCTTGTCTGCATTTATTCCCTCTCTCTCTCTATATATATACCTTTAGCTGGCCACACCTAAAACCCTCTCGCCATAAACCTCATCTCTCTCAGACTCCCTCTCTTTCTCTCTTTCTCTGTCTCACAACAAGTAGCCAGCGTCTCTCTCAGACTCTGGCCTGCCTCTGCAACTGGTAATTAATTATATTATCAGCCGAATCAACAATGAAGGCAGACGAAGGGATATATCATGACTTCCTAGACCAGAAGAACCCACCTCATCATATTTCTTCTTCCTCTCCTATGAACCTAACATCCCCACTCATCTCATCCCCATCATCTTCACCAACACCAAGAGAACCCATGGGCATCCCCACAAATAAAAGGTCCCAACATCAGGCAGCCACTGGCCACGCTGGTTCTTCCTTATCGGGTGGACCAAATCGCCTGTTCCCATGCCGCTATTGTTCCCGCCAGTTTTACACCTCTCAAGCACTTGGAGGACACCAGAACGCCCACAAGCGAGAGAGAGCCGCTGCTCGCAGATCAGTTGTAGCCGGCGGCAGCTACCCCTCTGGCCCCACCTACTCTCCTCACCACCATGCGCCCTTGAATGCCCCACCACCACCACCACCTCCTCCTCCTCCTCCTTCTCATCATCATTTGCCGTTGAATGTGCCACACCATCATCCTCATGACCAGATTCAGCATCAAGATGATGACCCTTTTCAGCATTTTCCGCCTCATCAATATCAAGTATTTCACCAGGCCCAGAATCACCAGCAGCAGCAGCCACGGCTTCTTGACCCACCAGCCGTACCCAACATGAGCAGCAACAGTTATAGCAGCAGCTTCTTTATGGACATGGATATGAAGCATAATATTATGCAGCAGCAGCAGCAGCAGGACAACCAACCACCACCTTTTTATTGGGGGGTCGACCTCACTAACCACCACCTCATCACCGCCTCCTCCACTTCCTCTCTTCCTCTTCCTCTTCCCCTTCCCCTTCGTGGCCCCACCGAAGGTATCCCCCCTCAGCCTCAACCTCTCTCACCTGCACCTCCTACCCATCACTATCATCTTCATCCTCAGAATGCCGTCGCTCCTCATGACCACACTCACAGCCTTGATCTCTCCCTCCGCCTATAATCAGTTTATCCACGGTCACCGCTCTCACAGCTACTCATATATATATATAGGAACGTACGGTGCTCACTCCTTGCATCTCTGTCAATCTTTCTCTCTACTCTTCTTCTATTTTCAAGCTCATTTCAAAAACTTGTTATCTTGGTGGGTGAGTGTGGTTGGAGCTTGGATGTTGAAAGCTATCGAAAATGGAAAAGTGGTCTCTTTTATTTCTGTTTTTGGTTGAGAAATTAGCTACAGAAATTTAGAAAAGTTGTGCTAGCTAGCATATATGTAGCAGCTGGGCAAAATTATGGTATTAGATGAAAAGACATGATTTAATTAGCTAGCTAGGGTTCAGTTTCAAACTTATGTTGAGCTTTATTTCTCATTACATGATGAATATATGAATCAATTTTTAGTTTTTATATTCGCAGCTTTTGTGCATTAATCTCAGTTTGTTTGTACGTTGAGCTTGATTTCAATTTGTTTTTTACTCTGTGTGTGTGTGTCTCTGGCTCCGATCTCTGTGTGTGTGGTTACATTATCAAAGCGGAAAAATTGGGGACTGTATGTATGGATGCATGTCATGCCATGTATGTATATGTATATTGCCTTATTTGCGTTGTACATATATGAATGGATGTAAATTTTGGTAGCAAGGACCTCCTCCAATGGAGATGGATGGTTAAATGTTGTTAGGAAATTGCACCTGTGAATTCTGAGCAAAGCAAGCCACTGCCCACTGCAGTATGCGGCGCGATTACGATGGGTATATGGCCGACCAACCCCAACGCAATTATGCTCTCGTCAGTGGTGGTTCAGTTTGTACGTGGTGGCGGTGGGGCCACCTGGTTAGAGTTAGGGCCGTACACCACGTTTCCTTCCCCTCCTCCTACCTCCCACTCGCTGACACGGTTATGGGAGAATATTGTTCCTTGTTTTTCGACCAATCGTCAGTTTTCATTCAACCATGCATAACTTTCCATTATTTTCCCTTTTAAAAATATATATATAAATAAATAAATAAATAGGATTTCCTCGTTTGTTTTCTAAGGGGGAGGTGATCACTGAAGATTAGAAAAAATGCACAGCATCATGCATGAATATGAACAATTAATTGTCTGAATTAACAGTAATGGCGTCTACCGCTTCATCATGATTCATATGTGGGATTTGGTTCTTTTATTTGTTTTCTCGATGTTTGGATGGTGGCGTTTGATTCCATGTTCGTGGCGTAAATAAAATAACATAATTTTTTTGAATCATGGATCGTAAATGAAATATGGAAGAAAGATTGTGGTGGTGGATTCAAATAAGCCCCATAGTTTTGGGCACAAGGGTTCATGGCCCAAATAAGTCCTCTGTCTGAAGTCATCCTGTTCTGGTGGAAGCCAATAATTTCTGATTCTTTTTCTTTTCTTAGCAGATTTGATGTGTGATTGATTTATCGTAAATATGAATGGACATTGATGCGTTTGGTGGGATTGACTCAGACTCAGACTCGGACTCAGACTACTAGTATAGTCTGCACTATAACGCATAAAATTAAATCAAGGATTAATTATAGGTCAGTATTCTATAGTTACGCCTTAAATACATGTCAATTTTTATAATTACATACTCTGATCTTTTAAATTTGTTACAATGTGTTACAATTACATACCCCGTACCTAAACCTCCAAAAGGGAAAGGAAAATAAAAAGTGGCAGTCCCAATTTGAAATAGACTTAGTTGGCTACCTCTCTGGTTTTAATTGCTTGCTTTCGCTGAGAGAGGAGTGTTAATCTCACCCTTGACGATGGATCTCCTTCCTTTGTGTATTTTCATTGTCCAGCTCATTAAAACATGCGAGGAGGTGGAAGGAAGAATGACTTTTTCCAATATAATTGGGGCCCGAATACACAAGCATTTCTACTTTACAAAAGAAAGGAAACCAAACCACGTACAATTTTTTGAATTTTTTGTTTTTTCTCAAATCTGGCGTCTTCTTCAACGGCCTGTGTTGTGTGACCGACTGTCGTCCGTGTTGAAAAGTGAGGAGGTTGGGTAGCAAGCAATGGAGAACAAGGATGTGCATGGCCTGCCGGTGCCGGTGCCATTGCCAGTGCCTTCCACTAAGAATATATATGTATGTATGTGTATCAGTTTATCAAAGTTCAAAAGTAGGAATTTCGACTTCGGATGAAAAGCCATGCATGGCCTGGTATTGTAGCCGAGAAAAGACACTTCTGTAAGGATCATTTTCTCTCTTCTCCCTCAAATAAGCAAGGCATTTCTCAACCTCTGACTTCACTTCTAAATACACTTGATGAGCTTTCTCCCTGTCTCTTAATTCCTGCTTCCTCCCTTCAATACATTCACAATTTCACAACATAATTACATTACAAACTCAAACACCTCATGCATCATCAATTCAATTCAAGACATAAATTAAATACATCTGTGTATACACGTATGTGTCTTCCGTCGTCTACGTACATACCTTGTGTTTCAATTGGTTTCCCAAAATAATAATAGAACCTGCCAGGAACTTTTGGTATAATTCCTGGAAAGTGTACATCTTGGTTTCCTACCTCCCCATCATACCCAACTCTGTATCACAGCATCACATCCATATTATAATTAAGATGACAAAATTAATCTATGCAGAAAATGGAAATCAACAAAAGAAATAACATCGCAGATGGACTACCTCACTTTGGCGGCCTCATCCGTTATCTCCTCTATAAATTCCTTAAGGAAAGGGATTTTCATCTGGTCTTCATAATCCAACAATAGCTGATAACAAACAACACACAATCATTAATCTTACAACAATATATGGCAATCACTTATTCACAAGAGAACAGAGATCACTCGAGACAGGCCAGTGGTGCAAAATGTGAATCGGAAATTAAAGGCGGGCAACTAGAGAGCACATGTAAGAGACATGATTTTGATGCCTGTAATTGCTTTCTCAAAAAGGCATAAAATGCAAGGTGTGTAGCCTTACGTCGGCAATATCATCTTCTCCAACAGCACCAAAAGGTACGATTTTGGCTCCAAATCTTGCTGCCATCCTCACAAACTCTGACTGTTCCGGCCAGAATAACTTATATTCTTCCCCCTGGAAAAAAGTATAAGTTCAGTTTTGCAGGATTGATCCACTACAGCATTTGGAACTCTAGGCTTATCTAGTCTTCCCAGAGAAAGAAAAAAAAAAGAAGGATTATTACACCACACAACAATATGCTAAACTGAACAAGACGAAAAATTTGTTACCTTCCGGTGAAGAGCCTCACGCACTCCACCTGGATAGAGTAGGACATGACACTTTGAAGAAAGTAGTTTGTAAAAGTTGCTTCCTGAGACAGGAACTGCACCCATAACTCTTAATGTGTCATAATTTGATATATCAGGTAGCCTTCCTTCTCTCAATTTTGTAAACATCATTGGATGTGCTATTCCTCGCAGATGGATGTTTCTTTCTACCAACATCTGGGTTACCATGGGAGCCAATTCAAACCCCAGCAACATGTGATAGCCAACAAACAATACAGGACCCTCTGAAGGAATTCCAGCTAGGCTCCTCACGATCTTCCCATCTGCTAAAGTTGAGAGCATCACTGGGCTGGTGGCTATGGATAGCCATCTAGGCATAATGGATAGTGATCAGAAATTGTTATAAAGATATTAGGAGTTGGCTTGAAGAAGAAGTAGAATAAAGGGAAGGGGAATATCACCCACCTGTTCGAGTCAACTACGTTTTTTACTTCAGAACGCGTGGGTGGTATGTAATCAGAAACATAGTCTCGGTGTCTGGAATGACGGTAGAAACCAGTACCCTTGATGACAGTTACCAAATCAAAATCATCTTCCTGCCATGGATTGGAAGTACAAATTTATGTATCAAAAGAAAAACTTACAAAATGACCATTTGAGTGAATTTCAGGTGCTTTATACTCGCAAAAATTGGTTATAAAAAACACAATTTATCATTGAGAATTTAGCCATTGTAGGGAGGCCCTAATGCTTATCCAAGATAATTGCTCAAACCAGTATTTCATAAGTAGGACACTTGTCCAAACACTTGGAGATGTTGGTTACTGTACTTGAAAAAGTAGCAGAGAGAAAATTCATTTACTTTATCAGGGCTTATACAATCACCAATAAGAATGCACCCAAACACACATAGAGATCACCTACCGAGAAGAGGAAATGGCCGCTGTTCTCAAACATACGAATCTCACAATTTGCAAGTGTGCGTTGGAGTCTTTCACCTTCCTCTTGACTAGGTAGCAACTGATCCTTTCCACTAATAGACAAATAACAAAGAATTTAGCCCCATCACGCAATAAAGATGACAAGCTAAAGCAGTAAACTGCTCAGATGTGTCACCAGCAGATCACAAGTATTTAATGAAAATCAAATAATAGACCTGGAAAGTATCAGCGTTTGAGCTTTTACAGCATGGAGACGTGAATTGGCATATGGAGAAGCTGATCTAATCATTTGTAGCTTCCACAGAAGTGTTTCTCTTGGTAAGATATCAGCAAGAACCTGTGACTTTAACCATTAAGTCTTTCTCACAAGATTCAACGACACTTCATAAGAATACAAGTATGCAGCATCAACATGAAAGATTCGAAGACAACCAACCCTCTTTAAGTGACTTCAAGAGAAGTACAGTATATAATTTATATTAATGATAACATACAATGCTACAGAAAATAACCTTGAAATAACACACTATAAACATCATAAATATCAAATGTTGACGCAACAAACTTGTCTTACAGAGAGATAAGTTGTTGACGCAGCAAGATCACGTGATAGCTTCTCAACTGTCTGTGGCAGAGGAAGTCCAAGCCCCTTCTCCAAATTAGCCACCAGAACACCTAAATACAGGCAAAATAGCAGCAGTTTAATCAACAAAATATTATTGTAATAAGCATAGGAACTTTGAGCCAATAATTAATGGTAAAAGGGGGCAACAAGCAGAGATTACTCAAATCACAAATCAGTTCCTAATAAAAGTTTATATAAGATAGAATCACATTCTTACTCCACAGGAAAAAAAAATAAGCTTGTTAGTCTCAAAAACAAAAGTAACAAGTTATCTTTTCTTTTTTGTTTCTCATGGAGAACATGCTCACGGATGCTCATCACTTTTAGCCTCAACATGTTCCTCTATACCCAACCTAAGGGTTAATTTATCGGAGACAACATAGACAGACAAATTTTTCAAATGGAAATCACTTTAAATCAAGACTCAACCTACCACCCTGCCCCCATAGTGCGTAGCTAATACGATCTTGAATTCTTGTATTGAAATATTTCCACAGGAAAACCAAAAGGCCGAACAATGAAAACAGACCTGTCATTGAGCTCAGTATATGAGGAAGGCTAATAGGAAGTGAGTCAGGAATGACCTGCAGCACAGGTATTATTGGTTGAAGTTGTGACTTGCCAAAGGACGTAGCTGCACAAGAATATCAGGTAGGTGCTAAACCGAGTGAGGAAAAGAATCAAATTAATACCTTCTGTTTTAGAGCTAATTTACTTTGGTTTTATAGAGTATGCTAAGCAATATAAGATCAGATAGTGAAAATCCAAAGGACCTAACACAGTTAATCCATGACTTTTCGTATCTCAGCATGCTTGTGCAGGACTGATTTATTGTGAGCAGAAAGTAATCCCCAAATTCAACTTCCACCAGAAAAGTCCATGTTTGCGTAAAAACGACAAAAACCATGAATCTTTAAACTTTGGTTTAAAATGACTTAAGAGGAAGGGGCGTGTTACCTGGATTAGCCAAAATTAGAACAAGGTCAATATCAGGGTTAAGGGCTGCCACGGATAGCGCGAGGCATGCTCCAAGGGATTCTCCAACAAGATATATGGGCCTATTTGGTGAGTGATGATGCTCTGACCTAATTGTTCTTTCAACCAGCTTCACTAGATCTGACAAATGGAAATGAATAAAAGGACCAAATTACATACGAGGAAATCATCTCTTATATCCAAGAACATCTTGGCAATAGAAGAACAGAAACATTTTGGCAATGAGAAAACAGAAACAACGTGCACCATTTCACTCATGTGATTTTATTAGAGTGCTACCAATAATATGAGGAGAGCAAACATTCAGAATAACATCAACGCTACATGAAATGAAACTACCGGTGAGATGTAACAGCATACAATACAGGCATATCATAGAGAGAGAGAAGAAGGAAGAACCTGTAAATGATGTTCGATCCTTAGCAGGAATATGCAAGCACCAGACATCGAAAATCCTTCACACAGCAAGTGAAAAAGGGCATATATGTTTAGGCTACGTACTTAATTCAAATACTTCTATTCTAACTCGTACCAGGACAGAAGGATGCAGTCAAAATTTAGGAAACATAATATTATTATAAACTGAATTGGAGTTACTTCCTACTTTCCAAGCTTGTGTTGATGTCTTATAAGCCCAAGTCCAGTGCCATCAATTCCTGCATCATTCAGAAGAAGAAAGCAAAGAAGATAATTTACAAGAAAATTAAACTTCACTTATTTAAGCTGTTTTTCAATCCCAAAAAAAAAAAAAAAAAAAAAAAAAAAACGCAGTAGGAAAGGAAGCTTGAGCAATAATTAGACACGTGTAAGCCGATGATTGAAATTTATTTGGCAGCGATATAGATGAAAATGATTGTTTCGCTAATGAATCCCAAAAATAAAACAAACCAATAAAGTGTTGAGAAAAAGCTCTGTTTTGCATTTGATATCTAATAAGTTTGTAATGATGATGATGAAAAGAAAAGCATTTCCCGGGAAATCATTTGCAGAGAAAGAAAGGTAAAAGTTAAACTTTTTAATTTTTTAATTATTAATTTTTTTAAAAGAAGGGAACAGAGTGAGTGATATAAATACCAGGCAAAAAGAGAAGCAGAGGCGAATTGTTCAAGCGGGACCCGCCGTCGTGTAAGGGAGAGAACCAGCGAGGCGGTCCAACGCCGCCACCGTTGGAGGTGACGAAATCCTTGGCTTGCTCAAAGAAATCCGTCAAGCTCAGAAGAGCGTCTTCTTCTTCCGCATCCAACTCCTCCTGGTCCTCCTGACCAGGCCACCTCTTCTTCTCTGCAGCAGCTGACGTGGTCGTCGTATGAGCGTCATTCCCGGACGACCCGCCGGTTTGGTTGTTGACTGTGGTCAAGATCGTGGGAGTGTGGTCTGTGGAGACGGCGGCTAGCCTCCGAGATGGAATCGAGATCGGATTGAACTTTGTTCCGGATGATGATGATGATGATGATGATGACGACGTGAATTCGTGACGGATAACGGAGGGCAAGCGGCCGGGAAAAAGACAAACTCCGGTGGCGGCCATGGAAGTAATAGAAGTAGGCTTATGTTGCTAGCCGGGCGATTGCTGGTGGCGGTATTTAGAGATTTGAAAGGCTGGTGAAAATGATTGCCCGAACAAATGAATATGTCATTTAGATAAAAGAAAAGAAAACAAGTGATGAAATGAAAATTAGATTGAGTGGAGTGAGGCGCGGCCTGCTGCTGCTGAGGGTGTGCAAAGGCTTTTTTATAAGAGTGAATTGTTTTTGTCTTGTTTTGGAGGGAGGGAGGGCGGGGAATGATAGCGTGTGTTGCGGCTGTTGGTGCAGACCCAATGGCAATGGTAATTGGTGAAAAAAGTGTGGAAGGGTGTGGTTGTCCGTTGTCCTGGGTTCTCGCTGTTTTGTCGTTTTGGAGGTTTGTGTTTGTCCCACCGAGGATCTAGTAAGATCAGTGTAGGATTTGGGTTGGGTTGGATTGGGTTGGGTTGGGTGTGATTAGTGATTACTGAGTATGTAGAGTTCACCTTGTGTTGATTGTTTGGTTTAGGGTTTGGCTTGGTTTCACAAATAATCAATCATCTTGATTTGCATTCCAAAAGGGTAATTAAATAAGATGGAGTTTAGGGGTTTCTTGTGCTTTGAATATAAGATCTTTTCGAATGAAAAAAGAAAGAAAGGGTAATTAAATAAAGAATAAGCAAAGAAAGAGACAGACATTTTGACATAAGATGGAGGAGAATCAGTGAAAGTCATATTAGAAAAAGAATGATTGGAAGGAGCATTGAAAAGTGATTTGATGGACTCGCGTGACTGGTGATTGATTTTAGCAGTAGCTAGCTAGCAAGTACAAAAATGATATATGAGTATAGTGTATATCAGGTTTGATGAAAAGGACCGCGTTGCGTTGCTGTGGCTTGTTGCTTGCCCCAAAAACATTTCACATAGGCTATACGCCTATAAGCCTATTAGTTTAAGAAAAGGAAAAAGGCAGTTTGGTCTCTTTTGGTTTTTGGTTTGGATGAGAGCATTTTTTAGTACGTACGTGATGGGGTTAGATAGATAGATGGACTCACTACTTAAGTTGTCGTGTCACGACTCATATACCCTTCTTGTATTGTCATTACCCACGGTCCAGCCAACGTCATTTTAAGTTTAAATTTCCCTTCTTCTTTTTTCTTTTCTCTGTGTCTTTTTGGCTGGAAATGAACCAAACAAGTTGAAGAGTGAAGGCAATTAAGAAAGTGATGGTCTTCGCAGTTGTAAGCCACACAAGAAAAGTCTGGTGAGTTTAACGTAAATTAGGGCAGCGAATGACGCTGTTTTTGACCAACTAAGGTCATCTCCAGTTATAAGGCTAAATGTAGTCTATGACTTAAAAAATTTATCTGCCCAAAATATTAATTTTTTAAAGAATAGTGCATGGCTAAATTTTTCTATCTTCAACCATACATGGCTATATTTTAGGGTCTTTCATATTTTATTATTTTGAGAAATGAAAGTAGAGAGTGCTTTAATATTTGGTGGTTGAAAAGCACATGGTGGGGCCCACTATGAATTTGGCATAGGCAAAAGCTGAGCTACATTTGGCCTAGTTGGAGGGCTAAATGGCTAAATGGCCAAATGTAGCCCTCCAAATTTTGCCAAATTTTTATTTAGCCCATAGTTGAAGATGAGTTTTGCATTATTTTAGGGCTATATTTGGGATATAGCCTATAGCTGGACTCAAGAATAAATAGACTATAAATTTAAGTTAGGAAGGGGGAAAGAAGAAAACTCACACCCACCGAGTATTATGGGAATTATAATTTAAGATCACTTAAGATATACCAAAAATTTGAACCAATCCAACTAATATTTTATTGGTAAGAGAAATATAAGTTTAGTTAATACCAATAAGTCTGGAAACATTTTTGACAATAACAATTTTAGGTTTTTTTATTAAAATACGGGGTGGTCTACTCCAGGTGCAAATTATTTACACTAGACTGTTCGCTAATCTAGCCTCATTATGTCAGTAAACAAAGGAGGTGTCACACGCATGATTGATGGGATGCACATGTAATACTATATTATACTATAGTCTATAATATATAGACAATGAAATTGAATTGTTTATTTAGCTGACTCTCCCTGCCTGCACCTCAACTCCTTAAGCACTAGATTCCAAGTCTCTCTATAGATTCTAGAACAAGGGGGACCCAAATCAAGTTTTTATATTGAGCATGTGCCATTATTACAAACGTTGGCTTAATTTTTTTATTTGTGTGACTTAAAACTTGGAAGTTTTCTCAGGACATTACTCACCACCATACGGCAAAATATTATATTGGGTCACTCTCACTCGTGACTCGTCCAAATATTTTTTCCTTTTCTTTTTAGATGATTTGATGTGTTTAATTTTTAATCCAATATATGATTTTCACGAGACGCAATAATTATATAGTCCAGTACCCCGCGTATACTATATAATATACGTGTGATGTTGAAATCCCAAAATTAACGTACAAAACATAATCATCAATTGAGATTGAGAGTTGACCCAGCCAGCCAGTACACGCCGACCAACCTACCAACTGCCTATGGCCCAGTGGATCATTATCTTTGGGCCTCTCCATCCATACTGGGTTGGGTTGGATTGGGTTAGGCTTATGAGAATGAATATTCCATTCATAAGAAACGTGCTAAAGCTGTTCTGCTTACAAGAGTGGAGGAGATGGCTCAAAATCATTTAAATGTCACAATTGTTTGTTGGTTGATTGATGGATGGACCCCAAATGTCTGCAAAGGACTAAGGAGAGGAGAAATTAATGATGCATGCATTCTTAGGAGAGAAGAGAAGTGAAGCAACAGTACAGTGCACACGGAGGAGAGGAGAGGAGAGAAGCAACATGTCACCATATGTGGATGTGGTTGTGCTTCTGATAGGATAGGATTTCAATTTTAACAAACAATGGTTTGGATTGGTCGCAGAGTTGAAATTTATTATTGTACTCGACTCTTGGTGAGCTTGGACATTTTTAATTCCAATAACCCGACTACACCAACCTAACCCTGTATTTATTTGTCAAAAATAATTAGGTTTTGGGTTTCAGAAAAGGGAAACTTGTTTTATTTGTATTTTGGTTGTATAAATGGAAATCCCAAAATCAAGGGTCCGACTACGAGACAAGGGTTTTCCTTTGCCTCTTTATTCTCCTTTATTGGACAGAAGAAGAGAGAGACTGCATTTATGAAGGGTCTTCCTTTTCCGTCCTCGTTAGGTAAAACTCACTTATTACCTCTCTAAAACCCTCCCCAGATCACAACTAGATCTTCTCCTCTTTGGGTTTTTGACAAGTGCCCATCGTCCCCATTTTCTCTGTTTTCTATTCAATTCCTTGGAAAAAGAACACATCCCAGCATCAAATTCAAATGGCGTCAGAGGCGTGTAAAGAGAAAACTTCCTCTGTGCTCCCCCACATGACATCTTCTTCAGGCCTTCCGATGTCAAGTCCAAGGCAGCAGAGTAAGAGTTTGTTGGTGGCTCAAGCCACTCTAAGAATCTCAGCCATCGTCTTCACATTGATCGCAATCTCCGTTATCGTCACTAACACTCAATCTGTCATTGTTTTTGGGTTCAAGTTCGAAGCACATTATACCTACTCAACTGCCTTCAAGTAAACACAGATCCGCCACTGACTGCAGTGCACTGCTCTCTACTCTCAAAGATCCAATTTTTGAATTTGAATTTGAATTTTATTTTTTATTTGCTGGGTTTCTGTTGTTACAGGTTCTTGGTTGGTGCTAATGCTGTGGTGTGTGCCTTCTCTGCACTGTCATTGATCTTCTTATCCTTATTCTTAAGCCGTTCAGTGCCACAACAGCAGCAGCAGCTCAAAAACTATTTCTTTCTCTTGGTGCATGACGTGGTTAGCAGCAAATGCTTCTCTTATGATTTCATAATTCTTCATCACTTATGAGAATTGTAATAATTTAATGTGAATTGCAGGTGATGACGGTGTTGATAATATCTGGATGTGCAGCTGCAACTGCAATCGGTTACGTGGGGCGCTATGGAGAGAAAAAAATGACTTGGCAGCCTACATGCGGCTATGTCTCCAAGTACTGCAACAGAATGTCCATCTCTCTTGCCTTCTCCTATTTGGCTTTCTTTGCCTACTTGCTTCTCACTTTCACCTCTGCCCTCACTCTCATGTCTCGCCCTACTACTCAATGAATTTCAATACATCATCATCATCAGAAAAAAAAAACAAAAGAAATCTCAGATCAGTAAGAAATTTCCCATTTGTGTTGGATTAGCAATTTGGGAAATTATGCAGACAGAATTGTTTTTTGCACAATACACATTTTTTTTTTTTTTTTTTTTTTTTTTTTTGTTTGTTTGCTAATGAAAAAAAAAACCAACAAGTATGGCCTGTGTAGAAGTTATGGTTAATGAATGGTTGGATTTTATATATCGTAGTTGGTTATATTATATTAGTCCTATATTCTCACTTGCTAATTCACAATCACAAGTTCACAACCCAGGAAGGAAGGAAGTGTTAATGGATGGCAAGGGAACAACCAAAGAAAGAAAAAAAAAGTGGACCGAAGTTTACTTTTTTAAAATTCACAGGTATTAGGTAGATACATAGATGACACTTGTTTGTCATCAATTACTCGACACTTGACTGGTGTAACAAACAGGGCATCCCATTTAATTCCACATACATACAAACTTGTCATCACTTGATCTTTTGATGATGACCCATTTCCATTTCTTTGGGTTTCTGCGTGGACCACCACCTATTGCAATTGCAATTTCAATTTAAGCCAATAATAACATGAATGTGCATGCGTATCCATCTTCATATTTCTAATTTGTATTTTGACTCAAAGTCAACTTACACTTCCAAAGTCCTGGGAATGGGCAGGCAGGGAAGCAAAAATGATGTCTTATCATATATCATCAGATTCATATATAAAGCATATACATAGATATGGTTAAGTAATTAAAGGTAAAACCAAAGCAAGACTGTAACTGGTTGCTGTCCTCCTCCTGTGGTGTGCTATCACTCGGTTTCAGTCTCATCTTCACTATCTTTAAGATGCTCTTTCAGGGTCTGGCCTTCTGTTTCCCACTTTTCGGCATCCCATGCTGGGTCCATTTCCGGTAGCTGATAGTCATCGGGTCTTAATGACAGTTGAAATTCTGGCAGGTCAGGCAATGTTTGGAGAGCCCTGCGTAATTACAAGCTTAGTAATTTTGAGTTTTCCATCTTTAATTTAGTTACGGAATAAATAACATCTCCAGGATATGAAAATTGAAATAAATCATCATAGACATGTATAAAGAAAGAAAGGCCCTTACTTCTCTTGTTCTAAGAGGTAGCCATACATCTGAGATTTCCTTGTTGCAACTTCAGGAATTTTCTGATGCAAATGCCTCATAGCTCCCCAGCGTGGAGGAGCCCTTGAAATTTAGAAGAAAAGAAAAGAAAAAACAAATCAAAGATAAGTGGAGCCACAAGAAAAAAGCTCAAGGCAAGGAAGAAGATTTTCATGCTCTACATATATGAACAGTCAGTATCAACCTGGTAACTGGAGCTGCAAGGCAAAAGGTTAAGCAAGCTTTCTTGCTCTCTGATAGAATTTCTTCCGCGGCAAGAAAACAACATACAGCGCTAACGTGGCAGGATGGCTCATTACCCTTGTCAAGGATCAGACCATGGTAGTAGTATGCTGCAGCCTGGTAATACAAGGGTACATATCACATCTACACAGAGTGTATGCAGAAATGGGAACAATTTCGTAATTGGATGGAGATAAATCAATTGCTTTAATACCTTTGACTCAAGAAATTTCCATTTGATGAACCACATATGCTTCTTCCCACACCCGTTATTGATGTCACATCCTGACAAGCAGTGATAAGCCTGATCTCAAAAAGCAGGAGAAACGCACAATTTGTAGTAAACTCAGGATATAGTTTTAGAGTTGGACAACTAGTTGAAGGATCTGTAGAGCATGTATACAGACCTGGCTAAAATAGGTCAATTGTTCACATGCCAATCTTCTTTTGACTGATAAAGTGGCCTTCTGACAGTCAACAGCCAAACCAAGCTGAATTTCTGTTCCCTGAATTAGTCATCAAGAACAGTATCTGTAATATATATCTCAAACTCAAGCAGTCGGTAAAATAAATCAAAAAATGAAAAGAAAAAAACAGTGAATGCAGTCATAACAGAGCAATGTAATCCAGATTTTGAGAAAACTAGTCTATTTCATGTTTCTATAGTCCATGTCAAGGTTAACGAGTGTTGATGATTCTTAAGTGAAGTACCTGGCCCAGAGATTGAAAGGAAATGGCCTCCAATACACCATCATGCAAATTGTTTGGCAACTTTTTCCTGCGTTCAGAAGATTTGATGTTTTATTGTGAAATCTTGACACCAATTTCCCAAATTTACTTTAACTCTCAACATACTTAATTTCAGGCGGTATGCGAATCAGTACATCCCGGACACAGAATTCCAAGTAGCCTGATGCCTTAAGCAGCAAGTCGACAGCAACTCTTTTGCAATCTGAAAGAAAAGATTATAATGAACACTTACTTATGAGAAGCCATAATGATTTGGCTGTAAAACCTATAATTCAAAAAAGCATGAACATATATAATAAAGGGTTATGGACAAAAATACAAACCTGAAGAGACAGTCCTTATACCGGAACCAGAATGGTCGTGTGGGATCATCAATATGTCAGCCTCCGACAATGTAAGCACAGCCATGAGGTGAACAACAGACAGGACTTCAAACCAGGAGTTTGCCACACAGGCTTCCTGCTTATCATATTTCCATCACAACAATTAATTGCATGACAAATTGGCAATGAATGATCAAAGGTTATCCCATAGTTAGCAAAATTAAGCTCGTTTCTGATGGTCTTACCTGCTTGCCATCCTCTAAGCTTTTCCACTTGAATTCGACCGATCCCTCTAGACCATATTCTGTTACATATGCAAATTAGCGTTTTATTTTTAATTGCTTGAGAGAGAGAAGGGAGTTAAGTTTCTTTCAAACCTTTCTTAGTGAGCCCAATTAAAACACACAAGTACTCCTCCAGTGCTCTCCTCAGTTCAGGAATAGCAGATCCACCTATACGAACAAACAACTCCAGTTTAGAAGAAGAAACTCGGAAAAGAAAAGAAAAAAGCCTTTTGCTTGCTGAAAAAACAGAGGGAGAGAGTCAAGTCAACATTTGAACTACAAGTTCCAAATACTTGTGTGCAAGTCCCAATATCCTAATAGCACTAACTTCCTTTGGTACATTTTCCCAGCAACCAAACAAACAGAAGACAAAGAATGATGAGTGGAAGGGAGCGCTGACCAGTGTCCTCTGCCACTAAGACAATCTGATTGCGAAGGGAAGACAATCTGTGAGCAAGATCTATTGGGATTAGGCCTCTAAGCCGCCTTTGAAGATCAGATTGTGCAGGAATTCGCGTTGATGGGACGAGGACGACGACTTCGGGGACAGTCAACTTCTTCCTCCCTCCAACAGCATAAACAGAAGAAGCGCACCCCATTTTGTTTTGTGGGTTTTATTGGTTTCAAATTCAAACATAACAATAGCATCCTACACACAACAAACCACCCATCCAACTCTGTGTTTAAGTCCCATCAAAGACACAGAATGGTGAAAAGAACCAGAGCTACAAATGGGCATAGTTGAGGCATTTTACAACATAAAAAGTCTAATTTGACATGGATTAGGGAAAAAAAAGAGCATGCATTTTACAAGAAAGATGTGAGAGAGTGGAAGACTAGAAAAACAGAGCATGCATGAATTGAATATAAAATTGCTAGGATAATGACACTTACTGGGTATAATAATACAGAGAGGAGAGGAGAGGACAGTTGAGAGAGAGCTGTGAAGCTTCGGGGGTGCAATAGAAACGCTAATTTAATTATGGCCAAATCTCAGAGAGAGAGAGAGAGAGAGAGAATCCGGGAAAATAGAAAGCGCTGTGACCGAGACGTGTCTCACATGGCGTAGACGACGTAGTAGTAGAAGTCTCAATTTCTCTGCTGCTTTGTAAAAGGAGGAGAGGAGCCGTTGAAATTCGTCAAGAGAAAGTATTTGTTTAAGGGTCCAGGAGGACGATTGAACGTGAGCACGTGGCTTTCGAACTAGGCAATCACCGTCATGTTGGACCGATGGACAGCTGGCTTCATATCTGTGGCTCGCCGACATACGATGATTGTTCCTATAAAAGTTCTGGGCCCTTGGATCAGCCATGTCATGAACCGGTAAATTGGGAAGAGATCTGAAGAAGCACTTTCTCGGATTGAACTCTTGAGCTTCACTCTCTGTATTACTAATGAGTAAAAATTGATTTGTGGGAATACAGATACAGTTCGTTTGTTAATAGTAATACTGTACAAATATAATTTTGTAGACGTAGGAAATCACGATCGATTATGGTAAGGGTGCACATATACTTAACACAGCTTCTTTTTTGTTTGGCTGGAACTGGAAGGATTCGTTGACCGTGCAAGTATAGGCTGGACTGACGTGACGATGATTCGATGAACAAAGCCTCCCTTCCGATTCTGAATCTAACAAACAAGTAATAGTTTTCTACGTGCGTATGTATAAAGAATAGTAATACAGGCCAGCTTTTACAAAATCCATGTGCTAGATTAGATTGATTGATGCATTTTAACTTCAAGTTGACAAGTTATCTCATCACCTTCTTCGAATTCCTAGTGGAAACAAAGATTCTTGCTCTCTCTCTCTCTCTCTCCCCTATATCCTATGGGTATGGATGGGTTCTCTGTTTTATATAGAGAACGTAGTACGACTTAGAGAGAGAGAGAGAGAGAGAGAGAGAGAGAGATGTGACATATATATATAGATATATATCCCCATGAATATGAATGAACTCAACATGAAGTATGATAATTGAGTATCTGGCACATCGACGATGATCCCTAGAGGCAGAGGGCCAGATGAAATGTGTTAACTAACTTGGTTAGCATTTACAAATAAAAATGAGAGCACGAAAATGCCCACACCAGATCCATCATATTACCATATATTATATACCATGTATATATATGTATACGGAGGAGAGACACAGCTAGCCTGGTTTGCAGAGAGAGACAGAGAGGATTGATCTTTAATTTCTATATATAAATTTGTCACTTAAATCGGACAAAAACCACACTATAATTAAGTTTACTGTCAGTCAACCATTCATCTTCCTCTCTGCAGACTGCTGCTCATCATCAATCCCTATTCTATTCATCCTCCTCTCTGCAGACTACGTACGCACCTACTGCTACTGCTCACTTCCTAAATACTTCACTCTTGTGATTTCTTTTTTTGGGCCTTTTCATTTACTTGGACTTGGATATTTGGGCCTCCTAAACTAAGAAAGCCCATTTACCTTTGAGGTTAGGGTATTGGATTTGGACATCATACTGGATCTTCAGAAACGCTTTAAATCCATAGTCAGTCATGTACTGTTCTGTACTACTACTGGATGATTATCAATCCGATCTACTTTGAGTCCAGTACTACTGTAACACTACCAGTAGTGTAGAGTGTACGTTGCAAGTGCCTGCTGCTGCTACTTTGCTACCCCCCCCACCCAATGAATGAATCTCTCCCCTGTTTGATGTTTGATGTTTGATGTTTGATGTTTGAGATCACAACACAAACAAAGACATGATTAGGTTGTGTAATTTTGGACAGATGTTCGACATTTGTTTTCTTATTCATATTGTACGTTGGATGAACAGTCAATACGAATCTCAACATGCAAGAGAAATAATACCAAGGTGGATGTGTTGACCTTATAATTGAGGTGGATGGATGGGGGCATCTCCTCCAATTCTGAACGGGTTGACGATGCCACTGGAATCTTGTTCTCATAAAGTGAGAGAGAGAGAAGCAGATGGAGATTTAGAGAGACTACTCTTCTGTTATCTTCTTTTCTCTAGATTTTATGCCTCTTTCCTTTTCTTTTCTTTTTCTGTCAGGTAAAATCATTTCTTTTTTATTCAATTTCAACCTATAAACAAAACAATGGATGGTCACACTTGTCTCTCACATCATTCAGGCAAAGAATATCTGTTTGAGTTTTATCATCCCATATATATTATATATTATTCATACTCTCAAGGAGTAGGATAGAATAAAAAGGTATACGTATGTGTACGTGTAATGTATTGCTATTAAGTATGAAACGATATCGATCGAGCTCCCATCTCAACTACACAACTGATGATCATCATTTCATATCAGGTTAAACCTACTTATCTAGCCCACAAAAAAAAAGAAAAAAAAAGCAATACTGATCATATTAAATCACTAATTAATAAAGAAAGAAGGCAAATCTTGGCTCTGACCTATCCATGACATTGATAACCAATGAGTCAGTTCCTTGAAAGAAACCAAAGGTGAGGTGAGGCATATTGACTCATTTTTGTATGTACAAGTTGCATGGTCTCTTGATGAGCTCTGCTACTTGTGGAAATTCTATGTGTCTGTCTGACTAGTGTGCTTTGGTTTAGCTAAACAAGAAGGAGAGAGAGAGATGAGATGAAGATAACATATAGGCACAGAGCATGTGCTGGCTAGGGTAGGTCCCATTCAATTCAACTTTCAATCAAGGAGAGGAAATTAGAGATGGAGGAGAATATAGTTATTCCATTCCATTTTCCATTATGGGCAGGCACAGGTCAGGGCATGCCAAATGAAATTATAGATGCACCCTGACTGACCCTGCACTTTCACCTTCACCTCCTCAGAGTCAGAGCTAGAGGAGCGAGAACCAGTCTGTCATGAAGATAGATAGATAGATAAAGCTAACGTGGATGAGGCGATGAGGACCACTTGATAACGTCGAATATATTTATTCCTCATCTCACTGTGCATGCACTAGTCTATCTACTGCTTAATTATAACTTATAAATAGGGATTGGATTAATGGGCATGAACAACAGCAGCAGATCACATACATATTTGAGAGCAAACTTAAGGAAATGAAGAGAGGGTCTAACATGAAGATAAGAGTCTTGTTTGGTAGCCAAGGATGACTTGCCTGCCTGCCTCCTAATTCCAAGAGGACAGCTCTGGTTATTTAGGGTTCTCAGGCAGTCTCCTTTGGCTAACTTGACAGTCTCTTCTTTCTCATGCCAGACCTTTCTCTTCTTTATTTACCCATCCCATCCACCTTATATATATGTCTTTGTTTGTACCTAAAGCTTTGCTATTCGTTTTTTTTTTTCCTTTTTGACTGAACATATGATCATCAGCATTGTGCACTGGAACATCAAGAATTCATAATTGACAGGAAGGGAGGCCTTACATGAAAGAAAGAGTCTAGTTTGGTAGCCAAGGATGACTTGCCTGCCTCCAGTTTCATGAGCTTTTACCTATAATTAATTAATCTGCACCTTCTTCACATTAATATTGTGCCAAATTCCTGTTTGGCTGCCAGGCAGTCACCTTGGCTAATCTCACAGCTCTTCTCTTTCATGCTAGGCCTCTTCTTCCTTCCTTCTTCTTCCCCTGATCAATACCTCAAGCCCTTCAGTTAGCTGCTTCTCACTCAGATAAACATTTACATAGTGCTTATATCTAGATTTACAATGCACGCAGTACACCGCCACTGAGGTACTACAGCACAGTTTTTTTGTTTACTTGTCACAATTATTATCGTTAGTTTAACTTACTAACCGATTAGCATTTGAGCGCTTATACTACTAAAGCTTACTAACATGAAATATACAAACCCGAGTTAGTGTCAAACATCTACAACTTGAATTTTACACAACTTATATGTATTGGTTATATATGAAGCAAATGTTTGGTTTTTCTATTTCAAGATATCAACATAGAATAAGGGGTCACAAATTTGAATTCTCACAGCATCATAGTTGTGTGTGTGAGAAATGCCCCTCCTTTATTGTTTACACTATCATTTATACTTTAAAAAAAAATCAGCTTTCACAATTTCCTCACTTGAATTAAAAAGAAGAAAAATTGTGAATATAAACTATTATGGTATCCATTATCGATGAGGAATAAAATCGTCAGCAGCAAAATAGACCCGATCCGATCCAAGAGAGTCTACCATATAGAGTCAAATTAAGTCCAATTACGAAACAGACCCTAGGCATTGGGGTTTTACATTGCTATGCAAGTGTGCATTTTAACATTTCCCGATTCAACAAAACGGTCCAAACCAAACCTCACCAAACCTCAGCGTTGTCCGTCACGAGACGACTCACCACCACCATCCGAAATCGAAATGGCGAAGAATCCAATCAGCAGCGCCCTCATCTCGGCGGTGGTAGTTCTGTTTCTGTTCACATCGGCGCTCGCGAGCTCTGACTCGCCCTTCATCGTCTCCCACAAGAAGGCCTCCCTCAACAGGCTCAAGTCCGGCGCTGAGCGCGTCTCTGTTTCCATCGATATCTACAATCAAGGATCTTCGTAAGCCTCCTCTTAATTCCACCATTTCCGATCTCAATTTTTGTTCTTATTCTTCTTTTATTTGCAGATCCGGCTTGGCGTCCAATATTTGTCATTCTTTCTGTTAGATCCACTCGAACTTTTGCGTGCATGTCTCGTTTTCTCTTGTTTTTCATTCTTATCTTCAATTATGGTTCGTCTTGCTTAGCTGTTGGTTGAATTGGAACGTATTTCTCGAGTATTGCGTTTTCATTGTAAATTGTTTGTTGTTATTGGATTTGTTTGTCTTCAATTTTATTTCTGTTTGGTTACTGTGAAATCTAGGAAGTTTGCTTGTTTTCTTATTGGAAAGAAAATTATCAAAAACTATTCCGTCAACTGATCCGGTACTGATGCTCTATATGTCTCAGTAACTGTGCAAAGCATAATGTTTTGGATTATTTGATAAAATATGTCATTGCAAAAGAGAAAACTGTAACTATTGTTGGAACCTCATTGTCACAGTGTTAGCTGTGTTTATATGTTATGTATGTTGAATGGGAAATAGCTGTTTGCTGGAATTGGTTGAAGCATGTGACAAAAGTGTTGAAGGAATTGGTGGTTTTGTGGAGCGAGAGGATGAAAGTTACGTGGATGTTTTATTTGATGTATGTGCAAGTCTTACAAGTTGTAAAACCATATCAGCTTTATTAATTTCCCTTTCCACAGGATAACTTGGTAATATTGCCGGGGACAGTCAACTTAGAAAATATCAAATACCTTAATTTGAATTCTTTTGGGGCTAAGGGCATGGCCCAATGCTCATCTAATTAGCATGTCAGTGGTTGACAGGATGTACTAACATCCTGTAACTTACTTTAGATCGACTAGTTTTAAATTTGTGAAATTGTTCTTTATGTATTTGTCATGTCTGAGTGACCCATAAAATAACTTAACAATACTCTTCGTGGTCAAATAAAGAGGATGTGCAAAATGCTTTTCCAGCCTACTTGCATTTAGTGGTTCAATTCTGCATTGAAATAAAGGCACAACACAACCCTGTTAACCTCATCTCTGCAGGCTTTCGTCATTGTATTTGTATATGAATCATCTCTTTCGTTTTTTCTAGTTTCTCCACAGTTCTACTGATTGATTGTTAACTGATATTCTTTTTGTCTTGATTCTCATATGTCTGCTTATATGTGATAATAGAATTGATGACAATTTGTAATGATTCCTTTCCAGAACTGCTTATGATGTAAGCTTGAGTGATGAGAGCTGGCCTCAAGATATCTTCGATGTTGTCAATGGTAACACTTCCAAGTCATGGGAAAGGCTGGATGCGTAAGTGCCAACTCATTTGTTAAGGCATTTGCTACTTCGCATGGTTTTCCACTCCTTTTGTTTCTTATTTGTTTTTCCCTAAATGATATTCGCAGAGGTGGCATTATATCCCACTCTTTTGAATTGGAGGCCAAAGAAAAAGGAATATTTAATGGTGCACCAGCTCTTATTACATTCCGCATTCCCACAAAGGCCGCTCTACAGGTTGGATGTCTGCAACCTGTTCCTTTGTTTCTGGTTTTGGCTGTATAAATGTTTACCTTCTGACTTTCCTGTTTCTTCTAGGAGTCTTATTCAACTCCAATTCTGCCTCTAGATGTTCTTGCAGACAGGCCTCCTGAGAACAAGTTTGACTCGGTAAGCTTCTCCATCAGATAGCAGTTATATTAGGCAATCTGATTTTGACAACTTTTACTGTGTTAACTGATGCTTTGTTTTTTGTTTTCATGGAATTACCTCTCTGCTTGGGGCGAAATTTTTTCAGGTTAAGGTATGAAATATTGTTTATGTGCTGTTGGATCTTTATATTCTGGAAGTTGTTAAATCATCGTGAACTTTAATTTATTTGTGTCTGAATAGAGTGAGGAGTTGTACCATTTCTTTGTTTCTCCCCTTACACGTTGACCTTCTCCTATCTACAGAGGCTGCTGGCAAAGTATGGGTCTCTGATCTCTGTGTTGTCCATTGTGGTTCTATTTGTGTACTTGGTTGCTAGTCCATCCAAATCCGGTGCTGCAAAAGGAGGCAAGAAGAGGCGCTAATCACTGGAGATGAAATTGAATCAAATGGCATTAGAGCAATTGGTGACCTTGCGGGGTTGCGAGTTGGTTTTTTCCTTGAGTTAGTGGCACATGTTAGTTTTGTGAAACATTCAAAAAGGACTACTTATTAACAAGTTAGTGTAAGAAGATGAACAAGCTGATGCATACGGCGGGCATAAACCCCCCAAGCAGGTCTTTGATAATGTTTCGTAATGGGTAGTTTGCTCGTCAATTTTGGATTGAATGTTATCTTTTACATTTGATGTTAGATTTCATTACTTGAAATGAGACGCTGGTACTACAAAACCTGTTTGTTGCTTGCTTCTGGTAAATATTCCGGATGAAGTTGTAAATTTCTGCTGAATATCATCATATAACTGGATGCGATAAAACGAAATGGTTTTCACTTATTTTTATTTTGAAGGTTCGAATCTACATCGTTGCTTACAGTGCTTGTTAGTTCCCTAATTCCTAAATGGCAAGCAATTAACCACTCGTATAAAGAGAATAGATCACTTTCACGTGGGCTGTGGCTTATTGTTCATTTTCTTAATCATGTACGACATTTGACGAGGAACTTGCGAATCCGAAGTTTAGACAAAAGTTGAGAAACTCACCCCTGTACAAATTTTGTTGTAAGAAGAACAGAAAAAAGAGGAACCAAAATAAACAGAGAGTTGAGGTTAGGATAGAGCAGTTGGTTAAAAATGAAGGGGGAATTGGTTAATATCTCGAGTTCAACACCCTTGGTACAAAATCAATGGATTATTTCCATCAATTAAAAAGTTTAAGTAGAGAGGCACATGCACACACTGTTACCAAGGTACCATATGGGGTTTCGAACTTAAGATTATTGGTTTACAAGTCAAGGCTATTCTCCATTGGGCTAGACCCAGTTGGCTACTAATATTTCTTTTTATTTTGTTGAAAGACGTTGAGAGTTTGAATTATCCCTTTTTTTTAAATAATGGAAATAAAAAGTAGGTTTTTAAAATTTTCAAATAATAAAAAGAAGGTTAGTAGAGCAAGAATTAATTGAAAATCTGAACCCCTTTAGGCTTAGGAAGGATCCAGATGTGATATTTATTATTGTTATTCGTCAAGTATTCATATCGCTTAAAGACGTTCACATTTTGTCAATTAATGATAAAATCACGTGAGACGCAATACGTTACTTGAATTTAAATTAAAATATTTCTCTAATAATTAATAATCTTGTAAAGGAACTTAAATAGACAACATGTAGCATAGTATTGGAAGGAAAATTAGATTGTGGCACAGGAAAAAGTTCTTAGTAAAATAGCTCTATCTAATGGCACTTCTCTTCTTTCTACCCCAATTGTGTTTAAACTAGTTTATGCTCACATGTACATTGCACAGAAAGAGTAAGGAACGACAGTTTTGTCAAATTGTGAATTGTATTTGTATAGAATATATTTCTCGTTTCTAACCTAATATTACCGTTGATTAAATATGTTGTGTTCGAGTTGACTCACATACCTTATAAACAAAAAAACTTAAAGGCTGAGTTCTTGTGTTGACCTCATGAATTTTCATCGAGTATATCTAACCCCTAGCCAGATAAAAATTAAAAAGAAAAAAGAAGCCAGCTCTGTTGCTGTAAGTTTGTAGTGTATAAATACCTCAACTGCTCACCCATGAGTCCGAGTCCTCACATCACATCTCTTTAGTTTGTAGTCTACAAAAGAAGCCAGCTTTGCTGCTCTATTTTTTCTCATTCTCTTAATCATCTTTTTAATTCAGTTAGCCAAATTTCATTGACTCTTCCTCATGGATGCTTCCCTGTGGGCATTTCTCCTCAACAGTCCTGAAGGATCTGTTCCTTTTCCTTGGGAACGCTGTTTTGATCTTGTGGTACGTATACTTTGGCCTCTCCATCTCAATTTTTCTCTCTCGATCTATATTCTATACACACACACACACACACACTCACTCACTCACTCACTCACTCACTCGGATTTTAATTTTATGTGTTTGCAGACAGGAATGCTGTTATATAAGAACAGACTGAATGGCGCCGTAGTCCTAGATTTAAGGCCTCGAGTGAACCTTGGGGGAGGCTTGTACAACGTAAGCACCGCGTGGCAAGACCTGACGGCCGGCAACCAATACACGGCCGCAAGCAACGCGGTGCAGTGGACTCCTTCTCTGTTCCGCAGACATATTAATGAACATGATCAAGACACTCCCATTCTCATTTGTACCAACTGCTGCACCAACCAACTCATCTATTTCCTGGTGCCCCAACTCATCACTCACTGCCCCTTATGTCGCCGCTTTATGAATTTCTTTGCTTAATTCTGTCCTGGGGATGTAAGATTTCTAATGATGAATAAAAGAGTTGTTGCAATTATCTGATGCCTCTGTTCTTCATGAAAATTATAATTAATTATTTAATGAAATGAAGGTCCTGAGTGAAGTGATAGTTTCTTGGAGTCGATATGAATTCAGTGAGAACAAGTTGTAAACCTTAAAGCACGCAGTTCTAACTTTGTCCGCATATATAAATATGTAAGTGCGTGTTCGTTCCAAGCTCAGCTGTCTTTAATGAGACCGAGTTTTCCTCTTTTTGCATGGCCAAGGACTTGGGTGTTTTACTTTTTAGTCAACCTTGCAATTAATAATGTGCAAAATCAATTTTCGCACCAATTCCCTTCTTCTTCTTTGGGTCTTTTGTAATATAAATTTCCTTTTGTAAATTACCCAAAAATTTACAATTTATTTTTAATTTTACCATAAAATTTTGACTATTTGATTATAAAATAAATAAATAAATAAAAATAAGAGGATGTGTACGAGTTTCATATATATAACCAAACCGAAGCGACTACATTGGATAATGTCAGGTTTGTTGAAACTGTGCTATTAATGCTAAGCCTCCTGTTTGTGATGCCAATTAAGATTTTTGTTTCCTTTTTTCGTCAAGAGTCTTGATGCAATGGACTGGCAGTGGCTCTGCTTGCTACATATTCAATTAATAATGTGGCCAATAAAATTTTCCAAATTGTTATTAGGGCTTTATATATCTAGCACAGATTTCCCTTATAAGTCAGTTATGAGGTTGTTGAATGCATTAATTGTGTGAACTTGACAGGAAAAAAAAAACTTCTGGCGTTAAGTTTATTAATTGAAAAATAAAAAAAAAGTTTGTTACAATCAAATTAACAGAAAAAGAAAAAAGAAAAAAAGGCTTTGAACAACAGGGTAATCTTTACTACTTCAAATCCCGACCCTAATTGAAAGTGAGGAACTAACTTCGTTATAGGATTGTCTGGTTTTTGGTTTTTTTTAATACAATCGATAGTTAAAACTGTAAGAAAATGACGATTTCTCACACACACACACTCTAAAGGCGCCATGAGAGTTCAAACTGAGACAACTGATTTGTCTATTAAGGCCATTTTTCACTGGACTAGACTTCATTGGCAAGATTGCCTTATGTTAATAAAGCTTAGAAGGGTCATGAGTTTAACCTTGTGTACTGGGTTTTTCTTTTGGGTTAATAAACATATATTTCCTGCTAAACAAACATATAGTTTTGTTCTTCCTAATTGGTTTTTATGGATGACAGTCTTCTTAAGTAGTTGTTCTTGTTGACCACATTTTCGGATTTAAAGTAGTATAATACAACATGCACTCGCACTTTTCTCCTTGCCTTTTTTTTTTCCTCTTTGGCCATATTTATTCCGATCATCATTATCATTACATACCTGACAGTTTTCTTATATTGGGTCAAAAACTGGACTGACTCAATACAATATGGTTAGAAAATTAGAAGAGACAATTCAAAGCATTATGAACACAAGATAGGATTTTGACCATTGTTTCAAGACTAATATCTGAAGCACTATTTCTTCTCATAGATTGGAAATGGCACAACCATGACATTGATGAGGCGATAGGGCATATTACATAGCTAGTTTCCTGCTGGTTTCAATGCGCGGTAGAAACCCAAGCACATATATACAACAAGGAAGAACAAGCCAATCTTTTGTTTGTGCTATAAGTAATTGAATTTTACCAGCGACTCATGGCTTCATCCATAAATACTGATAGATTCTAATAGGCTGAACTGCTTAGATGTTCCTTACTGGCCTTTTCGAATTTATGTTTTTTCCTTTGTTAGCCTAATGAGAACTAGAATAATTAGCATAGGAAAACAGAGTATGTAACCCAAAAAATAAGAAAAAGAAAACATTATGAAAACAGAGCTGTATGCATCGCATTATAACAAGAAGATTACAATGAATGAATCCCCATATCATATGCTTCGTTTATAAATATATATAACTGGGAAAACTGGAAATGGAAAGAAAGAATATCGGGTGAGAAACTGTAAAAGAAAGGCAAGACAACTCAATTTCAGAAGCAAAGCAGAAAGCAGAAAGAAAACTGGTAGAGTCGCTAGTAGTCAGCCTTGTCAGGCTTTTCGTCTGCAACTGCAACGGCTGGGTTGACGGCAATTCCAGATGCTACGAAAGTTGAGATACTCTGGGTCAGATGCCTGGACGCCTTTTCATAATTAACAAAACCCATGAACCAGAAATCATGGCCGTCTATTGTCACAATCTGGATGTACTTTTCGGTTGAATTTTCCCTCATCACCACCGGATTGATTGTTGCAATATTTCCCAAAGGCACCATAATCTGTTCCAATAATACAATTCCTCATTAACCAGATAAATATGTGCATGTAGTATCTTCTGATTAGTTGAAAATTGAAATGAATATGTAGTGGTTGGTGGTTACCTTGTAATAGCTCCAGGTGACCTGACCAGAGGGGGCAGTGAAGGACAAGGGGCGGTCGCTGCAAAAAGCTGTATGAAGATTAGAGAGATAAAGAGTTCCAGCAACTGGTCCAGTGGATGTTGAGAGATAACAGGCAAACGACTTGTTCAGCTTCTCGTTGGGATAAGTCGCAAATGACTGCTTGTACAGAGCCTCAAATCCACCCCCTGTAATTGCTTTCGCTGTCACGTTCATCTTCCCCCACGCAGCTCCAGACACGGATGTCCCAGTTTTCACTGTTGGAATGAATGGAATTAATTAAAGTCAACAAAAACCATATGTTTGCAATTGATTAATTTAGAATGAAGAGAAAGTACATACGGTTGTGCCAGATGTTGTTGGCCATGGACTCGGCCCTGTTGCTCCAGGAGTTGAAGACATGAAGCATGGATTCCATGGGGCTGTTGTTCGACTTTTCAATGGGTTTGTATTGGAGGTAGGGATGGTGGAAGCTTTGGGCTTGTTCAGTGCCAGCAGCACCCCACAGAGCTGCCTTTTTGTTGTCTGGATGGCATGTTGGGACAGCAGGGTGCCCCATCACGTGAGTCCCCCATTGCTCTGCTTTCTCTTCTTCATTTGCTGGTGGTGGTGGTGGTATTGATGAAGACGAACTTGATGATGGAATATCTTCTTCATGATGATGAGCTTGTTTGAGATCTTGGGTTTTCTGCGGTGAGGATGGGGATGGGGATGGTGCTGGGTGATCAGAAGGGTTTGGCGTGGAAGGAGTGAAATCGGAGGGCTTTTGGGTTCCCTGCAATGAGGACGATGGCTCAGGTGTTTGATAAAAAGGATTGATTTCTTGAGCTGTGGGATTTGCAATGGAGGGGTATTGGGGTGGTTGGGTTTTCAGCGATGAATATGATGGCGGAGGTGTTTGAAGAAAAGGGTTTGTGTCATTTTCTGCGGTGGGAGGAGAAATGGAGGGGTACAGAGGTTGGGATCCTTGGTTGGTGTTGTTGTTCATGTTTTGCTGGAAGGGTAATGGAAAACGTACAATATTGGTCTTCTTTCTGGTGTGAGTTTATCGGATGTGGTTGAAAATTGCAATGGTTTTTTATGTTTGGCAAACGTTATTTATAACAAAGCAAATGGCAGACAACGGAGCTCTTTCGAGACTTTCTAGAAACACATGAACATTTTAATAGATATAGATACACCTAACCACCGAGATAGATAGGCTGAGATTTTTGAGTTTGTTTATGTATTCATTGTAATATTATATAAAATGTTAGAAAAGGAGTTCGTCACTAGAGGGGCATGTGAAAGCGAAAAGGTTGACTCTCTGCATCCAAATACACGCTTTAGTAATGAGCATCCATTCAGATCGTGTTTGCTTAACCGTGTTATTTAAAGTCGCGTTTCCAACAAGTTATCATTTTCTTCTTCAGCTTCTAGATATGGAGAAATTCATGTTTCATATTTCTAATTGTTATATTATATAATCCAACCCTCTGCACTCTACATCTTCATTTTGTAATACCACTACCACTGTGTCGATACTCGGATGAGCATTTTCTAATGTCTAATACTAATATATACATGCAAATGTAGGTTAGGCCAGTTGACGAAAGCAATGTACTGTTCTCATTACCCAAGAATTTAAAACCCCTTTCTAAACATTAGAATAATTTAAAATATCAACATTGTCTAACCAAAAAGTAATCTAATTCACACTACGAAAAAATATGACAAAACAGAAAGACGAAGAAAGAAAACCCACATTGGTTGAAATGCTGCAAACCATCAATAACTCTAGTTGAGACTGTTGGTTAAAAAAAGGCATTACCAGTTATTTACATTGTAGTCATTCTATAGTGAGGGTCTTATCTAATGCCCTTAAATGAGGTCCTATCTCTTAATTATTGAATCAAACTAACCAATTTAATTCAACAATTAGGGCCTCATCTAAGGGCTTTATATAAAGCTTTCACTATAGAATTCTTGATTTATATTGAGCAGGAGATTATTTTTATTTTGGTCGTAGATAGTGACACAACTCGTGGGGAGACTTTGGAAAAACACAAAGGAGAGAGAAATTTTGTAAAAGAAACCAAAATGGACAAAATTGCCCTTATTTATTTTTGGATTTCCTAAGGAATCCTTTACATTTATATGTCTTTGATTTGAAAGTTGAAAGGTTTTTCTGTCTTTTTTGAAAAAGCTTTGGCTTTTTCCAAAAGTGAAATTTTTTTTTTGGCTAAAACCTAATTTTCCTACTCGATTATGGCCTTTTTGTGTACGAAAAGCTTAGTATAGTGTGGCCCAAATAAAGCCCAAAAGTTAATCAGAATGGGTCCGAGTTCTCAGTCTGCCTACGTGACATTTTGTGAATTGTCCATTGGGTCATTGTATCTACCCGTCCTCTATTCTATTCTATTCTATTCTATTTCTATACCGCCATTACCAACTTTGCCCTTCTCATCGTTCGTTGAATCAATAACCCCACAGGGCCCACCGTCCAGCAAACAGCAACGTGTCCGAACATGATTAGAAACAGCCTGGCGATATCAAACAACTTGGGACCCACAGTGAATATATATTCGCATTCTAAATTAATTTATTAATTCATATCTAACTTTTTTGATCCGGCTTAGCAACCAACCCGACCACTGAACGGCAGGCACGGAGCCACGGACGAGAGAGACAGAGAAAGAGAGTTTATTTGAGAAGATGAGTTACCAGAAAGCTTCTCAAGAACCCTACCCTCCACCAGGCATCAACAAACACACTTCCTTTCCACAAAATTTCAGTATTTTCATTTCAATTCTTAGATTACTTCACTAATCGATTTTTTTTTCCTTTTTCGGTATTGAAGGATACCCTTATCCGTATCCGCCGCCGGGGTACCCATCAGGTCCTCCACCACCGCCGCCGCCGCCGCCGCCGTACGAAGGGTACCCACCACCACCACCACCTGGGTATCCTCACGGATACGGTCCGCCTCCGCCACCACCCCCACATGGTCCGCCTCCGCCGTACGAAGGGTACCAAGGGTATTTCAATGAGGGGTACCCTCCGCCTCCGCCTCCACAGCAGCAATACCAGCAGCACTATCACTACGACCATCAGAATTACCAAGAACAAGATGGTTGTATGTCTTTCTTACGAGGCTGGTATGCTCCCTTCCTTGCTCTCTACTCTCTATTCTATACCCGCCATTTCAGTCTCTTTATCTTCCCTTGTTCCTTTCTACTTTTTAGCCCATAATTTGATAAAAAGTTTACCTAATTTATTTCCAAGCTCCTACCTTTATTTGGATTAGTGTCCCCGTACATGAAATAAGGTTTTTGCTTTTGATAGTTTAGTTAGTAAAGTCTCTATCTAGGATTGAATCCTCAAGCTTTACTATACGTTGTATGTTGCGCTATATATTCACTTAGGCTGGTAATTAATTGGTTTTGGTATCTGTGGAAAGTTGAGTCTTTTTCCCTACTGCTAGATTGTTTTACATTCCCCAATATCAAACTGGTTATGACCCTGTTCTTTTCTGCACTCCAAATCTTTTGCACAGCTGAGATTCTTCTCATAAGACAGGAGTACAACATGTTGCTTTTTCATTTTTCTCCCCATATAATAAACATGGCACACTCTTCGTTTGTAAAGTTTTTCACATTCGAACATGTTGCCTTGGCACCGAAGTTTTTAACCTTCGAACATCAAATCATGGCATACTCCTCATCCAAACGAGCCCTATTTCTATAATTTGTAGATTGAACAAAAGTAGATCATGTGTTCTTTTCAATCCATAACTACAGAGGGGTTTTTGTAACTCCTCTTCAGGCGTTTGTATATTGTTCCCTGTATGGCCCTCTTCAAAATGCTATAGGGTCATCTGAAAAGACTTGAAGAATAGCTAATCTATTGAGATTCAGAAATTTCAAGCTTGCCCACTGTTTGGGCTTCTCTTTATGTTTTGATTCTGCTTTTGGTTTGTTAAATCTTATACTATCACTCGCAATTATGTTAAAGCTTCAATTTGTTATTCCTTGTAGTGTTTCTTTTGTATGAGAGGGGAACTAATGAATTGTTTCTTTCTTTTACATGTACAGTTTGGCTGCGCTATGCTGCTGTTGTTTGTTGGAGGAGTGCTGCTTCTTCTTTTGATGATAATGGAAATGGATTGGATTGTTTCTAATGTTTGCATATGCTTCAATTCTGTGTTGGACGAATACTGCACCTGAGCAACTTCTATAGATTTTGCATGAAAGTGCATTGGTGTCGTTATTTATGTTCTAGGCTTCTAGCCTCGTATATGTTATGCAGTTGTTTTATGTGGTGTTCTTCTATCCTAACTTGTAAATTGAAAGCAGTACAGAGCTGGTTGTGTGGGAACACAAATGCTTACGTTTGAAGTATTTTGATAAATAAAACAAAGTGAACCCCCATGAGCTGGTTGTGTCTTGTAGTTTGGCATGCGACATTGCCTGCAGTTTGACGATTCATTTCATCTCCATGTGATCCACCAAGTTTCAATGCTTCCAGTAGTCTTTTGATTCTTCTATCTTCTACCTCTTCTCAGCTGCCAAAATAATCCTTATTCTTCTTTTTCCCCTTTTTGGGTAAACTAGATCATATGCTTATTCATTTTTTACGTTTAGGTAAACTAAATATCATGCTCATTCGATCTCCTTACAAAACCAACCATGGACTCATTCCCTTTCTACGGCAGCCACCAGGAGAATCTTGGTAAGGAGACGGTAGAAGTTGTATTACACTATTAGCGACAGTTGGAAATACTAGTAAGAAATCTATTTATAACAGCATAAGATTATAACAGCCAATCTGTTTAAATTTAAACAACTTATCACTAACTCAACATCGACTAAAATCCACTAACCAGTTTGCCTAACCAAAGTACAAACTACTCAATAAGAAGAGAGAAGTTTTGACAGCCTAAACAGGAAAATAAATGCACCTACAGAGTCCACACAAACTCCGGTGTATCGTTTCTTGGCCCTACTAGTGTGCGATAGAGGTACATCTTCTCCACTCGTTGCTCAACATCAAGGCCAAGCTCCATCTGATCGTTTTCATTTATGATCTCCACATTAAGCCTTGGCATCTTCTCTGCGAGTGCCTTGCAGCCTCCAAGAGTGACTTCGCAGGACGACATCCAAAGGGATCGCATTGTTTCATACTTTCCCACGTCCTTTAGAAGTGCCATGTTCCCGAAGGGGCAGTCCCTGATCTCAAGCTTCCGAAGCTTCTTGCACCCATTCAACACATAAAGCATACCTTTATCGCTGTCTCCAGCAAATGCAATAGAAAGCATTTCAAGCTGCTCAGCATACATTCCAATGTAAAGGAAAACCTTGTCAGTCAAAAGGCCGGAGAGTGACAGCCGCCTAATATTTTTGCATGCCTGAACAATTGCCCCAAAACCTTCATCCAGTGGCTGCGTGGTGACAGCGTCAGGTCTAGTGGGGTCAAGGATGCACAACCTGAAACGTATAAAATTTGGGCAGTTCTTGGCCACAGTGATGAGGGCAGCATTAGTCATCTGCTGGCAAAAGTAAAGCAAAGAGTGAAGCTTGGGGCAACCAGCGGAAATGGCAACAAGGCCTTCTTCTGTTACAGCAGCATGTCCAACTCCAAATGGATCAGAAGGAAAAACTCTCAATTCCTGCAATTCTTTACAAGTTGAAGCGATAACTCCTAGTCCTTTGTCTCCAATACAATCTAGTATCTGCATGCATACAGAGACCATTTACCATCATGTTGTAAAGAAACACATAGGAATCATTCTTTTTTCTTGGAAAAGTATAAATGATTGAAGGAGCATACCCATAAGCGCTGAAGCTTCCCACAGTGGCGAATTAGCTTTATCAGCTCGCTGCCATGAACCCCTGGAGCATAGCTGAGGTTCAAGGATGTCAAGTTCGAGCATATTGGGTAAATAGCGGGAAGACAACGGGGAGCAACCTCCAAAAACCCTGACAAGCTCTTAATTGATTTACATTTTAGAATAGTAGCCTTCAGCTTGTTGTACATCTCAGAATCAGGATCTAGGACATAAGACCCGGTTCCCAAATCCACTAGTTGAGGTGCTCGCATGAGTACTTTTTGAAGAGTGTCAGGAGGTACTGCACGGTTTAACCTCAGGACTTTGAGGTTAGGAGATCTAGCCACTAGTCTCTCCAGAGCTGCTAAATTAATTTCTCCTTTGAGGCATGCAAAATTCAGGGACACTAGTGAGGTACAGTTTTCAGGAAAGCAGCTAAGCCACTGGCCTCTATGATCATCAATATCATTTTCCTGCAGATCCAGCTCCTTGAGAAACCTATGTAGAAGAAGCGTTGGAGGAAGTTAAGCACAGATGAAATTCAGGAAAAACTCGGACCAATCATCTAACATAACTTTATCTTCTCACTTTCTCAAGCCTATCATATTATTCTTTGTTTGATCATGATTAATATTCTAATCAGCATATAAGCTCCGGAGAAGTTTCCCTCCGTTCGGTATAATTGTTTTTCATTGGCAACATTAGATCATGGAGAGAATTTCAAGATAAACAAACAAGATAAGAAAGATCAATGACATGAACACATATTCTGGTGAAAATAGAAAACCGAGTTGTTCTATCAACCATTTACAGTATGAACTACGCAAAGATGTACAAAGCAATGATTTTGAAATCATTGACAGCTGACACAGTAGATGCAAGATACTCAAACTGCAAAAGAAAACAAAATTGGATGGCCCAGATTGGTAAAAACCACAAACAAGTCAATCACAGAATCAATGGCAATTGAACTGAACTTTTAGAGTAAAAAAAAAAGCCGCAACATCAAATAAAAACCAAACCATATCAATTATCTGACCCAAAAAAAAATATCCATGTACACAACAAAAAGTCAAATAAAACCGCCAACAGGTCCAACAATTAGAAAGAAAAAAAAAGTAACTCTATTGGGCATGTAAAACAAGTAAGAAGACCAAAAACAAATTAGGATCAAGAAAACATATTCGGAAAACACATTCTTCAGTTGTGAAAATAATAAAAATAATAAAAATAAATAAATGACGTTACCTGCAATTGGCAGCTATAGCAGCAAGGCCATCGGTGGTAAAGCCTTCGCAGCTAACAAGAACCAAAGACTTGAAATTGAGGAAGGACCTGGAAAGAAGCTCAAGGCTTTCATCAGAGACCACCATCCTCTTGAGTCTGAGCTCCTCCAAGCCGATCCGGCTGTCAACGAAAGCTTCAACCCAAGGCTGCAGAAAGCCACCCCAGTCATGAGGGACCAAATTGAAGTCGGCGAAGTGAGGCTTTCCCTTCAAAGTTAGGGACTTGAGCCCTGGAAACCTCTCGATCACTCTCTCTGGGCTGATCGCATAGCAATTCCCTATGAACACTCTCTCCCTACTAAACCTCTCTATTCTGTACCACGATTTGCACACCAACGACACTGCGTTTCGGTCCTTGTGCGACGTCACCGAGTCGAATATGTGCTCTATTACCTCGTCTGGAAAGTAATTCATCCTTCTTTCTTTACCATTCAATCCACAACTTTCCCGGGAAAAAATGCCAAAGGTTCCAAGGAAAATCGAACAAAAAAGAAATCAACTTTCCGAGAAAATTTTGGAATAAAACAAAACAAAACAAAAAAAGGAGCTAGCCTCGCATATGCATATACATAATATATTATATATGCGTCTCTCTCAATCTCAGTGTATGCAAGATCTATGCCATGGATTTCAATCTAAGAAAACTCTGATGCACAAATACAAGACCTTTGGAAGGGAATCTGAGGAACCTACACGAATGAGACCAGAAGAGCAGATCTAATTAGATACAAAGCTATCTAGCTAGCTAGTTATAGCTAACACTCGTCGAGGAAAACGATATCTGTTTATTTCACTTGAGCTTAGATCTGCAGTGAAAGATGGGGGAAATAAAACGACAGTGAAATTTCCTAGAGAACAAATAAAGAAGAGGAGAGAAGAAAGGAAAGGAAAATCTTTTTTGTTTTGATTCTAATGAGTGATCATCTTGAAATCAAAAAGTGATGATTACAAGGCTGGAAAACAAACAGAGGAAATACCATTCATAGATCTCTGAGAATCTCTGTATTTCCTGAAATAGAAATTATTAACTAAACAGAAGGCTTATGATTCTAAAATGAGAGAGAGAGAGAGAGACTGAGACTGAGAGCACCCACAGCACAGACAGACCCTCTCTTCTTCTTCTTCTTCTGTGTGTTTTTCTGTTTGTAAAAACACAGACATGGGTAGGCTCTCGACCTCAAAGGCTCAACTTCAACCTCTGCCTTTTTAACTCTGATGAGGAGAGGAGGAGGAGAGCACAGAAGAAGTCAGAAAGAAGAAGAGAGGCAACAGCGCTTCTTCACTCAAATCAAAACCAAACCAAACCAACCATTGCTTGCTTAATTGGGCTTAAAGCCTAACCCTGGTTACTTGGTATCCAACGGTCCTACACGACTGAATGGAAAAAAAACGACGCGAATCTAGACCGTCCAATGAGTGATCAGGCATGTGTCCTTATCACTGCTTCCCAAGAGGCCCTCTCTCTGCCAAAGTCTTTACTAAAGAGATCAGTGATGGACTGTCAAGGAAAGGAAATGATATTCCATCCTTTGATATGTCAAATTACCAAAATGCCAAGTCATAGATAAGATTGTTGCTCCTTCCCTTCTCCTTCATTTCCCAACCCCTGCGATTGTGCTGAACTCGCTCCCTCTCGGGCCATGTGAGGCTTTGCCCCACGCGTGTGCAATAGCCGCAGCGAGTATTGAATTTCTATAGTCTCGCAGATAGCATGAAGTTTCTTCTGGAATCATAACTTTATCTTTATGCGTCAGAAAATTTTGGTTTTCAATTCTCTCTCTCTCTCTCTGTGTCTGGTTTGGTATGTTGTATTTTCAAAATTTATGATTTTATGTATTTATTTATCTCATGTGTGAGTGTGTGTGTGTGTGTAAACAGTAGAGAGTAGGGTGTGTTTGAGTATGAGTGTATGACTGAGCGAGGATGTGGATAAAATAAATAAGTGAATAATGATGATGGATGGGTTTGTGTTTGTGTTTGTGTTTGTTTTCACTTGTTACTTTGGTTTTGAATGATTAAGAAATTCAGTAGTAGTAGGAGTAATAGAAAAGAAAAGAGAAAAAAATGATAATCTAAGGAGACAGGGTGAGTGAGGGTAGGGTGCTTTAAATGCGTCGAAATATGGATAAATTTTGGGGGATACGCCACAGAAATCATAAAAGATGTTGGCCCCCATTTGCAATTGTGCATTTGGCATTTATATTTTCGCAATCATGATCTGATTCAGTGTGTTATGGTGCACCGTACTTGTTTTTAATAGACCCACGTAATTGGTTGCATCACTTGCTTCTTGCTGTTTGTGACCGTACATGTCACACAGTGCCGTCGTCGGTACAAATGCCATTGCCAATCAGGACGCCTCTGTGACCCCAAAAAATTAAAATTAAATCAGTTAAGCTTGATTGATAACAACTGGGTTTTATATTTTCATCCTAAAATTTTGAAACTTAATGAGTATCCGGTTGTTCAATAGTTCAATAAATTGAATTATTTTAGTATTAATTGAATTGAATTATAGTTTTATTTGGGATGGTACAATTCAATACCTTCATATCAATAGTTATATCTTCTTACAAATTTTTTTTAATTAGCACGTAGATTCCATAGTTAGCCTATTGCAATTACAATAAATGGTTCATCACATAGCACATTCTGTTGCAATTAACTAAATCACACCATTGCAAGTTAGATATGTTTCTGATATTGTCATCCAATGATATTCTTATCACATATGTTTGGTTTTGTTGCTACATTTGTTAGGTAAATCCTTCCCTTTGTGATTTACAAAGATAAAGACTCCCTTGCCAAACCTAGTGCTTTTTGTCCATGTTGGTGAAAAAACCCCAATAATTAGCCAAAGTTGTTTTTATTGGTTCAAGTCGCAAATGCTCTTTTTTTTAGTCAATATGCATCATGTCTTATGCTTGTTCTTGAAATGAAATGCAGTCGGCTGTTGTGACTCCAATTAAAGAAATGCATTCTCACCTCCCAATTACACGAACAATGGAAGTTTTACTATCTTCCAAACACGTCATGCTCGACGACGACAAATTTTAAAATAATATTTTATTTATTTTTGACTTGATACTCCAATTTCATATAAGGCATTTTATAACTTAAATAGTTAAGAACGTTTACTTCCGTACTCAAAATCTTATGTTTGATTCGTTTATAACACAAATGAAAAAAATAAAAAGGGTTTAATGCTCAAGAGTGTAGCCATCATTTTGATGAGTTTGACAAAATGGCATGAGATGAGGTTGTTTATATTTTGTACGCTATAGTACAATAGGACCTCATAGGACTCATAGCTAGGTTTATTTATACGGTGATAAATATTGTGGTAGTGCATGATTGTGGTGGTGGTGGTGGCTGATAAACGTTGAGTGGCATACATGTACTTAAGAAATATGAGAAATCTCCACTCCACTGTCAACAGTAGAGGTCAAATATTCATGCAATGCAATTGTCAAATGATGATGTGCTGTTTTAGTGGTTGTTTTCAAAATTTTATCTACTTGCGTTGAATTCTTTCTTTTTATTTTCTTTTATTTTCAAGTGAGCTTCAATTATGGAGCTAGGCAAGGCAGCCATAGGAAAGAGAAAGGATGGAGAAGAGGATATGGCCATGTGAGGGTGAGGGTGAGGGTGAGGGTGGGGGTGAAAGGGGTGGGGGGGTACCCTTTTATCCTTTGCCAGAGCAAGTAATTGCCCGCCACGTACGCCTATTGTATTGGTCGTTGTCGTATTGTGTGGACCACACAAAAAACCAAACAAACAAACCCATATGAGCATCGTAACTAAGCCATGCTGATTTCAGAGTCACGCATGACCTGTACATTACTAATTAGGTTTTAGTTTGATGAGTTTGATATATAAATTGGCAGACAGAGGCAAAATGTTCGAATCTCCTTGTAGTGTATCACTCACTGTATGTAATAACCCCAAGTAATAATTTTGATAAGAAGATTTTAAAAAAAATCAGTGTGATTGGTTTTGTTGATATGATATGATATGATATGAAGTGAAGGAAAACAAAGAAAGAAACAGAAAAAGAATATTCGATTAATGTTTTTCTAGCAATACCAAATACACATATATGGACAAGCCGAGTGAGTGAGGCAGGCAGGCTAGAGGACTTGGCCGCCTTACATGACTTTTAATATTACCCAAACTAAATAAAGCGAATTGCCTGTTTTTGTTTTTTTCTTTTTCTTTTTCTTTTTCTCTGCGTGTGTGTGTGTGTGTGTAGTAGAAAACCAGAAAGCATTGTTTCTTTTCTTTCTAGGCATTAGCCTGGTACTATTAGTACTAGTACTGGAGGTGGTGATGAACAACTAAAACTGATGATACGTAATACGGCATGACGTTTAATTCCAATCATCCAATGAGAGGATCGTAATTTGCATTCAAAAGCGAGGGAGTGGTTAGGCCAAAAGGGTGATAATTAAATATATTGTAGCCCCACTCTCATATAATTACAAGGACTAGGAGAAGAATATAATTGAAGGTGAAAGCCACCAAAAATTATATATATATTTTTTTAACGCAGGTCATGATCGTTTCCATCTTCCTATGCTCCTTCAATCATTAACTAGAATTGCAGCCATGTGAATGTGATCTTCATCAACCTTACTAAACTAGCTATTAGCTAAGACTTGGCCTGACATTAATTATATCTTCTTTTTCTTTTTTCTCCTAATTCAAAGTTTGAAATGACACCCCCAGATAATGAACAGATTACAAACTTGATTATTTCTATAAGATGGGTGGACCCAAAATGCATGCGTTGTACGTATTTTCATGGTTTCTCAATGGTATTTTGTATAACATTTGGGTACGTACCCAAGAAAAGAAAAAATAATGGGAGGTAGAGGGGAGGACGAGGTTAGCTAGATTCTAAAGATTCTAATATAAGAAGAAGGCATGCGATATGATAACGCATGGAAATGGGAATGGAATTGGAACCGTGGTCCAGGTCCTCCTGCGTTTTTTGTTCAAACTTGAAAGCGAGATGAGGGCAAACCAAGCCAAGCATAGCATATATATATGTGTATATAAGATGATCATGTCGTTCATGAATAATATTTTGTCTCTAAAATTAAAACCTGGTCCCCAACAACAAGTGAGTGTCCCCCCCTGACCCTCGTGCCTCGCTTGCTACTAAGTGAATCCAAATACAACAGGACAATGGGTCGTGGTCTCCAAAACCAAAAACCATATAACAACAAGACACGACAAGGAGAGGGTGAAGATGAAAGAAGAGGAAAATGTGGGAGAGAGAGAGAAAGAGAGACCAAGTGAGAGAAGAAGGAAGCTGGAGGAAAAGGACCACATATGATAACGTAACTGTTAGGCTGACGTCACCTACCCTTATTTGACGACAAAGGAAGAATAGCAAAACCTAGCTAGCTAGGGGGGGGGGTAATGTATGCAAATGCAAATGCAGTGCGATGCAATCTATCTATGGAGTTCATGGTGTCGTGTCAGAAGTTACAAAAGCAGATGGATGGTATTTGTGTAGATTATTCTTGGATCCCTGCATTATTATAGGCGATGCATATGCCCTCGTTTTTTTATTTAAAAAAACCACCATAATATAACGTAACCAATTGAAGCTTATATTTAGTTGCGAATGCGATGCATGTGATCTTGGCGTTAAGGCTGGCTTTTAGCTTTTTATAAAAGCATAAAAGCAAAGCAACAGTGCTGTGCTGTGCAGTACGACTACTACTAGCAGTAGAAGAAGTACGTACATACATGGGCTGAGGTTTTCAGGGAGCGTTATAATTTTTGTGGCATCGGGTGCCAACTGCTGCCAGTGAGCATCATTAGATCAGACTTTTGCTTTTCGCCTTTTTCAGTTCTCCTCCGTCCACAACAAGAGCGAAGAAACGATGTCAACTTATGGGCCAAAACCAAAATCCAAGTGCTGTATCTGTAGTTGTATTGTATGCATGCTTGAACTTCTCCTCCCCTCCCTCCCCACATGAACATGAACATGAACATACCAAAGAAAGGCTTATAATAAAGTAAGATGCCAAACTTTATTGAATCATCCTAATTTATATGCAAGTGGAACTAAAAGTGTGTCCAAATTGGGGATTGGATTGAATTATTTGGACAATGAATAAGAGTGCAGTGCAGGCCCAACTGATTATGGACCATGGGCTTGTTATCTCTATAGACCCAAGTCTACTTCCTTTTTTCTCTTTTTAGAAAGAATGGACTGCACTTAGCTACTTTCAATAGTAGAGGACCAAGATTAAATTTTAAAAGAAAAAAAAGAAACTCCACATGCATAGATCGAAGATGAAGCAGCAGCAGCAGCAGCATAGACCATATACTTGCACCTCAGAACTTCACAAATATGGTGCATACCATTAAAATCTTAGACAATTTCTCCAGTTACCCATGTAAAGTCACCCAACACAAGGGGAGAAGAAATACAGAAACATTATACGACCAACAAGTCATAAGATTGAAAATGACTCCGACCAACATAGGAAAGCCAAACTTGCATTACAGGTAAGTAACAACCCGTCTCCAGATGGCACCACTTATATGGGACAATCTTCATAAAGTCTAACTACAATACGTAACAAACAATGGAACCATAATCCTTGACCTCCTGTATGACAGAATAGAAATGGTTCAACCTAGCAAAGCAATCACCAGGCTTGCAGATAAGGACTAAAATTACCTTATGCAAAGATTTAGGTCTAGGTTATAGCCAATGCATAATATTACGAGTCTTTTAGATCCGGACAGGCCAGATAATCAAACACAATTTGTAATCTACAGACGAGCAAGACAGAGATTTGGCCTCACTAAAATTGAAATATGAGAGTAGATTTAAATAAAAATATGCTACAGGTTAGGATCACATTAAAATCATCCCTCTGTGCTCCATTGGACCATTCCAAGTAATGGTCCTTTTATGCAATGGAAATTCTGTGCTCCATTGGACCATTACTTGGAAGTAATGGTCTTTTTATGCAATGGAAAGGAGCAGGACAACACAACCTGTGACAAATTATTCACTTGAATGGAGATAGTTTCAGAATTACGATGCAATTTGGCCTTGTATCACATCACATGAATAGAAGGTTAAAGCACCATCTTGATATCTAACCATATCATAGAATTCCTAGTCACTCACCTAGAAATCTGAGTTCAAAATTTCTTCTCACAAATACTAATAATAGAATATGCAAGAGCAAAAAGGACACACTATCATTCCATGCAGGTAAGAAACATCACAGTTTTCAACATCTTAGTGCCATCATACCTCTCCAAGGAAACTCAGAGCACACCAACACAGTTACTCAATCAAATTAGGTTTAACAAAGCCATTATGAAGTGATTTTAATAAGAATGTGGAAGTAACCTGCGTCTAAGCATCATACCTAGTAACCTTGGGTCGCAACTGTTGGTTTGGCAGAAGCAAGTGTTGTTTTTCGAAAAGGTGATGCAAAAATGCCTTTTAATAAATCACTTTTTTCCCCCAACTACTATGGGTTGCTGACTCTTCTCCTTCTTCCTTCCTTGGGGCGACCTCACTAGTTTTAGCTAAGGCGAACTCTTAAGCAAGACAGTCCTGGTTTGAACCTGACCGGGCTGTGGTAATTGGAATAATTACCATCAGGACATCCCGCAGGGACTTAAGGAGATGCCAGTAAAACTTCAGAAAGGGTGACAGATATATGCTTAGTCTAGTCACTGGAAGGGATTCCCTTTCTCTACGTAAGAAAAAAGGTATCTGTTTCAAGAATTTGACATGTTCTTGCACTCAAATTGTTGTCTTCCTATTCCTAGCAACAAATCCCACTGAGTTTTGATCAAGTATCACCCACTTTCAGTCTCGTGGTTTTAAAATTTACAAGCCAAATTTTTGCATGTCCATGGTCCACTCTGTAGTTAAACTGATATTCCTACCTTACAAGCCATCTACTCTGCGATGATCATTAAAACGATAACAAACTACATATATTATTCACACACTTTGTAATCGAACAAAAATAAACTGAAGGGAAGAAAACACCTACAGAATGATAGGATCCAATAAGGAAGGAAGATACTTAGATTGAGTTACATCAAGTATTCACAGCCTTAGCTGCATTGTGTTCTCGAATAGCAACTAATTAGCATAACCTCATCAAAGCACTAATACTATCTCCGAAACATAATGTCAAGCTTTGCTAATTTTGGTTTTACTGACCTTCCTCAACTCAGAGCATCGCTGTCATCACTATCATCTTCTTCGTCGTTTCCAATATCATTAGCCATGTAAACCCCAGGCTGAACCTGCCGTCTCCGAGTCCTCGAAGGAAGAATGTTATCCAAATCGACCTCCGCAAGAGGATCATCCGATAAATCACTATCGCCATCTTCGAATTCGCTACCACCATCGCTTGAATCGTCGTCACTGTCATCGTCATCTTCTTCTATCAGTTTCCCTTTGCCCTTGTCATCTCTCATAATCCCCTTTCCCTTGCGATCCACCTCAGCCTTCCCATTAGACTTTTCACCGTCTTCATCTTCGTCGTCGTCTTCTACGAAATCTTCTTCGTCTGCATTGGCTTCAAATTTATCGTTTTTCTCTTCGGCCACACAGGAATTCTGGTCGAAAATTTCTGGGTCTTGAGTTTTTCCTTCGGCAAGCGACGAACTAATATCAGAAACTTCAAGCTTATGGGTTTTCTTAGGGTAGTCGGCCTGGTCCTCGCAGCTGATATCGGGTTTACGCTTCACGGGAAATGTGGGTTCGCCTAGGTTCTTAGTTTCGGCCATGAGTGAACTGCAAAAGGACTGTGCTTTAGTGTGAGGGTAACAGAGAAACAGAAAGACAGAGAGAAATCGGAGCCCTTGGGATGCTGGGTTAGGGTTTCCGAGTTTTATAATAGTTGGGAGGATCTTAATTCGTATGAGAGTAGGTTTGCCGTCGGCGGCACCACGGTATTGAACTCGGTTTCAATTACTCCTACCCCTTCTTAGGGCTTTACTTATTGTTATTTTCTAATTTCTTATAAGGAGTTAGGGCTTTATGTTAGTGGCAAATTCCCAATTCACAGTCATATTTTTTTGGGAGTTTCACTAAAACACCCAAAATGGGGGTTAAAATTATAAAAAAAACTCAAGCACTATTTAAACATATAAACACACCCAAAATCCATCATTACACACACTCAAAACCCATTTATAAACACACCCAAAAGTTGACTTTGGGGTTGATTTTGGGTGTGTTTCTATATTTAAATAGTGCTTGGGTTTTTTTATAAATACATCTCTAGGATTGGGTTTATTTATAAATTTGTATATTTTTTTCCACTTTTATATTTTCTATACAGTACCATTCTATTAAGGGATTACTCAAATAATTTTATTTGAGGGATGCCCTTTAGGGTACCCTACAATTTTTTAACAATGATTCAAACCATTTATTTTTTAGGTCTTCATTCATAAATAATCCTTACAAAAAATTAGACAAATCGGAAACCATTTCGACATCCAATTGTGTTTTACAAAATCAATGAACACTGTGCTTCAATAAAGTACTAAAATTTCAATAACTCAATTGAATGCTCAAATGATATCCGATTCAAGTGATTTTTTTGTAGAAATGATATTTGAATGTGTATCTACAAAATAGATTGTTTGAATTAGTGAAATACAATCCGGAGTAGGCCCTACAAAGGGTGTCCCTCAATGGAAGCTCTTTGATTTTCTATAATATTAGAATTGGATTTTCACACGCAAATTCAACATCTGATCCAATCATTTATATTTTGAAATTTAGAGATCCAACTCTATCTGGATCATTTGGTTGAGTTAAGATTGGATCTTAAACACCCATACTAAACATGCGTGGAGGAGTTATGTGTGTTTCTCCTTGTATTTTGACTTATTTTTCATTTTAGTGACTACAATTTTAATTTTATCCATTTTAGTATTGTAGTTTAGATTGGCTTGGATTCAAACTTGTAAACTCCGTCTAGATAATTAATGTATTTTGAAGTGACAATATGCAACTACTATATATGAGACCACTTTTGTCTCTTTAAAGCATCTGCAAATAAACTCCGAATGTATCATTTTGTTCGTTCTCTTAACAATTTTATAGTTGTAGAACTTGATTGCTTCCTAAACAACATTATATAACTAAAATTACCAAAATGAAAAGTAACTGCATAAATGAGATCTGTAATTTTGGGCAGCTTGTGTTTTTCACTACTACTAACATGCATTCAATTGTATTTTACTTGTTGTTCTATGAGAAAACCCTAAAGAACAATCCTTAGTCGCCGCCTCTAACTCCATCCCCTTTATTATCCTATCACCCCCCTTTCCTCTCATTCTCTTCATTTTCCCTTTAGATTTTTTGTGTTTTTGTTTTGTGATGTAAAAGCAATCGTCGTGAAAATTCGTCGTCACCATGATATAGTTGTTGTCTTTTGACTCACATATGCAATGATTTGGCTCCAGTTGTCAACATTCGATATAGATTTGGAGCTACGATGCAAGGATGATGTCAAATTGCATCGGGTTCGAGTTTAGCTGGTTTGACGGTATGACTCTCTCGGGATTGCTTGGGAGGATGTGAAGCATTGATCTTGTTTATTAGTTTGTTTTAGTTTAATAATTTTCATGAACTATTTAGGAGTTTGATGTGGTTTGTTTTTTGTTTAGGATATTTTATTTCATTTTGACTTTTGGCTTTTGATATGGATTTTCCGCTTATGTCATTGCCCAACACATCTTTACTATAGGCTTGAGTACATGTGGTTATGGTTGCTAATTTAGGAATTTTAATCATTTTTTAGGTTGTGCGTATTCTTTTTGATCAATTCAACTTATTGTTATATTTAGTCATTGAAGAAGTTGTTACCATATTCGGCACCTTAGTTGCTTTGTATTTTTTTTGTTTATCTTATCACTAAAATACTATTGCTCTTTTATAAATAATAAAAAACTGTATTTCCCAAAAATGGTCGCAATAAAAATTTAAATTTACGTGAAACGTGTCAAAACATATTGAAGAGTGTAAAACATAAGAAAAATTGACATAAGACTTCCCCCCTAAAAGTAATATTTGTTTGTTTTTTCGCTAGGAAAATGGTTGTTCGCGGTTTCTAAAATGACCTGGAAAGTGAAATATTCATAAAATTTGATATGGCTCGGAAATTTTGGCCAGCGCGAGCCCGGTCAATCACTGAATTGAATCCAAAAAGTGGGGGCACCAAAAACAGATTGGGCAGAACACGATCCTCCAATCCAATCGCATCGCCTCTCGTCCTCTCCATCTGAGTCCTGACCTGACCCATCAAGCGGGTTAACCCGACTCCAAGTATCGGATCTACGGCATAACTTGGATCTGCAGGCCCTGAGAACTCCTGCTGAAAGATCCACAACTCCCAAATTATCCATCCAGTTCTCGTCGCTAAGCTTCAAACAGTTAAACACGTGGTTTTGGGATCATATAATTATTACAACGCCGAAATGATTGCGATCCCTTATTTAACCGCGTTAACCACGTACTTCAGCTATGGCTTGCTTTTCGTCTTCGGCCAAGTCAGAGATTTCTTCCGCAAATTCATCGACTGGTGGAGTTCTAGCAATTTGCAGGTTCCCATATTCTTCTACACGGCCCTATAATTTTCTTTCCTTTGTTCCTTTCTCATATTATAATTTTTCATAGAAAGAAAACAGCTGCTTGGGTGGGTATACAGAATACATGTAAATGATTGTTTTGTTGCAAAGCCAGGGTTATGCTCCAATCTGTTTAGGACTTGAAGATTTCTATATTCGCCGGCTGTATCTTCGTATTCAGGTATTTGTGCTATTGATTTTGATTGTCTTGTATCTCTTCTCTTCTCTTGAGGCTGGAGCTATATAAAATTATGTTGTGCATGAAATGAAATTAATCTTATTATTGGATCGGTGGCACTGCAATTACTTTTAAACATGAAATCCTTCGAGTTCGAGTCCCATAAACATAATTGATAATTCTGGTTGATTTTTAAAGTTTTGACTGCCAGGACTGTTTCAATAGACCTATAGCAAGTGCTCCTGATGCTTGGTTTGATGTGGTCGAACGTTTCTCCAATGACTACAACAAGACACTCAAGTAAAGAATTTGGCAATTTTGATAAATATTGCACGCCTTTGTTAAGTTTTCTTAATTTATATTCTCATCATCTGCTGGGGCTGATGCAGACTAACCACAAAAACCAGTAGATGCCTTAACTTGGGATCTTACAATTACCTTGGCTTTGCTGCATCCGATGAATACTGCACGCCTCGTGCTATCCAGACGTTGAAAAAATATTCTCCCAGTACCTGTAGTAGCCGTGTTGACGGCGGTTGGTATATGGCTCTGCAAGATGGTTTTGTTTAAATTATTTTTCTCCTGAACTTTACCATGATACGCTTCTTTCATCAGGCACCACAGTTTTGCATAATGAACTGGAGAAGCGTGTGGCAAGTTTTGTTGGGAAACCTGCTGCTATAGTTTTTGGAATGGGCTATGTCACAAACTCTGCTATCCTTCCGGTCTTGATGGGGAAGGTTCGTATTCTTTGTTAATGAAATTACGTTTAAACTTTGTCTTTAATTTCCTTTTCCAAATTTATGCCATTTGAATTTACAGGGACGCTTGATTGTTAGTGATTCCTTGAACCACAACTCCATTGTCAATGGTGCACGAGGATCTGGAGCTAGTATTTGCGTTTTCCAACACAATAGTAAGCCCACTAGTTATTATCTTGTATAGCATTGATGGTGAGATTTGGATTTGGGCATCAAATTCCACATTTCAGATTTTTAAATGATGGCGTTTATTCTTTATACTAAGAAAAAACAGTGGGGAAAATATTGGTTTTATGTTCAATTGCAAACTGCAAAGACCAGGTGCTAGATTGGAATGCTGCTGGCAATTGACAGTTAGGTTTTTGGTTATTTTTCCTTTTTGTAGTCCATGTTTATGGAGGTATTTGACTACTCAATAGAAAGGACTGTTTATCGTACTCAACTTTCCAATATGTTGGCTTCCTTCTCTTAGATATTGAAGATAGCATGAATGGAGTTTTACTCAGTAAAATTAAAAGAAAATGGTAAAATTCAGGCTGGATGTCGTTCACTTATATTTGTACTTTTTGCTTTACTTACAGCTCCTTCTCATTTGGAGGAAGTTTTGAGAGAACAAATCGCAGAGGGGCAACCTAGGACCCGCAGACCCTGGAAGAAGATAATTGTCATTGTGGAGGGAATATACAGCATGGAAGGGGAGCTTTGCAAACTTCCTGAGATTATAGCCATCTGCAAGAAATATAAGGTTGCACCTTCTTGGTAGCTTTCACACTTCAATATATGCCTTTGGTCTCCGAGTTCTGTGCTGTCTGTTTTTATTTTCCACAGGAAAGAAGATATAATTCTTATGGTTTTATCTAAAACTTAGAGCCTCAAATGTATTATTGATCATTTTTGTCATAAGAACAGAGAATAAAATCAACATATCTTTTTTCAAAGGATACTCCCACCTTTTAATCGACTGTATTACTTATCTCATTTAGTGGGAAATACCTCTGCTAAACTACTATCTAAGAATTTTTAATAATTTATGTAATAAATCTTTTTATTCTTTGCCACTTCCTCTTTTATCTTAGGCATATACATATTTGGATGAGGCCCACAGCATTGGAGCAGTAGGGAAAACAGGTAGAGGTGTTTGTGAGCTCTTGGGAGTAGATACAGCTGATGTAGATATCATGATGGGAACATTTACCAAATCATTTGGATCATGTGGGGGATATATAGCAGGATCCGAGGTTTGTTTTTTTGCTCTGTCCTTAATACTTTCAATTGGTTGAACAATGCGTGGTGTAATCTAGGCAGACTTTGGTGTATTTACAAAGTTATCTTAAATAAATTATGAGCTCTTTATTGAATTTAATGTGGTCTACTGATGGTGTTATTATCCAGGAACTTATCCAATACTTGAAGTACACTTGCCCTGCTCATCTTTATGCAACTTCAATATCACCACCAGCTGCAGAACAAATAATATCTGCTATAAAGGTCATTCTTGGAGAGGATGGTTCCAATAGAGGTGTTGATAGATACTTCTCTCTCTCTCAACCCTTAATTCTCTTTAGTTTCCTTGGGAATGTGTTTTAATATTGTACTCAGCAAATTTAGGGTCTAATGTTTCTTCTATATATGACCATCATTGAATGAGTTTTTGTTTCCTTGTAGGTGCCCAAAAACTTGCACGAATACGTGAGAATAGCAACTTTTTCAGGTCAGAACTACAGAAAATGGGATTTGAGGTTTTGGGGGATAATGACTCTCCAGTAATGCCAATTATGCTTTACAACCCAGCCAAAATTCCTGCCTTCTCACGGGAGTGCCTCAAGCAGAATGTGAGTCCATCCTGCCCAGTTGTAACCTGTACTCCATGATTATAGTTTTCTGTTGGTTCCAAGGAAATTTAAATGATTATTGTTACATACAGGTAGCTGTTGTGACAGTAGCATTTCCAGCAACCCCACTGCTATTGGCAAGGGCACGTATATGCATATCTGCTTCTCATACAAGGGAAGACCTGCTCAAAGCGTTGGAGGTAAGTTGTTGTATAACTTGGCGTGCATGCAACTTCCTGATGCTGTAGTTGCAAATATTCCGTTTTAATGTGAGAGAACTTGTGCCCTGACATTTTGTTGGGGTTTGATTCTTTCAGGTATTTGGCAGGGTTGGGGATCTGGTGGGTATAAAATACTTCCCGGCAGAACCAAAGAAGCTGCAGGAAGAAGAAAGGTTGCTCAAGTTGGAGTGATTAAGAATTAATTAAAAAAGTCGAGGAGGCTGGACTCTTGAGTGTAGGATAAATGATGTCGTAGTAGGCATGTCTGTCTGTCTGTCTCTAGTTTGTGATTTAAACTTGCGGTGGTGGTATACTAGTATCATTATCATATCATCTGCCCTAAGCTAAGCTGTAATATGTCGTGTTCTCTAGTCTATACCAAGTAACTTCCAAGGTCTGTTCTGTACCCTTGCTTCCATGTAATACCCCGTTTTTGTTCATACATGTCTCGGGTGGCTGGGCAGGGATAGTATTTCACTCATCTTTTTTCTTTTCTTAGTAGTTTTTTAATTTTTTTTTAATTTTTTATAATTGAGTTTCTCTTCTCTCTTTGTATGTATGAGTTGTACCAATGCAGCTTGTTTTTTTAAATACTTATTATTTTATTAGAATTGTACTTTTCGTCAGAAAGTTATAATGGTATTGAGCAATTTGTTTTTGAGGTAGGTGTGTAAATGTGTCACCCCTCCGAGTCGATGGATATTTATTGAATGAACTCCTCCAATTCCAAGGTGGAAATTCCCTGAGATCACGAACAAGTGAATATCTACATAAATTTGAATCCCCCGCCCCCCAAAAACAAAGAAAAGACACAAGAAGAATTTAACGTCAATGAAATTATTTTTGGCGAATATTAGCAAATTGCACGTTATTCACCAGTCTAATAATTAGTCGTCCCGAAACAACAAAAAAAAAAAAAAAAAAAAAAAGAAAAAAAAAGAGTCTGAACTCTGAACTGAAGTCTTCGTTTAGGTTAGGAATTCAGAGAGCGGAGTCCGCAAGTAGACTCTAGAGAGAGATTGCTAATTGCTTGATTTATTCAACGACAAATACGAGCACCTTTGCATGCCGTCCAGGTGGCAGCGGAAGCTTACTTGCAAAGGTACACAGTAATAACGGGCAAAAAGAAAAGAGGGTGCTTTTTATTATTATTTGAGTATCTCTATTCTCTAGTAAATGACCCACTGAAACGCGAATCAGATTAACAAGTGTAAAGTTCGGAATCAGATGGAGAGGTTAATCCTTAGACGTACATCTTCGTATAGAAAAACCACTGAATCCGTGGGTATTAATTACTTGTGGTTGATGTGAAAAGTAAGTAGAAAAGTCCATGGTATGAGTATTACACCCAAAACTCTCCTCTTCTTTCCTCCCCCACCCCACCATGTATATTACGTAGAGGTCTTGTTCGTCTGGTCTGGTTTCCATCACATGAAACAAGGAAAGAATGAAGAGAGAGAGAGAGAGCAGAGCCCAATATATAAGCCCAAAAATGCCATTGATTTCAGTTGCATGGAGAGTCAGAACTTTTGCAACAGCTGGAGCTTCATCTCAAACCAGCTTTGTTGTCTTGATCGTCCATCCGTCACTTGTCTCTTGGCTATTCTCCCACTACCACCCCTCCCCCTCCCCCTCCCTCTCCCTTATCTCCTCCCTCCACTAAGTATGCTCCGCTGGCTCCACACTTCTCAATGCTAACCCCAACCTCCACCTTACCCTCAACCACGGTTTATAAACTCAACTCAGCTCAACCAAACCAAGAGCGCCCATGAATACATATTCAACATTTGTCATCCAAACCAGAACAAGAGGTCCTCTATAGTAAATTCTTATCACCCAAAACCCTAAATCTGCCTTTTTCTTTTCTTCCAAATCCCACTACTCTACTGATCATTAATAATGTACCCATTTGCATTTGCACACAAATTAATAATGACAACGCCAAAAATAAAAAGGAGTGAAAGAGAAAGAGAGAGAGAGAGAGAGCAAAGGAAAGCAATATACATATATACATATGACTGAATGCAGGCTGCACAAATGTCACTGCAAAACCAAGGAGGCAGCAAAAACCCTTACCAAAAATAGCAAAAGAGAAATAGAAGAAAAGGTGCCTCTACCTCCACAACCACCCACTAGATATGCGAGAGAGATTAGAATTCTCTTTCCCATAGCTAGCCCCCACCCATTTCGCGATTGCCGAGCGTCCTTCACTTGCTAGTTTTCGATCTGCACAAGCACTGATCAAGAAACCACAGCCACTCTTACTGAATTCCAAGGTGTTTTCTCTCTGTGCTTTGCTTTGCTTAAGTGCCTACCCAAAACCCCATCCAACTTTCTCTCTCTCTCTCTCTCTCTCTCTAGCTGTTTGCTATTTGCTATTAGCTATATTAGCTAATGATGATGGACCAAGCAGCAGCTTCTGTAGCAGCTGGCCTAATTCATCATGAGAAAACCGAGGCCTGTGGGTTGAGGGCAGGTGTTGAGGCTGATCTCGGCCTTGTCACTGCCAAGGGGGACAAGACTTCCTTTCACGGGTCGGATCGGAGCGGCTCCATCCATGACCATGACGACCTTGTCCATGCTGTGACTAGTTTTGGTGTCCACAGGAAGAAAAGAATGACCAGACAGAGGCGATCATCCATCATCAACCTTCATCATCTCACTTTTGCTTCCTCCACCACCACCACCTCGCACGTGCTGCCCTCCCTCCAATCCCCCTCCACTCTCCCGCCTGCACGTGTGAGCTTCCTTCCCCCTTCCCTTTCCTAATTCCTACTACCTGATATCTATCTATAATATATGAATTAATGTTCATTATTTTTCTTCAATTTTTTACCTTTCTTTTTAATTTTAATCAATAATATTTGTTTCATAAATTAAATTCTGTTTCACAGTAGCCTTTTCCTTATATTATTTTCGTTCAAAGATTTCCTCTTTTGTTAATTCTATTGCTGTACTTTTCGATCCATGTCAGACACTGTTCAATCAGATATACCCGGGTGTACGTGATTGGTACCTTTTGGGCTTGTACGATCTGCTTGATTTTCTTCTCTTCTTTCATTTATTTACAGGGCCCGGATTTTGATTTGATTGATTAATCAATGTGTCTGTCTCTTGTTATGAAATTTCACGATTCATTTATATGTTGGTGATTTTTAGCAATCAGAGTAGCCCTACCTAGATAGTTATAGCTAGATAGACATTTTTTCTTTTAATTGTTGGTTTCGTGGAATTTGTCCGATCTATAATATCAAAGAATTGACTCTCTGTGATGGCATGATCAGGTTGTGCACCAACTCTGTAAATCCAATAATGGATCCTACATTTGAACCTTAACAAATTAATTTGTACATTTTCGAAATGAATCACCGTCATACACGTCCAGTTTATATAGGTTTGGGAAATAAAATAATTCACAATACAATGTTGTCGTATTCGATACCAACATTTTTTTAGTTAAATGACCGTTGGATTGATGAGTTCACCTTTTTAATAGAAGCGTTTAGATTTGTGAATCATCATTGGAGTTATTCGTATTTAATACGAATCTCAACTCTAGGTGGACTCCATATTTTGAAGTTCCTAACTGTGCTAATCATAATTTGGTTTGGTGGCATGTTGGTCCAATATGCAGGACAATAGAAAAATACTATTTCACTGCCTTGTGAACACTTGCAGCTTGATCACTGTTTCAGTTGTTGCAAATTGATTATGCTGTCTGCCTCAGGACAAGTTTGTTCAATGCATATCTGTTGAGTACAAAATCTAATCGATGACTCTAAACTTAATTAATGTAATGATGATCTCATGCGTGGATCTGGATGCTTCAGGTTATTGATCCAACAAGGTTGAGATTTCTTTTCCAAAAGGAGCTTAAGAATAGTGATGTGAGCTCTCTCAGAAGAATGATACTCCCCAAGGTAAGGTTTGATCTAACTAATCTCTGTAATTACTCAAACATTCTGCTGATAATTAGATCAAAAGTAAGCATTTGCGTTTGCAAATGGCTAGCTAGCTAATAGCTATACATGTATACATGAAGACTATCATGCTAGCTAAGCTTGTAAAGGAAAAGGAGATCAACGGTTTCTTTTTATATGACAACGGCGAAGTTTGTTTCATTAGGAAAACATGATGTATATTAACATTGGACAACTTAATTCCAGAAAGCAGCTGAGGCTCATCTCCCTGCCCTCGAATCAAAGGAAGGAATTCCAATCAGCATGGATGACATAGATGGTCTGCATGTTTGGAGCTTCAAGTACAGGTTTGAATTTCCTCTATTTTCTGGTGAAAGAATTTACAGATCGAATGCATGAGTAAGATATACCTTCCTTTATATATATGTAATGGCCGATGTATCTATTCTTTTTTATTTTCCAATTAAGCAGGTTTTGGCCTAATAACAACAGCAGAATGTATGTACTTGAAAATACTGGTATCCCTTCTTTTCCTTTATCCAGCATCTGGTTATTCTGAGTGTACAGTGAAGTACTTATTACAAATTTCAGAATATCATTCTTGTAATGTTGAATTTTTTCAGGGGAATTTGTTAACGCACATGGCTTACAGTTTGGAGATTTTATCATGGTTTACCAAGATAATCAAAACCAGAATTACGTATGGTGACCGAATTAATTATCCAGTTCCAGTTCCTGATATGATTATAAGCGTACATTTTAGCAAGTTTTTGAATACCAATTAAACAGGGATTAATTAAATTGTTCACAATGAAACATTGGCAGGTCATTCAGGCTAAGAAGGCTTCTGACCAAGATCATGTGTATGGTGACATAAGCACTATGAACAATGGCGTGAACGATCTCTTCCTTGACGAATCTGAGGCGAACAAGTCGAGTTCGTTTTACATGCCCACAATGGCAATGGATGAAGATACAACTGCAGGCATGTCATTTGTGTATGACACCACCACCTTCTCAAATGACTCTCTGCTTGATTTTTTTGGGGGATCGATGACCAACTATTCCAGAAATGGGCCTCTGCATGAAAGTTTTGGTTCTGTTGAAAACTTGTCCCTTGATGACTACTATTAAGTTATAAATTTTGAAGCATTAGTACAAGGCACTACATGCTACATGTAAACCTAAATGACCAAGTGGGTCTCACTCTGTTTTTGGTACCCTTGTATTTTGGCATCCTATGCATTAATAAAGGCAACAGCAAGTGTAGAAACTTGTGACATGTACTTGTCCCAATTAATTATTTGTTTAATTTCCAGGACATAATTATAATATCCTCAAATCTCCTAATCTTATATGCTACAAACTAATTAACCATTTGTATAATTGTCTAGTTCCTCATGCTCCAGCTTTCTATTATTTGCTGGCATGTAGCTGCAGTTTCCACCTGGGACACATATATTTGTCTTCATCTGGCTTAGCCTCAATAATGTGGACCAGACAAACAAATCTCCATCACTCATAATTTTAAGATACAGTTTATTTCACTGTTGTTTGAGGAAGACAGCAGTTATCAGCCTCGTTTCTATCAACATACGCAAGTTGCCCGTCTAGCTCAGTTGGTAGAGCGCAAGGCTCTTAACCTTGTGGTCGTGGGTTCGAGCCCCACGGTGGGCGAACATTTTGCCGCGGTGTTTTTGCAATGTTATTTATTTTTACCGGGTTTTTTTTTTGGAATGATTGGCAACATTTACCAGTTATGGATGAGATGGCATGAGCTGATTGGTCTGTATTAGTTACTACATAATATCGATGGGAGATAATTACGAATTGGAAAAGAAAACTAGAAATCTACAGAAAATAAGAGGAGGAGGAGAAAACAGAGCCGAGAGAGGGAATTTGGGAAGTGGGGCGAGCACAGAGAGAGCTGAAGAAGGAAGACAAGAGAAAGGTGTGCAGTTTTAAGTCGGTTTTGTTGAATGGCGAGCAGGTATTGGGTGGTGTCTCTGCCGGTCCAAAACTCGGCGTCGTCTCTATGGAACCGTCTCCAGGAACAAATTTCCAAGCATTCCTTCGATACTCCCCTCTACAGAGTACTGCTCTTTCTTTTTTCCTTCGTTTAATTTGCAAGATCTGATGCTCTCTCTTAATTTTTTCTGGTTATATTATCATTTCTACAGTTCAATATTCCTAATCTCCGTGTTGGAACTCTGGATTCTCTTCTCTCCCTCAGCGACGATCTCTTGAAGGTATTAATTTGGACTTCTACAACTTGTTTGTTATCTCTTCCAGTGCAAATTTCTTTATGTTTATCTGCTTCTGTAGAAACTACATAGAACGATAATGATTGATCTCTTTATTTTTTCAAATGCAATTTTTTCGCCATTCCATTGCAAATTTTTCTTTGCTTCGATCTGTTAATTTCGGTACTAATTGTGTGTTATTTGGCAATTTGCAGTCCAACAATTTTGTAGAGGGTGTTTCTCACAAGATCAGGCGCCAGATCGAGGAACTGGAGAGGGTTTCAGGCGTGGAGAGCAGCGCACTCACTGTCGATGGTGTACCTGTTGATTCTTACCTTACTAGGTATTGATTCACAGTTCAATTCAATGAGATCAAATATGGACTTAGGATGTTTGGCTCCAGATCATGAGTGATCTCTGTGTTTGGGTATTGAATTTTGGGTTTTTGTTATGATGGTAGGTTCGTTTGGGATGAAGCCAAGTACCCTACAATGTCGCCTTTGAAGGAGGTCGTAGACAGCATTCATGGTCAAGTCGCAAAGATTGAGGATGATCTGAAGGTAATCCTTCACCCTTTTTTCTTTTAAGCATCAGTATGTTAGTTTACGATAAAGTTATTGGTTGATTAACTGTTAACACTACTCAATAATACATAGTCAGTCATTGTAGACATTTCTTTGTTGTGCTTAGCTTAGCGGACACAAGCTGCTGCTGATTAAGGACACAGTTGATTGAAATAACCATGAATGTGTTGCTGGGGAGTTGAACCAATATAGTTAATGGTTGTCAGCTTAGTTCCTCCAGTCTCTCCCCATAGAATCACTTCTGAAGGCTTTCTTTTCTTTTGTTTGTTGTCTTAACAACTAAACTTAATGATAATATGAAATGCTTATACATTTAGGCCGTGAATCTTTCCCAGAAGAATAAATCACTATACATTATGTGGCTCCCATGTTAGGTTCGCGTAGCTGAGTATAACAATGTCCGCAGTCAACTTAATGCTATCAACAGAAAGCAGAGTGGAAGGTATAATTATTCTCTAACTTTAATAATTGCAATTGCACGGGATATTTTGCTCTGATTCTAATTTTACCAAACTCTGGGGCCTTTTCAGCTTAGCAGTCCGTGATATTTCCAATTTAGTGAAACCAGAGGACATCGTTACCTCAGAACATCTAGTGACCCTCCTTGCAGTTGTTCCCAAGTATTCTCAGAAGGATTGGCTATCAAGCTATGAAACCTTGACTAACTATGTGGTATGATTGTTTTCCACACCATATATTTCTGCTTCAACTGTTACAGACACAAGGTTTTGCAGTAGGGTGGTGAAAGTTGATCAACTTTTCCATTGTATCTTTCAAAGTTTTGAAATAAAAGCTAGCACATAGTGATTTCTTATTTATTTCAGCCTTCTTGCTTCAGTCTTATTGATCATGATAAGTATTTTTCAGGTCCCTAGGTCCTCTAAGAAGTTATTTGAAGATAATGAATATGCACTTTACACTGTAACACTGTTTAATCGGGTCGCAGATAATTTTAGAACAAGTGCTCGTGAAAAGGGGTTCCAAGTGAGTATTTCTGTACATTATGTTTTGCTTTTTCCATGAAAGTTGCAAAACTAATTCTTCTTTATCATTTATGCAATATGAAATTACCATTCCTGAGAAATGTGTCTGGATTAGAGATGCATAAATTGCTCAAATATGCTAATTCCTTTCTTTTACTGAGCAAGGAGAAATCTTATAACTGACTTGTGTTTCTTTATTATGTCGTTCAGATTCGTGATTTCGAATACAGTTCTGAAGCACAAGAAAGTCGAAAGCAGGAGTTAGAAAAATTGGTGCAAGACCAAGAAAATTTAAGAAGCTCCCTTTTGCAGTGGTGCTATGCCAGTTATGGAGAGGTAATTTTTATTTTTAGTTTAATTTGTTTATCATATTTATAAAGTGAGGAAGATTATGATTTAAATCTGGAAAAATGGTTTTAGGGGGATTTATGAACTAATGGGAAGAAAAAAAATGTTCAAGGTCACCTGCCACTGGTCATGTAATAAAAATATAGCAACATTGTGGCACCATAGGTGATGTTGAGTGATCAGGTGGTATTAAAATTGGGTTTCTATCTAGTAATCTTAAGTTAAAGATGCCTGTTATGGCCTGATCTAAGTAGCTTCTATACATGATGCCCGCGTTTATTTCTCTGTGGCTCAGTTACAATTTTCCCGTAATTGTTCTTAGGGCTGGTTTTGCATTGATGTGCTTTTAAAAAAAACTGCTTCTGCTTTGCTGCGAGAATAAACAGCTGTGAAATGAAGTAGTGAAGTGTTTGGTAATCTATATTTGTAAAAGTGCTGTGAGTATAAAAAGCAGTGTCATTGCGTCTGGTAAACTTTTTTCTAGAAGTGTTGTGACTGTTATAATGACCAAAATGGGTATGATATTGAAAATGATATTTATGTTGTTTTACAATACATTTACCATTTTTTTTGAGATATATAGTCATATACCCATTCTTAGCACTAAAACTATAAATAAACCCTACACCATTTAATTTTTATAAACATACCCAAAAAAACACCCAAAAATGACAGCTGGACCTATTGAATTTAATTTTGATTATTAAATTACTTTGATGCCCTATTGAGTGTTTTGGGCTTTTTTTAATGAGATTGTGGGGTTGGGTTTGTTTTAAGAAACCAATGGCAGTTTTGTAATTTAAAAGAAGTTAAACGCCTTTTTGTTATGTTGTAAATAGGCTTTGGGTGTGTTTCTAAAGTCCATTTCATATAGGTTTTTTTTATTATAATTTAGGCTCCTATATTGGGTATATAGTGAATCTCCCTTTTTTTAATTTTTTTTATTTATAATCTTAATAGTAATATACAATTATTAAAATAAAAAACTTGAGAAGGAAGAAGGCCCCTTTTCTCCTTTTTTCTTTTCTCTCGACCCTTTTTCTCCATTCTTCTCTCTTTCTCTCGTCAGCCTCTTCTCTCTCGGCAAGGAATTAAATAAAGAACTAAAACAGTAAATAAAAATAAATAAATAAAACAGCCCTATTTTGGGAAAAGTGATATTCATTCAACAAACCAACAGCCCCAAGCACATCAACAACCCAGAAAGAAACCAAAAACTAAGCCAAACCAGAAAGAAACAAGAAACCAGAACCAACTATTTCCCTTTCAACTCACAACACAACCCAAATCGACAGACCCCACTTCATTTTCCTCTTCCTCTTGTGTTTTTTTCTCAGAACTCTTCCTCTTCCTCTTGCTCCCGTATCCCATGATTTCAAATAAATCAAGAAAGGGGGTCAGCCACGTGAATAATAATAATAAAAAAGGATGTGGGTGTTTAGGGTGGCTGCGGTAAGAACCCACAAGAAAATTGGTTCATGGAACCAAGAAAGAGAAAGAATTGAAAGAAAAAGTGAGAGAAGAGATGGAGTGGAAAGATGGGAAACTGGAGCTTCTGGAAAAGACTCTGAAGGAGGTGAAGGGTAAAGTGTGCCAATCTCTAAAATTTATAAGGGTATACTGGGTATTTGAAAAGTCCATTAATTGGAACTGGCTGCTTCTAAAAAAACAACTTTGAGAAGCAGCCTCCAACCTGCATCGAAAAACTGCTGTGCGGGACCTGAGATTTTTAAATAAGCGGATGTTGTTTTGGTTTACCAAACGCTTTGAGGCTTAAAATTTCTAAAATAAACGGCTTCTTTTGGCCACACTGCAATGTCAAACAGAGCCTTAGTCGAATTATTATTCTATTTATCATCATACATTGCGTTATTGTTGTATCATGCTTTCTCGTATTCTCTTATGACAGATTTTGGAAATTTCTTACTAAATGTACAAGTTTCTCGCATGCAGGTTTTCAGCTCCTGGATGCATTTTTGTGCTGTACGTGTCTTTGCAGAGAGTATTCTGAGATATGGTTTACCACCATCTTTCTTGGTAAGAAAGTTATCATTTTTGGTCCAAAATAATAGTGTTCTCATTTTCTGTCACTGGTTTACGACCAAACACTTTTGACTAACCAGTGGATATTGAAATGATATTTCAGGCATGTGTCTTAGCTCCGACTACAAAAAGTGAGAAGAAAGTACGTTCAATCCTTGAAGGGTTGTGCGATAGTGGTAACAGGCAAGTCCATAAGCTATACTTACGTTTGTGGCATAGTAAGGGGGAGCCTCAACTCTTTGATGACAATACTAGTAAAACTGAATTAACCAATTGTAGATGAAGATGACTTTAGGACGGTTGTTGACTATCCTAAGAGACCCTTTTATGTGATATGCTGTGCGCATTAAGCTTAGTTCTCTGACGTTGCTTCCTTGTGTTGCAATGCAGTACCTTCTGGAAAACTGACGATGAAGTTGGGGGAGCGATGGCTGGTCTAGGAGGCGATGCTGATGCACATCCATATGTTTCATTCACAATCAATCTTGTTTGAATGGGCGCAAGATTGTCCAGTCAGTTTCGCAATCTGAATTTGAGTATTCCTTTAGACAACAATAACAGGGGAGCGGGGTATTTGTATATTGGCATTGATAGCTATATTCTTTGTTTATTTACTTATAATTGCTGCTTTGAGATTTTCCGTGAGCGTTTATCGGGAGGTGAACTTTACTGGGATGCTCCTTCATCTCAAAACTTTTAGTAGTCTTTTGTTTTGGTACTGAAGACTTGTAGTTGTTTTTTTCTTTCTGTTTTACTCACCCATGATATCTGTAGAGCATGAAACCGACGTTCTTGATGTACCTCTTTTTTATAATTATTTGAAAGAAATTATGCAATAAATTTTTTGGGTTCTCCTCATCTTCGAATAATTTGGAGACCGCGTTTAGCTCAACATGAAGTCGGGATGTTATTTTATTTTATTGCTCACGGGGCAAAACAACGAGCATATATTTCTGGCTAATACAGAGTTACACTCAAGTATGCTAAATTTATATTTTTGTTGAGAAGGTGAGTTAATTTACCGAACCTTTCATTTAATCGAAGTAATGGAAACAACTCAAAGAACGGTATTATTATACTCCGAAAAGAACATTTTATATGTCTTAAGTAACTAATCATCACACGGAAGTTCTGATTACCTTTGGGCCAAAAGTGAAACATAAAAATTTATTAAACTTCAAACCCAGAAGATGGTCTGAGGGAAAGGAAAGAAAACCCAAAAACCTTGTTGCAATGCTATTATAGAAAACTACATATTTACAAATAAATAATAATAAAAAGATTGCAGGATGAAAACGAAATATATAGAATGCAAGATTGAAATAGAAAAAACTCGGAATAAGCCTGAAATGAAGAGTGTCAAAATGAAATAATAATCGTATACAGGCATAATTCCCATGCCTACCGATGGCCGAAGAACATATCCCATCTAACATTATTTTTTGTTGCCTAATCTTGACAGGGGGAAGACACCTCCTCACTCCTAACATCAAATTTCAAATTCATCTCTGATCTAACTAAAAATACGTCTTTTAAAGAGGATGAGAGCAAAACCATCCCCCGAAAATCAGATGAGTCAAAAAAGGAAAAACTGGGATACAGGTTCCGAATGCAAAAGAAATAAAAATCCCCACTTGCTTAGAAGCCATTTTAAGTAACTTCCGCAATCCTATGCTTATTTAATTCCTATGACAAACTTTCCAGTTTCAAAAAACAACAAAGTTGATGAGGTTGATCACCCAGCGGATTACACCTTAGCAAGCTCTGTGGCAGCAGAAACAGGAGGAGGGGCACCACCAGTTGTTGGCCTGAAAATACATACACCAATTCCATAAGATTTACCTAACAGTTAAATAAATCAACTAGCGACAAAGCAAACAGTTGCAGGAAGGAATGACTTACAGCCCGACAAAAACTTTGAATGCATCATAGATTCCCCACTGAGCTCCAGTAAGAGTTCCAATCATGACAATACGAAGAGGAAGCCCACGGGTAAAGAGACCGACCAACCCCATCTTCTTCACAGCCTGAACAAGGAGAAACCAAAACAGTCAAAACAAAACCATGAAGATGTACTACAAACATTATCCAGAAACCATAGCAGCACTCACATCACCAACTGTCGCTCCTTTGGCATTGTTGAGAAAAGACACAAGATTGTCAGCAGGATGAGAAACAATAGCACAGAAAACACCAGCCACGTATCCTCCAGCAAAACTCACACCAAGCTGCAAAGATTTGGAGCACTGGTCCTTAGGTCTAGGGATGGCATATTTATAGAGCATCTCCACAATGGTCTCGAAGGAGGCAAACTTCATCATTGTGTCTGCAAGAAAAAACAAGCAGATCAGTAATAGAGTAAAAGCAATTTTGTGCTCAAGTAAAGCATAGTATAGCTTCAAGATCATAAAACTGCAACGATAAAAATTCAGCACCTGTTAGGCTTGTTTCACAAAGAGCTTAAATGGGAAGTTCTAACAGAAAATGTGGCATATAATAGGCCTAGGCTGAGATAAACACCACATCAAGACCCACAAACAGCTTCGAGCAAGAAAGTTCTTTTCAAATAAATGATAACAGAAGACTACACGAACTCAACTTTGGGCTCAACTCCAAATAAAAAAAGTAAACGTGGATCATAAGATTAGATCTTAATTAACATGAGTAAAGCTATCTTCTTTTTTTGGGCCAGAAAATTCAAGGCATCTACTTAATGCTTGAAAAAACCACGAATGCAACAATCGGATCTCCTGACCCCAATAGATTACTCTCCAAACAATACTCGAACTCAGGAAAGCGTGGAAGTGGAAAAGATAAAGAACAAAATTCAAACTTCAGAGTAGTAAGCATGACCATAGAAATAGGAGATTCTCAAAACTACAGTTTTCAAGTTTGTGGTGACCAATTGCATCCTTAAAATTTCCACTTTCATTTTTAAAAAGGGTTCCCTGTATGGTGCATACAGTACCATGGAATACTCCTTTCAAATCATACAGAAATATGTTAAAGCTGTATTTCACACAAGTAGAAAATAAAGACAATCATGTGTTCCCATATTTCTTACTTACATGGAATTTGACGACCCCATAGAGGAACAATACCCTTGTACAACCTGCAATGGAAAATTGTTCACATGTTAATCTTAACAACAGCAGCTTGTTTGAAACCTAAAGGAACAACTCATGCATCCGTGTGTGTTGCAGAGCATAAATATTGAAATGATGATGCAGTAAAACATACCCAAGAGCACCTTCAGACTTGACAAACTTAGGAAGTCCATCTGACAAACCTCTAGCAAATCCAGGTTGAGTTTGTACCCGGACCTTGACTGCTTCAAAGGGGCAAAGTGCAACATCTGCAATTACCTCAGCAGATGCAGAACCAGCAAGGTAGATTAAGGTTTTGTACTTGGCAGAAAACTCTGGTCCAGCAAGGTCAGAGTAGTACTTCTTGAAAAATTCATAGAATCCAAACTTGCAGGCACCCTGAGCACTGTAACCGAGGAGGGTAGGCACCCATCCCCTGAAGAAGCCCTTGACGCCCTGCTCCTTGAGTAGAACTCCAAAACCAGATGATATGCTTTTGTACTTTGCTGGGTCAATCTAGAAACACAACAATTAATATCCACAGCGTCAATTAAATTATCTACATCCGCCACTGAGTGTAGTGAGAAATATGTTAGTTACAGATGTCTTTGATATGATAAACTAAATAAAGATTGAAGTTAACAGAACAAACATCTTACATTCAGAACATTACAAAGCGAAATAACTAAATCAAACGATCAATATAGAGTGGCAGGTTGAAAGCAATCAATACAGAATGAGAATGAAATTAATCAATCGAAGACATAGAAAATAGAAGGAAAAAAACAACGAATGGTTAGCGGGGAAAATCATGAGTGGAGAAATATTAATTAAATAAAAATCTCTAAAACTGTACAAATTCATTGAAAACTAGATCCAGTTCAGATCATGATGCAGTGGAATTAAGGACCGAGATATTCAAAATTAATAGCAAATACGTGAGGGCAAGAACCTGTGAACCATGGAAAACAAATCGCAGACCTAAGCAGACAAAGAACTTAGACAGAATATATGGATGAATACATAGACAAATGAAATGTTACGATCAAATACGAAGATAAAAGACCGCAGATCTAATCAGGTAGAATGAGTTGTTGTATGATAAGGATATCAAATCGAAATAAAATCAGAGATAGAAACTTGGAGATGAAAAGGCAAGGGATCTGAAGAAAAGAGGACCTGCATATTGCATTTGACGAGGTCAAGAGGAGTGACGGCCGTGTGAGTGAGACCACAGCTGAGGATCCCTCCAAAAGTACAGGCAGCGTAGAAGGAAGGCGAGTACATCTCGATCTTCTTGGAGGGCTCGCTCGGCGACGGAATGACCAGGCCCTTCCTGGCCGACGCTCCTTCGGCGTTCACATTGGAGGTGAAGCCGCTAGGCCTGGCGTGGAGCATCTTCTCCAGCGCTAGAGTTTTGGTGGACGATGATGAGCTGTAGAGGAAGCTAGGGATCAGAGACTCACGCGAGTGTTTTTCTGAGAGAGCCATGAGAGAAACAGGAAGGGGTATGATTTGTCTGAGATTTGGGAGTTAAGAAGGAAGAAGAGGAAGGACCTCGAGATTTAGAAGCAAGGGAGAGAGAGTGAGGGAAAGGAAATGAAATGAAAGAGAGAGGTTCTCTCCCAAACTCTCGCTGCCAGATGATTTGTTAGAAATGGGGCTCTCCTCTGCCTTTTGATTCCGGTTTTTGCTATGGTCCAGTGCTCAACCCTCGCATCAATTCTACGAGATGACCCCGTCGATTTCCTATAATTACGATTCTGCCACCATAGTGCTGCTGACCTTCTCGCTGGTCTCTCATTCTCACTGAGAACATTGGCCCGGCGGCCCATCAAAGTAGAGCTTTGGAAAATGTGTGACTCCCTTTTGAAATCTTTTTACCCTTTGTTTTGTATAAAATTATAAATTCTGCAAAAAAAAAAAAATGAAAAAATTAAATAAATTTACAAACGTGAATTATGCCAATTGATATGGTTAGCTTGTTCGCTTCTTTTGAGCTAAATTTTCCTCGTAATTAGAATTTAGAATAGTTTTCGCTTGTGAATATTCAAATTGTCAAAAAAGAAAGAAAGATGCATTCACCTAGAATTTTCGCTTGTGTATATTCAAAGAATTTTATTTATTATATATAGGTAAGTTGTTTGAACATAGCAATATATAAATGATATTTGTGTGTATGAGAAAGGAGTTGTGAACGGTACGAAGGTGGCTTTTGTTATGTCGTCCTAGTGTGAACAACGGTTATAGAAACAGACTCAACAATACCAAGTACCAACCCATGGGGAGCTGGAATCGTATATTCGTAGGCATATCTCGGGGAAATCAATACAGAATATGGTCTTTCAATTTGGCAATTTCCAAACGACTACTCAAATTTCCTTTTCCATGAAGAGAAATTTTCTTACTTACTTTCCTTTCTAGTTACACCTCCACATATACATATGGAAATTACAAAGTCAACAAAAGTCAGCATAAATAAACCATGTGAAGATTCGAATATGAAGATCAAATCATAATTTAATTTAGAAAAACCTCATTTATTTGCTTCCCGCTTCTAGCATTCATTTGCTTCCCTATCCTCATACTGTTTCTCTGAATCATGAGGTCGAAGGTGAAACTGCAAAATGAAACATCTCTTCAAGAACTAGAACCTTCATTGCCTTAATAAGCCATCTTCTCAAGCATGATCATTATGTCCCTGGTAGAACAGTGGTTTGCGGGTTCAGGACAAGAATCCTAGTTTACGTATATAATTTACTGTCTTCTGTTCATTGAAAAACATTTGCATCGCAAGTGGCATTCAGTCTCACCAAAACTGAAGCAAAATATATGAAGCCAATTCCTAATAAGCCCAACTTCTTTCAATCAATGCCTATGATAGCTGCAGTTCTGCATTGCTATGATTCTTAACATCTTATCAATGCCTAAGGTCGTTTATCAAGCCAATATTGCTCATCAATCCAAACTTTTAACAGAGCCATCACCAATAATCTCCGCAAGAACACAACCCATCCCTAAAGTGATGAAATCGCTTTGAATCTCTGACCACAATTTCCCGATTAACGACCTTGGAAAGCAACTTAATAACAGTGTGACAATCAGCGCATACTCGAAGATTCTTGATTATCTGAATTGTTGTACCAGGTACAGAATTCATGATTCCAAAGGCAACAGCCAACTTCTCACTATGAACTCTAAGAACCATTTCCTTCTCTTCCTCATCAACATCGTGTAGAACTGAAGTCACATTGGGTGTATAACCAACTTCTAGCAGCTTGATAGTTAGTTTTTCCAGATACTCATAAATCCTCTCATGTTGAGGATGCTCTCTATCTCCTACTAAAAATAAATGAACCTCACCTTTCAGTTCGACCAAACTGAATCCAGGAGGTTTAACCAACCCGCGATTCTTCATAAGTACTCTCATCCTCTCAACATCTTCCCATCTTCCGGCATCAGCATATATATTTGAAAGCAAGATGTAGTACCCGCAATTATTTGGGTCCAACTCGAACAGTTTTCTAGCAGAAATCTCTGCAAACATCACATTTTTGTGTATCCTACAAGCCCCAAGAAAGGAACCCCATACTACACAGTCTGGTCTCACCCTCATTCCCTTTATTAAATCATAAGCCTTGTTAAGATCACCCGAACGCCCAAGAAGATCAACCATGCACCCATAGTGCTCAATCCCAGGTTCTACACCAAACTTGTGGTTCATGGTATTAAACCAATACCAGCCTTCTTTTAATAGACCTGCATGACTGCAAGCATTTAGAAGCGACACAAATGTTATATAATTTGGTTTGATGCCATCCCTTATCATGTTGTAGAAGAGTTCCAAAGCTTCTTTGGCACGGCCATGCATTCCATAACCTGCAACCATGGCAGTCCATGTCTTGACATTCTTCTCCTTTGTGAACTCAAATGCCTTCCTTGCCATGTCAACTTTTCCACATTTGCAATACATGTCGATAATAGAGGTAGACACTATCACATTCTCTTCCAAGCCCATTTTTAGAACCTATACAAAAAAGACCGAAGATGGCAGAGTCACTTAACTTTTTCTTTCCATTTGTAACACAATAAACTGTAACAAACCAAAGCTGTAACACACATGATGATTAGTTGAGAGGTTGCAGTAATACCTTATTATTCTACAGAACGCAAAATTATGGGCTTGACAGTAATTCAAATACCTGATCATGTATAGACTTCCCAACCAGCAGAGGGCCAGAATGTGCACAAGCTATTAAGAGAGCTGACAACGTCACCGCATTGTAGTGGAAGTCACCATCCTCTACCATGCCATTGAAGACTTGCAATGCCTCAGAAGATAATCCACTTTGTGCATAGGTTGCGATCATGGAGTTCCAAGAAACCAAGTCCTTTTGCGACATGCCATCAAACACCTTCCTAGACAGACTGGGATCGCCACATTTGGCGTATGCATCCATCAAAGTATTCCCAACACATAAATCCTCATCAAAACCCTTCTTCACCACCAACCCATGAACACATTGTGTAAGTTCCTTCCTGGGTACACGAGAACAGGCCGACAAAACAGAAACCACAACAACAGGGTCTAAAGAAACATCCTCATTGTCAATTTCCTCAATCAACAAGTCCTTAAAGAGAGACAAGGCTTGGTGGGCATGGTCGTTTTGGACACAGCCGGTGATCATGGAGGTCCAAGAAACCACATTTCTGTGAGGAATTAGATCGAACAGTGTCCAGGCATCGGATAATAGGCCGCACCTGGAGTACATATCAATGAGAGCAGAGGAGACAAAAAGGTCGGACTCAAATCCGAAGACCAAAGCCTGCTGGTGAGCTTGCTTGCCGGAGTGAAGATCGAGCAAAGCTGAGCAGGATTTGATGGCGCAAGGGAAGGAGGAGCGGGTTGGTCTGAGAGAGAGTTTGCGCATGGAGGAAAATGCTCGGAGGGCCTCGACAGAATCACCGCTCCGAGCCAAGTCGGCAATGACTGAGTTCCAGGAAGAGACATCGTTTTTGTCCACGTATTTGCTGAACCAGGTAGTGAGGTTGGGGTTGACTACTGAAACTGAATACGGCCGTCTGTTGATGAGAAAAAAACTCGATTTGAAATCTTCATTCATTCATTCATATGCATTCATTTTTGTTGGTGCTTTTGATTCCGCTAAGCAAGCAAACAAGTTGAATGTGGGATGTTGTTTGCCAAGCAACTCTCTATCCTTCCATTCTCTTGGCTTAAGTTGGTAAGTTTCAAAAGCGTATTATATGACTCTATGTGAAGAAGAGTGCGTTTACTTATATTTCTTTTGATGTTCTAAACTTTGTCTTGAATCAACTTATCAAGAAATTCAAGTTTTCATAAGCCACGTATTAATTAATAATTTATTATTTATTGTAACCTCAGATGAGGCGGCCGAACTGAACTGGAGAAAGTAGTTTGTGGATAACTTAGAAAAGAAACCAAAATCATCACAAGCCAACACACAGCAGGTGCAAATTATTATTACAAGCCCTTGATCTGCTTCTGAAATCCTATCCTATCGTAGCTAATAACAAACAGCTCTGGCATTAATTGTACAAGTCGATGGAGTACGTAGTAGTTAAGCAAGATTTAGAAACAAAGTAGAAAGGGCTGCAGCATATATTGCAACAAGAGCACACCCACGGTCGAAGTCGGCGGATGAATTAACCTTCCCCACAAACTCACCTGAGCTGGGCACTGCCACTGCCACTGGTCCAAATGCCTCAGAAGTAGGAGAAGTAGGGAAAAAGGATGACATGTTGTTGTTGGGTGCTTTTCCATATGGTAAAACGGCTGGAGAAGCTGAAATGGTTGGCGTTGGCACACAATGCCTAAAACTAGCAAAGAGGATGGCTATGCCTAAAACTGCACACAATTTCTTCATAGGAGGAGCCATGGCTAGCATTCTCTGAGAGATTTTAGCTCAACTGGACTGAACTGGACTGAACTGGACTGGGGCTTCAAGCCTTCAATTCAATATATATAGTATTAGCAAGATAAGAGAGACTGGGAATTGGGGTGTCTCTGTCTCTCTGTCTGTCTGTGTGACCTACTGTTTGCTGGTGCAGTGAAGTCACGAGATGGACAGTGGCAGTTTTAATTGCTGCTCTCTTACTCTTACCCTCCTCCTTTATTCTTATTTATTGGAACCTTTTTGTTTATCGTCATTCATCTCTCTGTCTGCCTGTCTGTCTGTCGGTATGGTTATGGTAATATATTAAAAACTAACACAGATTCTATGCTGTCTTAACATTTGTTCGGTAAGTAATTAGAGACCTCATGCTATACACGTGTTTGTGCTTCATACTGTATTTGTATTTGTATTTGTATTTGTATTATGAATCAAATAAGATAGTCAAATCAGGAAGAAGATGATAAATCATATGAAAATGCAAAAATCTATAAGTTCTGAAATAAGGAAGCAGCTACTAGCTAGCTTAGCTAGGCTTCTTCTTCTCACTCAGGCTCAGCTCTTAAATTTTTGGCAATGCGATCCGATCCGATCCGATCCGCATCTTTCGGCTGCCTTCCGTAATCGCATCATCCCATGTGAGTTGTGACCCACCTCTCTTGTCTCCTACTACTTTGTGAGTTTTTGCCATTGGCGAAGACTAATAAATAAATTAATAAGAGAAGAAAATTACAACACGAATCCCGATTCCCAAGTACAACCCAGTCCTACGCTGGAGACAAGACTAGCAATCGAGATAGAAGCACTGTGCAATGGCTTCTTTCTTTTTTTCTTTTCTCTAATATTGGTCTTACAATTTTTGGCATAAAGAATATTTTTTAAAAATATTGAAACGCCAAAGAATCTTCCATAAGAAAAAAACAGAGAAGAGAAAGGAATTCAAGAGCTATTCAACAAGTACCGTATATTATATATATGATCTGAATATGATGATGCATTACATAACATGCATGAAACCAGCATAGTGTTAGTGGTCAGTGGTGAATCATGAGATTGTTCCAAATGAGAATGAATGAATAATACGTATATATAGCATGGATGGATGCATCAACTCATTTAAGTTTCTGAATTGTGAAAGAGCTTAATTTCTTCCACATACAGGAAATACATGATTTTCACACCATCTCCTGCAAAAGCTACAAATAAAAAGAATCACCCAATACAAGGATCCAACTCCAACCACAATGCTTTCTTCTTTGGAGTTGTTAATGTTGAAATAAATTTAGCAAATGTTACAACAAATGGCGGGGGGGTGGGGGTGGGTATATTGCAAATTTATGCAAAATCGTGTTTCCTGACATTCTGATGATGCCGGGTTTCCCATGAGTCGATATAATGTAAGGATCGATTCGATACTCCAAAACTCTAACATAACTACATAAGCCTGAGGTGTGCAGTATCATTCAACCTTTTTATCTGCCAACCTGTTCTCCATGAATGCTGCAAAACTGTCACCGAGGAATCCTCTATGCAAATCTTATGTGACATTAATGGGCTACATCCAAGGATGCCTGTGAGGAGACACTTGATTGGCACTGCATGACTGAAAATGCCAATACAAGACACAGAAGAGGAGCTCCTGCCACTTAAATCATGTGGGGAACTTTGGTGATTGACTTCCCGAGGGGAAATCTCATCCTCAACCTCCTGATCTCCGGTTGTAGTCACCACTTGTAGCCGGCTCTTACCAGATTTTTTCCTTAAGAGCCCCTGCCGCTGCCTGTGAAGCAGATCCCATTGAGGTGGTGGGAGAGAAGACCCTTCTCGGTCATGAATTGAGTTGGTTAAAACATGAGAATTATGGTGTGAAAATCCTTGGCTCTCATTCTGATTGTGTGACGAGAAAGAGAAGTATGCTCTTAACTTTTCAGTAAGCCCCAGAACTGTCCCATTTAAAAATTGAACCATTTGAAATTCCACCTGCCTAAGTGACTCTCCTGATGGTGCAGAGAAATCAGGCTGAACCCTGTCAATGAAGCTCAAAAGTTCAGCTGTGTATATTTCTGACCGGGGGCACCCCTCCCAATCCCCCTGACTCATCTCTGCAAGTGCATCCGACGCTTGTATCTGTTCCACTGGAAAGTTCATTTCCTGCATGATTTTAACTACTTAGATGTATGCAAACAGATCTTAAATACCAAAGTTCTACCATAAACAAATCACATAACATATATCTTGCATTATCTTTTGGTCAAAACAGTCAAGGACAACATTGATTCTGCCAAAATGACTCTGATTCAAATTATTTATCCATCTCCTACTCTTCCTTGTTGAATCTGAGAAACATAGTTCTGAATACATTACTTGGACTCATGAAGCCATGTACCAGGAAGCTTTAGAAGCCATTTCTTAGAAGGAAGGAGCCATAACTGTGAAAGATTCCACACTAGTCATGCGACCGAGCCTATGAGGACAGCAACAGTAGTGATGCATATTAGCATTTATAGCTTCGTTACACTCATGAGGCAAAAACTTGGCTCGAAGAAGCTTTTGATCCCGACTATGAGTAGTCTTTATATTTACCATTTAGAACCATCGATGGCAATATCTCCCAAATTATAGGCTAGCATTATTCCCTTGCAGCTTTCAACCATGTTATTATCCTGCTTCTTATCTTGGAATAGTGACATAGCTTGGTTGAATGGGGATTGAATTAAATTTTGGGATGGCAAGGGTGCACTTATGTTGGCCAGGGATTTTCATCAAACACAATCAGCAGCATACTACTAAAAAATAAGCTGCTTGATCATTTTAAGACAGTTCATCTAGGTTGTTTTATATAGCATTACAGATAGGCTTCAAAACAGATCATCTTCAGCGCATGATCTTCATCTAGGTTGTTTTATTACATATCATTTTATCACGGTTAATAATCCCTATAGGGCTCTCCCTTTCCTCCACATGAAAACCATCATTAAGAAAGAGACACAGAAGAATTGAAGAGAGTACAACTCAATTTGGGAAAAGAAAATAGACCCTTCAAAAATCCTCGTGGCGTGCATGTAAGGTATGCTCAATTCTATAAAGTCTTGAAATGGTAAATTCAGAATGCACATATTAGCATTTTGAAATACATATGCTGGAGGAGATTGAATTGTCCAACCAAAAGAATATATTGATGGACTGGTAATCAATAGTAATAACCGGGAGTGATTTAGCGACTAATGAATACAACCAGAGAGAATAAGAGTCACAAGGAAAACGCATCTTGTGGCAGCCAGCTAAATGGAAACACTTGATCCAAGTAACAGAATCAGAACATTGTGCATAATTCGGATGCATGATCAAAATTCTAAACTAGTAAGCAAGATAAATATACTCATCAATCTCCAATGCATAATCAGAATTCTAAACTACTAAGCTGCTCAAGGCTCAAGGAAGACTGATTGAAACAAGTTGAATTGAAAAATACAAAAGTACCTGACAGACGGAAACCGCCATTGAGCGCGCACGATCCAAAGGGGAGGTGTAAACGGCATTGAAGCTGACCCTCTGGGAATTCAAGAACACCGCCAAGGCCCTGGCTTGCCGCTTCCCATTGGGGGTCAAAGCTGCCTGAGGGCAGCGGCCGCCCACCAAATCGGGCCGCAAATTCAACTCGCACTCGCCGTGACTAATCAAAAAGACCTCCGTCATGAAGCGGTCGTCCTCCATGGCATTGGAACTCAAGGAGAAGCTTCGGGAGAAGCCCTGAGGCGGCGGCAGAAGAGGCGGAGGAGGAGCGAGGAGGTTGTAAGGGTCCCAGACCTTGATGGAGGGGCCGAGGCGCGGGGTGCCCAATGAGGAGAGCTGAGGCGAGAGCGGCGATGCGGATGCGTGGCAAAGCATCTCGGGTTCTTGTTCTAGAACCTTCTTGATCAAATCCTTGTCCAGTTCACTTCTAATGGGCTCACCAATATCGTTCTCTTCTCCTTCCTCTTCTTCTTCTTCTTCTTCTTGGTCTTCTTCGCTCTCTTCGACCACTTGTACGGACTGGGTGGCACCCATTAATTTAGGTTGTAGGATGAGATTAGAGAGAAGTCAAAAGCAGAAGGTAGCAGTAGTGATCCCGTGTATTGACGAGCAATGGCAGAATCCTGCTTCAAACGTAGGAAACTAAATCTACAAAGAGTGAGATATGAGAGAGAGGGAGATAAAGGTAAGATCTTTTTCCGTTTTTTGTTATTTTAATTTTGTGACAAAGAAAAGGTGAGATCTGGACGCAGTAATTTGTGAAAATAAAGCTGGTGATGTATTGTATTGTATTGTATTGTATAATTTATAAATAAATAAAAGAAATGAATGAGATGGTTTGGCTGGAGGCAGCTGGCTGGGTGTGGGTGAGACCGTGAGAGTGAAAGAGAGATCCAATCCAATGGAAGACCGAGAGAGAGAGAGATTGGTGTAGCCTGTAGTTTGTAGATCTGCTTGCTTCTCGTGTCGTTTGAGTTTGACTTGTGATATATCCCTCCCTGCTTCCCTCCCTCTATATCTTCGATACTTCCATGTCCATATATCGATTGATTTGAAAGTCCGCAAGGCGAGCTATCATCCACCACCTATCCTCCTCCTCCTCCTCTTCCTCCTAATCAACTAACTGCTTCTCCTTCTTTCTTTAGTCTCCCTTCCTTCCTTTCCTTCGCAGTTGTTCGTACTAGTAAATCAAACATTTCAGGCAAATAAAATTATCCCTAAAATTGAAAAGAAAAATAAAAAAATAAGTCAAGTTATTACTAACTATCAATCAATCACGTTAAACTGTTCAAGTATGATCGAAAAACCTTTAACCAACAAAACAAACACGTATGATCTGATCACACTAAGCTACGACGTCGTACTACTCCTTTGGAACACCCGGGTCCCTGGCTGGCAAGTAACAATACAACGATCTGTCTCTCTCATAATAATCTCAACTCATTTTTTATTAAGTTTCCGTAAATAATTTGGAAAGAAAATATAAAATAAAAAAATAAAAAAGTTTTGGTAAATAAAAAATGAAGAGAGCTTAGGCCCAGTCCACGGTAGGCCCGTCTATTGTTATCTTTCTTTGGGATTCGAAAGGGAAGGAAGGCACTAACCAACAAACAACAGTCCAATCCAATCCAATCCAATCCAAGGGACTTGATGAATGATGATGGTGGGCGCCAGGGCGCGAGACTGGTATTCGTTGGACTTGGACTAGTAAATATTCACCAAAACATCGCAACAGTGTTGAACTAGTTGATTGATTATAACTTATATGGGATACCCTTTTGTTAACGGGAAATGTTTAATGAGGACAGTGGGGCTAAGAAAAGAAGAAGATGATGAAGGCAGGGCCAGAAAAGAATAATTAATTTGTTGATTAACAGACAACAAGTATGTGATCCCGCACTTTTGAGCCTATAGGTTCATTGAGTTGTCTCATGTTTGTCTCCACAATCTCAATAATGTGACAATTTTAGACTTAATTATTATTATTAACCCAGTATAAATATACCTAACAATTACACCAACACTTGCAATAACATGACAATCCTATCCTATTCCTAGCATAGGTAGTCTTTTTTAAAAGTACGTAGCTAGCTTTCCTTTTAATTAATTGGGTTTTGAAGGATAATGAGATTCAATTCAAAAATAAACTTGGTCGGTCCAAAAGAATAACTTGCGTGCGAATCCATATCTTCATCATATTCTCTGCACCATATTTTACTACGAGCGAGCTCTGTTTCTAGCTACTTTCTTTCTTTTAAGAATTTAAATCAAAATTGTATGTGTCTCCCTTCCATCACTCACATCGCTCTCATATTCAATTAAAATTATGCAGAAGAAAGGAACTAACGGGAACTAAAATAAATGTAGCTACTTTCGCATACAGCGCAGTTGATGTTTGAAATTTTGAATTCGCCAGCTTTCAATTGCAAAGCCAGCAGTTTTAATGGTCTCTCACTTGTTAGTTGATAACCTTAAACTTTTATTGCAATTAATTAATACCGGAGCTACCTCCCGTTCTCTCCAACGAAAATAATTTGAATGGTGAAAAGAATTTAATATAAAGAGCCAATCAAGGTTGATTCAATTGGTAAGGTCCTTGGACTGTGTGTGGTCCCATCAAAGTATTCGAGTCTCGTTATCAATAGTCCTTATTGGTGCGTGATCTATAATTTCCTACATAAATCCATACCCGTGGCAACTGACAATTGGGTGCCACGCATAAGTTCTTCCGGCTCAAGGTTGTGGGTATGCTCTGATTCTGGTGATGAAAGTAGTCAATGTCTCCCTAAACTTTTCTTTATAAAAAAATAGAAGAAGAAGAAGAAGAAGAATTAATATAAAGAAAAAATTGGATTTGAGAAAGATTTAGAAAAGGACTTGGAAAGCACCATATGCTACATATATTTTCAAATTTTCGAGGAAAAATTATAGAATACTATAGTATTCTAGTCATATGGTACATCTTGTATACGTGTTACAATATGAGTGGACAACATAAATTATTTATTTTTCTCTTTTAAAGAATATTATAATATGTAGCCGTATTACCGTGGTATTCTAAGTGTAGTTTTAAAATCTTTGGACTATTTTAATAATTGGCGCATTTGTAAACATTCCATATAAAATTACAAATATGTAATTGCACTTAGTAGTGCCCGGCAGGGCGCGGTAAGTAGCCAAAAAATATTGAGATACTTCCCTAGAAGCCCCTTTTGAAAAACGATTACTTATTAGCTTCATCTTTCCTGTTTTCATAATTAAGGATCAATAAATATATATGACAGGTCACAGATGTTATAAACCATCTTCATTCAACTTGGCTCTCCTTCTTCTCCCTCTCCCTCTCTCTCTCTCTCTGTGCATGAAAATGCGTGTGCACAACGACAACTGCAATTCACTTTTTCTTCCCCTCCAATAAAATTCTGGGCCTTTTTGGTAGTTTGAGTAGTGCTGCTGCCACTGAGTTTGAGAATTAAGATCATCAAGTACATACATCTTTCTCTTGCAGATATCGGAGTTCAGATCTTCGCCGTTGATATGCTCAGATCTCTAGCTAGGTCAGTTTACACCTGAGCCTTGGGCTCTTACTATTGCTTCATTCTTGATTATATTATATATCTGTTCTGTATGTTAAACTTTGTTGTCTGATCATAGTGAAATATATAATTCAGTTCCTATATATATATATATACACATGATTTATGCCAAAACCTGGAAATTTATGGGCTGACAATTTACGGAAACTGAACTAAGGGTTATTCGGGTGGATTTCTTTTCCCGCAGAGAGTTTAAGCTGAACAGCTGCAATGATTTTCTCTTGAAGCGAACGAGACTTTTTTCAACAAGAGCTGGTGGTAGCCATGGAAGGTATTTTATTTATCTGCCTCATCTCATCATACATATATATATATATAGCTGCAGCTTTGGTTTATATTATACATACCTGAATATGGATGCGATGGTGTCCTGGCTAGCTGCAGATTCAAAGTTATTAATTCTTGTTTCTCCTCGATAATATCTCTAATAAATCTCCTACCTCCCCTTCCACTGTGTCAATTGTCACTCAGTATTTGCGCCATTCATTTCATTTCATACTGTCTGTTTTTTGTGTTCATTTAGTCATTATTTGCGCCATTCATATTGTCTGCTGCACTGCATAGTGCTGTGACAGCTGTTTGCATTCAAATTAACGAAAAAGAAAAGAAGTTGAATTTTCAAGTAATTTCCCGTTCTGATAAATTAAGAGCATTCATAATGGACGCCGTAAATCACCTCCTTAAATAATTAAATTTTACATAACATAGAATTATCCTGCGATTAAATTTTATTCCGTAGCAATTAATTTAGGCATATTATATGCTGTCTGTCTTGAATTCAATGTGATAGTTTTAAGGTCAATGACTCAAATTATACATAGTTTAATCAATTAACATGGTGATGGTGTTGACAAGACAACGATGTTTAAGGTTTAACAGTGAGTGCAGCACATGCAATGTTTGTCAAGGCCATGGTAGATCTAACAAAACAACGCATATGACTTGTTTTTTCAACTTCAATTATAATTGGGCATCAAATTCAAATATTTGAAGTCAGCAAGTAACCGATACTATGCAAGATTTCTTAAAACGCCTTCATATTAGTACCATCAAAATTGCTTCATTTCCATTTCACTGTAGAATATTAATGATTAGGTTAGCCTTTTCACATTCACTTTATATCTTCAATGCGGGCGGTCTTGTTTTTCGGTGATTTCTTGAGGAATTTTGATCCACAGCACATCATCATTTCATTTGGCATCACCTTTTTCCCATCTGCAATATACCTCTTTTTTCAAAGGACATGACTAATTTTGTCTTTTCATTGCATTTTATGCATCATATTTTCTTATAGTTCCATCATTAACATGTGTTTTTAATAGGTCATTTCATGAGTCCGTACCCTTGTACCTAAGTTTGAATTTCTCTCCCCTCTTATAAATTAGATTACTTTGAGATATTTTAAAATATCACTTCCATTTATAAATAAAAAAACACATGTTTTCGTTCCATTAAAAGAAGCAGGCTAGAAGGCAAGGTAGCCCTAATAACAGGGTCGGCAAGTGGGCTTGGGAAGGCCACGGCCCACGAGTTCATCCAACAAGGGGCGCACGTGATCATTGCAGACACAGATTCTGAGCTGGGTCAACAAGTCGCCAAAGAGCTGGGGCCAGCAGCCCACTTTGTCCAATGCGACGTCTCAGTGGAGTCCCAAATAGCAGAAGCTGTAGAAACCGCCGTGGCCCGGCATGGGAAACTTGACATAATGTACAACAACGCGGGCATAACAGGACCAGCGTTCCCGCCCAGCATCGCCGACCTCGACCTCGAGGAGTTTGACCGCGTGATGCGGGTCAACGTGCGTGGTGCGGTGGCAGGGATGAAGCATGCGGCTCGAGTGATGGTACCTGCGGGCGCAGGGTCCATACTGTGCACATCAAGCATAAGTGGGATCCTTGGCGGGCTGGGGCCCCACCCCTACTCGGTATCGAAATTTACAATACCGGGGCTGGTGAAGTCGGTGGCGAGCGAGCTGTGCCGAAGTGGGGTGCGAGTGAACTGCATATCGCCGGGTCCGATTCCGACGGAGATGTCGGTGCGGGAGATAGGGCAGTTTTATCCGGGTGCGACGCGGGAGCAGGTGATAGAGATTGTGAATGGGGTTGGGGAGCTGAAGGGTGCAAAGTGTGAGGAAAAAGATGTGGCGCAAGCGGCGGTGTATCTGGCGTCGGATGAAGCAAAGTATGTGACGGGTCATAACCTAGTGGTGGATGGAGGCTTTACCTGCTTCAAAACTCTTAGCTTCCCTCCTCCGGATCAATTTGTGTGACTGCTTTATGTAACAAGTAATAGGGTATATTATCACCTTTCTTTTACCAATATTAAAGTCAAGTTGTGTGTGACAGTGTGTGCGTGCCTATAGACTCGATCGTCGTCGTTTAGGAAGAGGGCCACCACCATATATGGCACATCAACTACAGATAACATCCAATATATATCCAAATAATAACACCAGTGGAGTGGTCCCTGCTCACAGTTTGTAGTGGTTAGTGTTCTAGCTGTCATGTTTGATGGACCCGCCCGGCACTGGCAGCTCAGCTTCCTTTCCTTAGTTATTAGTATTGTTTCAAAAATGAAAATGAAGCACCGCCTTTGGCTTCCGTGGGGTGGTGGTGTGGGTCATATTGAAATTGAAATGTTCAAATTAAACTCGCAAATTAATTTGCTTGACAAGCACATTGTAATTTGTACGTACGTAAACCGTTTGGATCCAGAGGGTCTTTTCACTCTCCTCCACATGCATGTCGGGCAAACCGCCAAGTTCAAATTTACTTGACAGACAGATACCTTTTTATTTTTTATTTCACTGTTTTTTTTTGCAAGAAATAATTAAAATGAAATCGTGGGAATTTGGGAATTGCATTGCACGGTGGATGGTGGTGGATAGTGGATGGTGGATGGATCTGAATCTGAAACTGAATGAATGGTGAGTTGCATGCATGCCACGTATGTAGGCAAGTTATCCACACAAGATTAGACTAGACTAGACTGAAAAACTAAAAGACTAGTCTGCTGATCACGTGAAGTGAGAGGAATCGTAGATTTTATTGTGGTCGTTGTGGTTCTTGTGACGGAGGGCTCGAGTCACTCTTCCTTTCCATCGTAAAATAAGAAGAAGATGAGAGTCAAAGAATCAATCAAGAGAGGACTCTTGTTCTAAATTCCGGTGGGCCACGCAATCAAGAGAACACTTTCTTAATTATCATAGCCCTAATAATAATATCAAAATGTGCATGCATGATGCATGATATGCATGGGCATGGCTTGGATCGATATACACAAGTTTCAAAGTGTAGATATGATATAGGAGCGGTGGTGAATCGAGAGAAAGCAATCACGAGAAACTTGGGGTTCCTTTTGGAAAATTTATTCCAATTAAAACTGGTCTTCTGCTTTTATGTTTTTCAACTTTGAATTGCAATTTGCATGGCGCAAAAGCCACACCAATTCTTCTACACATTTCGCATTTGTGCCAGGCTGCCACCTGCCGCGCTACACTACACCAACACCACTGCAGGTTATGACCACGTAAACCTATTTATATTCACATCTTCCCCCACACACTGTGATACAAGTACATACGGTGTATTATCGAGAAGCAGCCAGGACGGCGAGGCTTGGATTAGTCAATAATTAAAACGAACAGAAGAGCGCCATCTTTCTCTTTACTTCCCTTTTCACAAAAGCCCAAAAAAGGCACAGAACACAAACAAGCAATTGTTGTTGATTCTTCAAATTTCAACTAGTACACGTGATCAACTATACTTTTGACTATTCAATTCCAAACTATAGTATGCAATTTACAAATAGGGTTTACCAAAATTGTTGGAACTTGTTTTAAATCTAATAATGAAGCATGTATTTTAACCACCAAATGAATTCTTCACCAACACTTCTCTTGTGATTTATATATAGGTATAGCTAAGCTAAGCTAGATTGGGTTTACTCTGTCTTTGCTAATTGGGTAATTTACATTTCAAATTGGAAGATGAACAGATGTCGGTTTGGGTTGGGCTTTTCTTGAGGGCTCTGGTAACCTAAGTTAACCGCATGACTGAGAGTCTGAAAGTGCTCTACTTGTGAAAATGTTTTGAGATTCATGTATATTAAATTACAGTTCCGTTAATTGAGTCTAAACCAGTGGAAAATGACTTAGATTTGCATACCAAATGTCTTATGTTCGAACCCTCATAGCATCTTAGGTGTGTGTGTAATAAATTCCCCTCTCTTTTAGTATAGATTGTCGCTTGTATTAAAAAAACATGTACAGTTCTACCTTTTGTCTTCTTTTGAACAGTGCTACTTCTTAAAAAAAAAATCACATGTATTTGGTGTATTTCCTTATGTATTTCCTCCATTCACCTATACAAATTTTAGCTACTTTTTGAATAAAGGAAAAAAGGTCAAGCTTATAATAACCTACCTATTTTTAAGTGTTATGAGTAAATTTTGTGTGTTTTGTCAGGCATCAATATAAATAATGGAGTCCCTTAAATATATTCCAAACAAAATCCAAGCCAACAAAGCAGCGAGCGCATAATAGATAAGCACACAGCGGTCTATATTCATTTTCACCTCCTGCGCCCTGCCTGAGAGTCGCGACAAGTCTAGTACAAAACTTAACGTTCAATCTTGAAGATTTCCCAGCAAAAAAAACAAAGAAACAAATAAAAAACATTGGGAATCTGTTTGCCTTCGTTTATTCTAAAGAATGATGCTCTCAGTCTTTGTCTGAGCAAAAGTTCCTACCCTTTTCTTAGTTTTCTATCAAACCTCTGTAACTGAGCCCCGCCCTTTTTGTATCTCTGGGGCAACTTACAATACATTATTTTAGAAAAAGAGGGAAAGGAAAGCTGAAAACAAAAACAGTCATGCTACCGATGTCCGGCAGCGCCGTTTGGATGGGCGGAGACGAAGATGACGCGGCGTCTTGGACCAGAAGCAGCAGCAACAACAACAACAACAATAATAACGAGGGAGAGCCCAAAAACGAGCAACAGTCGAGCTTGGGTGCTTCTTTTTCCAACTTCAAATCGATGTTGGAAGGTGACTGGTACATGAACAATGTTCTCAACCCAACTCATCACCAAGACCTCCATTCCCTCCCTAACCACCGCCAGCCAGATATCAGAGACATTGCCTGCTTCTCTGAAAACACACTTATCCTGCAACCAATGGACTCCTCCGCTTCCTGTTCTCCCTCTCAGGTCTTCTCTCTCGACCCTTCACCGCCACAACACTTGTTCCCCACCAAATCCTGCTTCTCTTCTCTCCTCAACGTCATCTCCACCAACCCTTTTGACAATGGCTTCGATTTGGGCTGCGACAGTGGCTTTCTCAGCTCCTTCCAGGGAAATCAACCTTCCAATTCCTCTGCTTTGATGGGTTTCACGGCCTTCAATTCTCAGTCTCAGATAGGTACTCCCGAACTGAGTTCGAGCGCCGAGTTCCCAACCACTCGGTTGCTGCCAGCGCCCAACAACGACACTGAGCTCGATGGCGACTTTAGCCTTACTAGCTTCCATGGCTTCGATGGCTCTGGGGGTGGTCAGCTACTCAACAGGGCTAAGCCACTGAGACCCCTTCACGTATTCCCTCCCGTGGGTGCTCATCCCACTCTCTTTCAGAAGCGAGCGGCGCTTCGTCAAAACTCCGGCGGTGACGGGACCGATAAATTGGGGAATTTGGAGATTTCGGGGCCCAGATACGGAGGAGTTTTGGAAAGTTTGGAGAGGAAGAGGAAGAAGAACGTGGAGGGTGAAATGGAGGAAGGGAGTATGGATGTGTCTGGTTTGAATTATGACTCGGATGAGTTTAATGAGTATAGTCAAGTGGAGGAGAATGTGAAGAATGTGAAGAATGCTGGAAGCAATTCTAACGCCAACAGCACAGTCACTGGTATTGACGGAGACCGCAAGGGCAAGAAGAAGGGTTTACCGGCGAAAAATCTGATGGCGGAGAGGCGGCGGAGGAAGAAGCTCAATGATAGGCTCTACATGCTTAGGTCTGTTGTACCCAAGATAAGCAAGGTAGGACCTTGGTTGTCCCTTAATTTATTTTTGCCTTGTTCCTTCTTTGTGCTTTCTTTTCTGCTATCGTCCTTTTAATTTTACTTTTGGCTTGAGATTCATGCACCTGGTTCCCGTGAGTTCCTTGTTCTATCATTTTTATTTGAAGTGGCCGTTTAAAAGGCTTTGAGGATAATCTTAATTGTTCTTTAGATGGTTCAGAAATGATTGGATGTGATATTGTGCACATTTCTTTTTTTAGTGGAAGAGCTATGAGATGTGCTCTCTTTTAGCAGATTTCTTTTTCTTTTTACCTCTCTTTGCCTGAAAACTGCAAGAAATCTTGATGGTGAACAACATGTTAGAGGTTTACATAAGATAGAAGGAATGAACTATTTGTCAACACGGTCTTGAAGAAAGTTAAGATTTTGGTACATGTATATGGCAGATTCAGTGGCTCTGGATATTTTATTTCCCCTGGAACAAGGACAATTCTAGAGTGCCTTAGTTGAGGCCATTGTTTGTGGGCTTCAAGTTCCTTTTTGTGATTTATGGCTTCTCTATTGTCAGTCAGAATACCTGCTGATTATTCTGTCATGTATGCAGATGGATAGGGCGTCCATATTAGGGGATGCAATTGATTATTTGAAAGAGCTTCTACAAAGGATTAATGACCTCCATAACGAGCTGGAGTCTGCCCCACCTGGTTCCTTGTTGCCACCTTCATCATGCTTTCAACCATTGACACCCACTCCACCCACCCTTCCCTGCCGTGTCAAAGAAGAGCTCAGCCCAAGCTCCTTTCCAAGCCCCAAAGGTCAATCTGCAAAGGTAAATTTTGTTCACCTGATTTAATAGTTTGACGCATGTACACTTGCAGTGTGATTCCGAACTCCTAAATACACTTCAATTGTCAAAGCATAATGCAATGTAGGTTTCTTCTTTGCTTGGTACCTCATGCAAAACTAATACATTTCTGTAAAAGGTATGTAATGTATGATTAAGAAGTTTGCTTTAAGTTATAACTTTTGGGCCACTATATCTTGCAGGTGGAGGTTCGGGTAAGGGAAGGAAGAACTGTTAATATCCATATGTTTTGTGCCCGTAGACCAGGGCTCTTGCTCTCTGCTATGAGGGCCTTGGACGACCTTGGTTTGGACATCCAGCAGGCGGTGATCAGCTGCTTCAATGGGTTTGCTTTGGATGTGTTCCGTGCTGAGGTATGCTTCTTTATCTGTTAGCAAATGCATAAGAGTAATTGTCTTAACATCTAATAACATATACATTTAACATATTTATGTATGTTCTGCTGCCTTTCATGCTTGGTGCTTTATGATTTGACATCCAGATTTGATGTATTGTAGTATCCTGGTTCTTTGCAAAAAATCTTCTACTTTAATACAGGATATGTAAAAAAGATGTGTTTGACATGTTTGTTGCTTGTGAACTTCGATTTTCTAAAAATAATACACACAAAAGCAGCGGCTTGTTTTCCCCTTGGATGAGCAAGGATAAGTAAGCACAACCTTGTAAATGGAGGAAAGATTACCTAAGATGTGGACAAGTCCTGACATTGAGATTCTGTTCCGTATTCCCCATTGCCAAATAATAGTCCCATTACTAATGTCATACGGAGTACTTTAAGGTCATAGTGTCTGTACTTTTACAGCTTTTGCTCTGTGTCTCTCGCACACATTAATACATGTAAACCACTTCATTTTTTAATATTTTGATTTAGATTGTCATGACCCGTGAAGATCTAATCCAGTCATTTCCTAGATGCAAGAAAGGCTTCCTCCTTTGGACTATCCCTGTTATCATGAAAATGGATGGGGGCATTTGGATGCCTTGGAATGAAATCTTATGTAATTCTTCCATGGCAATATGAATGCACCAGTCCACTGTTGCATTTTGTGTATGAAGCCATCTTTTAGGAGCTCATTAGATGATAAATGGAAAGAATGAATTTTCTTGAGATCACCATCAAGATAAGTGATACTGCGATGGTAAGTTGTTGGGTACAGGGAACATGGTGGTGCGTGCTTTGTTTTGCATCATTGAATTGATTTAGAATGCAGAATGTTTTCAAATAATGAAAATTTGAAACAGAAAACAGGAAAATGTATGCTGAAGAAGATCTGTGCTTTCCAGTCTGTTTTGTTTGGATTAAAGACTACACATAAGGACTTCAATCCTGAAAATATTACTCATGGTTGGCGACCAAGTTTGATTGGTATAAAATTTGTTTTTGGTAGTGTATGAGACATCTTGTGTAAATGCCATGAAATGCAATTTTGGCATGCTTACTGTTTAAATGTTTGTGGTCTTTAAACAGCTCCCCTGCTTCTCCTTTTTTCTACTCAAAACTTTTTTGGCTTAATGAAAATTTAATTATCTTGTATGTTAATCAGCAATGCAGGGAAAGTCAATTCTTGCCTGAGCAAATTAAAGCAGTACTTTTGGATTCAGCAGGATTTCACGAGATGATGTAACTCAAGGCTGAAGCAGTTCAAAATTGCAGCTTGGAGAGATGGAGGCACTAATATAACGTTGTGGTTTGCAGTACCTCAAGTAGCTTGTAAGTTGTAAATGCAATTGCTTCTCATTCCCATTTGTAGAGCCTAGGCCTAGAGCTAGAGATGGTGAACTGCAGATCAAAGTATGTCAGCGAATGTCCAGAGAGGTTTAATATATCATCTGTTGTTGTTGTAGTGAATATGTTGTATTGAATCAGCCAATAACTGGCATGTTATCTTCAGTAACTTCAGCTCTTGAAATTCATCTCCTTCTTTGTGGCCCAACAAAATAAAGGAAAAGAAAAAGAAAATAATTACTATCTTCCCTTCAATAGCTGTTTCTGTTTAGTCGTTTGCTTGCAGGAGTGATATAATTAGGTCCCAACCATGCATGCGGAATTTCTTTTAATTGTCAGGGGTCGTATTCGTACTGTTCATGGCAAAAACCATCCCATTTTGATGGAAGGGACAGGGAGGGACCACCACCCTTGTCCTTGTGATGTATTTTTTTATGTTAAAACAAATGAAATTCAATATAACAAAACCAAGAAACTATGTTGAGTACAAACGAACAGAAAAAAATTCAAGAAACCACTTCCACTTTACAAGTTTTCACGACTGACTATACAGGGGAAATGCCTTTGCAAATGTTTGTGAATTGTGAACAATCAATCGCCTTTTTGCAATGAACTTGTAGCTTAAGTTATTAGAATTGAAAGTATTTATCATGCACCCGAGGTCTTAGGTTGGATTCCCTTTCTCTTCCTCACTTATCAATCAATGACCTATCTTGATGGAGATGCTGTCTTCTTTTACCCTATGGTCCTTTTTTATGGAAACCGAATTTGTGTAAGGCTAGCCTCAAATTTCATTGCTTGGATTGGACCACCACCACCCTCAAATTTCATTCCACAAAGCCCACTCACACTAGTCACACCCCAAGCCTTGAGTAGCGAGTCCACACGCCAACCGCGCCACGGGAGACATAGAGGTCTGGTCCACGTCTGATTCAACTCTATATTTTTGTCTTTTAACTTTTCTCTTGCTTGCTTTTGGCTTTTTAGGGTCAGAGATTCAACTCAATTTTTAAATCGCCAACCTCACATTTTCTGTCAGCGGCGTCCTCAGCGCGCGAAACATGCTACCGTCACGCTCAGCACGAACTTATTGACGACAGAACCATTTTGTACCGTTGATCTTCATCCCATGTCATCATGTCATTCTCATCCAACCGTCCTCACTAACGCTTCATATACTGTGAACCTATAAGATTGATGAGTCTCCCCTTCTCAGCTCCACTGAAAACGACGGCAATATTTTTTTTCTTTTTCTTGTTGATAAAAATAGAAAACACGAATGAAAGAAAATGAAAAAAAAAGGAACTCAAGAAACACGTTGGGCATTCAACAATCAACAACACGGTTTATATTAATATGGAATTTTAACGGAAGGAAAAAAAGGCGCCGCCAGGGTTTCTTTGGTGGGCGTATGTTTGTTTTTCCTTCCTTGTTCCTTCGAGAGAGAGAGAGAGAGAGAGAAGCTCTCGCTCTAGATTCTCTGAATCTAAAAGAGACCACCACACAGCCTCTGCTGCCCTCTCTGCCTCTCCGTCGACGGAAAGGGAAGGAAAGGAAGCTCAAGTCCTGCCTGCATTCCGTTTGCATTTCGTCTCAAGGTACTCTTCAATCTGCTTCTCCCGCTTCTACTTTCAGAAAAGCAAAAGGAAGTAAAATTGTGAAATAATCTGCTTCATGGCGTTTTTGCTGTTTGTTTACTTTTGAAATGATTCAATTGAGTTATGGAATTTGCAGATCGAGCTGCTGCTGGCTCAAGTTGGAGATTTGAAAAATCGGTTTTGTGTTGTGTTGGGATCTCCCATCATATCAGACTTGAGCTTCTAACTTTGGTACCATAACAAGCAATCAACTGATTAAGACACTCTGCGTTAACATCATTCATTCGTCGAAATAACTAATCTTAGATGGCGACCGCGTTGCATTTTTCCGGAGTAAAAACTCCGTGCCCTGCATCTGCATCCTCAGAAAGATCTTTGCAATACAAGCAACCCTTGTGGTCTCAACAACTCCGTTTTGCAACTTGTGTAGCTTCCAACAACGGATTCTATACAAGTGCAAAAAACTTTTCTTGTACAAGTAGAGTTTTGAGAGTCAGCTGTGAGGGAGGAGGAATCACGGATCTTCTTGAAAAGAAACAGACTGACAATCAATGTCTTGGCGAAAATGAGAAACAATTGACGTGTGTTATGAAATTTGGTGGCTCCTCGGTGGCTTCTGCAGAGAGAATGAGAGAGGTTGCTGATCTTATACTCAGCTTCCCGCAAGAGAGGCCTGTCATTGTTCTATCTGCCATGGGAAAGACAACTAACAAGCTCCTACTGGTACGCATTATATATGATTATTACTCGATATGTGTCCAACTTTTCATTTTGTACCAGTATCAACATGTGGTCAAATTGTTTGTGCACTGAGTAGGCAGGAGAAAAGGCTGTCAGTTGCGGTGTTACTAATGTCTCTACTATTGATGAGTTAAGCTTCATAAAAGAATTACATCTCAGGTGAGCGCAAAGAAATGCTTTATCTTTCTTATACAGATTATCGAGGAAAAAGATTCAAATTTTAGATTTCTTCTCACCGTGCATCATCCTATTCTGTATAGGACTGTGGACGAACTTGGAGTGGACAGCTCTATCATTTCATGTGAGTTCTTTTTTCTTATCGGCACTTACTGTTCATTTGTTTGTTTAGAATAAAAATATAATCTTGTTTTGCATATCAGCAAGTCCAGAATTTTACACAACCTAGAGCTATGGCCGTTGTTCTGTTAGATGCCTGTGCGTACAATGTTCATTGTAATCTTACTGATTTTTATGGCTATTCCGTTATATCCAAAAAATGTTTTACAGCACACTTGGAAGAACTAGAACAACTTCTGAAGGGAATCGCTATGATGAAAGAACTGACTTTACGGACAAAAGACTATTTGGTTTCATTTGGGGAATGCATGTCCACAAGGCTCTTTGCTGCTTATTTGAATAAGATTGGTGTTAAAGCCCGCCAAGTATGTTCTTCCTCAATTACTTGTGTATGCTTCAATGTGATTGCCATCTTATGTTCTCCTGTAGCTAACATATGAGCTTAGTAAGCCCAAAATTGAAATACGATCCTTTTTATATGCATTGGCACATGATGGGTATGGAAAAAGGACTAACAATGTTGGCATGTTCTTTATGTTAAGTCATCATAAGCTTGTAATAATAGACCGCCAAAGGTCTCATCATAGCTAGTTGATGAGGCAAATTGGCTGCAAGTCCTTGCAACTTTCCAACTGTAATATCTGGGGAACTCTTAATTGTTTGTACCATTCTTACTGATAACAAAATTATATAATTGTTTGTTTCTTTTTTGGCAGTATGATGCCTTTGAAATCGGATTTATAACCACAGATGACTTCACAAATGCGGACATGTTGGAGGCAACTTATCCAGCTGTTGCAAAGAGGTTACACGGTGATTGGATATGCAATCCTGCTATTCCAATTGTTACTGGCTTCCTTGGAAAGGTGTCTCTTCTGGATAAGTTCTACATGTATTTCCCACCTGGAAGGATTCAACTATTAATACCATTGACATTGTTTATCTGGTTGCAGGGATGGAGATCATGTGCTGTGACTACACTGGGTAGGGGTGGCAGTGATTTGACAGCCACAACCATTGGTAAAGCACTGGGGTTACGAGAAATTCAGGTGTGTTGAATTGTTTATGCTTAATTTCCTAGTTCTTTTTAAAGTAACAAAATTTAATATATATTTTTCAATTCCTTACAGGTGTGGAAGGACGTCGATGGTGTTTTGACATGTGATCCTAACATATATCCACGTGCAGAACCTGTACCATATTTGACATTTGAAGAGGCTGCTGAACTTGCATATTTTGGTGCTCAGGTATCAATATTGATGTTAGATATTAATAAGTGAGTGATATTGGATGCAATGCTTTCCCATTTTTGTGCATTTTATTAAAAATTTCCATCATTCACAACATAATTTCATGCAATATGGATATTTGTCAATATCTCCATATCATCAGTTTATAGCTTCCTACTCGTAAGGTAATGTCATAACACCCCATATTTCACTTTGATGATGGGCCAAAGTCAGACTGCTGAGGGGTCCTCGTTAGCCAACAGTTATCCAAGCAATGAACTGGACACGTACAAATTATTTGATCAAGTTTCTCTGAAAAAAAATTATTCAATCCAGTTTCTTCTGTCTTTAAATACTCAGTTTTTCTGTTCTGGCAATTTTGAAGTTCTTTGGAGTAGTGAAATAGCTCTTAAACCACCTGTAGTTTTGTTAGAATTGCGTTCTTTACAAAAGAAAGAAAACAGGATTTAATAAAATTTATTTTCTTCTTGCAGGTCTTGCATCCACAGTCCATGAGACCAGCTAGAGAGGGTGATATTCCTGTGAGGGTTAAAAATTCATACAATCCCAATGCTCCAGGTACTGTCATCACCCATGCAAGAGATATGAGCAAGGTTCGTAACAGTACTCTGCTGGAAAACTGAATACCATTGTCATAAAATGCTCCAGACTGCAATGAGTTTTTCTTTGTCTCAATTGCAGGCTGTATTAACTAGCATTGTTTTGAAACGGAACGTGACTATGTTGGATATTGTTAGCACTCGCATGCTTGGTCAATATGGTTTTCTTGCTAAGGTGAGAAAATAAAATACCTTTTTTCTGTTGGTTATCCTCTTGGTAACTTAGTAGCTAATTTCTATATTATTTTCCATGTAGGTATTTTCAACTTTCGAAGATTTGGGCATATCAGTTGATGTTGTTGCTACAAGTGAAGTTAGTATTTCCTTGACATTGGACCCCTCAAAGCTTTGGAGCAGAGAGCTTATTCAGCAGGCAAGCGTATGATTTCATCTTCGACCGATTATGTTTTTCTGGAGTTCACTTGTTTACATGCACCTAAGATTTATTATGTGCATATGATTTGTTATGATGTACTCATCTTATGTGTGTCATCCTTGTCGGTAATGTGAAAGTTGTAGTTAGTCACGTGCACACTATATCTTGTAATGCTGATGGTTGAGTAGTCAATTTCCTCTTGTAATTCTTGTATAAAATCTCATTGAAATAGTGCATCTTCCTTGCAGGAACTTGACCATGTCGTGGAAGAACTTGAGAAAATTGCCGTTGTCAATCTTCTTCAGCACAGATCAATTATATCTCTCATTGGAAATGTGCAGAGGTCATCACTGATACTAGAAAAGGTGCTGTATTGTGTTTTGCTAAGTACTTAAAAAACGCTCCCTATTTTGCTTTTGTTCTTTGGTTGATTGCAATTGTTCTGGTGTTCAAACAGATGGTTGATCAGCTTTGGTAGGACTGCCATGCAGGCTTCAGTCATGTTTAGTTATCTCTTTGTTCATGTATATTTGTTTGTGGTATTCATATTTTTGGTTGTATGTTGCAGGCATTTCAGGTTCTTCGAACTAATGGAGTCAATGTTCAGATGATCTCTCAGGGTGCATCCAAGGTCTCTCCTACCATTAGTTCTGCGTCTTTTCATTTTAGTGGTGGAAAAAAACTCTGCCAAATCTTGATGCCTTAGTAAATATTTTGTGTTTATATCTGGGATTTTCTCACTTTCTTCTGAATCCCGGTTATTATTCTACTAGGCTCATGAATGAATTGGATGCTTACAGATGGCTTACTATGAAATGTTTATAAATTTGATGATACTCACTGTTTATGTATCACCACTGGCCAGGTTAATATCTCGTTGGTTGTAAACGACAATGAAGCCGAGCAGTGCGTTAGGGCTCTGCACCAGGCCTTCTTTGAGAACGATCCCTTTGAAGTAGAGTGTGGATCTGAGAATGGTTCTGTCTGAGTATGGGAGGAACATTGATGGAGATTCAATTCTTTAATGGTTATTGTGGTGGTTTATTTTATTTGTTAGCATACTTAACATAGAAATTTTCAACTTTGGTAATTAGTTTTACCTTTGTTGGGGAAATCTCTGCCCCCCGGCTGTCAGATTAGAATTGAAGATGAGGCATTTTCGCCCATTTTGTATCATGTTGGATAATGATGCAATGCTTGTATTGGAAGTCGTTTACTCGGCAAGAATTATGTTTCTGGAAAACTAAATCTGGGTTAGGATTGTGCTTGTTCTTTTGCAAATGATGCATTGCTTAAACGTGGTGCTGACTAAGGAGAGCTAACTTCTAAATCATTCAAAGAGTACTGTCGTCTGAAAGATTCAGAAGGTACAATGTTGGCTATCCTGTTCATGGGGAAAAAGCTTTAAATTTTGAAAAGAGAACTGAAATTTTGTTATTGCAAATTACCCATGGCATCGCCTCTAAACCCATAACCTTTTATTTATTGAAATTAATTAAGAAAACCTGAGTGGAGCATATAAAAAGGTTAAACTCCAGCCTGTCTGATGATATATCAGATTTGATGAATAAAAATTGTCACCAAAAGTCCCCACAGGAGCAAAGCCCATCTCTAAAATGATGGAACCTGCTTGAGTCTCTAACTGTTATTTCCCTCCCAACAATCTTTGTCATCACCTTGATTGCAGCATGGCAGTCTCTGCAAGCTCGCAAGTTCTTCATCACCACTATCGGTGATCCTTCCGGTGTACTGATCAATGCAAAGACAATTGCTAAGCGTTCGCTGTGATATTTAAGAGACTCCGCTTTTATTTCATCATCCTCGTTGTGAAGGGCACAACTTGTGTCCGGCTTGTACCCTTCCTTTTCCATCTCCTTCGTCAACTCATCAATCTTTCTCATAATCTTCCCACTTTGTGGGTGGCTCGTGTCTTTCACAGTAAATACATGAGTTTTGTGGTTGATTTCCACCCAACTATATGCTGTAACTTTCCTGACTCCTCTGTCCCTCATCGCCCTCTTCACCTTTCCAACACTCTCCCATTGACCTGTTGCTGCATAAATATTCGACATGTTCACATAAGCAGCTGCATCTCTAAGGTCCACCATATTGAAAAGTCGGTCTGCTGCTCTCTCTGCCAATTCTTGATTCTTATGAATTTTGCATGAGTTTAGAACTGATGACCACATAATTTCATCAGGTTCAAATGGCATTTGAGCCATCAATTTCTCTGCTTCATTGAACCTCCCACTTCGACACAACATATCAACCATTGATGCATAGTGTTCTCTCTTTGGGACGATTTTACAGTTACGGTTCAAGGAGTTGAAGTATTGCAATCCTTCCTCAACAAGCCCACAGTGGCTACAAGCAGTTAAAACGCTCAGGAAGCTCACTGAATCTGGTTCAAAACCTGACTGAACCATCTGTTCAAACGATCTAAGAGTGCCTTCACCATCTCCATTTTGTGCATAAGCTGAGATCAGGGCATTCCAACAGACCAGATTTCTTTTGGGCATCTCTTGAAAAGTTTGAAGTGCATCTTTCATGGACCCACATTTCGCATACATATCAAGGAGTGCACTTCCAGCAAAAACATTGGATGCAAATCCTAATCTGATCACGGATGAGTGTAACTGCTTTCCCAGTGAGAGTGAAGCTAAATTGGCAGAGGCTCTTAAGATGCTTGCAAAAGTGGCTTGGTCAGGACTAACATTTGCTCTGCTCATCTCATTGAACAGTTCAAGGGCTTCTACATGGAGCCCGTTCTGAACATATGCGGAGATGATTGCAGTCCATGGAACTGCACTTCTGTCAGCCAGACGTGCAAATATCCTTTTGGCTTCCTCAAATCTGCCACATTTGGCATACATATCCACCAAGGAATTTCCAACTTGAATTTCTGAATCAGCTGTTGCTACAATGGCCTGGGAATGGATCTGCCGACCCATGTTTAAGTTGAGAGTATTTGATGCAATGCTCAACATGGTTGCATAAGGGAACTGCTTCCTGTCATATTTGGTAAGCTGTAATTCACGGAAAAGATCAAGAGACATTTTAAAATGCCCATCCCATACATAAGATGTGATGATTACATTGTAGGAAATACTATCCAACTCTGGCATCTCATCAAATAGTTTCCTTACTTCAACCGAACAGTCATGCTTTGAGTAGAAATCTAGCAATGCATTCCCCACGAACACATTCCAAACAAAATTAGTCTTCACCACAAAACCATGAACCTGCTGCCCAAAGGCTATGTCATATAAACCGATACCAGCACAAAGTAGTGCTGCGAAAGTAAACTCAGAAGGCTTGTAACCAAGATTTTGCATTTGAGCAAAGAGGTTAATAGCCTCCTCATTCAAACCATCTTTTGAGTACCCTGTTATCAATGCATTGAATGTAACGTTATCTCTCTCAGGCATTTCCTTGAAGAGTCGACACGCTAAATCCAGGCGATGGGATTTGCAGTAAGAATCAAGCAAGGAATTGCAGACCATGAGGGTGGAATGATATCCCAATTTAAGGATATGAGAATGAACTTGAACTACTTGTTTTGTGGTCTCCATGTCACTGCATCCAGATAGGAGAGTTGCAAAAGTCACATAATCCGGCTTAGTTCCCCACCTATGCATCTCAGCGTAAAGTTTAAATGCCTCACGGTATTGATTTGCTTGCGAATACCCACCTATTAGTATCGTCCATGTTACCGCTGTACGGTCAAGCATGGTGTCAAGCAACTCCCTAGCCTCATAAAGATTGCCGGAGTTGACGTAACTGGATATCATCATGTTTGTCGAGACAGTGTTTTTTTGAGGCATTTGGTCGAACAGTATACGTGCTTGAGATAATTCACCTCGTTTTAGAAAGTTCTTCACCAGAAAATTAGAGCGGCATATGTTTGGATCGAAGCCCGTCTTGATCATACGGGCGTCAACGTAATTTTGGGCGTTGAGGTTGAGGTTGAGGAGTGGTTTTGCTTTTGGAGGTTCAGAAACTCTTGGAGTCCTAAATTTTAGGAGCGCATTTGATCTAAATGCTGTCATATGGAAAATAGTCGTCGAGGTCTGGGCCTCGTTAATGTGAAGGTGAAGCGAGCAGCTGCAACTGCATGTTCAAAACACTCAAAACTCCACATAAAGGACTTTGCTGAGCAAAACATGCGATTCCTTAATAACTTTAACACAAGGAGAAAATATATTGGTGATGATTGTCTTGTCTTGCCTTGCCAATTGTGTCTATAGTAGTGATACTCAAGCATAAACTACTACTGAGCAAACCAAAACGACACAACCATACAACCCGATAGAGCAGTTCGAAGTGACTTGTTGTAAGGACTATGATGGATACGCGGGTTAAGGCCAATAAGGTCAAGGCTGATGTATCCGTCCCTTTGCTTTTCAAGTTTGATATCTTCTGCAATGGACGCATTATCATTTCTCGACTATAATCTGTGTAAGGCTGCTGCATCTGTGTAATGTGTGCGAGTGTGCGAATTTAGTATGTTATCGCCCCCTCAATAGAAAAAGTCTTAGAAAAATAAAACAAATTGATATCTTCCCCTCTAAACTATAGCAGTTTATACTGTTGCATGTATAAAAAACAAAATTAAGAAATATGACCGGGGAAGTGTCAACATCTACAATTATGTTCCGGAGACCAATCAGAAAACCGGCCCAGCCACCCATACACAATGTCACTGAGATCAAATCACTTTACATGCCTCTGTCAGATTCTGAATGTGTACTAAAAAGAATATCTATTAAAAACATCAATTAAGCCTCATACATCTTTCTACTTCCAAAAATCTCTAGAGCATAGATAAGCATTCAAACAGTGTATTGCTGATGATGTCTTTCCCACTGCATATTGCAGGCTGCGATTCCTCCCATGTCACTGCTACTGATCCCAGCATATTCACTAAAATGATAAACTAGAGTGGTGCACAAGCTGAGCTGTGAAAGAAGTCCAATCTCACTGAAAATTCCACAAGACAATGAGAAAGTGGGAATGCACGGCTGGCTCTGCTCTTAACCAACCAAAGTCTGATTAAGACCGACCATAAAGAATCAACACAAGATAGTTCTCAGCTAGACCTCTGATTTTAAGGAATGCCTCACACATACTAGGTCATCCAACTTATTGCCATCCATTTTGTATAGAGAAGCACCTTCCATTTGAATAAAGTGGTCCTGTGCTTCCTTCCTCAGACTCTTGAAAGGCAAGACTTCCCATTTATTGTAATTTGAATTCTTTCTTACATCACTCATGTCTGGAGATCCTGAGACAGGCCCAATGTTGTCAGGGTCCACATTGCCCATCACCTTACAACTACCAAACTGTCCCAAATCACCGGCCTGACCAGCTTGACTCCTCTTTAATCGCAAGGCTGCTGCATGAGCTCTGCCTATCATTTCTCGACTTGGCACATCTGACCAATCTTGCTTCCTCTTAGACCTCATGGGAGAATGGATTCTGATAACCTGATATATAGAAAAGCTAAAAGTTGAATCATTCAGGGATATGAATTCAGGCATGCGCCTGTAATTGGATACATTCTCATAAAGAAAAGTTTGTATTCTTACACCAAGGCACTCTAGGAGCTGGTAGTATGCCCTTCCTTGAAGTGGATTATGCCCTTTCCTAGGTGTAGAGAAGTAACGTGTCCTACAAGGAAGTAATAAACTAGTAAGCTATACGAAGACCGACAACAAACAATGCCAATACATCAAAACCTGAATTGATGCTGATGATATGTGTCAAAGAGGATATCTATTTAACCAAAATGGAAGGGAATCAGAAATACAAGAGAACCTTATTCACATGGAAAGGCAGGAATATAAGCAGGTTCCCTGCTTGCTAATAATAATACCAACAGATAACAACAATGTATCAAGTAGGAACCAAACGAACCATTCAGTATATCCAGGATCAACAGTGAAACCATATATGTCAACAATGTCGCACATAGAAAGTGCTAATTCTACAGACTTCATTCCAGTTCCTTTGGCACCCCGGCGGAGCACAATACCTTGGAAAAGGTAAACTGGATTTGTAATTCTCTGCAATATGTTAGGATCCAAAATGTTAGACAAGTCTCTGGAAACCGCGCATGTTAACTATCAACTAAGAAAGAGCAAATATATTGGCCTCCTTAGATGTGATCTTCACCTTGATCATTGCATTAAAGTCTTTGTGCGCAACACTTTTGATTATAAGTACCTCATCAGCTGCACAAGAAAGGGAAACTTGCAAATATGAGAACACACCCATGAAGATTTATGATTTATATTATACAACATACAAAAGTTAACTTTGTTCTTATTTCTTGAAACAATCTGAAATTTTCAACTAGCATCATCTCTCAGAAAATCATTAAAAGCATAGTGGTGAAAAGAATGGTTGGCATGATTAGTCAAGTACAGACTTTCATGTACTCCCCTCTAAGAAGGTTAATTTTTCCTTCCAAAAATTGGAAGAAGAATGGCACAACTAAGAAGTTTATACCAATGTCCTAATGATTCCAAGGGCTTAAAAAACAGCAAAGGAAGATGAGATGAGCAATTATGGCATATTGAATGGCAAATGCACCTTCTCTTGTTATGAAAATACAATTTTAAAAAAAAAAATATGACACACACAATTAATTAGAAACATACCAGATCCATTTAGAATGGCAACCATTTTACGAGCCGCACCCCTTACAACAAGGCGAAAATCCCTCTTCAGACCAACATACTTGGCATATTTCTACACATATCAAATACTAAGTTAGAACTTCTATCAATTATTTACTTGACCATCAAATGCATAAAGGATTAAAACTAACAGTATACTTAAGATATTTTCTTCTTTTTGTATTGGGAAAGGGAGGAGAGGGAGGGTTGTGGGGATTAAGTTATATGCTCAAAATCATTTCAGACACGTTCAAAATTAGGATATGAAAGACCACCATTGGAGGCTGGAGCTCAGTAGTTACTTGGGTTATATGCTTATACTATATGTATAAGTAATTGAGTAACTGTAGAACAAAGAGCTAGCTTAAACGAAGCAGATAATGGATTATTTTTCAAGAAAATACGAGACACCTGTCTTTCCCAATTAGAACCATAGAAGAATCAATCGCTCTCATGAAAGAATAAAGCCATATATTCACCAATGATAGGAAACAGCCGTCTTTATACATGCTAGTTTACCTCATTAACAGGAGCCTCGTTGTCCCTTATAACAGCATCATGACTATCAATCTCCTTTCCAAACTCTGTCTTCAAAAGATCGCCTGAATTTCCAACAACTGCGCATGTACGGAATTGCCGAGGATGAAAAGGTGGCTTTGCTGGAAGTATCAAATTAAGGTGTTCCTCACAAAGTGTCCTATTATAGCATTTATCAGCTCCCCTACAACCGAAAAAACAGAGGGTAAATAGATGGAGTTGAGATCATAGGCATTTGTGTTCTATAATCCATTGTCAGAAATCAACCACAGGTTTGGAAGAGATAAATGTGTACACGAGCATACAATTGTGCTATCCTTTGTGCTGCATACTCCTCCCACCCTTTAGGCCGAACATCTAGATACTCCCTTGTCAATACTGTCGTCATATTCCGGTACTGCATCCTTAAAAGCATCAGTACAGATAATCGTCTTGAAAGATAATCACACAGATAGGATAGAGACAAACCTGCTCCCACAATAAAATTGCCTCACAAACATTATAATTGTACTCCAGTGCTTCAAAAGTTTTAAACTGCTCATTATACTGCAATTGAAGTCTGAATTAGTTAGCACTCAGAGGCTACTTTAAAAATGAATTAAAATAAACATTTGGTGAGGGGGTAAAGTAGACAGACCCAGGTGCTGTTAGTTCCTTCGGGGAACTTCAGAGTCAAGTTGCAATGGTCAATAATATGTGCAGTGAGACCGAGCCCTCTGTTTGCCTACATTTAGTTTAAGCTTCGTAAGGATTCAAATATACTTCCAAAGCCCACCGCAACAGAAAAAGAGAGAGGGGGGGGGGAGGGGAAGGTAGTAGATGCTACGTTTCCTAAGTTTAAACCACCACTTCATTTCTCAGATCAGTCTGAGGCAAACAAACATAGCACAACTACAGTGCAATGCTAATGTTCCCCACCACGATACTAAGTAAGCAACAATCGTGCAGGTTTTAAAACTTCAACTAAGAAGGAAAACTAAAGAGATGAATAAAAAACAGAGGCCAGATCCATGAAAAAAGAAGAAGGGAAATTATGACACTGTTGACGAAAAAGGAAAGTATGAAACTAACCACGCATTGCTTTACAGTAGACTGAAATTCCGATAAAATTCGAACATCTTGTTGTTCAGTCTTGAGATCTAATTTCTGATTACCTGAATAATCCGATAGAAATTGATTAAGCTGGACGCGGAATTACGAGTAAAATAGTGTTCAATAAATAAAGTAAAATATATGAATGAATAGGAGGAAGACCTGTGAATAAAGAAGATTGGATGCCGAAAAGGAGAACAGAGAAGAATGCGGCAGCGCAAACCAGATATAGAACAGTGGGCCGCCTGTTGATGCTGTTACTCGACGCTGCTTTGTGAGTTCTCATTACCACGCGGAGGTGGAGGCAGAGGCGGAGGCGGAGGCGGAGGCTCAGACAGAGACTGAGTGAGACTCGGACTATCTATCTAGCTCTTCTGCTCTGGCATGCGATTGTGAAAGTGAAACCACACATTCGAATTTGCGAAAACCAATCAGTTGAATTACCAGACAAGCAAAGCAAATGATTCTTCACTCTTCAGTATTACCAAAACGCACCGTCTTCAACATTGTACAGTGGTAGGCAATTTCAATTTGCCCTTTTCCTTATTTGTTTTGTATATTTTTCCCCAGAAATCTTTAATTTTTTATTTCCAACTATCACTGTTCCTGTACATTCGCCTATACAGAGAACAAAAGGGCAAAAAGAAAAACGCAAGTAGAAGGAAAATTCTGTATGGATGGATACATCGGTGGTGTATTTAATTGAGATTTTAAAAAAAAAATTAAAATTTTCAAAATTTCAGATATATTCAATCACGATTTTATAAATGTCTACAAAAAGTTTTAGCGATTCAAATATAAACCAACCCACAAACAAAAAAGTGTTACAAATTCACCACTCTTGGTTACACAAAACGATCACCTGCGCCCTGTAACATATGGTTCTTGCCATGTTTCCATGTTGGCATCTATATATCTTTTGGCTTTTATTGGTCCACTATTTGTTTGTCAATTAACCATGGTACAACTTGATATAAGAAAACTGGAGTTATTGCACAGTTTGCTGCTCTCGGTAGCTTTTTTACTATAAATTATTCATACAGACGAGAAAAAAGAGAGCAAAAATGAAAAAAAAATAGAGGGGTGATGATCTAAAAAACTGAATCTCGATAACGGTTCTTGTTTTTCCATCACCATCTACCACCCCATCTACATAAGATCATATCAAGGTATTTATGATAACATTACCGAAAAAAGAAAAATGAAAGAAGGTATATATGATACAAGCCAACCACCATTATAGTACAAGAGATTTTGGCAGGTTATCAGTAGCGCCGACCACCAGCTGTTGACAAAAGGACTCGACTTGGTTTCTTTCCTTTCTTTCCCGAATCATTCATCTTGGGCGTATCCAAATTTTCACCAGGCTTAGCTCTGGAGATTATATTAGCAAATGACGTTACACCCACACTCTGAGTACCTGCTGCTGCACAAGTAAAAGAAAGAAAAAAAAATAGGTACAAGGTTAGAGCAACCAGAACCCTAGAGATAGGATTTCAACTACAGCCACAGAAAAGATACAACATACTATCGAATATTGTGAATTATTATACAATACCAGTGGTTTCAAGAGAGTCTCTTGCTGCATCATCGTCATTCAGAGAATTGGTTCCCTCTAGTTTTAAGGTGGGAGAATCATGACCAGCAGCAAAACCAAGCCTTGTAACACTTGAAAACAGCTTCCTTTCCCCAACAACTGGAGAGCTTGATGATGTCACCGTAGAACTTCCCAAGGCTGAGCGCAGGTACCATATGAACAAATAAATCATTAAATCATATTTAACATAAGACCACCATATAATGTAAATGTATCTGCAAACTTCAATGAAAAATGGATAAATTAAGACAAAAGCTTAGAGCACCCATCTCGATCACATATTCCTAGTTTTCATGAAGCATGCCTGAATTACAAAGTTTGTTTTACATTGCACGCTTCAGAGCAAAAAGATGATACACTGATCTAATGTGCAAGATATGCTGATGGCATCTGAATTAGGAAGCCAGGTCATACTTCAGATTTGTTTCTCATTAATTGTATGAAAGATTTGGACAAGAAATTTATTCCCAATCAGTCTACTATTATTACTTGAGCTGAATAACAAATTTATCTACAAAAAGGCATGTGCCTGAAGATACAACATATACAAGGAGCATGATATTACCCTCGAAGTCATCCATGGAGAATGTGGGGGATCCATCTTGAAAAGACTGTCCATAACCTGCTATTAAAGGGATGGGATATGCCATGGCAGATTCTGCCTTCATTTTCTCCTTGTGATCCTATAAATAGGAATATAATATAGTTTTAAAGCATGGGCAGACTAATGTTATGTTTATACCATATATAATGAAAAAAGTAATAACACCTTCCTAGCAAGTTGTTTCCTCTGCCTTTCGCGCTTCTTTATGTCTTCCATAAAGGGAGACAACGCATCAGGAGACAATAGCTCACTCAGATCAATCTCACAAAACTAAAATATGAATAAAAAATGATTAGATACTATACGCAACCTAGAATAATAATGTTCTTAAGGCGTGATTTCACTCGGATCATCCCATATCAAGGTACCTGGAGTATTGTCGTTAAAGAAAAATGACTCAAATAGCGGTAGCGCCTCCTCATGGCTTCTGTCTGAGTCACAGTCTCCAATTGCAAAATTCTTCCACTTATTCTGCAAAAATGAATTAGACCCAGTTTCACATTTCAGTTGAATATAAGAAGACCCCTTAGACAAAAATAGAAGGGAACTCCCTGCCCCCACCCCTCCCCTCTTTTTTAATGCTGTATCGGTACAGATACCACACTTAAAATTCAGGTAAGCACAATTGTAACGAATATGCATCCTCTAGATGAATAGCCTTCTGGGAGAGGGAAGGGGACTTTATGATAGATTTTGCATAGTCTATGCATACCGCAATGATCATTAAGATTTCAATCAAACCTGTGTGGTAGCATATCATGGCTCCCATAGTGGTGTAGAAGGCATTTCATGTTTAATGGATGGATAATGATGTGCTGCCCATCCGCTGCCTGATATAGAAATACATGAATATAAGAGAGAAAAGTAAGTCAAAACAACCCACAAGGAAGACAGAGATAGTTGCAACTATCATGCATACAAATCAGCAGATTAGTAAAATGTGAGATTACTTTTCCAAAACACAACCAGAGAAATTATGGCAAGAAAAAGGGGAAATATGATGTCTCATTTTCAGTCACCTGGTAGAAATTGTACGAGTCCTTATCATATTCACTTTGGGAGCCATGTGAGTGCCCTTGGGCACTCTTGCTTTCATCATATGAAGAAGATAGAGCATTTTCACGGCCTTCCAAGGATTCAGCTGCATCCACAGATTGGTCGGAACAAGTCCCATCATCTGACTTATCCACTGATAAATTGCCCGAACACTTATTATGGTCATAAACATCATTAGACGGAGTTTCATGTCCAAGTGTAGATGCTTCATAGTCACCATTAGTAGCATTTCCAGTATTACGATCAGTACATTTACAAGATTTATTACTCTCACTAGCCCGGTGCTCCTTCCAATATTTCTTCCTCTGTTCTAATTGTTCCATTGCAGCACATACATATGGAAGCTTCTCTAGGTCATCAACTAGCCCCGACTCTGCCCTGGCTAACCAACCATCTAGCTCTGATATTGCTTTTCTGACTGAAAGATCTACATCTGATGTAAATGTAAACTTTGAAAAGGGATCATAACTTTGATCATCACCTGCTAGGGAATCTTTCTCTTGAGTACTTTTATGTGACAAAGTAAATGAATCCTTTTGTCGAGTAAGAAGCATAAACTCTACAGTATCACCAACACAATACTGCTTAACATTCTCCACAAACAGGGTGTATAAATCCTTTGGTGATATCATCACAAAACACAATGGGCATCTTTTCCAGCAGTCTCCTTTATGATCCTCCTTCCCCATCAACAAGTATTGCAGAATGCATGGGAAACAGAAAATATGTCCACAGGATGTTATCTGCGAACAAAGAGGATATTCCAGACAAATTGGGCACTGAACCAAAGTTGGGGTGGAATACCTCACGCAAATGATGTCCTCCCATTTTAACATCTTATCAGGATCCATCGATTCAACTGAGTAGTTTCCTGAATCTAACACCACAAATTTGTAGTTTGCCTGAAGAAATAAATCTTTGTTGTAGGGCTTTCTCTTGTGATGCCTTCTTGGAGGAGGAGCAGTTCTAGGCTGAGGACGAGATATGGGGTCGTAATGAAAATTCAACAAGTGGTTGCCATTCATCAGCTGGGCTTTCCTTCCTGCTGGATGCGTCGAGCTTCCATGAGAACCAACAGACCCGATAGTTTGTTGACTTGAACGAGACCCAACAGTTCCTGAACTTTTCCCTCTAGACCGGGCTGATCCAATCCCTTGTCCACCTCCACCAGAGTGACACTGTGAAAGTGTCTCGTTGTCATTAGGTAAAGCCTTCTTACCCCTTGGCGTCCCTAACTTAGTCACCTAGAGGAAGGAAACAAACAATGAAAAACTATCATCACTCAATTGTCACAAAGTCATGCTCGGATCAGATAAGCGTGGGACAGTAGAAAAAGTTAAAAACAAAGAAAAATAAATCTTCCAAAAACAAAAGGTTCAAAACTTTAAGGTCAAATATACCTCTTGGGAAGATCCAGCAGAAGCTTCAGCAGCTGGTACCGATGGGCCTGCTGATAAATAATTTAATGAACATTCAATTTGAAATATACAAAACTCAAACACCTTCCTGAAGAGTTAAAGAAGATAAATAATTGACAGGAAAGGCAGGTCGTCATGAAACAATTAGCTTTTTTTCCCAAACTGCCAATTTGCTGAGGTGAACGTAGGAAACTAACAGTTCGAATTCTATGAGGTGAAGGAACAAATTTTAGGGTTTTTATTTTCTAAAAAACAAGGAAAGGAAAAAGAAACAATTTGAAGTTGAAAATTAGATACCTGAAGTATTGGAGGAGATAGAGAAGGGAGACTGAGAGTCGGAGATCTGAAGGGATCCAAATGTGAGCATTTGGCGGGAGAGAGCGGGCGGTGACAAAGACTTAGATTCAGATTGAGAAAGGAAGAGGTGGTGGCGGTGTCCATGTTGGGAATTAGGGTTCGCAGAGGGCGCTGATGAGGAAGACGACGATATGGATCCTTGGTCTTGGTTGGGCAAGATGGACATGAAAATTCTTCCAAAAACACTTGTTCTTCTCGCTTGTGGACTCACACCCGACTGCTCTTTTTTTTCTTTTTTTTTTATATTATTTTTCTACGCGCAAAACGACCCACCCATCCATCTCTGTCGTTCTATGGCATCTTCGCCGAATATCGGTTCGACCATCGGTATTTACAATTTAGTCCCTCAACGTTATTCAAAATCCCACGAAGATAACAATATTGAACTCTCATTTTCTTATGAATGATGATTGAGACATGTTGAAATTCAATATAAACATAAAGGGGGTGATCAAAAGACAGTTTGGGGATAAAAAAAAAATCAGTGAATTTAATAAAAATATAATGACTTATAGGATTTTTATTTATTTATAGATTACTATAATTAGGATTTGTTCGTCTTAGATTTTAAAAGATTATATCACAAGATTTTTTTAAAAATAGAAAGAATCACATGAATTTATGTAATAGGATTTATATATATCATTCAAAGATGACAATAGGAACGACAACATTCAAAGTTATAATAGTGCATTTCCATGAATGACAACCAAAATAAATAAAACAAACATTCGAAGTTAGAAGTTAAATCCCACTTATACAACTTCAATTTAGATTTTACACAATCAGATGGTGCAAAATTTTCTCACTAGTTCTTTTTGCCTTATTTTTTAGCATTTCCCTTGGGTAAATTTTTCTGATGTGGATAAATCAAAATCATCAAGCAGTGCGCCTGAACAAATCACGGTTAAAGAGGTACGTACTAAGGTGCATAGACAGAGGGTAATAGATCACAGCTTGAGATGTTGTAGTGTGGCAAGCTACTTAGGTTCATTCTGTTTAAGATCCTATTGATTGATGAAATTTCCAGCTCATTTTATATTTTTGTTGAAGCTCTAAATGGAACTTGATTTTCAGTAGCTCATCTGTTGCAATTTCACCTTGCTTAACAACTGCAGGGTTTCCAACTTTTGATACAAGACCTTGCTGATGCAACCGGAGAAGGAAACTTCCGAGCATCAGAAACAAAGGTTAGTTGACTCGCAGTAAGAGAATCTGTGGCACATTTGCCGGCCACTTCACACGGAACAAGTTTCATATCTCTCTCGAAGTTTGACAGTGTAATTGGGTTCATATGCACTTGATGCATGATTGGCAACTTTGAGTTTGTTAAGGTATCATGTTATATTAACTTCTAACGCTTCATTCGTAATGTGTAAGAATTATAAAATTTACTATTTATAATAAGTTGGTCACCATGTCTTCTACCAGTTTGTTATGAGGTTGCATTGCATGTTTCCAGTAAACCTAAACGGGAGCTAGCTTGAGGTAGTTGTCCTGAAATGCTTTATATTTTTTGTGTTATCCAGTGTCTGTTTGCATTTTCTTGAGGGGATTTTGATCTTGTAATGAATGTAGTTGAAGCACGCTGTGGCCTCATTGATAATATCCTCATTTAGTTTATTATATTCTACTTGTGTAGCCTTCTGTTCACACTCGTAGCTCAAATGGTCCACGAATAATGCATCATTCAGTGGAGCATTGAAGTGCTTTTCAAATATCACCAGCACAAACAGTACCCTAAAAAATATTACAACAGAAAAAAAAATAAAAAATTAAAAGGTATAGCGCGCGGCTATAATAAAAAAAAAAAAAAAAAAAAAAAAAAAAACAAGAGTATAGCCGCCGGCGGTATGCTTTAAATTTTCAAAACAGTATAGCCGCCCGGCTATATGTTTAAAATATTCGTATATATTTAAAGAGTATATCCGCGCGGCTAGACTCTTTAAATATTCGTATAGTTGCCTGTGGCTATACAACATGTTCACTGCCTGTTCCGCCTAGGGCTATACAACACGTTCACTGCGACGATAATGGAAAGTAAAGAGTTAATAAGAGGTCTAGAAATACTTTTTATACCCAATTGAAATTTAGAACATATACTAACAAGAAATAAGAGGTCTAAAATTAAATGTTGATAATTAATGTAATCACACATGAATTGAAGAAAAGAAAAAGAAATACTTATGAAGCACTCAACTTCTTTAAGTCAAATTTTGGCTATTTACATGAGATGAAAAATTAAAGCTCATTGTCATCTCGTCACCATACATCCAGGACCAGGACTGAAGAAGCCAAGCCAAGTATCGCAATGATTACGTACATTTACAGCCGTGGTCAATTTGGTGTTACCATGTCCACACGGCAAGGGTAAAAACACTAAATTGGTTGAAAGTCGAGCTATTAGGCATCAGCTATATCACGACGGAACCTTTGCTTAAACTCAATGAGAAAGGTTCGGATTTCCATTGGGCCAAGTTCCACCACCAGTTTTGCAGGATCAACCCTTCCACCCCTCACAACCTTTGCTTCTTCGGCAGAGCCTTCTTCCACTTTCCAAACCAGTCTCTTTTTCTCCATTTCTGCTCTTTCTTGATTTGCCGATAAGTTCATCTCTGTAACTTCGCCAATCTGTAGCCAAAAACAAAAATATAATAAGAAAATATTATATGGGGATATCAACCTCTTTCTTGATTTCATAGCTCATTCTTCTACCTTCTTCCTTGGGAAGAGCTGCTTCAGCTCTACATTTGCCATTACAGAAAGATCCTTGTCCTCTCCAATCTTAGCACCATTTGAACAAGAATAACAATAGTTAATAAAATACGTGGACGATCAATATTTCAGACTCATCAAAGTGAAGATGCTGACTCTGAATATTTTATAAATAAATAAGGTACTGGGAGCAGAAATAGGTAGTTGAGTAGAACGAGTGAGAAATTAGAACCTCATATAAATGTGCTAATCGAAGGAGAACTTTTCCATCATCAAGCTCCTATGCAAATTAAAGAAAAAAGGATATCACAAGTCTGTATTTTTATACAACCGTTATGATTCGGGGTCAATATTCTAGGAAAGGAAAATTGGACTGTTAATTTAAGGAAAAATAATAATGAAACAACTGGAAAGAAAATGATATCCTTGATAAGCCCCAATTACCTGAAGAGTTATAAGAGCAACATTATCAGGTAAACTGTACGAGGAACCAACCCCTGAGAAAGTGGTTACATGAGAATTCTTCCAGTTATCTCCATCCTACAGGAAGGGAGTCACTATTTAATGAGCAGCTCACAAGACTCAAACAGATGTGCTCAAATGTCTCTATTTTTTATTACTATTATTTTTTTTGTTTTGAACTTTGTATTTTCACCTGTTCAGCAAAGGCTAATAGAAGAGGGGAATATATCTCCTGACCAAAAGAACGACGCCACTTAGCACCATCTCCCATGGGGTCAATTCTGAAATAAAACTTTCCTTGGATCTGAAAAGATTGACAAGAGGCAGAAACTAAAAGTTAGGCAACCTAAAAATTTTCGGATACGATAGCAAACCAAAACTCCAGATTTGGTCTATAAGAAAAAGAAATTGCTAATTGCCACAGAGTAGTAGCATTAACATGTACTTACTCTTAGTCCAGTGCAATTGTTGAGAACACAGACTGTTTCATTTAAAGCTTCGGCAACACCTCTTGAATCATCAAGCAGTAGTCTCCTGTATGGTATGAAAGACCAAAAATAACTCCAACAATGACTTTAATTTGTATACTTCGTAAAATAGTTAAAGTCGAGAATTTCAATAAGAACATGCCTGTGGAGCATCAAGTCTATCTGTCCATCCACTGTGCTGGACCCTCCTATAGATCGATCCACCAAAACTGAAAACTCTGCCCTGTTATCTTGCATGTAAATCCCAAGATTAATCTGAAATGACAACATAGAAAAATACGTGAAGCTAATGAACAAATGCAGCATTGACCCATCCAATGACTACAAGATGACTACAGACCCTACACTTGCATACAGAAACATATTGAGTTAGAAAATCTCGAGGAGATGTTTTTTTTCTTTAAAACAATATATACTGGAAGCAGACCTATCATGTCCAGCACTCATGATATTCTGCTTATTTCAGCCACATGCACAACACTGTTTAAATCCAAGTAAAACTTTAGCTCAGTTTGTTTAAATCCAACTGAAATATCCACCAGGAGAACACAGTGGACAGAGTAAGTTATGGTAAAATTGAGAGCTTTAAATTATTAAAGAAAATAAATATAATTTAAGAAAATTCAAATAAAATTGAAATTACTTTGAGGCAGAAGAAAAATAAACATACTGGATAATAATTTCCTGCAAGAGGTTGGTGCACTTTCAGGTCCCAATCTGTTCTATAGTCGCGAATCTGCAAAAGAGATGGATCCTTGGATCATTTTATGCCAACAATAATAAGAAACAGGCATCAGCCCCTAGAAGTCAAAACAACATATGGAAAGACAGTTTTGATTAACTCCGTAGGAAACATATATCTAAGTACATGAAGGCATTACGACAGCTTACTAAAAGTATAAACTACCTGCTAATTAAAATTTTGAGCATCAAAATGAAATCTAAACTAACTAAATATAATATTGTAAGAGCAAGTAATTAGTGTACCCTTTTGATAAAATCACGCCCATTTGAATCAGTGTAGAAAGTTTTGTTGGTAGCCATGGTAGTGGCTATTTGAGTTACAAATTCTTTGCCAGTTCCATCATCAATAGGTATAGGCCCAACCTGATATTGCAGATAGTGTCAATGAATAGGCCTAATAATGATCTTTAGTTTTGATTTAAACTTTGAAAGCTTACAATAAACTCGACTTCAACATGCTCCTTCTCCTTGTGAAGTCTTGTGATCTGCATGCACATTCAATGAAACATTACCGGCAAAGAACAAGAAGTCAGCATTCAGCATAGGTCTTTAGCTCTAACTCTTAAATCCGGAACAAAAATATTCAAAAATGAGACTGGATTTACTTCAGATCCATAATATTCAAGTCTTGACTTGAACAGAGTGTAGCAAAATGATCTGATCAAGAAAATAATATGGTTAATAACATATTTCGCTTCACATTTCCCTGTAGCTACCAGAGGTCGTGCAAAATAAAAATTGATTACACATGTCACAATTTCTTATTTTAATTAAAAAAAGAGCTTTAATTGATAATATTCTGAATTCTAATTTAAGCATGGAAACAATTCGTTCTAATTGCATTTCATTCAGATTCAGAAGTAGTTTTTTATTGTTAATTTTGGTTACAGATTTTCAACTATTTTAACATATGATAATGATGCTCATGTTGCCATAACAAAACAAAGAGAGAAAACATATACATAGATAGCAAGTACTTGATAAGCAAGGCACCTGATATATCCATGAATTAATATGTTGATGTACTTCATCTATTATTGGTCCACGCATAACAGTAAAAGAAGCCTGAAATATTGAGCAACAGTTGTCAATCAAACAATGGTCAAACTTATGCCTGAATAAAAACTATAATGTCATAAGGTACAACATACACACCTTTTCTCAAGAGATTTATTTGAGAAATGTACCATTTGGACGGAAAACATATGCCCCTAGGAAAAAAAAAAAAAAAAAAAAAAAAAAAAAAAAAAAAAAAAAACTAACCAACAGGGTTTTATATGGAAACAAATTGAAAACACAAAAAAGAGATAAGATAATTGCCAGAGTGCAAACTTCTATCAGCATGCATATACCTGAGGAATCAGAGGAGCTTTATCACTACTGCCATTATATGCAGTATAAAAACTGTAAGACTGCTCGACCAATTCTTCAACCTTCAAAATTAATAAATAATTGAGTTAGCTACAACAAATTTTCGTTTTTCGTTTCCCTTGCCCTTTTGGCAGTTGGGGTAAGAAGCTATTACAATGTTAAAAACCTGATAGTTCATCACAGCAAAGAAAACAGAGGTATAAAGGAAATAATGGTAGAGAAGGAAGTGAATTCATCAGATAGATAGTAACTAAGCAACTCTTAGGTGTATTTACGTACCAAGCTTCTTCTATTGAAATAGTTGGTCATTTGCCTTGATCTGTGGAAAAAGTAAGTTTCACATTTCCTTGACCAACTTCAACAGTGGACTTTTCCCTACCTTGAAATGTGTATACAGATGATCTGGTGGAACAAGCACCTATAACCAAAAGAGAAATGATCAATATGAAAAACTTAGATTGCTAGCTTCAAGAGTAGATTTGATGAATGCCATTATAAGAGTGGACCTGCTCCTTTGGCATATGAGATAGTGTATGTGCTGAAACCAAGTGGCGGTACAGATACTGTAAATGCAAGCCAATAATTTGGTGTGTTTGTTGGAGTTCGACCCAGGTATGCCTTAACATAGTAGTTCCTTAAGCCCACATGGGCATCATCTAGTGGAAGAAGCTGTGATTCAATTTCTCTTCCCTCAGAGTCTTGAACAGTGACATCTTCATTGATAACCTACATTATTAACAGGAAATTACGGGGTGCGTCACTGATTATCAAATTTGCATTCGCATGGGTTTGTTCCATGATCAATATACAGTGGCCATTTGCGTAATTTTTGGTCTCAAAATACACTGTCTTTACCAAACCCTGGTTAACATATTAATTAAATCTAAGCACCTGCAAGGAATTTCTTCCCCATCCTTATGTTTATTTATATATTTATTATTTTGGATAAACAAAAAGGAAGCACTAAGACCAGAACTGAAATGAAGTACTCACAGGAATTCGAATTACATCATTCCTCTTCCATCCTAGAGAATTGTACACCACGACAATCTATAGATGAGAAAACACCATCAGAAAATATATTCCACTGCTGGAATATAAAGTCATAGTTAATAGTTAATACAATCAAGAGCATAACATTAGATACTTTAATTTCCTTACCAATTGTTTCCCTTGAGACAAATTCACTTCTGCTGCAGGGCAGTAGCTTATATTCAGAAGTGGGCACTGGAGAATCAATGAAAAAAAATGTAAAAGAAAAGATGATACACAGGTCTTCTTCTTAGCTTGAATTTGAAACTTATGATGGAAAACCAGACATTCTACTTAACTTAATTACTTAAGTAATCAAAATTCTTCTAGTTGGCATGAATGCCATAATCAGACTAATTAAAATCCTCTTTACTACTACCTTATACAAGTTCAACATCCAAATTATCAAAACCAGAAATTGCAGGTCATGTAATATGATATAAACATAGCATACAAGCTTAAGGGTTTGTGATTAATTGCCTGTTGAAACTCTGTCGTTGGGTTTCCAGATCCAGTGTATGAAGCAGACTCAACCAAGTGCGCAAGTGATGTTGCAACTAGTTGCTCAGCCTGCACAAAGATAATGAACAAGTGAATGAAATTTAAGTTATACAGGTTAGGATTGAAAAAGAACATTGATAATAACACTAATCCACACCTCTGTGTAGCCTATCGACAATCTTTTTGCATAATCATTGGCAACATGTTGCTTCTCTGTACCAGTGACTGCATCATGATGTTGAGCGATTGCTAAGGCATCAGCCAATGAGTCTGTGTTCGGCCCTGAATTAGTCCTTCCTTTTAAAAATTCTAGTTGCCTTGCAGCCTTATTATCCAAGAGAAACATACAGATATGACAATAGAGAATCTGTCATTAAACTGGAAACACTAATTCATGATACAGACAACAAAGTTACAGGATGATACCAAATAATAGCCGCTCATTGTTCTAACATAGTATTTCAAAGCTGGTCTACTTGTGAAATACCCCGTCCAGTAAGCATTAGTACGATCTGCATAACTGGTATGGTGCATGCTTCAGTTTCTACAGTAAGGTTAACACATCAAAAGAAAGATTATAAAACACAATAAAAACTCACGGAAAGAAATCATCAGTCTTGATTGGCCACGATTCATTTGTAGCATACTTTGCATCAGTATATATGGATGGAGTAGAATACAGAGCATTAACACGTCCATCCTAAGAAGCATCCAACCAAAAACCAATTAAAGCTTAGAATAACAACATAAAATAATCAAGGATTTGCCCTCTCAGAACACAAGGACAGCTGTCAAGCTATCATCATTACCAGTGACTGATGATATATCCTAAAGGCATGAAGAGTATGAGACTAAAAGAATTTCATAAAGGAAAATGCTAGGCTTACCAGCTCAAAATCAAGCCAATATTAATCGGTCATTACCTTGTTGACATAATGAATGAGCTTGTCCATTTGACGGAACCATGTGTGTGCATACTGATACTTAAAATCTGTTCCCATGGTCCACATTATATGATCTGTCCGAGTTACGTTAGCCTGAGAATAAATAGTTGCTGTCAGACACTAAAACAAGGCCCTACAATAAAAAAAAACAGAGAAAAAAACAATTGAGTGAAGACAACCAGGTACTTTACCTGTGATACTGCTGCAGCAACAAAGTCGTTAACACGGTCTTGAACATTGTAATCAAACAAAGTGATGTCATCCTTCAAAAGAATAGGAATTAAAGTTTAATAATTGAAACAAGTAAATACTTAATAAACCAAAGGAAATTTAAAAACTTGTTTATGAATCATGATGTTACCTGAACAATTGGCGAATCATCATTAACTTCAAAATAGAAACCAGATGGAGGCTCGTAATTCTTAGGGAATGCACCAGAAAAAATCTGCAACCATTTAGAAGAAAAACACTACTAGTCAGACCCAAAGTTGCCTCTGAATACCTCCAGACTTTTTAACTCTATAAAAGTCTTTAAAAGTTAGAATTGGATACACCCCCCTAAGAATACTAAATGTAACATAGTGACTAAAAGGAACCATATCCATCATTATATACACAACCTCAGAATCCCAGATGTAAAAAATGCTATATAAAACAAAAAGCATTTGTTTTTCACCTGAGCAGATGAACCAAGACTCTTCGAACCTTGCCAAACAAATTCAAGGCTCTTGTCATTTTTGCGCTTATCCCTGTCCTGGTAATCTATTCGACCAAAGAAAAGTGAGTCAAACCCAACCTGCATCAACACCAAAACGTTGTCCCAGGTGTATAAGTAATTATGTTTGGTAAAATGCTCCCCGGCCTTAATTTGCGCATGGTCTACTCTTGTGCATAGAAAAAGGAAATTTTGTGTTCAAGGCTAAAGCCAAGACATGCTTACTTCTGCTCCCAACAAGTAAGCCTGGACTGCTGAATGTCCAAAGGGGTCAATTTGCCAACCAATTCTTGGAGTCACATCAAATTCCTTTTTAATAAACCGATGCCCAAGAGTCGTCTGATCAATTATATCAATGTAATGCGTTGCTGCCTCATCATGCATACACATCCCCCCATTTCTGAAGCAACGAAAAAAGACAAAAGCATTAATACCAAAAGAAAATGAAGAGAAAAAGAGCATTTTAGGTTACATTACATGAATTCCAATTGACCCGAGCTGACTAGCTGCTTGACTATACTCTGGACGGCCTCACTCTGATCTCTCCACCAGCGCTGGAAGAATGCCTGCATTGATTATCAAGGCAGAAGTTACAGAGGTTATGAGGTGGTACCAATACCAAACCAAGTGCCAATTGTCAACCATCATGCAATGCATGGGATTTGGGAAAGAAGAAGATATGTGAGTGTGAGATGAGTCAGATGCGCATGAGGGTGGCAGTGGCATAAATCAACAGTTTATCTGGTAAATGGCAAAGAAATAGAGCATGGAATTAATGAATCGGGTAGAATTGGATGGGAGGTACAATTACAAATCCCAAATTACAATTTACAATTTACAAGCAGAAGCAGGAAGTAAAGCAAGGGTAAGAGGCTGGCTTGCCTGTTCAACATAAATAAACTTTCGATTCTTGTCAGCCAGCAGAGCGGGAACTAAAGAATCCAACACATTTTGCACGCAAGCCCCCTAAGCAATATCCATTGAATGGAAACCATAAAATTGAACTCATACGTGAAGAAGAAGAAGAAGAAGAAGAACTAGAAACTAGAAAGGGAGAAATTACGAGAGAGAGAGTGAGCAGACCTGGATGGAATTGTTGGAGCCAACATAATACTGATCAACGGTCTTTAACCAGCCAACGTCGTCGTGGGTGTGAGGGACCAAATGGACATTAATTTTTCCGGGGACTATCCCTTGGGAAGTGTTATATACCATAAACTTGGAATCGGAGACCAGAAATCCGACCGAGATAATAAGCAAGCAGCAAAAGACTAACCGAATCGCCATTAGAATTAATTAGCAGAGCTGCAGAGCTCTTTCCCTTTGAATTGATAAAGGTCCTGTCCGATCAGCTGCTCAACAACCAACAAGAGTAATTAATTTCCAGAAACAGCAATTCGCTTAGCTTCAGAAAGTGAAGCTTGCATGGATGGGTTATGCTTTGCTATACAAAAGTGTCGTCGCGCACAGTGTGACACCGCCGAAGAGAGGAGAGAGAGGAGAGGAGTGAAGAAGGAAGGAAAACAACAAGAAGAGGAAGGTCACTCACTCAATTCAACCTGCTATTTCTTTCTACTGTTTTTTTTTCTTTTTTCTGCGTCTGACTTTTTTAGATTAGAAAAATATTTAAGTGTACTCTACAGTCCACTCTTCGCTCCGAGACTTTGGAAAAACACGAAAGAGAGAGAAATTTTGTAAAAGAAGTCAAAATGGACAAAATTGCCCTTATTTATTTTTGGATTTTCTAAAGAATCATTTACATTTGCATGTCTTTGATTTGAAAGTTGAGAGGTTTTTTTGTCTTTTTTTTAAAACTTTGGTTTTTTCCAAAAGCGAAATTTTTTTATGTGGCTAAAACCTAAATTTACTTTTTATTTTTCTTTGGGTAAACTTGGAATAATAGCATCTTTCAGCTTATTAATTATTGCTTTCATGTGATTTCGACCCATTGGATTGGGGATTTTGCTTCCTAAAGCTTAGTAGGAATGGGGTTGCATCACTTCACATTTTTGGGACCAGACCAGAGGATCAGTGCAAATTGTACGCCGAGAAAGGTGACCAGCTTTCTAACCTTGTTCAATTCAACTCAGTGAATGTCTTCTATTTAAAGTTCGTTGCTTTGATTGAATTACCAATTTATGCTTACTGGAGGGAAGACTGCTAGAGGTGTACATTGGTTCGAAACCAATACAATTTCACTGATTCGCATCCTTGGATCTTGCAAATTTTTTTTTCTTCTTTGAGATAGATAGCTACAACAAACATTTACGGAAATCTTATCAACAACCACCACCGAGTGTCTCATGAAACGAAACACTTGACGGCCCGGCCCAATAACGCAATTCCCGTGCAAATTGTAGAACACGAGGGAAAGGCCCAAATCTTCATTTTCTTCAGGAACCATACATATGGAGGTAATCAAAGTCAATAAGGAAAGTGCGTATTTCCATTGGGGCAAGTTCCACTAGCAGTTTTGCAGGGTCAACGGGTCCACCCCTCACCACCTTGGGATCTTTGGCAGCAGAGCCTTCTACTTTCCAAACCAACCTCTTCTTCTCCATTTCGGATCTTTCTTGATTGGCAGACAAACTCATCTCTGTCACTTTGCTGATCTGAAAACAATAAGTAATTCATTCATTAGCAGGAGAGAAGAATTCAGCATTAGCAGCAATCATTCACTCAATTGCTTTGCTTTTACCTTCTTCCTCGGAAACAACTTCTCTAGTTCCACATTTGCCAATACAGAATAGTCCTTGTCTTCTCCAGTCTTCGCATGTATATATCAAACAAACAGCCACCAAAATATTATGAGCTTTTGAATTTCTAACCAGCGGTGATGTGAAAACATAAAGAGAGAAGCAGGACAGAGAAGAATAAGGGAGAAAGTGAGACCTCATACAAATGAGCCAACCGGAGGAGTACTTTACCATTTTCAAGTTCCTGCAATGTTCAGAAAAGGAACAAACCGGATTTTAATATGGACAACCAATATCAGAAATATGCTCAGGATGCATTCCCTGAAATACCTGGAGGGTTATAACAGCAATGTTGTTTGGTAAAGCATAGGAAGGATCAATTCCAGAAAAAGTCGATGCATGAGAATTCATCCAATCATTTTCATCCTGCAAAAAGAAATTTCACCATTTGAGCATCATGCCACGATAGCACTTGATCAACTTCAAGCATTTTCTCACCTGTTCCGTGAAGGCCAAAAGAAGCGGAGAATTTATCTCCTGGCCAGCTGTGCGACGCCACTTGGCACCTTCTCCAACATTATCGATTCTCACATAAAACTTCCCTTGGATCTGCAAAATGGTGTTTGACCAACGTGATTTCTACATCATGTTATACTGAAGAAAATCGTTGAATGGCTAATGGAAAATGAACAGAAGAATAAGCTCTCAATTCAATCTGTTAAAATAAAATAAAATAAAATATAATAAAAAGACCCATCCTTTTGAATGTCAACGTTTCTCAAGCTGCTGGAGAAATAAAAAATTTTTAAAAAAACTTTTACTATGATAAATATGCTTGAGGATATAGCTCAACGAGGTATGCTTACTGTTAAACCTTCACACTTGTCAAGGATGCAAACTGTTTCATTCAGTACCTCACCAACACCTCTAGAATCATCATGAAACAGCCTCCTATAAAACAACAGAAGAGAGTTCAAAACAATGCAAGAAATCCTAAATATGCAAGTAATATGCATTACAGTAGAATAAATAAAAAAAGCATAATAATTATTTGTTCAAACAGAAAGCAAACAAAGACAATGGAAACCTGTGGAGCATCAGCTCTATCTGGCCATCCACTAAGCTAGATCCTCCGACTGAACGATCAACCAAGACTGAAAGTTCAGTACTGCTATCTTGCACATAAATTCCAAGATTAATCTGGAAAGGGGAAAAAAGTTAAAAAGGTGAAGAGAATATCAGATTCAATTAGTCAAATGGGGTTAACATAAATGAGAAAGGACTGGGCATGGAGTGGGTTGGCTTGCATTAAAGGTCTAATCCTACCCAACATCTTTGGTTTGTATAAAATCCAACCTGAAGCAACCCTATCATTACTTGAGCCAACCCAAACCGTCTATCATGGGGTTGGACTGGGTTAGCAATTGATTAAGATTTACCACTTCGAGTTCAAAAGAAAATTTTAACAATTGTATAATTAACAGGCCATAGAAAGCTTTTCGTTAATTGAGGGCATAGAGAGCAAAAATCCTCTCAGGATTATGCATACTTACTAGAGACTTATATGGAATCATAATAAAAATAGATCAACAAGGTTGAAGTGTGTCACACAAGGAAACATACAGGGTAATAGTTTCCTGCTATTGGTTGGTTCACTTGTAGGTCCCAATCTGTCCTGAAATCTCGAATCTGCCAGTCAATTGAAAAATCAAATAAGTTACCATGAAACGCTAATTAATCCAAACAAATTTATGCACAATATTTCCTCGTATGTATCTTCAAAAATATCCCTATTGAGTTCTTCATCCATTAAATTTTTTAGCGACATAGACCAGTTAAGCATTATTTGTGGCAATATCAATACAGGATGTTCACTGTCACCATGATAAATGACGCAACTAAAACTTCCAAGACCATAGTATACCAAACAATAATAGGAAACAAGTATCAAAATACCCGTTTAATGAAGTCCCGACCATTAGAATCCATGTAGAATGTCTTATTGGTCTTCATGGCTGTTGTAATTTGAGTTGTGATTTCCTTCCCAATCCCATCATCCACAGGTATAGGCCCAATCTAAAGTGACGATCATAAAAAGTTAAAAAGACAAGTTCTACAGTGGCATCTTTGGTATATAATAACCACGACAGGAAAACTTGATCATCTATTAACTAAATCAGTTCATGAGGGTATACTTACAGTGAACTCAACTTCAGCATGCTCCTTTCCCTTGTATACCCTTGTAATCTGTGCATGGATGTGTCATTGTGTTAATATAAAAACTAAGCACAAACGTTCCGGGGATAGCAAAACCCACATCAACCTGATCCACAAATAGTTACTACCCAGAACAAATTTGAACAACTGTATTTCTTCATTAAAAAATCACTCTTGTAAGAGGTGTTGCATGAACAACTAAATCACCTGAGATACCCATGGATTGAGTTGTTGATGTACTTCATCTAATACTGGACCACGCATGACAGTTAGAGGAACCTGGAAAAAGGTTACTTTTTTGCTTAACCTCAGTAACTAAGTTCCTCATAAATCATTAGTGATGGATTAGCAGCAAAAGATCTTTCTTCATCAATACAAAAAAATTTCAAATGCTAATGTATTACCTTCTGTTCAGACTTTATGAGAACCGTGCCATTTGGTCGAAAAACATATGCCCCAGAGGCCTTCATAAATAATTAAAATCCCAAAATGATAATCAATCACAAAACAACGTTTAAACATTTTAAGTACAATGAAAAATCACAAGTTATTTTGTATTTGACTACCTGAGGATCTCTGTCAGTTCCATCATTTCCAGTATAATAACTATATGATTGTTCGACAGATGCTGTAACCTTCCATTAAAAATATATTGCATAATAAATGTTAGCATTGTTGATACATCAATTAGAAACTCACATTACGTGCAAATTAAGTTCTAAGGACAAAAATATAAATGAGGGAAATGCCAAAGGGAAAAAAAAGAAAGCAGAAAAAACATATAAATCCCTGTTTTTTATGCACTGTCGAAACTATGTAGTAACCATGATAGTAGAATACATATTGGGAAGACATACAAGAACCATGAAAGAAAACCATATCAATTAAACAGAAAACTATACAGTGAATCTGAGGCATAAAAAAAAAGGGAGTTTCACTAAAACACCCAAAATGGGGGTTGAAATTATAAAAAAAAACCCAAGCACTATTTAAACATATAAACACACCCAAAACCCATCATTACACACACTCAAAACCCATTTATAAACACACCCAAAAAGTTGACTTTGGGGTTGATTTTGGGTGTGTTTCTATGTTTAAATAGTGCTTGAGTTTTTTATAAATACATGTCTAGGATTGGGTTTATTTATAAATTTGTAAAAAAATTATAGCATACCAGACTTCTACTATTAACATAACGAGCAAGTTTTCCTTCATCTGCAGAATAATGCAGCTTTAAACTTCCTTGCCCAACTTCTATGGTCTCATTTGTACTTCCTTCTGACGTGTATACATTGGAGATAGTTGAACTACGACCTTTATCTCAAAATTAGAATAATACAACATAAAAGTATTTTGTTAGTGACTGGGAAAGATAAATTACATTTGTTCTAGTTTAGATGAACAATAATTACATATTAAGTGGCATGACTAACCTGTCGGTTTTGCAGTTGAGACAATGTAAGAGCTGAAACCAATTGGTGGTACTGTCACTGAAAATGCTAGCCAAAACTTGGGTGGTTCACTTGGGGACTTACCCAAATATGCTCTAACATAGTAACTCCTTAGACTCAAAGAGGCTTTTGATAGAGGTAGAAGCTGAGCTTCAATGTCTCTTCCACTAGAATCCTGAACAGTAACAGCTTCATTGGATACCTGCAACAAATTTGTGTTACATTAGCCACATACAAGTAATCATCAACTTTCAAATTTGTTTTGCATTAGCCACTTTCAACTTTCAAGTTCACTGTAATTTAATCCATAAAAGGAACAAGGTGCTTTAGATGACATGGAATCTATCATTTATCAGCTTGAACAGAGTACTGAATGATGAGCGTCCTTGTAAGTTTTAACCAAAGAATGCAAATCATGGCTCTGAGAAGAACAAAAAGATGAAGAAAATATGGATGATATGACAAATAAAATATTAACATTACAAATTTCATATACTATGATGAAAATACAATTTCAAAGAAGCAAATCATTATACTAAGAAAGAATAAGCAAAATCAGTACTCACAGGGATCCGTATCACTTCCTCTCTCTTCCAACCAAGAGAATTGTAGACAATGACAATCTGAAAGGAAGATTTCATACAACGTTAAAATTGATATAAAAGGCCAGCTCTAAATCTTCAATTTGATGTGGGTGTACAGCTTAAGAGGTTAATAATATGCTTACCAAGCTCTTCCCATCAGACAAGACAGCTTCTGATGGAGGACAATAACTAATATTAAGAAGAGGGCACTGCCACCAAATCAACATGCAGGATTAAATAGATGCTCAACTCAGTTCTTGGAAAATAATGTAAAAGGGAGATTTCAAAAGTATAGTTAAGACAATTGGATAGAGAGGGGAAGGGTGGCATTTAAACTTGGTATCTCCTGGCTACCAGCTGGGTTATGCCCTGGCAACGCCAATTTTCCATTAAAATACCCACAAAAAAAGGAAATAAAGTTTCAGTGCCTTTTTTCCCCCTTGTGGATAAGGGTTTGAGACATGATAATCCTGCTAGCATATTATGCATAAAGAATACATATACACATATAAGCTTTAACTTCAACAATTCAATTAGTTTGTTTTAGAACTCTTCAAGCTTCAATTTTTCATCCTTTAAAGTACAAATGAAGTTTGTGTACTAAGACTAATAATATATTACCTGTTGAAAGTTTGTGACAGTGTGCCCCTGCCCAGAACTTGACTCTGACTCAGAAAGGTAAGCAAGAGAAGAGGCAACCAACTTTTCAGCCTGTAGAGAGATGTGAAATGAAATATATGATTTTCGCATTAACTTTAAAATAAATACCAACAATGTTAAAAAAGTTGTATTGGATGTTGAAGGGATTTTGACCTGTAAATAGCCTATTGACAATCGCATTGCATAATCGGCAGCAACATGCTGTCTTTCTGTACCACTAACTGCGTCATGATGTTGAGCAATAGCCAAAGCATCAGCTAATGCATCGGTGGTTGCTCCAGAATCACTCCTGCCTCTAAAGAACTCCAACTGCCTAGCTGCCTATTAGCAGAACAAAGAAAGCAATAAATGATTAGAAAACCTACAAGGAAAAACCTACTGGACACTGTAGAATCACTTCACAAAAAGACGCAAGATCTTACCTGATAGTAACTACTCATAGTTCTGACATAACCTTTAAGGGCTGGCCGACTTGTAAAATAACCAGTCCAATATGCATTTGGATGGTCTGCATACCTGAAATTGGTGTTATAATTTTAAAAAGGAAAACTTACGGGAAGAAATTGGATGATATGTAGGATAAAAAGGAAAACATTGTAGAACTCACGGAAAGAAATCATCAGTTTTTAAAGGCCATTGCTCATGTGCTGCATATTTTGCATCAGTGTAGATTGATGGGGTTGAATACAACGCATTGACACGCCCATCCTAATTTTCCAAATGAAGCCAATTTATTAACTTTTTAATTACAGTCTCATAGGATAAAGCCTGGGATGAAACCATACAAAGGATATAAACCTATGTCTTCTTAGTAAATTCATTGTGTAGAAGCCAAAAAAATATTACCTGATTGACATAATGAATGAATTTGTCCATCTGCCTGAACCATGAATTTGCATATTGATAACGGAAATCTGTTCCCATGTTCCACATAATATGGTTTGTTCTTGTCACGTTAGCCTAAGGGGGAAAAATGAATGTTTACTGAATGCAATTGACAATCAAGTTAAAAAAACCCATGGGAAAATTACAAATATAGCATTTTACTCTGCCTAACCAAAAGGATGTAATATAAGCTTTAATACACTAGAAAGAAGAACAAAATTAAGAGTAAATTGAACATAGAAATTGATGCAATTTTTTAGTTTAGGTCCTACCTGTGCAAAAGCAGCTGCAACAAAGTCATGGACTCGGTCTTGAACATTATAGTCAAACAGGAGAATGTCATCCTTCAATCAAATTTTACCATGTGAGAAAGAAGTTGTAAAATAAAAAGGAATGTACGAACCTTTTACGAGTACGAGATTTTACCTGAATAGGGGGTGACACATCATTTATTTCAAATGTGAAACCGTCAGGAGGATCATAGTGCCTGGGGAAAATGCCAGTGAAAATCTGCAAATGTAATTTGCAACGCAAGGAGCCAATGAATTCCAAATAATGAAATGTACAAAAAAGTATATTAAATACAAATGTGATCTAGGAACAGAGACATAAGTGAGTTATCAAGTCAAATGCTGTGAAAACGAAAGAAAGAGAGATAGATACAAAGTACAAACAAAACAAATCCCCTGACCTGCGAAGAGGAAGCAAGGGATTTAGAACCCTGCCATATAACCTCGAGAGTCTTATCCCTGAGTCTCCTAGCTCTATCTTGGTAATCAATTCGAGCAAAAAATAGGGAATCGAATCCTAACTGCAATCCAATGAACATTAAGTTGCAGTTGCAATAAAAGAAGAAATAAGTGAAAACTGGTAAGTCGAAACGTATGACATATAAATGCCTACCTCAGCACCAAGCAAGTAAGCTTGAACAGCAGAATGGCCAAAAGGATCAATCTGCCAGCCAACTCGAGGAACCTTGCCAAATTCTTTCAGTATAAATAGATGGCCTAAGGTTGTCTGATCAATCAAGTCAATGTAGTGCGGTGTGGCCTCGTCGTGCATACACATGCCCCCATTTCTTCAACAACCAACGAGTGATCACTCGTAAATGAGAACACAACAACACGAAGAAGAAAAAACAAATTACTTAGTTGAGAAGAAATATTACATGAACTCTAGCTGACCAGAGTTGACAAGCTCCTTGACTTTGATCTTCAAAGCGGGGCTTTGCTGTCTCCACCATCTCTGGAAGAAAGCGATCTCGACATAGATGAACTTGCGGTTCTTGTCCTCCAGCAAGGCCGAAATTACAGAGTCGAGGACGTTCTGCACGCAAGCGCCGCGAATTGAATTGTTGGCGCCCACGTAGTACTGGTCAACGGTCTTGAGCCAGCCGACGTCGTCGTGAGAGTGGGGAACCAAATGGACATTGATTTTGCCGGGAACGATCCCCGCCGTCGTATTATAAGCTACGTACTCCGCTTTTGCTCCCAGTGGCAGTAACCCTGCCAATAGGACTGCCGCCGTGAAGAACAACATCGACGTCGCCGTAGAAGAAGCCATAACTGATGCTGGTAGCTGAAATGATTTTATTTTAGGTAAAGAAAGCCAGAAAGGGCTTTTCAATGGTGATCACTGATCACTCTCACTCATCGGTCTCTCTTTCTCTCACTGACTCGCTACGCTTCTCTTTTCTTCTTTTCTTGTCTTGTACCGGAAGCGAGAGGCGTGTCATTTGTCTGCTGTGTCTGTCTGATCATGAAAATGATGATGTTTTGATTTATTTTTAAATTTGTATTATTTTTATTCTAACGGATAAGTTTTTTCACTGAATCTCATTTCTTGGCCCATTCCTGGCCCATGGACAATTGAGAGCAGTCCAGTCCAACTTAGTAGCCCTACTAAAGTTGCGTAGGCCCACTAGACTTGGATGTGCCGTTATAGTGTAGGTCGGTGCAATCCAAAGATAAAGATTTTCCCTTAAATTAAAACCCTAGTCCAAAATCCAGAATTCAGAATTCCGAATTCAAAATCCAATCATGGAAGACACTTTCAGAGTCCGAGTAGGCAAAGTCTTCGGCTCCCTGGCTGGTACACCATCGAGCGGTCCATCTTCGTCTCTGAGCTCGCTATGGTCCCTAACAGACGAGGAAATCGAGAAGAGGGAATGGAACAGAGACAAGGACAGCCCCGAACCCGAACTCGAACCCCAACCCTACAACTTAAACTCAAAGGGTGATTTCAGTAACGAGCTGGAGAAGGACCTTCTAGACCTGGACGAGGATGTGGAAGAGGAAGAGGAAGACGAGGAGCAACAGCCCAGTGAGTCGGCTAATAAGCATAAGCCAGACGACTATAACGACGAGGAGTGGGAAATTAAATCCTCTATCGGCTTGGACTGTACTCTCGACTACGAGGTATCTTTCTATCCATCCATCTTTCTTTGCTGCTCTCTTTAAATTAAGATTCGATCTTTTTCTGGAGTCTTGATTGTATTGATTCTTATGTCATGAGACTGTATAGAATACAAAATGCAATTCGAATTTCATTTATGAACAATTCCAAAAACAATATTGTAGTGATGATTGATCCTTATTCTTGACAACACTAACCAGCCAAGATAGGTACATAAAATTATAATGAAGTGACCAATGCAGAGCTGAATAAATTACTTTGTGAAATCATGGGCTGTGTGGGCAATGGGCATAGGTTACTTTGTAATGTTATGGGATCTATGATTATCTTCATATGATCAGATAGATTTTCTTTGACTTGCTTCAGGTTAGGGATTCGGGCCAGACTAGCTGTAACCTTTATTTGTGTTCTGTATGCAGGAAGAGGAAGATGGATATGACAAAGTTGCTGTTGGCAAGGAAAATGCTGGAGATCGCTTGTATATGAAAGATGTAAACGACTATGGGATAGACATAGATTCTCAAGAGGAGGTTCCTACTTCCTTTAAGGATTTTACTCGAGACCCACGTGCTAATCACCTGGCGGCTAAGATTAGGCTCCAACAAGATGCAGAGGCAGCTGCTCAAATTAGGCTCCAAGAGGATGCCGACGCAGCTCAAAAAATTGACTCCCTGAGGGTTTCCGGGAACAATACACCATATGCTATAGCTGCTGAGATCATCACATCTGAAGATGCTACCAACCTAAAATCGATTCTGAAGAGGAAGACGGATAATCAGTTAGACCCATCTAAATCACAAAAACGCGTCCGGTTTGATCCCGACTGCAAAAGTAATTGTCATGATGAAGGTGAGGGAGCCAAAGATATTCTTGTGCAAACTCATTCAAATGAAGATCATCCATCTGGAGTTCCAGATTATCTACGGAATCCTTCAAGATATACACATTATACGTTTGATTCGTCAAGTGATGGGGATGAGGAATCAAACAAGCAAGCCTATATGGACTTCCTTAATCTGTTGAGGAAGTCAAATTCTATGGAACCACAGGCAGAGGATGCTTTTGTTGATCTGTCAAAACCAGTCACATTTATACCAAGAAAAAAATCAACTGATGCTATAATGCAGGAAAATGATGGGGAGTTAGGGAGACTAGGTAGTGCTCGTCAGGAATTTGCGCCTTGCAGAAGCACGCCACTAGCCATTGCAACTGAGGACAACGAAGATGTTTGTGCAATGGAGGAAGATGAACCAGAGACAGCAACTGATGGTAAAACCAGTTTACAGAGAACTGGACGTCAATACCGTACAAAAACCAGGTCGGAGTTAGTTGAGTGAATTGCTTCTTTACTGGTGGACATGTGAAAATTAAATGAGATACAACGCCATTGTGCCTCTGTGTATTCATGTCTTTGCTAATGTAACAAAGCTGTTTATTTGACAGTCAGTTTGTAATAATTGCTTTTAACATTTAACGATTGAATGGTTACTCTTAGTTGAGTTATTGTTTTAGTGTTAGTGATGCTTGCTTGTTCCCTCTCCTGAAGTGATGAAAAGATGAGTGAATAAATCGTTCTTGACAACTGATTTATTCAAGTTAACAAGCATTTCAAGTTTGTGTTAAGTAATAATCATTAACATTACCAACTTTGTTTGTACACATTCTTGTTTTATCGGCCAGATGAAAGCGAACGGGAAAGAAAAACACCGTAATTCAATTGTACTTCATTCATGGTCATATTAGGTTCAACTAGTCCAAAACTTCAGACACGCCTAACGATACCCTCAAGACAAGGTTAACAAAAACAGCTTTCAAAAAGGGACTGACCCTTAAGAAAATTATACAAATTTATAAATAAACTCAATCCTAGACATGTATTTATAAAAAAACTCAAGCACTATTTAAACATAGAAACACATCCAAAATCAACAATTGTATATTTTTTGGATGTGTTTATAAATGGGTTTTGAGTGTGTGTAATGATGGGTTTTGGGTGTGTTTATAAAGTGTTTTGGATGTTGGGTTTTTTTATAATTTCAGCCCCCATTTTGGGTGTTTTAGTGAAACCCCCTAAGAATTATTGTTCTGATCTATTAGTATTACAGGTTTAAAAGACAACCGGTGCTGTATTGCGGGAAGGCAGCTACGTGCAATGATGGCTGTTCCTGCGCATGTTGCTGCATTGCCGGAGTCTAGGGACTTTTTTGTGCTTAAAAGAGCAATTCAGTTTTTTTGTCATCGAGTTCCATGAAAAACCAATTTGAGGCGAGGGCGGTAGTAGCAAGACCTTTTTATGGGCTATAAACAAAATGGTTAGCCTGCGATTGCTTAAGCCAAGCCCTTTTTTTTTGGGGGCGTCGCATGTCTGTTCATTTCTGAGTTCAGCAATTGTAATATATATATATATATATATATATATATGAGAGAGAGAGAGAGAGAGACAGAATGTGCAAGGCTTCTTGTTTTTTATCAAAATATTGCCATATAATTTTCTCTCTTCACATCTGAGTTACAAAATCAGTCTTTGTTTGAACTGTGCCTATTCTGTGCATTTGAAGCGTAACCTCCCAGAGAAGGATAGAGGTTAGATCAGTTGATGGAATTACAAATAGATACAACAAACATATAACACGTAGTTGCAAAAAATAAAAATAAAAAGAGCGGTTCATTTGGAGTGTTTATCACCTAGAATAAGCGTTTCCTGCAACCTGTGGCCCCACAATGGCAGAACATCTGTTTTACTTTCCCATCTGGACCCAAGACACTATCAAGGGCGTAGCCATAGTCGTATGTGAGCTCCTATCATAAATCAAAACAAACAAACAAAATGTCAGCTACTCCAAAATTTAGATTAATATCCAAGTACTGGCCCTCCAGTAAAGTCCAACAAGAAGCAGAAATTTAAGCCCGTGGAGCAGATAGCAAAATCATATCATGAATAATTCCCTAAAAGCAGCAATCAGTCGATGGCGGTTCTGATACAGACAACAAACATCCACTTCATCAGAGTGACTTTCACATGGAATTCAAATCTTTAAGACATTGAACATTGTTCACTATTAAGTTTATAAGCACTCCGCTTATTTACTTCAAAAAAAATATTACCAGCCTTTTTATCATGGAATATTGTCGCACACTAGACTGATTGATGATGAAATTGACAATCAGAGAGAGAGAGAAAGAGACCTGCAAAGGAGGTATATTGTCCGCTGCAAACAGCATTATTCGAGCTAGTTTTATGTCATGGTGTGAACTCAACACACACTGGACGAACAGATTAGGCTCACAACTGTGATTTATAAATCTGGCAATATTTCCGGTGGAACCTGCATCAATGCAGAAATCTGGCACGCTCTGATCATCAGGTCTCTCCAGTGAATTAACTGCTGGTAAGCATACAGCTTGTGATCGCCTCTGTCAAAAAGATAAATGAGACAAACTGCTTTGGAGTGCCACTGAGCGCAATAAAGATACTCATAATGACAAATGATGAAACATATCATATGAAATGACAGAGTGAAAGTGTATTGATCAGATGTTACACAAACATCTGCTTCCTCAGAGAGATCCACATGGACATTCAGGTGACGAAGTGGTATAGAAAACCAGATGTGTGCAGTGTTCAGTCTCGAAATAGTCCTAAGTTCCTAACTAAGAAATGGTCTCTCATTGTTCGGCTACTTTTCACTTTCAAGTGTTCTATCAAATGTAAAAACAAAATAAAAAATGAAAACCACCAACAACATGTATATAATAGAACAAGAATTTATCTTAAGAGACAAATGATTCTTACATGCAAAAGTCAAGTAGGTGATTCAGTTTACATGCATCAGATTTAAAAGTTATCAAAATAATGACATGATCTTTTATGGAACATAAATAGCTACAGAGAGGCTCCAAACTGGCAATGACAAGGCATATCACATTGCAAAGATGAATACAGCTTCAGTGACAATACCTCTCTTCCATCAAGACCCTTCATCGTTTGCAAGCAATCAATGTCAAAAATGTAATAATTCTCTGAGGCATTATCTACATCTTCCGTCCTCCTAAGTATTCCAATGTACTCGCAGACCGGAGCCCCAGAAGGTATAAAATCCCATGATCTAACAGCCCACCCTTTCATTGGCGTACGGAAAACCTGTTGACACCCATCATTCAGAACCTTCATATTTTAAACATGTACCACTTTGACACAAATCTGTAATCAAGTGTCTCTGTTTCCAAATAACCAAAAAAAAAGTTAACAACGACAGCATCACCTCAAATCGATATTTCAGCCCTCTCTGAGAAGTACGATTGACACAAGCAGGTCCACAACCGCATTTGGGGCCACATTCAAACACTACATCCTTGGCTTCAATTAATCTGGAAGATACAACAAAAACAAGAGTACCCTCAAGTAAGAAGATAAACTAATAAAATCGGACAAAATTATTATAGGCGTTTAATATCAAAATTTCATGTAGAAACAGCAGCATGTTTGATGCATGGCTCACCTGCCACCATCACGCTGCACATATGGAAAGTCAGAGCCATTAAGCATGGTGCATGCACAAGTCTTGGGATCCATGCAAGTTCCTTTGCAATTGCATCCAGTGGCATCTGTGGGAAGCTTCACATTTTGCGCAATTTGCATAGACTTACAATACATGAAACCTAAAATTTTAAGAATTTAAGACCAGATTATTGTACTCACCATAATATAGAACTTAATCATACATAAAATCATTCATGTGACTGCTTGAACAAATTGAAGGAGACCAAAAATCTACGAAAAACTTCAACCGCCACAGATAGTAAGAGGACACAGTCGTGTATGTAATAGAAATGAGATGATTAATGAGATTGTAAAAAAATAACATAACAAAAATACACACAAAAAAAAACTGTGATTGACCAGTCAATGATGACTCTGAGGGAATTAAAAAAAATTCCAATGTGCATTGTATGTCCAAGGCATCGCAAACATTCTAAAATTTGATAGTAATTGCCCATATTTACTCTTTGATCCCAAAAGTAATAACACTAATGATGATATTGAGCGTCAACAACTTGCCTGTGGGTGCAACAGGTGGATCATCAACCAAATTGGTAGCCGGAATGGGAACATCCTCTTGACCCCCACTAATGTCCTCGCACACCAACCTTAGCCAATAAAACAATAGAATGTAATTACACTTTCAATTTGCAATTCAGTTTAAAAGTCATTAACATTTTAATTGTTTTTTCTTCATATACCCGCGTATTTCTGAAAGAGACTGCGGTACACGCCCATTAATAAATTGAACCTGTCACAGGAGTTAAGAATCATATTAAAGAAAGAAAAAAGAATCTCCCATAAACAGTTGCTCACTAGTTAAGCATGCAAAGGTATGCCAAAATGAAAATGAGATGTGATTTAGGATCTGAAAAGAGGAACAGCCAACTAAGATATATTGCAATACTCAGAGAAAGATATATAAGAAATAAGACTTGGTTAGCTCTAATAATCTCTTCTGCATCATGAGTTTTCAAAAAGACATATATTTCCAGAAAATACACTAATCCACTATAATAAACCTATAAATGGCAGCATATGAAAAAAAATAGACTATATGATGAAACAAACTAGTTCCTCCTTCTATAACTAATATGACAAACTGGAACACTAACACAAGATTTTCTACATAAGATTCAACTAAAAATCATCACAAATATGGCCTCGAATGATCTTCTATATGTAACCTGGTTTGTGGTCAACGCTGGCTGTCCATCAGCCCGCCTAAGACGATACTTAAACACAGTAAATCCAGAAATACCCTTCTCTGCCCAATACTGAACAACCTGTAAAATGATAATAAAAACGAACAGATAAATCTACCAGCTCAATTATTAAAGTGAATAAATCCAGCAGAATACCAATAAACATCCAGTAACTAAGATATTCAAAGTGAAAGCAATAGTTTGTTGACATCATAGGAAGTAAATCTTAAAGAACATGCTTCAGATGATTTTACCTTGTACAAGCCATCATAAGTGTAAAGTTTGCCACAGTAACTACTTTTACATTCATGGCCACGAACTACTCTAACAAGTACACATTGCTCCACACAATTCTGCAATTTGTGAGAATATATGAAATTCTTAGATAACACTTCCACACCCACACCTATAAACACGTGTTTGTGGTCATTCATTGAGACCTATACAGGAGATAAGAAAACTAATATATGGCAAAACCAGTTTAAAATAGGAAGTACAAATGTGACCAAAGATCATTTAAAACTAAGTGTCCCGTATATGCAAGTGTACCCATCCTTCCTTTCTTGACTCTTAATCTCTTAAGCTGATTTCT